AAAAAAAAAGGCCTGATCAAAGGGAACTCGTTGAACAATTTACCTGCTGTTCCGTCCGACTTCGTTCCATTTCTCCATACTATGGCATCCTTGGCGAAGCAGTTCACCCATTCAGCACTACTCTCGCGTGCATCGGAGGTCTTGAACAAAATGTTGAGAAGGTCGCGGACTTCCCTCGAAACGAGCGCAGGGTCGTATTGATAATCGAGGAAAGTCATGTCGAGGGAATCGGGTACACGGGGTAATCGTGTGATATTCGCGTTGGGTGCGGGGTGGTTGGTGGATCGATACGTAGTCAAAGCTCAGAGGCCAGAAGAAAGGCGATATAAGTATCTAGGCAATCGAGATAAGGTGTGTTGGTCTACTCTGTGCGGAGTTGAGCTCCACAGCCAGCTTCGGACTTTGAGAGCGAGGCTCGAGGCTGCAATGGGAATTGTGCTTATCCTTACTGAAGGCATGAGTACTACATTGCTAGGTCTAGAGAAATTCTGAACTATTATTGGACAGGGAACTTGGACGAGAAATCGACGAAGGCTGCTGACTGACTTTGCGCATCTCAGTATGTCCCCTCACTCCTAAAATCCACTCATCTCTCCCCCCCAACCAACCGTACCCGCCCATCAAGCTCGTCAGGCATGTGTTCACAATTCATAGGAGGTCTAGAATCTAGCTGACTATTGACGATGAGGGCTCGTTACGTGCCTTGTACCTTGAAGAGTCCTGTTATACAACGGATGAGTCATAGGTTCCTCCCATGCTACGAAACAACGATAGAGCAACACTCCTAGAGGCCAATAAACAACTGATCGGGCATTCTATGACAGCTTGACTAAGTCACCAAAAATAGCGCATCTAATTCATGTCTCTGTTTGGTCAAGCTATCTAAACACCTCCAGGGGTCAAGTACTCCGAGTTGGCTCCTTTTCGGAGCACCAGTCGAGCACTCGGCCAAAGATTCTCAATCCGTCATTTTGCAGTTCAAAGAGGGCGTACAGATCGTCCACCTGTCCTTGAGTCAATTCCCCAGTATATGCTCCATCATCGGCATCTAGAATACCCCGGGCAACTTCTCTGGTCATTTCGGGGTGGCCTTGGAAAGAAATGATTTTGTCGTCCTTTGACAGCAACACCTCACGATCCTCTGCGAGCTCAATAAAGTTTGGGGCGATTTTGTCAATTTGACGCTTGTGAAACTTGTGAAGAGACTACCCAGCAGTGGTCAATTGTGTACGATCTTTATTACGCTCTCACCACTTAGAGCATTGGGAGCAGCTGACTTACAAATTCTCTGGATTGCTCTCCACTCTTTGACTTGCCGAAGAACTCAATCCCGTTGTCCGTGAATTTCAAACTGTTCACGCCAACCTAATTGCTGTAAGCAGCTTCTCAACGCACAACGTGGGATTGATGACTTACGCAGTCCCCCTGGGAATTGAAACGGATTGTTCCACCCAAGGCACGGCAGATGGCCTGATGACCCCAGCAGATGCCCATAAGCTTCGTGCTCGATGATTGTGAAACAGTTCTAATGAAGTCAAAGGTGTTCTCCACCCATGGCTCTACCTCTGGAAGAGTCAGGTTCACCGTTCCTCCTGTTAAGATTATAAGGTCGAAACCATCGATATCTGGGAAAACGCCATTCGTGATGGGGAAGAAGGTCTCGATCGCGGCACCAGGTACAATTGATTTGATAGTATTCGAAAAGGAGTCGATCATGAGTTGTCCCCATGTGGCCGGCGTATCGTAGTTGCGCACTATGGCGATCTTCAATGTCGGGGTTTTGGATACCATGGCTTTAGAAGCTTTGAAGAAAAAAAAAAAGCTATGTCGGAACAAGACCAGCTGAATTGACAGCGAAAACGGGCATTTCTGTTTACCAAGAAATAAATGCAAACTATATCTTCCCATGGCGTAGGAATTAACATGGCTAGGATTCAGACTCGGACTTTGCTCAAATCAGACTTACACGATGCGGGTGGAGTAGCCACGATAAGCCTGGCCCAACCCCTGCTTCGCGTGCTGCTATGTTCTATAGAGTATAGGCTATGACCATCACGAGTACTCTAGAGACTAGGTCTGGGCGATAGCGCAGTCGGGGTTTCAGTCCGATGGGTCCTTATCATTGAGAGTATGGACACCATCAACAGGGGGCTCTAGTGGGCGCAAGATTAAGCGACAGCAAACTATTCACTAGCGACCGCATACACCTCGGCGAAAAAGCAGCACCTAAGGCGATTCGCTTTGACATGGAATATATACATGCGTAGCTCTTCCTTTGGGCATAATGTTTCATGATAACGGATATGAAGACATGTTCCTGCTAGACCACCCACTGGTCCTTCGAATACTTCCAAACGCTTTGCAGCTTTCACGAATTTATGCCGATATGGGTGTCCCTGGGGAACATACCGATGCCAAAGTGGAGCTCTCTCGAGTGCCGACTACAGCTTCACAGCAACACGGGACCGTCCTCGGAGAAGAAGTCTTGGACGATGCTAACCTCTACCTGCATACTTATGAACACGTCTATGGCGACTACACCGAAGCTGAAGCGACAAAGGTGCTTCGTCGCATCGACTGGAGGCTTATGCCCATCTTTATGATTACGCTGACGTTTGCTGGTGTTGATGTGCGCGATTCTCCCCTACCCATGAGGTTTGTGACGGCGGTACAAGAATGTTTACATCTTTCTAGAAAATCATTATCTCCAATGCTGCCCTTTATGGAATGAGTACAGATACGGGCCTTCACGGGCAGCAATACAGCTGGGGTCGGTTCCATTGACATTCTCGGCCCCAGGTACACCTTGCTAACTCACATTTTACAGTGGTCTCTATATTCTATTTCGGGTATATTGCCGCGGCCTATCCTGCCAACCTGATACTGCAAAGGTTCCCAGTTGGCCGATGTTTGGCCTTGGCTTGTATAGGCTGGGGTGGCGCAGTTGCACTTGTAGCCGCTGCCCCGAACTTCGGAGTCCTCATGTTTATCAGGTTCTTGATGGGCACTACTGAAAGCTTCGTGTTTCCCGCCATGACCATCATGGTCGGCATGTGGTATACGAAGAAAGAACAGCCACTCAGGAGCGCGATAACATATACCTCCTTTTCCACAGTAAGTTCGAGTATCACCGCGCCTCTTAACATCGCTCATGCATGCTACAGCTCGTTTCTGGCACTGTGTCGTATGGAATTGGAAACTCTAATACTGGAATTGCATCGTGGAGACTGTTGATGGTCGTGCTTGGAGGCGCCACTATAACCTGGGGAGTTATCATGTTCTTCATTATCCCCAACTCGCCGAACGAAGAAGACTTCATGAAGGGTAAAGAAAAGTTCATCGCTTTGGACCGAACCAAGAATAACATGACTGGCGTGGAGAATAAAGTAGGGATAGTGGCCCTTGCTCTATTATGATAGCAGCGTTCTGACAACATGATTGCAGGAATTCAAATGGTACCAAGTCAAGGAGGCGTTTATGGACTACAAAACTTATCTTTTATTCTTCTTTTTCTTATTCATGAACGTACCCACTGGGGGTCTCTCAGCATTCGCGGCACAGATCATCTCAGGTCTAGGCATGTCGCCACTGGAGACTGTCCTCCTCACGATGCCCTGCTCGATCTTCCAAACGGTTGCAGGTCTGGTGGTGGCCTATCCCCAGAGGTGGCTCAAGAACAAGAGATGTATTTCTAGTGCGCTTTGCTGTCTTGTTCCTCTAGCCTGCTCAGTTATTATCCGCAGTACGTTATCCGGCAAGCACGCAATTTTTACGTACATGGTTAACTTTTTCTTTGGCAGGACTTCCTTCATCTGCCGTCACTGGCAAACTTCTGGCATATTACTTCTTCTACTTCTTCTGGGGGCCATACGCCACAGGTAAATTATCACTTCCCCACATGCAGGCTGAGGTTTGCAACGTCTAACAGAATTTTATTCCAGTTCTTTCGCTACCAATGTCCAATATTTCGGGACATACAAAGAAGCTCACCGTGACGGCCACAATTTTCGTCGCCTACTGCTGCGGCCTCATTATCGGGCCGCAGGTGTTCCTGACAAGTGAGGCCCCCGCCTACGCCACCGGATACAACGTCATTATGATTTGCGAGATTCTCGCCATTGTTTGTCTTTTGGCGTATGCGGGTGGATGTGAGATTGAGAATAGGCTAAGGGATAAGAGAGAAGGTACTAATCCTTCCACGACTGTCAGTGAAATGCTAGAAGACAAGACCGATTATGAGAAGCAAGGGTTTAGATATGTTTATTAGACGGAATTTGAATCTGTTATATTTCAAAGTCATGGTACAGTGGTTCCAGGTCAGTGAGAATAACTGGGGAGAATGTGCACAATTAAACTTATCAAGCCTTCGAATAACAAGCACAGCCAAAGTGACATGTTCTAAGGTGGAATTGAATGGCACACGGCCTAATAGATTGATTATAACTGGAAGAATCGGATGACATCGTCAAAACAAATGAACGTACTACGCATCTGATCCACGGTACTCGACGATAACCGTCTGAGGGAGATCCCTGATTCAATTCACAGACAATCAGCAGCTATCGCAATAGGTGCAAGCAATCGCTTGCCAGGCAAATTTCGAGAGTTTGTCGGCGCACATGGATTCGCTTGACGCGAGGTGAGGATTTGCATCTCATTACTAGCCATTGAATCTGTAGAGCACGGTCCATAATTCAAAATTCATGTATTTCCACAGCTTGAATTCCTGATGAGTATGGATACACAGCTACCGCGCCACAATCATTTCCACCATGCAATAATATCTCGACATCTTGTCGGCCAGTTGTATATGCGCTTGACACATCAATTTTGTAGGTTGCCGATCGTTGGTATTATACTATATTTTTACGACGAGGCGTCCTTCATAAGCATGGGCAGCGGCTCTCTGGGGAATATCCTCACCCTCCTCTAGGGAGAGTAAAGTAAGATGACTCAGGATACGGTACTGAGCAACGGCCTCAAGCATGTTCTTAACCTCCTTGACGCTAGAGTGGAGAGTTCCCTTGACCACAATTTCCCGAAACACTAAATTGAAAGCATCGAACTTGAAGCCAAGCTCTGGGAGCCCAAGCACAACACAAACTCCTCTCGGCTGCAGTCGGTGTAAAGTCCAGTCGCTCGCAGGAACGTCATCAGTACATACAACCGCACCGTGCAGACCAATACCGCCAGTGAAGTCGTTAATGAGCGCAGTAGCCCTGGGATCTTCATATCCTACAATCAAGTCTGGCTTCAGGTGAACCGGTACATCAGCAGCAAGTTTGAGTCCCACGTCACGATTATCAATGGCTAGAACTCGGTAGCCCAGGGCTTTGGCAAACTGCACTCCGAGGACGCCAAGACCGCCGATACCGACGACAGCAAGTGCCTGACCTTTCTGCAACCCAACCTCTTTGATGGCGTTCCACACGGTAGCCTGCTTGAGACTTAGCAGATCTTCACACTCGAATGAGGGTTGTCATATCCAGAGTTAACTTACACCGGCGCACATCAGTGGTGCTGCTTGCTCAAAAGAGAGATCATCTGGCAGGGCCACCAACGCATTGTGCGAAGCCAACATGTACTCGGCGAAGCCACCATCAGCCTTGACAATGCCGCTCATTGTCTTGTTCTCGCAATAACGAGGATCAAGAGTTCCATAGGACAAGAGTCTCCATTTGCAGCCCGGACACTCACTGCAAGGCTTCTTAAAGTTCAGGACGCCAACTCGGGTGCCAACGGCCCAGTCGTCAGGAACGTTGGGCCCCAGTGAGGCGATCACTCCAGCTGGCTCATGAGATCCGGTAAACGGTAGTTGAGTCCCATAGGCACCCTCGTACACCTGATAGTCTGTGTGACAAAATCCTGCAGCATGAACACGAACGAGCAATTCGCCTGGGCCAGGGACTGGTACTGGCACGTTGTGCTGGAGCTGATAATTCTCCTTGTACTGCATTGTTCACTGGGGTCAGAACCTATCTTATTCGGCATGACCCTCCCCGCACTGCCATTGGGAACTGGACTCACATTGATCAGCCGGAGCGCTTTCATTCGCGTTGGGATTGAGTCTGATTGCTTCATGGTTGACCTGTTGCCTCAAAACGATTTCTGGTTCATGTACACCTAGCTCACGTATGGGATGAGTGAATTGCAGTTCGTACTGTGTTAGCAAAGGAAACTTCAGTTGCTCTCATGGTGCATGACTTTGAGCTTGACAAGCATGCATCGACGCCAGTCAAGGGCTCTGTTAGAATACTTCATTAGTCATGGAGTGAGGAGTGGAACTGTCCGAAACTGCTCAAGACTCTGAACCGACCCACCCTAATGCTTAAGCTAGGCTCGTGTCGGTCTTACAGTCCGACACTTGTGATTGGTTCGCGTGAGCAAATCAAGTATAACAATCATTAGCAAATAAGGTATAGTAAAAGTCAAAACCTACAGGCCTTGCTCGTCGGAGCCTAGAGCCGACGTCAACAATATCAGCTATTCCTATAACAGCTTCCATATTGATTATCCACTCTTGATTCCTACTAGGCAGTTGGTACTCGTCCGTATATCTGCTTAAAAATCAAAAATATTCAGTGTTGTACCAATCGTCTATTAAAACACTCTTCAGGCTCGCTCAACTTACCCTCCGGACGTAATATCTACCAAGCGACACAGCTTCACTTGACCACAAAGGCTCGTGTGTTTCTCAATCAAACGCACGCTCCCCACTTTTCCACAGTCATTACTTTTTGTCCTTTGCCATATAAAAGAAAAGAAAAGAAACGACACTATGGCCCCCAACCTCAAGACTGTTGCCACCGCCGAGTACGATGCCGTCATCATGGCCGCCGGCAAATACGTCGAGGCTCTCCGCATCGGCAGCAGCAAGGCCGTTGAGGAGGCATTCCACAAGGATGCTGTCATGTACGGCTTCATCAGTCCCCCCAAGCCCGACATGCTGGCTGGTTCCATCAGCAACCTGTACACCTTTGTTGATCAAAACGGGGCTGCTTCCGACATTACCACAAGGCTCGATGTCTTGTCCATGACACAGACAACTGCTGTTGTCCGCATAGACATGGAGAAGGATGCCGCCGGCGCCGACTACACCGACTTCCTGACCCTGATCAAAATCAATGGCACGTGGACTATCATCGCCAAGGTATTTCACAAGTACGATACAGCAAACTAGCCTCAGAGGTGTCTGGTAAATACGCCGCCAAAAGATACCATGACTGCATCTAAATGTTGCGAGCATGCACTATGATAGAAGAACAAACATGTGTCGGCGCTCAGGAAGACACACTACGGGACAGAGGCCATGGGCCCAGACGTCAAAGTCAATCACTGCTGTTAGCTGCCAGCAGGTGTTAATAGTATCAGGGTCTTGGTAGAGCACCAGGATTATGGATCGTCTGGATCGTCAGGATGCAGGTGAGGATTGCTTTTACGAGAACGATCCTCGGCAGCATCAGTGAAGAATGAATGTTTTACAGATACTTTGCAGTCATGTACAGTCATTACCTTAGTGATTACTCCAAGTGTATATCTCACTCCTAGATGAAGCAATTAATACCCTTTGGCGACTACAATGGTGAACCAATGTAAGGTCATTTCGAGTTAATTTGATTCAGTTGTTGCTCAGTAGTATCCTCTCAGCCAGCATATCTTGTTAGCATGAACCTACACGCATTCCTATTTAACGCAGTCCCCAAGTCAGCGGCCGATGCCAATTCTCAAGAAATGGGATCCAACCCGATTTCGCAACCCTTTAGAAGGTAATACAAGATCGAGGAAGGGTAGAAAGGATATTTGAGCTAATCCTACTCGTCTACAAAGGAGATATGGTAAAGAGCTGTCTTTTATCCCCGAGCGGGTGATCTGCGGTGGCCACTCATACGTTAGCGCATTAAAAGGCATAACAATTATTCGTCCGATTAAGTTTCACTTTAATATATTATCAGATTAACCATTGCATAATAAAATCTAAGGTACGTACACGTCTGTCAAGTTGTCTCTTTCTTGGCTGACTTGATTCAAATAGTGGGTCAACATGGTGGATCGCTCGTCCGACATACCGAAGAAAACGTGCAAAAAAGGTGGATGAAGTGAGCATGAAATCAACATGCTTGAGAGTATATATGAATCAGTTGCTTCTGTCCTTTGGCTAATTCAATTGCCTACTATTTCGAATCACTACATAGGCTTGGTTGTACAGCTCATGGTGGCTTTATCTTTGGTACTAAACACGTCTTCCAATCTAAAAGCAAAGACCGACCAGAATAGGGGCTGCTTTGTGGGCAAGAAAATGGTCATGATTAGAAATAATGCACAGTTTAAATTGAGAATTTAGCGATACGAAAGATCGAGATTGTTGCTCTTGGCTAAAGTAGCTTAGCTAGACGAATGAATTGGTAGCGCTCAAGATCAATTATATTCCGTCAATGCATTTGAGATGTCGGCAGAACAAGTCACCTTTTCGATCGAACCATGCGGAACAATGGTCTTGGATTTTGACATTGGCACTTGTACATTGAAGCCTCTCCGTCTCCGTCCATCAGAATTGGCCAGCGCCGTGGCTACGTGGTGTCTGCCTTGGGTCAGACTATACACTCCGTCAACGCCAAAGAGACTGCACAAGATTGAATAGGCCCGTCGTTGGATAGAACTGCCAAACATTCATTACTCTCATTCTTCTCGTCGCTTCACAGGCCGATACGAAGCTTGTGAAATTGAATGCAACTAGTTGACAAGGCCTCTTCCGTCAGAACCAGAATCAAGTCCGCACGATGCACGTTCCTTTGCTCTCTGGCTCGACTCATCTCTGTGATGATCGTTCCGGCATGTTTTCCTTTGCCAAGAACAACTTGTGTATCCATCTCACTCCTTCAATAGTCATAAGATCGTGCGCGGCATAGCCAAATCCATGCAATGCCATTGGCTGCCTCATCGCTCTCACGCTTACCACATACAATGCCGGAGTTGATAAGAGCTCATATGCACTTGCTGAGGTCAGACTGAGGCGTGACTGTGCCGTTGAGACTATGCCGCCAAGTAGATAGAACCAACTGTATGCAATCCTTGCGATTAACCTGCCAATATGGGTGCCGACTTTTACGCGAATCTCACCATTTTATACATCATGATCCGAAATCCGGGACCGATTGCTTCCTGCGTTGAAAAAAAAAAAAAAAAAAAACGTGGCTCCTACCTTGTAAGGGTGGCACAGCACAAGAGACCCCAGATTCGAAAGCACCTAAACCAGCGACGCCCAGCGGCGTGCAGACATCCCTGACCTTGACCCCCCTCCCGTTCCCCGCGCCCCAAATAACGCGTCACTCCAGGGCTAATGCCGCTCACCTGGGTTTGTTGGCATAATCCTAAGAACAGGTTACATGTAAGTTGTAAATATCCCACTGGATGGGATTCAACCGAAAAGTGACTTCTGATCCCTCTCTTTATATGAATCAACATAATCAGCGAGTCAGCGCCTCCTTTGGTAAATATTGGCCGTTATGGCATCTGCTGCTAGGAGTAATCCTAGTAATGCCACTGGGATGGGCGAGCCCTTGGATTTAGGCAATAACATCTTCCTTTACCGGCCCGCATCGGCCTCAGTCTCCCCTTTGAACGATCGCGAAGAAGACATCACACCAGCCCCTACGCTCGTCATCATTTGCACATGGCTCGGCGGCGCCTCCACACCGCGTGTTCACAAATATGTCGCCGGCTACCGGGCGCGTTATCCGCAGACTTACATCCTGCTCCTCCGCACTGTCTTTGCTGACCTTGCCTTCCGCTCATTTACAGCCCTGCGCGCACGGCTGCGGCCCGCCCGGGCCGCAATTGTAGATATTTTGCAAAAGACTGCCGCAAGTAGCAGCGGCCGGGACGTCCTATTACACGTCTTTTCGCACGGAGGGTGCAATACGGCACTGCAGCTCATGGCGTCAGATCCTGACGATGACGAGGATGACTCCGACGCTACAACCGGCGCAATTGCACTTGTGCGTGCCCGCCTCGGCCTCGTCGTCTTCGACTCGTGCCCCGGCGACGCCTCGTTTGCGCACGCGTACCAAGCGGCGCTGATCTCGCTCCCCGCCAACCGGCCGCTCGTCCGCGCTCTCGGTGCACCTCTTGTTGGCGGCACCGTCGCCGTGATCCACGCTCTGCAAAGCGCAGGCGCTATGCGCTCTGTCCACGACTTGCGCCGTGACCTGCTGAACCCCGCTGCCTTCGGCCCCGCCCCCGCCCGGCTTTACCTTTACTCTCGCGGTGACGCCGTGGTGGCCGCTGCCGATGTCCTTGCCCACGCCGACGAGACACGGCGGGGACTGGGCTGCCGAGTCGGCATAGTCGGTTTCGAGAAGGCGGAGCACTGCGCGCTAATCCTCGAGGATAAGGAGAAATATTGGAAAGCGGTGCAAGAGGCGTGGGAGGCGTGGGAGGAGTCCGAGATGATCCAACACGTGGGGAAGGATGTCGGCGAAAGCGGGGAATTAAAAGCGATGCTATAACTTCTTCATATTTTGCGCCTTTAGTTTTAACAAGGCGCAGGCTCAACAGATTTATTTCGGTGGCCTTGGCTGATCCCCGGTGGTCTCCAACATTTTATTTCGCTGTCGTTATGTGCTCAAGCACATCCTGGTGTATGGGATCCGTGATCCACTATGTGACACATGTATGAGGTTGGTCTGCGTGCCGCTTCTTAATCCGATGTCACTGGGGCCTTGGCAAATGTGGATGTGTTTATAAAATCCTTCCTGCTTATGCAGTTGGTTCGATGTTGAAGACTATATGACGCGTCAGCCCGGAATAATCGCAGAGACCCTTGCTCAGTATTTGTGGTCGAATTTGCAGTTGTTCTTGAACTCTTTATCTTAGCGACTTCAATTAGACAAATAGCCGCAGTGGCGGAGCATTGAGTCAAGACTCGTTCTGCAAAGATCCTTGCCTCAACAAGGCCACAGGCTGACAGAGCAAAAGACGGGATTTCTCTCTTATAACACAAAGACTTGTCAGAGTATTCAAGCTTAGTCCCCAAGATTAGGCTACTATTATCTATTGGTTGGCCATTATTATGGCAGTAACCACAACGGTGATCGGATTAATTTAATTGGTTAGCCCCCCCAGCACAATTGTTAGCCCGACTGGTGCGCATAGTCAGATAGATAAGCTATTGAGCTCCATTATGGATTACAGCTCTCCAGCTTACAATTACAACACACCTGCTCGCGTCATGGTAGCAGATCCAACTTGCCAAGTCCCGTAGATTGGTACAATCATATCATGATTCAGAAAGAAGGAACTTTTTTATTAGTCATATGCCTTCATTCGATGCGCTCCCTACAAGCATGGATCCAGCTTTCTACGCCCCAATCACGCAGCAAACTGCATCATCGAGCGGCACAGAAGATGGATTCAGGCTTGAAATAGCACATGGCTATTCATTCCTAATTATTTCATGTACTTGATCACATATCACCCCTGTCACCAACTCTCACCCCTGCTTTCTCCCTTAAGGGTGTTGGCAACGGCGATTGTGTTAGAACTTGCGATTAGGAAAGCTGCAATAGTCCCCACAAGCGTGGCATGAAGAGAGCACTCAAAGTGTATTATAGACAGAGTGAGCTTGGAGTTGGGCTTTGATTATGGAGTCTCCATAAAAGTCTAGTGGGCTGGGGACTTGGGATTCTGTGACAGAAAAGAATAAATGACTTTGAATGTGCAGAAGGTAAGCAACTGTATCACTTGGCATATTCGATCCTCATCTCTTTCTGTGTTCTATGTGTGTGTTTGTCAATCCTTTTGGTGGAAGTACTCCTACGTCAGCCACTACTCTCCTTATATTCGTGTTTGACACCTCGTTGCTATTAGCTGCAATGCATGCCTATGGCGTAGGTGTCCCTATTTCATTGTTTCACAAGCCTTACAGGTTGTTGATCTATCCATGAAGAAACAGGGCATGAAAAGCTGCTCACGGCACTGGGATTTTCACGCCAAAGCTGGCTCATTCGTATCCAGTAATATGGCCAATATGGATGATAGCCGGGATGAAGCCTGCCACAAGCCGGCCTGCATTCGCTGCCATGCGCACAAGGTGCGATGCACACGGCCGGCAAACAAGAAGCGCTGCAAGCGCTGCTACCGCGCAAATGTTGAATGCATCCCGCGGCCCTCTAAACGGGCCAGAGACGCCCGAGACAGTCCGTTTGACACCGAGATTAGCACTCCCGGACTTGACGAGGACCCTAGTCCCGCGGCCGTGGCCAAGCTCCCGGAGGATGCAAGTAGTAGTAGTTACACGCCAGATAACACGGCGCTGCATCTAGACTTTGACTTTTCCGTGGACATTATCGGTCACGCGAGCGAGTGTGGCTAGGAATCGGTTGATGCACTGTCAAATGGCTTCTTGTCGGGCGCTTTTCAACCGCCGCAGCTCAAGACGGCCTCCTCCTGGTCGCTATGTCCCAGGAACCGGGATAGGGCTAGGTGGCCAACGGGAGGAATTCAGTAGCAAAACAGATTTCTATGATACATTCTCGGGCGGTCCAACCCCGCATTCCTCTTTCTTGTCGGGACAACCACCCTTGCCAAGGTCCGGAGAGGGCAGCGAGGACACTCGAGACTGAACCACATGTGCAGCTTTACTCAACGCCGCACTTGACCAACACCACAACTGCATCGATGCGTTGGCGGACACGCTTGCCAAGGCTTTGTCATCCTCACATGATCTCTATCGGCCACTAAGCACAACAACAACAACAACAACATTGCAAAGCTCTCAGTCGTGTTAATTACCAATTCGCAGACTGTGCAGACTACCCATTGCACCCACCTCAAGGTATTGAGCAGAATGACTTGACCGGTAAAATCAATACTGCATAAGTAACTCAGAGCATATAGCTCACGCCGTTTCTCAAAGGCAATACTCGCGATAAGTAAAGTTATCAAACACGCTAACGACGAGCAACTCAAGCGCAGTATCTACGAGCGCCTGCAGGGATCCCAGGCTCGAGGTGTTGAGAATGTCGGGCGTGGTCTGGAAGGTGTAGCCCTGGCCGGCGAGTAAGCCCGTGGGCGTGCACGTCTTGAGCGTGAGTCCACTACCGATGCCGATCGCCGGTGTTGCGGCGTAGGAGCAGTTGTAGCTCTGACCCAGGGCGAGACGCTGCGGCTCGACGGGTCGGACGGTGACCGTGCAGGGAATGGGGATCACGGCGGCTGGCGTCCCAGCTCGGATCGTGCAGCCTTAGTATAAAAGAGTTAGCGTTTCTCCTGGTCCATGTTATGGTTAAGGGGGGTGACAGATAGCTCCCGCTGGGGGAGTGAGCCCTTCATACGAAAGAAACATGCGATATGTTAAGGTGACCATGAACAGATGAGAATCATTGCGAGCAGACTCACCGAACTGGAAGCTTTGAAGGCGGTACTGAGTTGTAGATCTTGAGCCAACGATGCGCGGCGCTTCCAGGAGAGCGGGCAGACCAATGCCGAGGCCCAACGAGCCCAAGATGCTGTTGAGAGAATTCCTGTGGCGGGGAATCTTTGGATCAGTATATTTCTCGGATACCTTGAGGGCCACGTCCGCAACAAGAAGCATGGAATACAAGAAACAGAGGGACAGAAAGAGACAACCTACTCAACAGAACTCAGAGTCCCAGCTGCGATGCGGGAGAGAGTGTAGAAGATCGTGTTGCCACCGCTCGTCGGCCCCGAAATTACACTGAATCTGGTGTAGTTGAGATCCATGTATGGGTTGAGCTGGGCAGAGGTCAAGCCGGTGTTGCCGTCATCGACGGGGAGGACAGTCAAGTCATTATACTAGTATCAATAATTCATTAGGCTCTCGAACGAAATAAAGCAGCGATGTCAGAAAGGTGCAGGAAGAAGTTTCTTGGGATTTTCATACGGTTGCCACTTTGTTGCCAGGCGTACAGGTCAAGGCCTGTCTCGGTTCAATGGCGGAGCTGGTGACGGCCTGAATCGCACATAGTGCAATGCCTGCAGTAGAGAATCTCATCTTGGTTCTAGTAGACTTGTTATTTCTGGAGGTCCTGAAAGCCCGTGTTTGTGAAAAGATGCAAGGAAGTGGGTGAATGCGTTGAAGGCTTTCTTCTCGATGTATTAGCAGAAAACGAGTGCTCTAAATAGCCCGGATTAATTCTGCCAAGCTTATAAAAATACAGAAACTCGATAAATTATGTCATGCTCGCATACAGATTGTTCCTGAGCAACAAATAAACTACCGAAAGCCATGATCGTCATCGGCGTCCTTATTTCCCCTCAATCTGCCGTGTTTTGCAATTGCCACGCGCTCGCATCCCTTGTGGCCGACAGTTACCGTCTTTCTCGTCTCACAGGTGCTGGTTCGACAAGTCATGATAACCCTCGATGCCATGTCTCAAACCTTTGTTCGGCTTGCCGTGTCTCGATTTAAAGCGGTTGCATCCGGCCGGCTTCTCTCGCGGGGCGGGTTACCATTAGGTCCGATTGGCAATGGAGACGTATTTGCGGCGTCTGTCTCAAGGCGGGATCCAACCGTACCATTATTCAAAAGTCTTGCCTCTTCACATGTTTTCTTTTTCCTGAAGCAATCACAACTCGTATTGGTCAATGATCCAAACACTTGTCATACTGATTAGTGGTTGGTTCTTAGATTCTAGACATGGCAATGCATTTACACTTAACGGAACATAGATCACAGCCAGCAGTCGAGTCGATCGATGATAAATGAAACAAGAGGCATCACTCAATGGATTCAATAGAAGCCGCCTTCGCTGCCAGTCATGTTCCCGTCGTAAGCCTCGCTTGGAAGGATCTACCCGAGTGGAAACTATAGCTAACTGATGAGTCCGCGCCCAAAGGATCAGCCACTCGAGCTCAGAAACACCAATTATCATGGCGGGTCTCCAAAGAGATGGTGGGTTAGAACCATACCTGGTTCGCCTACATCTCAGCTCGGCGCATCTTCATTCCACTGCAACGCTCTTTGAGTCTCGCCATGCAGCTACAGCATTCCTCCCGAGGCGTACAACCTGACGAGGCTCCGGAATACCTTAAGCGCTAAGCTCCAAAGGATCAGATTTGGATCATTGGGGGCTCTAGCAATCCGCTGCTTCTTTCCCCAGCAAGCCAACATCAGGTGCGTGGCGAAGTGTTCTTGGATGGTTTTATGTTTATCCAATGACAGGAAACCCAAGAAATTCCTGTGAAGAAAATAATTCCTGTCCAATCAAAATAGTGGGCTTGATCCTTTTACATGTCCTCGTATGGCGACACCACCACCACAACCACCAATATCAACAACATCAGCACCAGCGGTCCGAAATCGAATGGTGTCTCCAGCTTTGTCGCATCAACAGAGACACGCATCAAGTTAACTCCATCATTGTCTTTGAATACCACGACAATAACATCTCCGGAGATCTTAACAGTGGTGCTCTCTGCATGCCAAGTCGGCAAAGCTTTCGGCATCAGCGAGGGCTTTTTGGCGAACAGTTGGTTCATTGGGTAATCATGGTTGATTCCTTTCAGCTTTGAACGAATTGCGGCCTCATCTTCAAGCGTCATGTCGAGCAAGACACTGTGCTTGCTCCAGTTCTGCAGAAAACTCTTCAATGTAGCGCCGTTCTCGTCAATGTCGTGGCGCAAAGCTGCTTGAGCTAGCATTGGGGCCAGCAACGAAGGAATTGCTCCAGCGATCCGATCGGGCTGATCAGCGAAGCGAACGGCACCACTCGTGACGAAATGCAATCCGCCGTCGACAGACTTGACCTTGCGCATGTCTATATTCCAAGAGGTCAGTTATGATAGCTTGGCCGCTGAGGCGCATTGTGGTCTTACTTTCTGGGACGATGTCCCTGAGGTATTTCAGCTTGCTACAAGCCGGCTTGTCCCGGCAAACCCAGCGCTGGACATTGGTAGCCATTGTGTTGACGATCGTGTATCTTCTTGATCGCCAGTTGTTCTCTTCTGGTGTGCAGATGGAAAAATTGGATTGATTTGATGGTTTGTAAAGGTGGCTTTGTGAAGTCAAGCTGTCGCGTTGACAGTCTGAAAAAATAAATGTGTACGTTGCGTGGGGGAGATGAGAAAATAAATATGTACGCTGCGTGGGGGAGATTGATGCGCCATAGGTCCTTTGTCGAGCACCAGAAGTGCCAGCACCATCCCATAGTCACTAGACATTTTGTTGCTCTGAGCAACGAAATGGCTTCCCGCCCCAATCAAGGAGAACGGTACTGTTCCCCAGCACTGCGCAGAAGTCCAACTCGTCGCTGAGACCCCAAAGAGAGCCTCTTAAGGGTGACTAGACCTGGTATGAGGGAGAATACAGAATAAGAAGATACGTGCGTCGACCGGGGCAGCTGCGGTGCTCTTGTCGTTGGCACCGTCATTGGGACTGGACGGTGTGATTAAGGCTCTGATGCGATGCAGTTCTGTCAAGGGCACTGATAGACCTAGAATTCGGATGTCAGTCACGGGACAAACGTAGGAAAAGCTCTCGAAGGATGATCTTACCAACAGGCTCGTCTGAGAGACCGTCGGTTCAGTATTAGTCTCGTAGCATATGCCAGACTACCACAAACGCTAAGAGCAGCACGCACGATACACTCAAACAACTGGATGCCTCCAGTCTGCTCATATCGACTGTTTCTCACATCTGATTATCGCCGTCGCAGCCCTTGTATATCACTGCGACACCCTCACCCGTCACCTCAAATCTAAAGACCACATGAAGCTTGTCCCGGTCGGTACGAGGAGCCCTCGTAAGCCTTCTGCGTACCCGATTGAGAACAATGCTCGGCCTCCTGGCTACATGGTCGCCAGTCTAGCTCGACTGACGTATGGAATCGACTACTTTGCGGCTCAGATGCTCTTTGCGCTGGGGCCAAGCGAAACCCACTGGCTCAAAGCCATGGCAACGCCTTTCCGAAATGGTGCCCAGTTCTACAGCATGGTCCAAGATGTTTCACCAGACCGTAGTGATATCCTCCTTGAAGAAGATCCGGGCAAAGAGATGAGAGAGGGACGGCCAGATCTGCTGGATAGAGACAACGTAGCCGTCTCATGGTCGCCTAGGCGAAAAGGGGACATGATTTGCCAAGATTGCTCGTGGTTCTGTTTTCTTATGGAGCGCGCGTCGTACATAGGTATCACTCAAACCTCTGGCGAACCTCTGGCAATGGCGCGGAGTGCTACGCGATGTGGTATAAAAATGCTTATACCTAACCAAATCCGTACTTGCGAACATAGGAAACGTAGTCTGATACAAATCTCTGTTGGTAAATGGCAAGTATATTCGTGATATAATCCATTTCGTCTGTATTAATTAGGATAGATAGTAAGTTAGAGGGATTGGTACCTGTATTGAGAAAACAGCTGAGGCCTGAAGAAATAGGATCAACTACACACCAATCTGTGTACTCTGACAGTCAAAAGAGGAACCTGCTATACAAACGCGAAGACGGTCCACCGGCCTCCAACCATCGCCAACTCAGATCCTTTGCCGACGGCCGTGCCATCCGGCAACCTCAAATGAACTGACAATATGCATGATGATGACCCGGCTACTAGTGTGTAGTGCCACTTTTAATCCGCTTGAACTTGTAGGTATATTGGCTCACTGTCTCTTGACCTTGTCACCTTCCTTCTTGAGTATATGGGAGACTGTGATCGGGTACCGTAGGAGTAAAACCGTAATGAATTTGCGTGTATTGACCATGGCGTATCGGGAGGTGGTGAGAGTCTGTGCAATTGAGATAAAGTGTTTTCTGGGAATGAAGTCGTCTTCAAGACAACTTGTTCTGATTAGTCACGCTGAACCCGTCGAGTGTGAAATCTAGTCTCTACTCGCAAGAACAGGAGTGACACTCTGACCAATACCATGTTGTGGCTGGGATCTTCTACTAACCTCGCCGCTTAATAGGTAATGTTCACCATTCTGTCATACTATGCTGACATCCTGGAGATGACGAGAGCTGTCGATCGGGCGAAAACCTGACAAGGTCAAGAAATTGCCAATGGATATGGAGTGCAAGAAATATGCGTCCAAAAAATGTATAGGCAGAGGGATAAGAGAGTAAAGTCGCCTGAGCCATGGTTTGAAGGGGGAGAGGATGAAGAGCAAAGAGCTGGGGAATGAAGTCTGAACCAATCATAAGAAACTTGAATATCTCACAACATGTTGTCTTTATACGCTCCAATATTTACATTACTCATTCTCATATCTTTGCAAAAGGGTGGTGACAATGGCTCTCTCGAGGCTGGCATTAAGTGAAAGCTAATTTATTCAGCCCTGAACCAAAATCGAAAATGCCTACCGGCCCTGACGATCCTCTTTGATTTAACACATTACTAGCCTTAACATCTTCGTTTCCTCTGCACTGTTGTCTAATGGTCCAATATCGCCTTTGGACCATGGTTGATTGACTAAAGTTCCAAAGCTTCAGAGCTTGATTTCCATATACATTACTCTCAAAATGGGAAATACATGGAAACAAAATTTCCCGAATGTGGCGACTAGATGTTCAGCACGTGGCGGCGCGGACTTCAAAGGATTCACTGCCTACCGCCAGTGGCAGTGTAACAAGATTCCAGCGACGGCCACGCCTCGGCCATCGACGAGCTGCCATATGACAACTCTATTCTGCCGTAGTATAACTCTATTTGGGTTGTATATGAACACCATTTTACTGGTCAAATTTCCCATGTTTCCGTCGTAAGCCTTGCTTGGATGGATACACCCGAGTGGAAACTATGGTTAACCGATGAGTCTGCGCCCAAAGGATCAGACACTCGAGCTCAGAAACGCCAATTATCATGGCAGGTCCGACCAACCAGTATACTTCAATTCGTTCAAGGTGCACGCTGATTTGGGTGGCCCCGGCTCATCCCCAGGGGTCCCCATACATCTATCTGAACACCGTGGTGTCTTTTTTCCCCTCTCTCTCTATAAACTTTGAATATGTATTCGCAATGGCACACGTTTGATCTCGTCATTTTAAGTTTTATTTACTTTCTACTCTCCCCTCTTCTCTCGATAGCCGCCTAGAATAAAGAAGCATCTCTCATCAACTCTTTTCTAATAGAAACCTCGACGACCGTACAAGCATCGCCACACCACAACCCAGAACATAAATACAAAATAACAAGCCAGATACCATCAGAGTAAGTATGAAAGCGCCAAGAGTCGTAACATTAATTACGTTTCGTAAAAAGTTGCCCGCTCTATGTCCTGCAAAGTCCAGTCCAAATATAATTATTGCAGTGGGCATTAGTATGTATAGAAAGTGCAAACAGCACCCAAGCAAAAGCAACAGAAGCTTCTTCCCGTGAGATGAACGTTGGGTGTATCCATCCAAAAGCAAGCCTGCCACGATGATTGCCATACAGGCACTAGGGAAGCCCAAAACTAAGTACACCAGCCAGCCAGATTCGATCCAGAATACAGACAATGGCATCCACTGCGGAAGAAATAGACTGTCAAAGCTGGTGAACAGGAAGGCGGCAATAATGAATATAATCATCGCGAGGAATGTCGAAGCAATCAGAGGCTGCAGCCATGTTGAATTGGGAAAGTGATATCTCTCGGAACGACCTGTCATCATGTTGTTTTGGCGGTTTGTGTTTGTCGTACCCATTTGCATTTCTCGGTATTCATGCGTAGGTAGTCCTCCCGTGAGGATAGGGTGTCTGTCCAAGGGCCACTCCTCAATTCTCTCCGGATCCCCCGTATTGGAACTCTGTGGTGCTGCATCGGTCGTTCTTTGATTAGGGTCTGACGTTTGCAGATCATCAGTAATGACCCTCTTGTCCACGGCATATTCAACAAATTTCCAGATCATAGAAGAGATAGGTGCGGCAAGAAGAAGTACAGCCACTAGCTGGCCAAATGTCCAGACATTGACGTCTCCACTTGAATCCTCCGCGCCTATCAAGTGGACAGCGTCAGCTTGTGTGCTATTTCCGCCTGCCGTGGTGTCTCCAGCAATGTAAGATATCCCAGCAATTCTGTCACTTTGGTCGGTTGTCAGGACACTGTGAAACTTCAAGGTAGCCCATATAAGCATAGCAAGAAGGAAAATAATCTTGTAGTCTAACATCAGCTATTTTGTTCATATCATATTGACGGCTGACTCACTTCCAATAGCATTGAAGTAACAAAACCAACCAGAAAACGAAGTGTAAGAAAAAGACCGAGTAATGGTACGACTACGAGTTCCAACCAAACCTTGCACCATAAAGATACATGGTTTCGTGGTAAAGTAGCGGATCCATTGCTGTCAAAAATTCGAAGTATGTATAATTCGAGATTGGTCAGCGCTTTTCTAAGAAATCTACTCGGACGTTGTCGGAAATTTCTGTTCACCACGGATGAAAGCTGTTGAGATAGCTTCACACAACGGGTGATGAAGCCAAAATGAAGCAAGACAACTGTCACGATCATTGTCTGCATGGCGTTCGTGTCCATGAGGGAAGGCGAAATCACGACATTATCCCAACCAGGATAAAGGCTTCGAAAGTGGTCGTACGACGAGTACCATAGGTTCTGACCAGTCTTGATGTCGAAGTAACAGAATGCTGGAGATTGTGGCCACGAGGCACCATTAATAATTATATAACTTGTCCAGTCGAAGAAACCAGTGGGCACCAATGCGGCAGTGAGTAAAGCAAGGACGAGAAACATGAGTGAAACTCGCACCACTTTCATCCTTGGCCGGCGGAAGAAGTAACCTCGGAGAACACTAAGGCCAGCGAGATGGGTGATTGCACAAAACCAAGCCAGTAAGACGACCAGATACCAGAGGTAAGCAGTCAACGGTGCGGAGGAAGATGGGCTCGCCATTATGTAGGCGCTAACGAGAAGAGCGAAAGCCGTTAGTATTTGGATATCGCACATATTCAAAATGCACTAAACAATGGTTAGTACAAATCGTTGCAAGCAAAGTATACAACAATTCGAAAGCAGCTTGCCTCTTCAAAAATGCGTTCCACGCGAACCGATTTCTTGTCGATTCTACACAACCTACAGATCAGGGCGAGAGATTGGACGTCAACTTGGTTTGCATAACAATGTAATTGTGTTAACCCATGGCTCCTGCCATCGCCCAATCTACCTTGACTTTGTACAGGGTCATACGCAAGTATGTAATTGCAAAGTAGGAGGAAAAAGGCGAGATATGCAGTGCCAATAAAGTTGGATATGACCTGGAGGAAGCCAAAACTCAGCACCTGCCTTCCAAGCCTTTAATCAAAGATACTTACGCCAGGCCCGGTGATATCTGGGTTGCGTTTCGGCTTGATTAATGCGTACCAATCAAGAGCATCACGTGAGCAGTTGTTGTTATAGTCGAAGCTATCCATTTCGTAGTAGGTTTCGGCCCAACATTGATCGACGATGTTGTGGCCGCCAACAAAAGAAGGAATGATCGGGGTATAAAAGCGTATTGCAATCACGCAGCACACATCAAAACAACCTTTATGACTGAGGCTCGGGGGTGGTTTCTCATGGCCGTACAATTAAGATTATCAAATTCATGGTAGCAGTCCACGTTTCATAGCATGCGCAAACAAAAACGTCTAAGCGCGAACACGCCAGCCTAACAAAACGAGGTAAGCGGTCATCATATGCCTGTGGTGGGCACTCATGTGTAAGGGTGCGTGTGCATGTATTAATTTCGGGTATGTTTCGCTACGCGCTTGTATGTACAAATTCTATGCATTGCAAAGGGCTGTGGAAGCCGTCCAATGAGCACTGCAACAATGGCTCTTGTTCCCAGACGTTTGTGGGGGATTCATACAACTCAAATGTGTAATATGTTGTCGCAAGGGCAGGGGTTGTCCACCTATCTGACCGGCATGCAATGAACTTTTTGACAAGTCCAAGGTACCGACCATTAATGGCCATATTACTCCGCATGGGGCTATTAGGGCTACTCGTCATACGGAGAACTGGTAGATAATATGCAACCCTTCTCTTTTGTTTATTGACTATGGAAGGACCGCTAGTCTCGGATGTTCTTTTCTGCTCTTTTCTGTATATCGCTTGTACCTCCTTAGGTCATAGCATTGTGTATAATCGTCTTTTTCTGCATCGCATGGTCATGATGATGCCCATGACCCATGCTTGAGCAGCACCCTTTTTCCACTTTCCACCCTACATATGTAGTCGATACAATTAAATTGAACCAATCAGAAGCCGTAGAATTTCCCATCCACTCTTTTCCAGTGACCCCTACAGATCCCAGTACTTCTACTTGGCGAGAATCTGCCGCCCAGCTTCTATGTGTGTAACACTCACCTCTCTTGCAGAACAGGAATGACTTGCGGCAACGTCGTTCCGATCGATCAGCACAGAATATCTTGAGACACATGAATGCATGAAGATGATTATCTAAGTAGATGCGAACCGCGAGAATCCTACCGGGGTATAGATGATGGTATACAGGCATAACATTTAGAGTCGCCGTCGCTGAATGCAGTCTTTGTATTTCCTTCGTTTTTGGAATGAAGATGAATTCTAATTTTGTTGATATATAATTTTCGTTAAGACCGAGGCGCGGCCTGGTTAGGGTTGACATAGATAGGGGACAACGCGAATTGGGTGATACGACTGGAAGGGTTACGGAGTCTGTTTATTCACACTTTATTTTCGTAGATGTAGACCATCTTCAATTTTACTCCTCATTTTGGATACTGGTCTTACCACAGCCATCACCTTGAAATTTCACAACACCAGAACGAACAGACAATGCTGCGTCTATTCCAATTTAAACCGCCCCGCTCAGATACAGAACAAGTTAGGCCGTGTGACTTACGAGTAATTTCTTTTGTTACTATACATAACATGAACTTCTCGTATACTTGCCTCGTGGATCTACGTGCCGATTGTGATCAAAGGAGCGTCTGAAGCAGTGCTACACCAGTGCAACGTATTCCCAACCTGACAACACAACCTGTTCCATCGAGATCGGGTTTGGATCAGAAACAACAAGAGGAGAAGAGCAAAATTATCAATAGAGGGGCTGAGAATAGAAATGGAATTAGAAGCAAACTTCGGGAAACCAAACGAAAATCTTGGGGAGGGCGGACTAAGCCAGAGAGAGAGAGCTAGAGTTACCAAAATTATAGGTCGGAGCGGCATGACACTACACCGCTGAGACCATGTGGCTCGTGGGTTGTTGAAGACGGACATAGTATTATTCAAGGCAGAAGTGGTCCGGGTTCATAGATTACCTACGTATTGCCAGAATTTCAAGCTCGGAATGCTCATGACAATGGCACAAAAGGGTAGAACTGGCCTGTCAATATGGTCTGACGAAACAAGCTTGCATTATGAACGTTACTTGGGTCTATCTTGCACAAGTGATCTGCTCCTCGAAGAGGTACAAACCAAGACCATGTCCACGTCCACGCAATGCGATATCATTCTTCCCCCTAGACCTTTTCTCACCAAAACCACCAAGCCCTTTTGTAGGCGAGGGGTTCTGGCTATGAAACCAAATTACATGTACGTCGCTCCTCCATGCAGATAGTACCACTACTAGCTGTGAAGACCGAAATATGTGTGCAATGACCGTAACACCAGGGTATTCCTCAAATATGATACGGAGAGCCGTACGGAAATTCGTCCCGTCGTAGTCGTCATGATACCAGCGTCAAGTCTTGATAGAATCGAACACCCCAGGGTTTGCTGTAGTAACAACCAAAGGTATCATAGGCAGTCTCTCCAACAAGAGTTCGTTAAATGAACTTGCCAAGTTGATGATATGTACGTGGGTGCGCGCACCAATGAACATGTGGGGAGACTGCATAATTGTACATCAATCTATACACAATCACCACAATTGGAGATGTGGTTTTAGTAGTCGGGTAGCTTGGGACGGCTTGCCACGGCAATGATACTCCTAGCATTGCTGACGGTAGTCGAAATGTGGTGCAAGATAGGGTCACCACCGGGAAGCTGAATGCTAACGCGACCGTAAAGCGTCTCCATCTGACTGATGAAGGCTCCCAAAATGTTCGGGACGACCTCGTGGACTTGGCTATCCTGTAAGGCGAAGAGTGGTCAGTAGGCATTTTCACAGCTTCGGATGCGACAATAAAACTTACAATATTTGGCAGACTGTCGCTGAGACCTCCAACAATAGATGACATCCACATGATCTTCTCGCGCAGATGGCGGCTGTTGAGATCGCGGGAAAGCTCGGCAATAACGGCAAGACCCACGAGAGGAGAAACGTTGCGCACCATGCGAGGATCGAGCTTTGAGAAGAGATGGTTGAAGATCTCATCCTTGCGGTCCGATTGCAGCCATCTCACCAGGGCACCCTCGAGCTCTCCGCTGTCAACCTGGTTCGCAAGATCGGCAAGCTTCCGATCCAAGGACGGCTCCTTGGACGGGTCCGTGTCGTGTACAACCATTTGGTTTCCAGAGTGAGCCAGAGGGCTGCCATAGGTAGGCTGTCGTGACGAAGCTTGGCTTCCACCAAAGCTGGACTGTGGTTGAATGTGAGGCTGTTGAGGATATGCGCCTTGTCTGTGGCTGTGGCTGTGACTACGGGAGTGAGCCTGAGATTGGCGACGCTCGCGGAGAGCCTCTTCTTGAGACTTTTCGTAGCGAGACTGGAATTCAACCTGGTTTCTAGACATGGTGTTTACCATCTCAGACAGCCGAGTAACCATTGTGGTCAATTGATCAATCTTGTTGCTATCAGCACGAATCTTCTGCTCCAATTCTTCAATTTGGGTAGCCGCATGCTTTTGAATGTCGAGAATCATTTTATCTGCGGCAGCAACAGCCATGTTACTGAAAGCAGGAATGATAGACTCATGCAACGTTTGCTGGAAGGACTTGTTGATATCCTTCTCCAAGCCATCAGACACCTGCTTCGAAATCGCTCGGGTCAATTCAGGCTTCTGAAGCGCCAGGCCAACGGAGTTCGGCAGCAGTTTCTGCATCTGATTCTGAATAGCGTGAGAGACACGTCCGCCAATCTTGGCATCAAGCTGATCGGAAACCGTGCGACTGATCTGTTCCGCCACAGTCTGTCGCAAAGTTTCTTCCAAAGCAGGCACCACTCTTTGGTTGACCTGATCTGAAATCGTGGCAGTCAAGACACGCTGAACGTTGTTGTCCAGCGCAGAAGAAACAACGTCAAGCAGATTTTGCTGGCTCTTCTTGAATGCAACATCGCGGCCGCGAAGCTCGCTGTCAACCTTTTGGCGGTTCTCTCTCATGGCCTGCTCAATCGCGTTGGCAACAGTTGTCTCGACTTGTTTGACCGCGGCTTGAAGGGATTCGGCAGACATGGAAGGGTGCGCGGCTGCGGGTGCAGGCTTTGTCTCTGCATTCTTCTGGGAGGGCTGCGAAGCACCGGCCTCTGCAAGCGCTCTCTCAGCAGCTGCGGCAGCTGCCTTGTCCTTCTTCTTACGGGATCGGCGTTCTGCTTTCTCTGTATTCATGGGCGTAGCAGGAAGTTCGGCTGTCTTTCGCTCATTCTGAGCCCCCGAGCCTTCATCGGCGGTCTTACGCGCCACATCCTCGCCAGAAGTAGGTTGCATGTTCTCCTTGTCCTTGGCGGAGCGACCTGCAGAGCGAATGGGCAGGGTGGAAACATCTTCAGCGGGCTGAACCTCAGCAGGCTGGATGCTGGGAAGCTCCTTCAGCTTGCTAATCTTCACAACACCTGTATCCAAAGCATCGACGGGTGCAACAACCTTGTTATCCTTGGTCCAACCCAGTTCATGTTGCTTAACACAGATACCGGATACACCCTTGGAGTGCATCGCATACAACTCAAACAACGTCTGTTCATCGGCGTCTTCAGAGTTTGCGGCAGAGTGCCCCAGCATGTCCAAGCTGCGAATCACACCCTTGTTACCGAAAGAATATTCGCGTACACCACTAATAACCGCAGTACTATCGGGTTCGGGAATAGACGAATCCTTGGCAACAAGTTTTTGAATGAAGTCGACTTGTGACAGACCCTTAATCTGGTACTTGGGAGCCGATAAGTGGAGGAAGTAGATGGAGTTTCGTGTGGGATGTCCGACCACGATCATACCGGTAGGCGGATGATACATCACACTGCAAACCGCGTCGCTCTCCTTCGAATGAGGCAGGTTGAACTCCTGCACCGGCTTGCCGAGGGCAAGGTCCCAGAGCTGCAAGGTGTGGTTCTGCTTCATACCCACAATCATGTACCTCAAGGCACAACGTTTCTGGTACGGCCGTTGCTTATCCAGCAGTAGAACAGACGTTGGCCAGGCCTTCTCATTCTCTGGAGTAGTAGTGAGAGTCATTAGGGGCTCCTTTACTTCGAGGAAAGTCTGCGCAGGCGTTGGGAATCTGGGATCCGAATTCTCATCGGCAGCCGTCAAGTCTCGAACATCCCAAAACTTGACGCGGCCCGACTTGTCGAGGGACACAATAGTTGTATCGTCTTGACTGAAGGTGAAGTCCTTACCGGCCTTACCAGTGTTGATCCTCAACGAGCACTGTTTCGAGAGCTTTTCGGTATCAACGTAACGATCGTGGCCGGGCTTGAAGAGATTGTGTTGCATGATGTAGGACGGCCAGATGATGCTAATCGTCTTGCCACGGCCAACAGCAAAGTACTCTGGATGAGCCGAGGAGGTCCTGGCGCGTGTCTTCAGAACACCACCGGGGGCATCACCTTCCTGAGCACTGACAGGCGGGAGAGCAAATCCATATTGCTCGGGATGCGCATCATCCAAGTAATCCTTGTCTCCATTCTTGATCATGGTATAATATACCGTACCACTGATGCCGGTACCAATGATGGACTCCTTGTGGGCAGAGTTGAGGTCGGCGGGAGTGGAAGACACGGAGACGTTGAAGATGCGGTCCTTTGTGTCGGTAAAGAGCTTGGCATCCCGGCCGTCATCCTGACGAATGACACGGAGACCGCCAGCCTTGGACATTCCATAAATGATGTACGTCTGTGTTGCAGAAACGAGATTACGATCGATTTGATCAAACTCTTTCTTCACACGGGCGATATCCAGAATGACCTCATCCCGGAACTGCGGCCGAGGCTCGTCATTGTCTTGCAGACTGATGGAGATCCAAGGCTTCATTGGGAAGTTGTAGACCTTAACTGGAGACGAAATCTCCTCAATGACGACAATCTCATCAGCTTCGGCGCTCTCCCAGCTATCGGCGATGGGCTGATCGTTGGCGGCCTCATCGATGATATCGTGAACAGCTCGTGCAAGCTCCGGCGGGAGAGTATCCTCGAGAACACCAGCATTCTTGGGCTTTTCCAGCTCCTGTTGAAGATCGCGGGCGATGATGCCTTTGGCGCGCTCGAATGTTTCATCGTCGTCGCTCTTGGCTGCCATCATATCTCCCAGCTCGCGCTCCATCCTAGCCTGTGTCTCCTCGTGCTCGGCGCGAGCCAAAGCCTCTTGTGCCTCTTCGTCGGCAACTCCGGCAAGGTTCTCAATAGCGGCCGAGACCGTTTCCTTCTGGGTATCAAGCGAATCGTTGTGATGGGCACGCGACGACTTGCTAGTATGTTCCGAAGCCATTGCGGAGCTCTCGTGAGCATGGTGCTTTGATTCGGAACCGCCAGGTGAAGAAGTAGCACTGGGGGCCTTCTTGAGAATCTGGAAACTGGGTGGAAGAGCACCGGAGCCAATATGACTTGATGTAACAGATTTGGGGGTTCTGTTATGGGGAGAGGGTACATCGATGAGGTCATCGAATGGGTCCTTGTAATCGAACATGGTCTTTCGGGCCATGCCGTTCTGCGAAGCAGGCGAAGCGTAGTCGGTCTTGCTCGGAGGCGACGAGGCGGGATTCTGATGGCCTAGGAAGGGGAAACTCATAGGCGTAGCATTGTCGGACTGAGGCAGCGGCACAACCTGAGCGGCTACCTCATCCGGAGATTCGCTTCCCTGCAGATCTCTTGTCAAGTCGCGGGATGAGCCGTGAGTAGTGGAGGGTGGCGTCAGCGCAGCAGGCTGAGAAGACTCGGTGGTCGAGGGCTGGTCCGTTTGGGAAGGCTTCTTGCGCTGCAGCAGGTTGAGGAGATAGGCCTGCGTGTCGTCCGTAGGGCCGGGGGCAGAATTCCACTTGTTTGCCGCGTGCGTTGGCTGTCCTTCCTGTCTCGACGATTCATGGTGAGCGTCACCCTTCATGAGCGACGCCAGAAATCCTTGAGGGTCGGCCGGCATCGGAACGGGGGCATGCAAGGTCGGAATATGGGCCTGAGGCAGGTGACCAGCGGCGTCGTAATCGATGGAGGGGGGACCGGGAGCCGCAGTCTGCGAGGTTCGCAACGAGTGAATTGAGGACTGTGAGCTACCTCCGCCAGTAGCGCCGCCGTTCTCGCCACCGTTCTTGTACTTGAGAAGACTCAGCAGGTTGACTGTCTGCTCAGGCTGATTACCAGAAGGAGGGAGAGTGCCAATTGGACCAAGATTCAGGCCGGGAGGGCCGTGAGAATGCGAAAAATGGTTCATTGGAGGAGTGGGTGCAGCTGGGAGTGCAAAATCTTCCGATCCTGCCATGAGAGGTGATTCTTGGCCCGAGTGGTGACCAGGAGCGCCAGAACCATAGTAGTCGCCATGGGACTGAGCAGCCTGGTTCAGGGTTGCGAAACGGGAGAGAGGATTGTTGTGGGAAGTGGCATCGTCGCCCGAGCTGCCGGTGCTGCGTCCTTGTTGCAGGCGCGCAAGCATATCACGCAGATGGTCATTTTGACCGGCGGACCCGTTGTAGCTCGCCATGGTGGTAATTGACGGTGGCAGGAGCGAGCTACGGGTGCAGCAGCTAGAGCTTGGTAAACTCTAACGAGATGCTGCAATGGCGGGAAGAAACGTCGCCTCGAGTGAAGCACGTCAGTCCGAAATTGAGTTCTGGGGGATGATTGGTATGTATGCTGGGACGAAGCAAAATTGCTTCCAGTAGCTTGGTGTTTGTGTTTTCAGAGTCGGGATGGAATTAAATCAAACGTGGAGGATGGAAAATGGGTCAATGTGGTGCAGGTAGCTTGGGCTTGGCCTGGGAGGTACGCGAGTGGCTGAACTTTTTTTTCTTTTTTGGATTTTTTTTTTTCTTGGATCTGGTTTCCTTTGGAGCGGGCAAGAGCTGCCCAATGCTTGTCACGCCCGATCGCCCGAGCTCCCACCAGCAAGGGAAAGGGAAGGTACCCTAAAAAAAGGTACCTTGGTAGTGGGACAATCCGTTGAGCCCTGCTATGCGACTGAGGTACAAAGTCGGTAATTGGGTACCGCTCAGCAGGAGTGGGAATTCAGGTGATTGTTTTCTAGTGGCAACTGGAGGTTTGGGCTTCAGGGTAAGCTTCCAACAATACCTACAGTAGGTATAGCTGGAAGAAGCAATCAAGAACAGTCGCCTCAAGCAGTGACGAACAGTCCAAGTGCTCACAACAGGATTATTCGATGAAGAAGGGTGGAAATTGAGAATGGGTATGAGACAAATAAAAAAGGAAGGGGGGAAAAGGAATAATCGCAGAGCTGGTCAATCAAAAGTTGCCAATCGTCAAACGACAAACGGAGAGAGACATCAATTTCGCTCCCCCGTCAATTAGCAGCTGTCTTTCCTGTGCTGTTTGCCCGTTCGTTGGACCGCCATGCATACGATACGGCCACGCGGGATGAGCTGTTGATTGGGATTGGATTGGATTGGAGGGCGATTACACGACCATCTTCTACAAGATCAGATCCTGGCCCCAGTTGATCCCAGCCTCCCATCTTCAATGTAGTTCATTGACCAATCTTGGATGAGCCTATGCTCGCGTTGTACATCCATTTACACCCACCACCTACATACTGTTCAGGCGCATTCTATTCCTTCCGCTGCTTAAGTCCGACGCCGAACAAAGTGATGACGGTTACTTCCTACATACATCCCCGGGCCACCATGTTGCATTGAACATGTACAAACCATGTTGCCCAGCACATTGCCCAGCCGGTCCGAATTTCAACCGGAACGGCGTGTCGGTGCTTTCAGGCTCCTTCTGGCGGCAGGACAGTTTTAGAGTCCAATGCAGGCCACAGTAAGCCCATCTTGCCAATCATGCCCATGTGTGATCAAATCGGGGGCGGCTGTCCTAGCGCAAGGAAGCCTACGGCATCCAGCTGTTAGTGGCTGATCGGCTGTAAACTTAATGGGTGGGGTATCACGTTGTGGACGCCTGTTGCAGAACCTCATTTCTTTGTATTCAGCGACTGTTCAAATAAATGAACATCTCGACCGACAATCACCCTCACCAGATACTCTCTCGACGTTCGTCGCAACCCCGTCGACTTGGCGCTGATACTCCCGTCTTGTCTTGACTGGTCTCTACGCAGCAGAGTCCCATACCTACCTACATGACGGGTGACCTCAGTCACTTGCCCCCTAGCTGAAGCCAAACAAGAAACGCCAGCGACCTGATTGCAGCGCTCACTTGTGACTCGCGGAGACGTCCCGAACCCTGGGATTTACCTTATACTCGACTATACATAAGAGCTTTCCGCAAAGATGTTCTGTCTACGGAGGTACGCGAAAATAGAGCCTGTTTTTTTTTTTTTCTGCTGGTGATTCCTATCCACAATGTGCTGACTCCTTGATTCCGTAGTTGGCTTCCGCTCCTCTTCATTCCCACCAATGCCTCGCCCGCCTTCATATTCCTCTTCTTTGTGTGCACATACTTTCTGAACCGACCATGTGTCTACTGCTCCGTCCTTCTCTTGATCCTCTTTGTCACCTCGTGCTACTGGTCCGACCGCTGCTTCTTCGACTTTAGCAGTAACTGGTTCGCGCCGCGATCGTCGTACTTTGAATGCACCGACAACTGCACGACAGTGGCGCAGGGCGACAGCGGCTTCAACGAGACTGCCTTTGAGATGCTGAACACGACTGCGAGCGCACTTGCAAGCGCTGCTGCCGACGAGCTCTCGCGCCGCAAGGCGGAATGGACTGGATTGGGCATCGAGTGGTTGAGGAGTCTGCTGGGACGGAGGGAATGGAGAATCGAGTGTATGGACGTCAACATTCGACTATGAAGCGGCGCAATTATTAACCCCGACAACGGTGGGCGAGAGAAAGCGCGTGTCACTGTATACAAGACCAAATCTGTACATGGAAGCACGGCTTACGACTTACGAGATACCCTGACTTGCGCCTAATCAATGGAAAGTGTGTTATGATATCAGGTCAAAGCATTGTGGTGGCGTATTTAATCCAGGCGGGCGACTCGTTCTAGCATCATTGATATATTTATTTTCATCATGGCATTGCAAATGAGACAGGAAAGGACAGCACTGCAAAAGTGCCTGCAGAAATTTGATTCATATATGTATACATAGGAAGCAAACGTCATTGATTCCATATTACGGCAAAATCAAATTTCTGTCACAATCAGCATATGAGCTCGTTTGGCTGCTAGTGCTGTTACCAAAGACATCTCAGTTGAAGAACAGATATCGACTTCTGAAGGACGCTGCTCTGGATGATACTCACGTCTCCCTGACACCAGGTGATAGTGACACAAGACAAGTGATATTGAAAGCATCGTGTACCGCTTAAATTCTTTGTTAGAAGAAGGATTCCTGATACTGTCGTTGCCAAAACAAACATACTGAAATTTGAAACATGTCCAGCGCAAGAAAAAGCAAGACATATGCAGTACCAACATAGTTCTGTCAGACATGTAAAAAAATCATGATGACTATTCAACTTGTTCCTCTGCTACTATTTGTTCAATCAAGTTGATACGACACCCAACTCGGCTATAATATCGTCAACCACACCGCAATATCCGCCCTTGATATATGTCGCAAACGTATAAGTGTACGCCAAGACCGGCCGATCCTCCAACTTTGCAATCATGAGCAAACCTCTGGTAGTATGTAGCACCCGCTCAATAGTACACAGACTCTCCTCGACGTGGCCGACTTCCATCAATTGCTCCAGCAAGTACTGCTCCGTCTCGGCCCCGGTAGCCCAGAGAGCGAGCGCCTTGATACCCAAGTCCGCATCTATCTGGCTTTGTCTCAAGACACCCTGGATCTCGGCCTCGAATAGCACAGCCAGCGCGTGGGGTAGTCCTCCCGGCAGCGCCTCTGCCTCTTGAATGGTCTCCATGTTCTCGTGCACGATATCGACGCGAAGACGCGCAAGTGCGACATTGTGGTCGGCCAGGCCCGCAATGTGGTTCCGGAGCCACTGGGCAGGACGCGAGCGCCGCGAGTTTAGCAGCGCCGAGCCGAACTGAGACAGGGACGGGACATTGGTGGCGCCGCTGTCGAGGCCCAAGTTGCCGTGCTCCGTCTCGAGCTCCCGGGCGACGAATTTGGACAGTGTCCCGGCCACGGCTTCGTTCATGTCGATTCGTCTGCGAGTGTATGGTTGAATGAAGGAGTCGCTAGCTTGGCTGAGCATTGTATTAGCAAGAATGGTTGAGATGAGTTGCACGTATTCACCCGAGGGCCAAAGGGGTGTTTGGGGAGGACCAGCGAATTGATGATGTTTTCAACTTACCATTCGGGATCTGGACAAACGTCGCTTGACTTGTAGCAGTCTTGACACAGTATGTATGTTCCCACTTGTTGGTCAACATCCAGGTCATCGTCGCAACATAAACCATTTCCACAATCGGCAGCTTCTTCTTCCTCACAGTTTTCTTCATCATCATTGCCTACACAGTCGTCGTCGACAGCCTTGTGCATGCCGCTCTCGCATCTCCAATACACTTGTAGTGGTCCTCTGTAACACGCATCGCACGATGTCCCCAGAAACTCTTCTTCATCAAAGGCGAGTGTCCTTGAAGTCAACATGACTTTGAATCCGAGGTCCTGGAATTGCTTCCAGACATGATCATCAGATTCACCAGGGACAGGCCCGAGTCGGTCAATGCAATCGAGAATGAGAAACCCATTGTCGAATGTCTGAAGGGATTCTTTGATGGCATGGATAAGAGAAGATTCCGAATCTGGAACGGCATCGCTTGTGCGATTTTGGCTCTGCCGGATAACTCCATCGACAGCGATTGGTTTAACGGACTGCTCAGAAAGTTGATGCAGAACATTGAGCAGGATCAAGAACCTGACATTGTCGTCCCACTGCATCTGCTCGCGCACAAAGATAGTCACTACGGCATTCGGCCGAAACCTGTCGCACCCTTTTAATTTCTGAGCTACCGTCGAGGCCAGCGTCGACTATACGAATCTTGCAATTTCAGCATCACATAGTGTTACAAGTTGTTTTTGAAAGGAATGAATTTGGTCGCACCTTGCCGGAACCTGGACCTCCGACAATGTATAATGGCCATGCATTGTCCTTGAGCTTCCACGCTTGAAAAACCTCCCCCTTCAGGATGTTGTCAAACAATTGTTCCGAAATGTCGGGACCGACCTCATATTGTTGACTGATTTTGGCACTGCTTTGAATCATGGTCTCATTTGCTGTACTGTCGCTTTGCGAGTCTGCCTTTTACCTAGAGTGCCGTTTTCCGATACCGTTTGGAGTATCTTTTTTAGTAAGATCCCGCTCTTTTTTCAATGTGATGCCTGGAACATGGAACTCGACGAGAATGGTCTTCTGTAGCAAATTTCCATATTGGGGGCGGAATGACCAAATCGGGCCGTGGGTCGAGATTCGAGACCATTGATGACTGCCTCTCCGCTTCAAAGAACCATGTGTTGCGGCCGCTCCTATATTTGGGTGATGGACCTTGTATAGAGGATCCAGCGGGAGGCTTAGGCTAGGACTTTCCAGGGTCTTCCGTATATATGTAGGCAGTCTCTAATGAATGACCCTGGGCTGCAGAGGCAAAGCACCAATCGCATTCCCAAAATTATGGATCCTTTCAAGGGTGGGTGGCTCAGCTCATAAGCTTAAATACCAGGTTGCACAGTAGTGCTTATGTAGCACGTTGTAGAATGCACAGCATGAAGACTAGGATATCGTTCCTTTTTACCAAAGACTGTTTTGAGGCTGGAGTTTAGTATCAATTTGATTTTGTATATATGATTGCGTCCATGGAACGAACATTTGATAATCAATCCAGACAACACAGTTGACATCGTGATTGAGAGGCATTCCATTCGAGCCTCGACGTAGACAACACAATCATGGCGCGCTTCCAGCTTTTCTCATTAATTTTCTTCCTCGTAGGACTATGTTCTTCGACCCCAACCCCTCGCCGTGTTGCCAGACAAGTAGCGTCGGAAACTACAGACAATCCTACCATCTGTGGTGACATAATCGATTTGGTCAACGAAGGTATTTTGACAGTCCATGACAGAGACAAACACAAGATATTGATTAGTGATTTTAGGAAACCTCTTCTTCTATGCTTCAGATGCCTTTGCATGTTTGACGAGTGTTCCTTTCAACCAAGCCGTTGCTGTCCGCTTCATCGACTATTACAACACGACCATTCAGTTTCAGAGCACTCTATCGTATCTCAAAAACCCACCTGTGGGCTACCAACAACCTGCAGTGGACTTTGAGGGTGAACTTCAAAAGATCAAGGCAAATGCTACAGCTGGCGTTTACAAGAACCAGTATGTAGTGTCCTTTCTTACGTAGCCAGCTCGACCGAATGCTAACACGACATAGATATGCCTTTGAGGCAGACTTGCTCAAGTTGGTATACTCGACTCACGACGCGCATGTCAGCCTTTCAGCTGGCATCATGTCTTCATTCTCTTTCGCTAGTATCTACGACCTTGTCACTGCTTCCAAGGATGGATCAAGCACACCAGAAATATACATTTTCGGTAAGGATGTTAGTTCATAGATTAGTTAATCATGGTGCTAATACTCTTTGTCAGACGACGTATACGAACGGCAACAGACCGGCATCGAAATCTCGCCCGTCACCCAACTCAACGGAGTCGATGTCGTCGAGTTTCTGACGCGCTTTGGAGCACTCAACTCGGTCGGGTTGCTCGAGCCGCACGCCGACTGGAACCAGCTCATGTACAACCCGGTACAAACGGTGCTGAACCAATACACGAGCTTTTCCGGAGGCGCAACTTTCTACGAGGGCCCGTTGCTCAACTTTACCTTTGCCAATGGCTCCACCCTGTCGACGCCTTGGGTCGCCATCTACACCAACACTGACTTTACGGGTCCTCTGACCACGGGCGGCGACTACTTCAACTACTTTGTGCTCGGTCTTGTGCCGCCTTCCATTGACGAGGTTCCGCTTCCACCCATGTGGAACTCGACTGGCGACTCGGATGACACTTCGATAGTTGCTACCCGCAGTTTTGAACACGGATGGGACAATATCACGGGCGGCGAATACCCCGCGGCAGACGTGATCCAAGATGATCTCGAGGGCTCCGGTTGGTTTACTGCATATTTCCTGGATGACATCTCAACGGCCGTTCTCAGCATCCCTTCCTTTGACGAGGCCGGGTTCGCAGTTACCAATTTCAGCGCCGCAGTCGAAAAGGCTCTGCAACAAGCTCAGGAACAAAACTTGACCCGGCTCGTCATCGATCTGCAGGGTAATCAGGGAGGCACGCCATTGCTGGCCTTTTCGACCTTTCGGACAATCTTCCCCGGCATCGAGCCCTTTGCTGGGAGCCGACGCCGCAGCCACGAGCTGGCCGACGCACTCGGCCAAGTCAAGACGAGCTACTGGGCAGACATCTTGGCGGGAGCTGACGATCCCGATGACATGCTCGAGTACATGGCCGCTGATGAGTGGGTCGTCATTGATCGGTTGAATGCCGCCACGGGCAAGAACTTTTCTTCGTGGGCAGAGTACTATGGGCCGCTGTCAGAGAATGGTGATTTGTTTTCTCTGGTTGAACAATACGACCTTGCCAACATGAACTTTGATAATGCCGCCTTTGACGGCTTCTACTCGCCACTGTATATCCCTGGCGGCGAGCCTGACGGGCCGGGATACTGGAAGGCCGAGGATGTAGTCATCCTCACAGACGGCTTGTGCTCATCTACCTGCAGTCTCTTTGTCGAGATGATGACGCATCAAGCCAAAGCCCGCACGATTGTTGTCGGCGGAAGGCCCCAGACGGGCCCAATGCAATCAGTCGGTGGAAGCAGAGGTGCTCGCGCGTACGATACATTCTTGCTCGATGAAGACTTTACAGACGCCATCACATTCGATGATGCCGCCGCGACTTCTCTGCCTAACCGTACCGACACTGGAATGTACATCACGGAAGCAGGATTCAACCTTCGCGACCAAGTGCGCAGCGCCACCGACCCCATCGGCCCGCCACTTCAGTTTGACTATCTGGCAGCCGATTGCAGACTGTACTTTACCCTTGACAACGTCCTCAACATGACGGCTCTGTGGCGCGACGTCGCGACAGCCGCCTGGCAAGACACGTCCCGCTGCGTCAAGGATTCGACCGGCTATACGACCACAAGCGCAGACGGCTCCGCCATGATCCCGAAGCCGCCGCCACAGACCACGGCCGTCACGGCAGATATCCCCGCCATCGGATACCTCTTTGACGCAGATCCCACGCCCGACGACTCATCCGACGACGCCATTCCCATGGTGGACGGCCAGGTCCGGGCCAAGCGCTCTGCGCCCGTGGTCCCTTGCGACCCCGAGGACCCCAAGGAGTGCGTGACGGGAGTGTCAACCTGCCAGCCGATCCAGGTCAGCTGTGCCAATGGCAAGACGTCGGCCACAACCCATGCCTGCGTCAAGGTCTGCAATGTCGGACAGAGCAACTGTGGAAGTGATGCGCCCGTGTGCAACCAAAAGATCTTTCACGAGAGCAAGGAGACAAAGAGTCTACTCTCGCCCAAGAAGGATGGAATCACGGGGAAACAGGTAGCCCGTGGTTTCTGTGTCCCGAGACAAGGAAATACCAAGCTTGGCTGTTCAGCTAAATAGAGTTTGCATAGTCTTACAAGGCAAGGCGTTAGGCGCAAGAGGTGCATTTACGGTATACCAACTTTATAATGTTTTTAGAGCATAGCATTGGCGTGGCATAAAAGTGGCTTTATAATCAACAAGTACAAAACATGTCACCATTATGAAAATTCATGGAGTGAGATAAATGCTTTACCATTGTGACAGATTCATAGTACATGATGCGCCACAGAGTAGATGGTTAATACGATTCCTTTCGAGCGACACAACGCGAAGGGTTCATTGAATAAGTTTGTGCACACTCTTCACCAATAAATGCAAACTAATGTTAAGTCTACTGTTGATTCTGTGTATTGATGATGTTTATGTATACACTTATCATACTAGCCAAATCGATTTTGCACTTGCTGACCTAGGAGTAAAACCATCACATCCCTTGCCGTCACTTTGCTCATTGCAAGCACGTCTGACCTGCTGCCAATCCTGCTCATTCAATTCCGAAAATTTAATGACACCAAGCCGTTCATAACACCCAGGCTTGAACCCACCTTCTTCAATCAAAAGACCAAGTCCAGAGTAGGTGAACTCGGTCGCAGGATCGTCCTCATCAATTGCCCTCAAGATCTCACGGCCATCTGCTGTACGTAGCTTGGCAGGCTCCTTGGACACAAAGAGAATCAGGAACTGAAAACTTGTGCCCGTCGTCAAGATCGTATCGGGGAATACTTGGATGAAGCTATCGTGGCTGGTGTTGGCGCACCCCACCTCGAGGATAAACCGATCGTGCCCTTGTTGCTGCTTTAGAGTGCCATTCCCAACATGGCAGCGCAACGCCAAAGCATCAGGAGAAACAAGATTGCCTTTGGTCTCGTCAATTTTTGCAAATGCCACGCTCTCCCCGGCATGGTTCTCGGCAGTGTAGATAGTCAAGGGCGCCCAGATTTGCGCCGTTCGAACTTGTCCTTTGATTGATGTCCATGACCAACTAGGAAACGTCAACGACTCCCCAGCTTGAGACTTGGGACGCGTTGCCTCGGCAGGGTCAATGACCGTCCAGGCGAGTTGGTTTTCGAGACGAGTAGACCAGAGACCAGCAACCCAGTCTCCCCATCCTTCCTGCATGGCCTCGGCCACGATATTCCCAACGCCGTAGATTGCGCTCAGCTTGTCCTTGTGAAAGGTCAACTCATTGCCTGTGTATGCCGAGACCGCCGACGACCAAAACGTGTCAATGTTCATATTCTGCCGAGCTTCCGGACTGGGCGCTCCGAGCCACGCCCGCCAGCGCCGATCGATGCGCGCCGTGCCGTCCAGCTGCGTCGGCAGACCGGCCGGAAAAGTCTCGCACGCGCTCGTGGTCGCGCAGTCCCAAAAGACCTGCTCTTTGCAAAAGTGCAAGATGCGCGGCGCCAGCATTCGCTCCTGAAAGACCCAGCCTCGCTTGTACAGCGGCTGTTCCAAGAGCTCGCGCCTCCACATACTGCCCGAGACGATCCTCCAGGTCCGCCCGGCCAGCAAGGGGATCGACGTGCCGACTTGGCCGCTGTAGACGGGAGCTGCCACGCTTGTACCATTTCGAGAACGAAACAGGCCTCCATATCCATCTGCAGAGTCCGAGGCCGCAATGTTGCAAAAGGAGTTGCGGTAAATGTCGCGCATCATGGGCGCCTCTTCTTCCCAGTCCTCTGCATTGTGTTGAATAATGCACAACGAGTCGATCCAAATGTACCTGATCCCCAGATTCCGCGCGACCTGCAGGGCTTCCTCAAAGTTCTTGTTGCTGCAACAGTCGGTCCACGGGATCCCCGTGGTCATCCATGTCTCTAGGTTATCCTGATTGAGCTGAGCAAAGGTCGGATTCGGGCCCCAGCAGTGACTGAGCGTGACATATCGCCTGTGAACTTGGTCGGCACTGCTCAACTCCTTGGAAGCAATGATACGGACATGCTCGGGAGGCCACGCCGAGCTTTCCGCGCCTAAATCTAGCAAGCGCTTTGGAAGCGTTTTCGTGTTTGGCCCCTTTCGTTGGCAATCGGGGTGGCCGTTGACGCAGGTCTTGATCCACTGCTTGACTTGACCCAGAGACTGACCAGAGTCGGTCGCCTTGCCCATCTGCTCCGGTAACGGCAGTGGCGACGATTCTGTTGTAAGAAATTAATGGAATAATGGCGGCCTGGGGACAAATACCATAAATTACCTTGCTCTGGCATCAAATAGAATATTTCATCAGGCAGATACGTTGCTTTTCTATCCGCACCGAGAGGCGTTGACCGAAAATTGATGATGATGGACTCCTGGCTTTCGCTCGTCCTAGCCATTTGCCGAAGACCCCATCTGTATATGCATTCTCCAGCATTCAACTTTTCCAGCCATTTCTTCTCTGATTGAGACCGTTGGCTTTTAATGTTTCCCATCAGCCGTGTACAGAACACGCATCCTTCTAATACCGACTCCTCAAAATCGTTGAGTCGCTGGTGATGACATCCTCGGGGGCCCGAAACTTGCGATTCGAAAATCGCTTTGCGACAGAAATTGCAAATCATTTTTGGTGGTTTAAAGACAAGTGGTCAGTCAGCATTGTGGGTTCAGCTCTTGACGATAAATGCTCGGACAAGTTCCGCTTTTTGATGATGGATACTTGAATTGAGAACCATGTCAGCTGACTGAACAGCCTCAATGAAGGATTATAATCCATGCAGTACCATTATAGCAACTCACTTACCCTTCAGTAACTAGGCTTTTTGCAGCGATCGGCGCAATTATTCAATCGGAAGAAACAAATGAATTTTGTTGTATCTGTGCTGTCTGATTGTATGTGATTCTTGGTATCATATGCAGCCTAATGTTGTAATGTTGTAATGCTGTCAACGCTTAATAAGCTATGCATGATATGGTAGGACTAGAGGCCTCATCTTTCCAAATCCTTGACCCTGTGGTTTCAATAGTCCGATTTCCATTACCGACGGCCTCTTCTTGGATCCAAAGCTTCCTGCCGTCTATAGTCTCGAATCTCCTTGGTACCGAGACTGCCAGTTCCTCCCTCACTCCTTCTCTCCCATCCGCCGAGCCGCACCACCACGCACGTGCTGTTGTCACCATCAACTGTGACTTCGGTCGAGTAGCTCACGACATCTTTGGCGCCTTGCTCAGGAGTTTTTGCCTCCTTGACGACGTCTACAATCTCCTGATCACTCAAAGTGCCCGAAACGCCGTCTGACATCAAGACCAGGAAGCTGTATTGCGCGGGCCCCAATTCTGTCCTGGTGATCTCGGGCTCAGCAGAGACGCCGAGTCGCTTGGATCCAATGTCGCCAAACGCTCGGGAATTTGCAAGGCCCTGGATGCGCTCCTCGCCAAATGAGTCGGTAACAAATGAAGCCGCAAAACGTCGCAGACGGTGTGACTCGATGGGCGAGTTGGGGTGATGGTCACTTGTCAAGGGTTTTGCCAGCCCAGTTGCCGTCTCACAGAGCAGTATACGGGTATCACCAACATGACCGACCAACAAGGTACTTGACGCTGCAGGGTGCCAGAATGGGGCGGGCGTGGGCGTCGATATCAGGGCGACAGATGCTGTTGAGCCACCTTTGAAGCGCGACTTGCCTCCGATTCCGTGTCCTGAAGGTGGCATATGACTCGGTGAACCCAGGACATCATCCTTGTTGAGAGCAGTATCCGAGATGTATGGGTCATCAGGATCCGGCTTGCGGGCTTGCGCGGCAATGAAATCCAGATCAGCCCGCAGAAAGGCGTAGGTCAAGACAGATTCAATGGTTACAGGTGGTTCGGGAGACTCTGGATCATGCTGTAGACTGAAATGCTCGGGGCTGCAGCGACGAAAATAACCGCCCACCAACTCCTTGTATTCCTGGAGAAGCTCCTTTTGTAGTCGGAGAGCCTTTGACTCGTTGGCTGGGACAGGTCTTGGTTCTGAGCCATCAATTGAGCCAGCTTTTTCGACTTCCTCGATTTCGCCGTTCTTGGTGATTGGAATATCCACCTTGTGCTTGACTTCAGAGGCGTCCTTCATCTCTACTTTGTCGAGACCTCTCTCACCACCAGCTTCGCTATCTGCCAGGATAGGAGTCGGGAGAGTCTGCTTGGGTGCTGCTGCAGGGCCGTGAGTCCTGTGTGCCTTGAGACTGCTCTTGAGTTCGAACTCGGCAGCCGCCTCCTCAATATAGCCGTGGAGCTCTGCCTTTAAAAAGTCACTGCACTGATTTCCACCATGGCCATCGAACACGGCAAAGTAAAAGATTTGGGGATCGCCGAATGCACTGTCTGCAGACGTGCCCTCGCCACTTTTCTTCATTTTACTTCGAACCAAGCTGATAGGTGCCCTCTTTGCGAACGCCGGCATATCAATCGTCCCAGCCTGGTTCGTATCCTCATTGTATGGCCGTTGGCCCCGGGACTCTGCTGCACCGAAATGGTGTTTGGCACTACGCAATGGGATTCGCACAACCGTCAGCTCGCGCGTGGTCGGTATGTTTGGAGGCGCTACGGCGGGCGCAGAACCCGGACCGGGAACATGAGGTGCGGCGGCATCTCTTGGGAGCTTGTGGTGCAGCCCAGGCGCGCTCCTGGAGTCGGGATGCAGCGAAGATGATGGCAGATGCGTGACAAAGTAATTGTGAAAGTCACGGCGATTTGTATGAGGAGTAGTCACTGTCGTGCTGCCATTTCTCTGCTCGGTGGTGCTCGCGGACGAGAGGGAATTGGCTGCCCGCGGATGGGTCGAAATTGACCTTGATGTAGCTGCAACGTGGGATAGTCTTGATCGTGAGGTTTGTATAATGCTATTCGGTTGGGCGTGCAATGGTGCTTGAGCCTGTACGTATGTCGCGATGAAACCTAACGGGCGACATGTTTAGTTGAGGGGAGGTTACGGCTGTACGCTTGATGTCTAGCAGACGCTCACCGTATGTGTCCCTGAGTGACCAGCCTCCAGGGCGAGCATGGAGGGGCATCTTGGGCGTCAGCACCGTATCGGCAGAGAAACCCTTGGGCGGGTTGGTAGGGTTGTGAGGTTATTTTGAGAGCTTGGCCGAGCCATTAAAAGCTCAATAACACGTCTCACTCCGCAAAGGTTAAAGCCGCGGGTATGTTTATTCTTGGGGTCGTCCAATTGTCGGGGCTTTTGCTAATGGAAATGCCGATATTGAGGCGCTACACTTGGACCATCGAAACGATTGTACAGCTCGATGCGCCTAGTCGAGATTCATTCAACCATGCAATCGAGTATGTGTCGGTGGGCAATTTTGTACCTGTTCACTCTCTGTCAAAGATACGAAAAGAACAGGTACGAAAGATTGGTCGAGAGAACGATTCCGGAAAAGCATTTTTCGTCCAGAGAGGTAGACAGCTGGTTTTCCTTGCTGCGTTGTACAGTAGTACGCGGAGCACAGTTCCACCCCCAGACAAATTTCTAGCGAATGCCTAAACAGGCCCCACGTTCAGTCCCAGGATGATCAGGTACAGGAGCCACTAATATGGACGTCGCTGCCAATATTCATTCATTGATTACAAGATGTCAAAATACCAAGGCGTTTAAGTTTTTCGGGGTCTCGACACACGAATGGAGTACAATTGAGCATTGTGTGAAATGAAGCATCTTGAGAGAATTCAAGCAATACTTTGAGTGGTTTGATTTGTTCAGTCTAGCATGAAAAAAGTATATACAACGGCCATCTACGGGACACGGCCTATTCAACTGCGCTAGGAACGGCAAGTCGGCTTTCATGATGTAGCCCCCAGCATCTGCCCTTGTTGAGCAGGTATGACAGCATCAAGGGAGGAAAGCAGGACGCGGGGTCCGATAAAGGATAAAGAAACGAATCATACGACAACCAAGCTTACTACTGCTGCTAATACAGTATTATTACAACCAACTACCACAGCTCTCTCACTCACTACTCATTGATCACGGCTAGAAATATTGACAGTAACTGAACTTGCCTGAGCTGCCTTTGTTCATTTTCGAAGCAAACATCATCAGCTCCACGTCGCAGCATATTTATGCACCACGAAACAAGAAAAAATACTTCTGCGTCCTCTTCATCCTACAACTCGCACGCCATTACAACATTAGTGCCGCATACATAACCGTCACGTCTCCAAAAGATCAATCACCTAAGTTCAACCAACCACAAACCGCACCACCCATCTTCAGCGCCTTTACTGGAGGTGTGGCATCCTTGGAACCTACCAACTTTGCGGCCTTGTAACTGAACTCAAGTGACAAGCACTCGCGCCGATCCGGCCCACTTACTCGCATTCAGCGCAAACCAGCAGCAGACCCGAGCAGACTTGCAACTCCTGTCTCGTGGATTTCTCGGCAATAGGAGCCAGGGAGCCCGCGATTTTTCGCGGCGCGCGCCCCTTTGGAGGACATCCACACACCCCACGTACGGCAAGCACTAAGTCTGTTAAGGCTCGGTGGGCTATTTTGCCTCAAACTACTACTTCTACCTCTTTCCCTTCCCGGTCTTTTTCGTCAGGCGTCTTGCAAGCAATCATGCCCATTGTCAACGTCGGTTCGATTGTCATTCAACTGGTGGTATTTGTGACGACTCTGGTCAACATTCACTCGGCTCTGGGACATGTGGAGCCAATCGTCTTGATCGGTCTGTACATATTGTCAAAGGTCCTAGGCCGCTCGCCGGACGACTTTTGGTCGTCGTCATGTCCGGACTCATGGTGCCCGACCCAGGAACCATTGCCAATGGATACGTGACGCCCAGGGAGGAACATTTCGACATTCATGAATCGCCTGGTGCCTTTGCATCGGCTCACGAGAAACGAGCTTTTGCAAATCGCCAGCACCAGCCAAATGCAGAGAGTTTGGCCCGGATGATTTCCAATGCCAGGAAACCCACTTTCGGCGGTAAAGTTGGCATCAAGGACCGGATATGCTGTTACCAATGGACCTACTTCACCATGAACATGGTCAGCCTTCTTTGTCCGTTTTCCTTAGGGTGTACTTGTTCTGATCTGGAATCTGGTAGGCCACTGGTGGTGTAGCCAATGTCCTTCATAGCAGTAGGCGATTACACCCTTTGTAATTACATAATCCTCATCACATATATGCTGACCCAGTGATTCTGCAGTACCATTCAGGTCCGACTGGCTCTATTACGTCGGATTGGTGTTTTTCATATTCAATATCTGTCTCTTTCTTTTGAATTGCGTCTGTATAACATTGAGGTTTCGGATGGTTCCTGGCAGCTTCATGCATGCCTTTAATGATCAGACTGAATCACTCTTCATTCCTGCAGTGGTGAGTCCCAGCTTGTTCTCTGTCATGGTGCCAATTCGGAGCTGACAAGTGACAGATGGTTTCGTACGTACAAGCACCAGTTCATACCGAACCACGCTAACATTCGAAAGATCCGCCATGATCATGATAAATATATGCGAATACGGGGTGCCATACACTGGTCTGTGGCTCCAGAGGGTGGCCCAGCTACTCTTCTGGATCTATGTAGCCACCAGTTTCACATCCAGCGCCGCAATGTATTTGACGCTATGGTCGACACAGTAAGAGGGTCAGTCATGCTGCAATGGCTCTTGTCGCTGAATTTCTTTGCAGGATATTTCCAATTCACACAATGACCCCAGTCTGGGTGTTTCCAGCCTACCCATTGTTATTGGCAGCACCCTTTGCGACGAACCTCATTAAAGCCGTTATCAATTCGGAAGCCGACGTGTTGGTGAACTTTACAGCCCTGGCATTTTGTGCAATCACGGTACAGGGAACGGGCTTTCTAATAAGTTTCAGTAAGTGTTCACTCATCAAAAGTAGAGAAACTGAATAGATATTAGAGTATGATTCATGAACGAGTCCTTGCTGACAAAGCAACGCGTACAGTGATCTGTGCAGCATTCCTATATCGTCTCATGACGCAGAAGCTGCCACGCGATATGCAAAGACCTGGTGTTTTCATTTCAATAGGACCAAGTGGGTTCACTTGTGCTGGTCTTGTAGCATTAGGCACTCAGACCGAGCAAATCATACCGGCAGACTTTCCTGGTCGAGAACACGCCATATATAGCGCGCACTTCTTTTCCATCATGCTGGGGCTTTGGCTATGGGGGCTGAGTCTCTGGTTCTTTTTGGTTTCCGTCGGCTCACTTCACAAATACCTTCGTCGCGAGCACAAGATGCCATTTCAAATGACGTGGTGGAGTTTTGTTTTTCCCAACACCGCCCTGGTCACCGCGACATTGGCAATGGGGAAAGCGCTGAGCAGCAAAGGCTTGCAGATATTTGGGTGTGTAATGGCAGCACTCTTGATTGTCGTTTGGGTGCTTGTCTTCCTCCGTATGATCAAGGGTCTCTGGCAACGAGAGCTGCTATGGCCAAAGGGACTTGAGGCCGAATAATAACAACAAGTTAATCGGATCTTTACAATTACAAGTACATTTGTCAATATCGCAGCAAAATGTCACTCAGTTCTGAATACTGTCCAAGTATATGATAGTATAAATGCTGCCATTGCGGATGACGTTTGGCCAAGAGACTAGTAGCAATCCCCACATTCAATTAAGCTTGACATTGGTGTTTGTCTGAAAGGAAAAGCTCAAGACTAGACTCCAAACAACGTCCCTCCTTTCACTGACTGGACGGCGGTTCGTTGCTTGAAATCTGAACTCAAGTGGCAAATTTCTTACCCAAATCTTTATATCCTAGCTGAGAATATATCATACCAAGCAACAAAGCCGAGGGTGGAGAAATACGGTGTGCAGAGTAGAGGGAATATGGCGGCCTCCCTCTCTTATCATGAGCCAGGGATCGAGGATATACTGATTCTCTCCTCGCTGCTCCTGGTGTTGAACCTCATCAATTCTGTGCTTGACAGGACGTTGTACTGTGGCCTCGTCGGCCAGGTCCTCATTGGCATCGCCTGGGGCACACCGGGTGGGAAATGGCTCTCGTCGTCCCTAGAGGACGCCATTGTGCAGCTGGGATATCTGGGCCTGATCATGATTGTGTTTGAAGGTATGCTGGTTTTCTTTCTCTTTGCTTCACCCGTAGTACACACACTCTGAATCTTTGGTATGATCAAGTGCTAATATGGGGATCTCATCCTGTTTTCAGGCGGCCTCTCGACGTCCCTCGCCACCATGAAGGCCAACCTAGTCCTATCCGCCGGCGTAGCCTTGACGGGTGTCGCGGCGCCCATGGCCCTCTCCTTTGTCCTGGCGCCGCTGACCGGCGCCTCGTACCTGCAGTGCTTCGCGGCCGGCGCGGCGCTGTGCTCGACGAGCCTGGGCACCACGTTTACGGTGCTGAGCGCCAGCGGCCTGGCGTCGACGCGGCTCGGCAGCGCCCTCAGCACCGCCGCCATGATGGACGACGTCGTGGGTCTGGTCATGGTGCAGATCATCTCGAGTCTTGGCTCGGGGGATGGACAAGAAAGTATTGCGCCGGCCACGGTGCTCCGGCCTGTTCTGGTCTCGCTCGCGTTTGCCGTCTTGGTCCCCCTCGCGTGCCGCTTTGCGCTCGCGCCACTCATGACGTTGCTGGATACTCTACGCCGCGGCGGCCAAAAGTATGCCGAGTCCCGGGCGGTCAGGTTGTCCCGGACCAAGCAGATCGTCTTTGTCGTTCAGACGGCCCTGCTCATCGCTCTAGTTGTGGGCGCAAGCTATGCGGGCGCGTCCGTCCTCCTGGCCGCCTACCTCGCCGGAATCGTCGGAGCCTGGTGGGACGCCAAGGCGCTCGAGATGATTCCGGCAAATGTTGAACCCTCATCGCCTGTGATGCAGGACAGTCTGGAAGAAACGAGATCGGTTCCCACAGCCGGCCGGACCGAGCATGGAGGACAGGCTTCTCCGGAAAGGCAGGCAAAAGTCCAACCAGAATCGGCATCTGGTCGCACTTCATCTTTGGACATGTATGAACAATACTACCAATCGTCGATCGAGCGCGTCCTCAAGCCCTTCTTCTTTGTACGTACCCCAATATTTGTCGTCCATAGATACGTCCAAGCGAGCTATTCTTGCTAACTACGCAATGTTTCAAGGCTTCCATCGGCTTCTCGATCCCCATCAGCAAGATGTTCTCCGGTGGCGTTGTATGGCGCGGTATCATTTATACAATCCTCATGCTTCTAGGCAAGGCCCTCTGCGGTCTATGGCTGGTCCGATTCTCGGTCCCGGTCAAGGACACCTTTTCCAGTTTCTGCACAACGACAATATCAGGCCTGCGCACCATTGTCCGCCAAATCCCGTTGCGACCGCTCTGGGATGGCCATCGAAGCAATGCAGAGGAGCAGCCACCGCCCAACAAGAGAAACCTTGTCGGCACGACGACCTCGACTGCCGCCTCATCCGGCAGCCCAGACCCTGCACCACTTCCTCCTCTGCAAGAGCCTGCACAACTGTCGGCGGCCCCCGAGGCGGTCGAAAAGACTAGGAAAAAGACCTTGAGCAAGCCGCTTTCCCTATACCCGGCGGGCATCATGTCATGCGCCATGATTGCGCGCGGCGAGATTGGATTTCTCATTTCCTCCGTGGCCGAGGCCAACGGCATCTTTCGGGACTCTTCTTCATCTGCCTCGGCCGAGGACGAGACATCGGACTTGTTTCTCATCATTACCTGGGCCATTGTCTTGTGCACCATCATCGGTCCATTGTGCGTCGGTCTCTTGGTCCGGCGCGTCAAGAAGCTCGAGGCTGCCAATGCCGCTGTCCAAGTCGAGGGGAGCAAAAAGGATGTGCTTGGTGTTTGGGGTGTTTCTTGACATGGTGCATTAAGAAAGTCTAGATAATCATAGAAATTATATAGTCGGAGCTTCTGTCCAGGTCCCAGGCATGATACAAATGCGAAACAATTAGATCTCTCATGGATACATGTATCTAGCACATATCCATCTATACTTTTAATGTATATGCCTTTTTGGATACATGTATGATTTTTTTTTNAAAAAAAAAAAAAAAAAAGATAGCACACTTGCACAAAGCTATAAGAAGCCGTTTGTAAGGATTTCGCCCATACATGAGCTGTATTCGTATTCTTTGATTTTCTTGAGAATCAGATTGGTTATGATTACATATTCTAGTTGCAATGGCTATATACCCTAGCCGTCAATGCTTGTCCAGCCTCGACTGGACATTTTTATTTTTCGAAAATCCTCCAAGGGTATCATGTGTGCGCAACTAATCCTACATTCGGCAGCAAGATATGAGTCTTTGATATCTGCCTTTCCTCGCCCTCGAGTCTCGAGTCTTTACCAAGCTCGTGTATTGAGTGCGTTTGTGTTCCTTTTACCGTGGAACGGTTTGATGCAATGAATGTCGAGCGTATGCCGGTTATGTTATCCTCCGGGAGCCGCCTCTTCTAGACAGATAAGAAAATGGTAATGACTGTGGTCCTCTATAGAAATCAAATGACCAATGCTATGACGGAGATAATGCATGAAATGGAGACGTATAGCTTGTGAACTTGGGACTGCTCTCCTGAAGAAGTGCTAGTTGATGTTGCCGTTGCAGATGCTCCAGCGGTGGTGCTGGCATCAGCGGCCGAGGTTGATCCATCGCGGCCACCAGTGAAACCCATGGAGGGAACTCCTGTAGCCGTGCTGGATGTGGTAATGGTGGTGAGCGTGGTTGAGCCATCCTCGGTGACGACAGTGGATACCACGGTGGAAGAGGACGCTAGGGCAGTGGTCGTGCCTGAGCCAGCTGCTCTGGAGGCGAAACCTTTACAAAAGTAAGCATTGATTCAGACTGCAATGAAATGTCCCTTATGATAGATTACTTACCGACACGTTTACCGTCGATATCAAAGATCGAGTAAACGTTCTTGAGAAACATGTCTCCCAAAAGCCAAGCTCCCTCAACAACCTCCATGCCAAAGAGGGTGCCAGTGCACTGGTTGTCACTTCCAGATGCACCGATGAAATCCTTGGCACTGACTGCGAACGACGTTCCGGAGAATGTGAAAGCAAGCTGAGCAGTCGTATCGCATGGGAAAGTGTATGTGACACCATCGTCACTCTTCGAGTCTGGAATCAGCTTGTACACTGCCGCCACGTCGTCAGGAGGCCCGAAAGCATAAGTCGTGCCCGTGTCGATGTAGGCAGTCTTTCCACTATTGCCAGAGGACTTTCCCCCAATGGTAATATCGTCCATAATAATCGACCAGCTGACGTCGTCTGTCGTCGTGGTGTATGTGATATCGCCCGTGTACTTGGAGGGATCGACAGCACCGAAACTAATCTCGCCATCGTTTGTGCCGTCCGCGGCCCTAGATAGCGACACTGCAAATATGTTGGCATCAATGACCTTGGCCTTCTTCAAGGCGTCATTGAAATTGCCGCTATTCCTTGCCAGTCCCAGAATACCCTCGAATGGAAAGGACGAGAACTGGGATGACGTGACATTGGCAAGGCCAAACTCGTACTGCACACTCAGCCCAGCCACATTCATGGTATCGTCGATATAATGGCCGCTAACCTCGCCTGAGCCATACTCGACCGAGAAGGTCTTGCCGGAATCCGTGAGTGTCTTGGAGTCCTCTGGGCCATAGGTATTGTGTCTTGTGCAGGGGTCAGACTTGCAATCCGAGCTCATGACCCACGTCGTACTGGCTCCCGTGTCAATAAGCATATACATTGGTGTCGCCTCGGAACCAATTTCTGCCTTGATAAAGTACGAATAGTCTGTGCCATCTTGGTAAACCCCGGCAGTGTTGCTCTGGGATGGTGTCACTGGTGTAGCTACGCTGTAAGTGTTCTCCCTGTCGACAAGAGTAACGCCCTCGTGGGTAGTACGTGAAGGTAGATCCGAGCCGTACTTGCGGGCTAGGTTCTGTGCAATCTGAGGAATTCTCTTTGAAACCAAGTCGGCCTTTGGACCTAGATGTCAGCAGAGCGCAGGGCAGGGTACAGCAGGGATCGGGTAAGGATGTCCGTGCTGTAGCACGGGTGGGTACGTACACTGGAAGCTCCTCCTTTGGTGGCCATTTTGAATGTCACGAAGCCCATAGGCCCCACGGCATCACGGGCCACAACATCGCGTTTACCAGCATCCTCAACGTCATGCAGAGCCCTCGGCTGGGATGATGATGGTGATTGAAAAGCTTGAATTCCCGTCGTCCATAGTGCAAGTTGGCATATTATTGCGGCGTGATGCATATTGTGTCGTCTGTTCGCAACCCGACCTTCACCCCCAGCAGCGTTGTGAAGCAGCTGCTACAAATCCGAAGTACCCGGCCGTGTTCGTAACGAGCCCGCAGACGTTTGATGGGGCTTGTTAGTAATGCGAATACCGGAAAGACTGTAGCTGGAAGAAAAAGGCTACAGGCGTCGTCGTTGTATGTCGTAGCTCTGGTTTGCAAGGAACCAAAACCCAAAGAATTCGTCGGTAAACAGCAAAGATGCAATTGCTCAAGGAATGGTTGTTGAATCACAGTCCGAGAGTACCAGACTCTGGTCTGGGCATTAGAGTATTAGAGGATTAAGCGAGTGCCTCATTGAGGGAGTGTCGATCCAAGGAAAGTGAATAATAAGGAACCTCAACCACGGCAACCAGAGAGTCGGGAACAGCTGTCAGTTGAGAAGAGGTAAAAAAAAGAGTTGAAAAAAAAGCCGTCGGCGGGATATGTCACAAGGAATGCAGCTGTCTATGGTGGAAACCGGGGGCAGAAATGATTGGTGGTAGTTCGTGCCGAGTCCAAGACAGAGGTGACGCCTCGGAGGGAAATACACTTGGAAGGAATTGAGACAAATGCAGAAAAAAATTCCAGTAGAGGCTCTTCCCCTGTAATTTACTGCAACGATAAACTGGCAGCCTTCTTTCTTTTAAAAAGGAAACCAAGAAGACAGCGACAAATCTAGCGAGAGAGAGGGGGAGGGAGAGAAATCGAGAAGAATGTGTGCTTCTGTCAAATGGGAAGAGCGAGAGGGAGAGAGTGAGGAGTAGGCAGGTAGGTGTTACTATGTAACTCGTTTCTCTACTCCAAAGTTTACTTTAACCTTAGCTGCGTAGGTACACCGTAATACATTACATTGCTTGACTACCCTTGGCTGGTGTGGGGATTCGAGGGAGAGAGAGACAGGGAGAGATAACAGCAAAAAGCAGCAGAACTACCGTAGAACAGATTTGTCTGTCTAGGCCATGCTAGGTACCTGTCTAGTAACTGGATCGTCTCATTACTAAGGTAAGGTACACAAGATAGAGCAGCGCTGCTCCATCCCGCGGTGCCGTCCTTTAGGGACGGATCTTTCTTAGATTGTCGGCCATATCTCATAGCCCCTAGGGCGCGACGGCCTGTCAAGCTCATTACATATGTCGCCGCTCGCTCAGGAGAATGAATGAATCAATGAATTTGATTGAGTCGCAGCAGGTATGAGCGCAAGTCAGTATGGAACACTCGGCTTTCTCGGCGCCCTTTTTTTTTTCCCCCTTTCAAGCGCTGTTCTTCCTTTGTATGAGGCTTGACCTACGTATTCCTTTTCTTTTCGGCATCCCAATCGGGGGTTCCAATCGAGTGTGGCAGGTGAGGGAGGGAAAATCTGCATTCTCTTTCGTTCGCCTAGCTGTCTATTGCTTTTTCCCCAACTCCAAAAGAAGCTGCTGCTGCTGCTAACCATGTACCCTTGCTACCCTGACCTACATCCCCTGCTCATGTCTAAACTCCCCTTGGTTGTTGCCCCTGTCCGTCAAATGGCATGGGATGAAAGATGAGCGGCGCTAACCTCTAGTAGGCCGTGATGGCTTGCATGCTTGCTTGGCGCCGGTCAGGCCAGTACCCGCCGGCTACCCTGGGGCCTACAAACGATCTGCGCTCTGGTAATTCTGATAGCGACGGTTCCCAAAAGGTAACCCGCAAAGTCAGGACCAAACCTTGATCTCTCTTGGGCACGCCTACTCTCATTGGACATTTGTTTCTTTCCCATCGGCTTTAAGGTTGCTTAGTGCTGTCGAGCACAAGTTCACAAACGTGTCGAGTCCCTTCCATTCCATGCATCAGGCATCTCGAACCATGAGAACCACAGAGCAGCAAGCCACCGGGCTGTTTCGACGAGAAACCGACTTATCGTCATCTATATCCATCCAGTCTTGGCCTTTTCCCCCCTCACTCCTCCCCTCCAGCTCGGCTGCGTCTGCGTCTGCATCTGCGAACATGAATATGTAGTATTTGCAAATGGAGCACATGATTTGCCGCTTTCAACCAAGGCGTGGCAAAACGTTGCGAGTCCTGCTTGCGCAAGTATTGCTGCACTTGCTGCTGGCCGCCGTGGTCGTCCACCACTACTGTACTGAGAGAGTGCTTGTGCGCGCTACAACGTTGGCCTGCTGCAGATAGCAGGGGCTTCCGAATCTGGACAACCAATCTCACGGGATATAACCAGTTCAGCTACTAAGGGGTGGTCAATTGGCTGCGCACATCTGCGGCCATTTGCAAGGGGAACCCAAGAAAACTTGGAGATGTGCACAGTAGTGCCGCCGCCATCTTATTGCCGACCACCGACCCAAGTTGCTAAGATTCACCAGCATGGGGGATGAGGGGTCCTTTTTTGAAGATCCCTCCACAATTGAACCAGTTCAAGATTGACATGGTCGTCATCGTGCTCCAGTCGCAATACCGCTATATGGATACTACCAAGATATCACATTCGCCGAGGCACTTTTGTGTATGATTGATTACCCAGAGACAATCGTCTTGGTCGTTGACTTGGCGACTGTCCCATTTGTCGATTGCAAAGTCGCTACAATGTGGCATTATCACGACTAACCAGACTCAAGCTTGGACGCTTACACACGGGGGTTCGAGATTAGCACACCGGGTTAAGCTCCAGGATGGAGAGACCATGACCAGATTGGGAATTCGACGTTGCTCCAATTGACAGGCCAGTTGCTAAAACTTGCCTTTGCGGCTGGACTTGGCACTCCCTGGCTTTCCAACAAACCACATCCCTTGGAGAATACCCTTGAATATTCCCCGGGTCACGGGCCAATGCCGACTGCGCCTCGTTGATCAATATGCAAGTGCAGTAGAAACGACAAATCTGATATTGACATCAAGTGCTGTACACTGTATTTGCACAATGTTCACAGCGTCAAGGACTGACTCCCTTGCATGATGATGAGGATATTTAGTATGCGCTGCAGGACGACGCTTTGGGTCGCCGCATTACTAATAATATGCACCGCTCAACAGCAGCCAGGTTTTTTCTTTCTTTCTGGGTTTGCCGCTGCTTGAGCCACAGACGGGAAACGTGTTGGTTGGCATGTCGACATGAGCTTTCAGGAACTTTAATGCAAGGGACAAGACTATCCGAAGAACGGTCAAACCCAAACACGTGGAGATGGGGCCAAAGTAAAACGATTTTTCTTCTCGGCCGTATTCACCTGGCAGCGGTCTTGAGCGGCTCCGTCGACGCCAGGTCTTGATGCAATGATAAATGATGGATAGGATATGATGCATTATCCATTCACTGGATAATTTATCGATGCTGAGCAACCCACCGAAGAGCTGCTTCCAATGGCATTTTTGCAGTCCCGTCTGGAGTCAGAACCGAAAGCTTCCGATTGAGCTCAAAAAATGAATCGCAAAGCTCTGGGCTGACGTGATTCCTGGCCACAGTGGTGCGCAAGAAAACCCATACTGATTCATTCGTCCAGCGAAACGACTCGCTTAGCTGTAGAGTTTCAGCAAACGTCGCAGAACGCTTCCGTAGCTGCGCATCCATATCCTCGAGCTTTGAGAGAATAAAGCTAAGGTATGTCCAACCAGAAATGTCATTGTGGTGTCTGAAGCACCAATCCTTGACATCGTCGACAATGCTAGAGAGCGTACTCTGATCGAGTTGATATCTGCCACTGCTTGTCAACCACCTTGCATGGTGCCACGCGTAATAATTTCGAGGGTGCCGCTCTGCCGCTACCATGATGACAGAACTGAAATCTCTCCGCCAGTCAATCGTCCATGTTTTCGTCTTGCAACGATCTATCAGCCAGCGTCTATGGCTCCATAAAGTTGGAGATTTCGTGTGACGATGGAGGCGAGCTGTCAATAGACTATCGAGAAATTGTTTCTCGTGTCGAAGGACTGTCTCGGCTTGATTGGCTTCATCCAATCGAGACAGTACAAATCGCTTCCTGATATTAGCAGCAGTGAGATGCTCTGGGTCCATGAGCAAGGCTACAGCAGTAGCCGCAAGGGTCTCGTTGTTTGCAACCCGCGACTGGGACTTGAGATGCTGCTGTATAATCCGATGCGCGACAAAGAAGGCTTGTGTCAACCTCAGCTTGGGAATCGCAATGGCATTTTCGTCTTGGAGATAGTTGACTCCTGGTTCCAAGGGATGCGCCTTTCCGAGAAGCTCGATATCCAGCAGGCCACCGTTGTTCGGCAAAGATGTCAACACATGGGCAATGTCTTTGTAAACTTTTGTAGGATCCTCAGCCTTGAGGTTGTCCAGGACGTCCTTGTCGAGAGAGCGGGACATTCTAGAAATATGAAGCAACGATCAGCTTCGTTGGAATCTTGCCAGGTCGACCTCTATGGTTCGAATGTTTGAAGATGAGGCTCCTCGATTCCCATGTTGACAATGCGATTGAAGATGATCGATCGATCAATATACTGTAGTAAAAATAACCACAAGCATGCTACGAGTGCAGCTCAATGAGTGTCAGCCTCTTCCAGCCTTGAAACAATTGATTGGATGACAAATCCCATCAGCAGGCAAATGAGAGGCTGGACGTCAGTTGGGTGAGGCTCTCTGAGGCTCTTTGAGGCTAAAAGCGTAAAGGATGGCGGGGTAAAATACAGCATCGGGGAAAGCAACCATGTTTTCTCCGATCTTTCGCTCACTGGACAGGCCACGATTTGCTGGCGCGCACGCACTGGCACCCAGTACCAACGAGCGAACCGCCTGACTGGATTTCACAAACAAACATCCGCAACATCCAACCTCCCACAACCATCTGCCCTTCCAAGATGGCGACGCTACTACTCGTGGTGTTTTTCGTGGAGCTTGCGGTGCATCTGGTCAACACCATCGGCGCCGCATCCATCAGCAATTTGGTATGAGACAGCTACCGCATCTTCCGTGAACTTTCCATACACGTCATAGGAGCTCCAGGCTGACCAAAGGTGATCAAATTCTCTAGCTATGGACGCTCTACCTTATGCTCCCGACCGAGACCTCCAAATCTGCCGCCAAGAGACGAGATGTACAGACTGAATACATGAAGGTCCGCCGCGACCTCAACGCCACCAGCAGCCAGGACGAGTTCGCAAAATGGGCCAAGCTCCGCCGCCAGCACGACAAGCTGATGGAGCAGCTGGAGAAGCTGAGTGAGTGCCAAACGGGGGAGAGCAGCGGCGCGCTCCTACATGCATGCATTGGCAAATATGGAAGCATGGAGAGCTAATCATTAATTACTAGAATCTTCACACGATGCGACAAAAGCCAAATTCGACAGCTCCGTGGGCGCAGTTCGCTGGTGCCTCACGCGAGGCCTCAAATTCGTCTTGCCCTTCTGGTACGCTAAGCAACCAATGTTCTGGTTGCCCAAGGGCTGGTTCCCTTACTACGCCGAATGGGTGCTCTCCTTTCCACGAGCACCAATGGGCAGCGTCAGCATTGTCTCGTGGCAGATGGCCTGCACGGTGGTGATCAAGCTGATCAGCGACACCATCACGAGCATCCTGGGACTGATCTTGGGCGCCAAGCTGCAGAAGCGCGAGAAGATGCCCATGGCCGCTGGAGGCGACAAGAGACAGGCGGCAAACACCAAGAAGACCTCATGAACAGGGTTTTACAGTAATAGCTAGCTACGTAGCCACCAACATGTCTGCATATTGCAACTACAGTTGACAGGAGAAATCAAAAAAGTCTACGTGTGGGCATAATAATGTCTCTCATCTTTTGACGCAGGGTTTGTCATTGCACGAAGCTGGAAAACTCTGTAACACGATTGAGATGACTCTTGGCAGAGTACTTGGGTTCGCTCTAGGCATCTTTTTGACTCTAGCGACCATTGTGAAGAAGATCGGTAAAGCTTCGAAAGTGCCAAACACACAGTTTGCTTCATTACATCCATCCGTCTGGACCTTGACCTACCGTTGATGCCTGTCTGCATCTAGCAATAACAAAGCGCTGCTAGAGTTCCTTGCTTGCGGCACAGACAGATGATCCAGGAGACTTCCGCGTCTTATTCTTGCGGAAAGGTAGGAGTGATGTCGCCATGACAGGTTTCTAAGTACGAGTTCAGAACAGTGGACGGATGAGTTGATGTAGAAATGAAGAAAAAATCTGAAGCAGTTGGAAAAAGCTGGGAAAAAATATGGCTGTGAGGTATGGGTCCAACTAATTATTCCAGATCTAACCTTCTCTGGCTTAGCCTATCTGGCTCCCGTTCCACCGCCCGCGCCGACCCCTGGCATTTGGTCCCCTTCCAATTGTGCTTAACGAGAATGACATCTGTCAGCCTTGCCGTTGCGGTTCCTGAGCCGCAAATTGTAGTGGCCAAGCTGTCTTTCCACCTTTGGAGCTTGCGCTTTCATGGACATTCTTCCTTGACATACCAAAGATGATAGTATCGTGATAACACTTGATAAAAATGGCGGTTTCCTGGGGCACGTAAGTAATTAATCCATTGGCCAGCAGTAACGAAGCTATACTAAGTTCTGCCACAGTATCAAGTCCCTCCTCCTGTTCTTTGGACCCATCCTGCTCCCAAAGGCCATCGGCTACTATCGCACCTTCCGCGCTGGTCCAGCAGCTCAGGGTCTCAGCATCAAGCCGATCCCACCAAAGGTCCAGCGCACGCTCTTCCTGCTCGGTCTCGCCACAGTCATCTGTCTCGTACTCACCCTGCCCCCGTTCGCACCCGAGAACCTCTTTGTCCGGACGCAGTCGCGGCTCCAGATCCCGACCGATGTCTTATTCACGCGACTCACGGCGCTCCGCCCGGGCAACGCGCTGAGCGACACGGACGCCGCCCTCCGCGCCAAGTTTGTCAACCTCGAGAGCCGCCTGCTGTACCTTCAGTACGGCCCCGGCGTCCTCGCCGACTGCCCCTTTTGCAACGCCGAGGACCCGCGCTCCTACCTCTACTATGCCGTGCCGGGCGTGCTGGGCCCGCACCTCTTGAACCTCTTTGTGCTCTCGGTCGCGACCTCGGGCATGCTGACGGGCTCCGACGGCACCAAGTGGCGCACGCCGGCCGTGCTGGCCAGCGCCGCCGCCGCCGCCCTCGACGTCTACCTCGTCAGCAGCTACAACCACCAGCAGAACGCGCGGGCGACGCGCCTCGCCGAGCTCGACATGTTTTACTGGAGCATGCGCCTGTTCCGCCTGACGGGGCTCGCGCTCCTCGACGCCGGCTTCGCCGCGCTGCTGTACCTGTCGTCGACGAACCGCGCCTTTGCCTCGCCGCCCGCCCCCGCCGAGCGCGTCGAGGCCACGGCCCGTCTGCTGCTCGCGGCCCGGAGCCGTCTCAATGCCCTCGGAATTGTCAAGAACACGGCCATTCGCGACGAGGAGCTGCGCGCCCGCATGCTTGCGTACTGGCAGCACGAGGGCCGGCTCATGCGCGAGGTCATGGAGGAGCGCGAGGTTGTTGAGGGCGTCAATGATGCGCTCAGCAACAGGATCAACATGGCCGGCATTACTCAAGACGCCGAGGCTTATGCTACCAATATTCTTCCCCTTCATGAAAGGGCATTGGAGCCAGTGTCTGTGGGCTGAGAAATTAAGACATACCAGCTTGACAGGGATTGTAATATTGTATCGGCATCTATATTCAATTTTATTACACTTACACATCTTTGCTTGTCCTTTACCTAGGTGATGACATGGTGACATATTTTAGTCTGACTTCTTGATCTTACGGCTTTAATCGAAATCGTGAACTAAACACTCGTGGCCAGAGGATACCTCACAGAGATTATAGTCACTATTTCCTAAACAATGGTGTATCATTCTGTAGGATTCGTAGATCGGACATACTTCTGGACACTAGAAGCACGCTTCTAATTCAGATATTCATGATAAGACGATGGTTTTGTCTTTTGTCATTTGTATGCGCCGGGATTTTCCTCTTTTTGCAGAAACAGCGGACTTACTCAGGGCTGCTCTGAGGATACTGATTACAATGTCTTTTGTTTTACACGAAATCACTTCGCCATCGTAAAGGCGTGACATATTGATAGCCAAGATTTATCCTAGCCTGTCCTCGCATCTGGCTTGATTGGACCTGTTGCGGCACTGGAGCCGCTGCCCTTTCTAGACCCATCCTCAGGCTTACCCTCCTCAGCACTTCGTTCAAGGAAACTCGCCCAGAGGTCTGATAGAGATTCTTTGTTGGCAGATGTTGGGGTTGGTTCCGAAAAGAAGTCGGTATTCAAGGATGGCGTACTAGGCGTCCGATGGAAGGGTGAATGTGGTAGGCGCAGGGTGTTGCTCGAAGCGCCCGGTCTTGCCAAGCCAGCTTGTTCCCGCTGCTCATCAGTCCAGTTCAAGAGTCCGGCTATCACCTGCAAGATCTGGAACTTCTTGGGGTCTGACCGGTCCAGAGCCAGGAATTGCAGGAAATGGTTGGTGACGATTTGCCTAAGAAGACGAATTAATAAAGGCACACAAAGTGTCAGCGAGGAAACGCCATACCTATCAATGCTGTCCTCGGGCTTGGTCTTCTTCAAGTACCGTAAAGCCTTTGTTAGGTGGTCGTTGAGAACGATGGCCTCATGCCTCAACTTGCCAATCAAGAGGTTCTTCTCCTTGACCTCCTTCTCGAATGGAGCAGTCCGCTCCAGCTCTTTCTGTAGCGAAACCTTGAGCGTTTCTGCCTCCTGAGCTCTGGCATCGGCATCCTTGACTGCCTTCTTCATGGCCTGGAGCTGCTCTTCAGACGTCTCCACCATTTCACGAAGCTCTCTCTTGCGAGCATCCTGGATCTCCTGCAGGGCCCTTTGCAGACTGTCCACGGCTTGTGACTGTGTATCGCGATCCGAAGCAGCGCGTTCGTAGCTCTCTCGCAGGGAAGTGACTTGCTCCTCGAGTGCAGCTGTCTTTTCCGCCAATTGTTCACGTATCGACCGTTCTTCCATGGCTAGAACTTCCCAATCGCCCATGGCATCTTTTGCTGCTTCGGCTTCCTTTCGCAAATGCTGTAATTGCCGTTGTAGGTCCTCCTTTTCTTTCAAGGAGTTGTGCTGGGACAGGTTATTGCGACTTCTGAGGCTGGATAGCTCTCTAGTTGCATCTTGCAATTCCGTCTTTAGGCCGTCGATTTCCTCCTGGTACTTCTGGCTGCCATTCTGCCATTCTTCACTCTGTGATTCCAGCTCCTCAATGCGCTTATTGGCTTCCTCGAGGTCCTCCCTATCTCGTGCTAATCTGCTGCCGAGGGTCTCCTTGATCTTCTCCACTCGACCCATGAGTGTGTGATATTGTTCTTCCGCATGCTCTTTTGCGGCTTCGCTTTCCTCCAAATCTGACTTGAGTTGCACCGTCTCCTGGTTATGAGTCTCTTGTATCGTTTCCAGCTGCTTGCGTAACTGCTCGACCTCGACTCTAAGGGCTTCTCGTTCCTGTGACATGGCTTCTAGTCGTGCGCTTGGATCCGGGCCTTGTGTAACATCTGTGCTAGACGGGATTGCTGCTGCTTTGTCCGTAGAGCTTTGATGATCTCCGTTAGTTGGTTGCGGTGACGTGGCATGACCGTTAGAGGGCGCAGTCTAGAAGCAAAGATCAGCAACAGGACTTGCGCAATTGAATGGCTTGTTGTTGTTATTCTTGGACGGGAGAGTTGGGGAGGCATTTACCGTTACAAGATCTGCTGGGGCGTCGTCATCTTCTTCTTCGCCTTCCAATTCCCCATTTTGTTGTGTCACATCTGTCGATTTTGGCTCATCGTGTACTGTCTTATCCTTGTTTCCGGCGCCCTTCTTCTTCTTATTGTTCTTCTTCTTGGAAGCTGCTCGGGCAGTCTGCTGTCAGCTATCTGTCCGCACGTCCAGCGCAGGGACCCCCGGGGGGAAACGTGGTTTACTGACCGGCAGTCGCATCCGTTGGAGACATTCTTGCCAAAGATTCACGTAGTCAATGGAGACCCACGAGACATTTAAAGTCTTTCTGCCGACTGTTGAAGGCGAGTAAATAACGTGCGTATATCAGGACACACTTTCTGAGAAAGTCGATGCCAGCAGTATGTAGTGTTCTCTAGCGGGAAGTCACACGTTGACTTTAGCGAGTCCGTTTCCCGTACCTGGCAAAGCACGTTTTAGTCGTCTAGGTGGTCGTAGTAGGCAAGGTAGGGAAGTTGATGGTGGGCTGGGCTTGCGCTAGCGGACTTGAACAGCGAGCTCTGGAAGGTCACCTTAGGTAATGTAACAAGGCACAGGCAAGCTGTTTACATTTGTTATAATAAGAGACAATGTACCTCAAACACGTACACGATATGAGTGACGGAACAGCCAAAGGCGAACAACGTGGCCGATTACGAAGGCTCCCAGCTTTTTGAATGCTGGAAGACTGAATACTATGGGGTCTATCATAAATACTCACCGCTAACCAATAGATCATTCGAGTTGAGGCTGGAAGAAGAAAGCCCCTTATTATTTGAATGTACATTATCGGTCACCTGATGGAGTCGGTGGATTCCCCCCAAGCGCGGGATGGGATTTTTTTTTTCTTGGTACATATCGCAAAGTCGAGGCCGGGCTCTTTCAAAAATTTCTTTCTCTTCTTCTTCATACATATTCACCCTTCGCTGGCAAACTTTTCGAAACTGCCTGCACCTACATGGTGCAAGTAAATAGATAGTTTCAAATAACCCGGCTGAAGTAGAATAATCATTGCCTTTTATAATCCTACTGCTGCTCGGCTTTTGCCCTTATGGGTGCAGAAGGTTCGCTATGTGCAAACATCTCATTGTCAGCTTGTTATGCTGAAATCAGTAATCGCAAACCACTCCATCTATAGTGGTCGCATATGTGGAGCACTCTTCATCTACACGCCTGTCTCTTGAAAATCACCAAGTGTTGTTAATATGGGTGGTATTAAAAATTGCTCATGAAAATCGTCGCTTAATTGACTATGCTACAAGCCCTGCTTGCTTGGCTTCAAGCTCGCTTACGCCTTTGTCTTCTTCGGCTTCGCTGCCTTCTTGGCCTTCTTTCCTCCCTTGGCTCCATTCTGCTTGTTCGCCTTGGCTGGCTGCTTCACAACTTTATCGCCGTCTAGCGACTCGATACCATCACCGACGTCCTCTTCCGCGGGAGCCTCGGACTCAGCAGCTGGAGGGGCTGCCTCGATGGCCTTGGGTGCCTCCTCTTCGGCTGCCTCTAGAGCTCCGGCCGTGGGAGCAACCGCGTCCTTCAACTGGGGCGCATCAAAGTCGTAACCGAGTGCGCTGAGCTTCTTGGCCTTCTGTGCGCGCTTATTGTTCTCTTTGGAAATCTTGGCTGCCCATTCACCCTCAGAAAGAGGCTTCTTCAGCTTGTTTGCCTCAATCTTGTTGCTGGGGATTGCCTTGTATCGCTTGCCAGCACCCTTGAAGAGATCGTCGTGGACTTGAGCGTTGGGCACTATCCTGCACTTCAGGAGATGACCAAACAGAAGATACTGTCACATGTTAGCATAGGTGAAGAGTCAAATGCGCAACTGTTGTACGAGACAACCAGAAGCAATTGGCCTTGGCGACTTACGTTGTTCATCGACTTGACCACGTATTCGGCGGTGCTCTCGTCGGCAAACTCTATGAAAGCGAAATGTTTGCTCTGGCCAGTCTTCTTGTTCCTCGACAACCGCAATCTCGAAATGTCGCCAAATTGCCCAAAGTACTCGTGCATCTGTCGTTCGTAGAAACCGTGGGGGATGCGTCCAATGTAAACAACTGCCTTGTCTTGCTTGCCGCCCTTGCCTGCCTTTTTCGACTTCTCGACTGCCTTGGAAGAGACTGGGGCCTTTCCAACGTCCTGTCCCTCTTTGAAAGCAGCGCTCTCATCGACTGCTGCTTCATCCTCGCTGTCGGAAACACCAGCCAGGGCCAAAGCCTGGTCATTGTCTTGTTCGTCGTCATCGGAAAAGGGATGCTCGTCATCTGCTGCGACGGGTTCGGCAGGTTCCTCGACCTTCTTGGCTGGTTTCGATGCCTTGGTCGCCTTCTTGGCTGGAGTGTCGGCCTTCACGGCCTTTGTCTTCTTGACCACGACGGGGCTGGCATCGTCAGCGGCCTTGCGCTTTGTCGTAGCTGCACCACCCTTGGACTTGGGTGTGCTCTTTTGCGAGGAAGCTGTGGATGAATTGGTCAGGAAATCATGTCCAAAAATCTGCGGCGAATACAATTGGACATACAGGAAGCCCTCCGTGAGCGAAGTTCAGGAGCCATGGTGATTTGATTGTTTTGCTTGTAATCACAGAATTTGCCCGCCTTCGAGTGTTCCTGGTTCCTGATAGCCAGAAACTTTTTTTGGAAAATTGGAAATTCTGCCGGCTGGTTTCCGCGCTTGGGGGAATTGTGGCACACCGCCTAGAACACTGTGCCCCACCTGCCCAGTCTCTCATTGCCAGCTAAGTTTTGAACTGCCAATGCGCAATTCTATCCGCCAAGATTGTACCTACTAGCACTGAGCAGCGCTAGACTTCAATGGCGGCTCCCATAACTCATCAATGCTTGTATCTACCTTCGTACTACTGCCTCCATTCAACCTCTGGTTCTCCATTCATGGGCTTGAACGGATATCTAGTCAAAGGAAAACAAGCGCATCAATTTGATATATACGACATCTACACTTCAAGCGCCGCGCTTTTCAGAACCAGAAAGAGCATCGTTTGATCTCGAGCCCACCTGGTAAGTACTCGAGCAACAAGTTGCATTGGTGTTTTGTTTCGAAATCAGTCAAACCCGCCATTCAGTTGTTTCCGTGATGAGTCTCCAAACTTGCACCTGAATTTTAAACATTGAAGATCGTATGGATCTTGCCTACTCAACAATTGTGTCAATACTCGCTGCTATGCGACTTTTCTTCCCTCCCAATAATTTCCCGTCAAGAGACATTGTCAAGTTACTGATTCGAACCCTGCTAACTGTTGCCTGGGCAGGCACTTCACTATCAAACAGCCCAAGAGTCGTGGCCTGGAAATTGGTTTTCTCCCATCAGGATCCTCCACGACTACACGTCAGAAACAGTTGCAATGTCGTCCAACGAGCAGAACCTGTCCCATGAGGAAATATGGGACGACAGTGCATTGGTAAACTCTTGGAATGACGCTCTCCAGGAGTATAAGGTGAGTTGGAGATTAGCGAAACGCAACGTGACAAAATATCGTGCTAATGTCCATACTTGCAGAAGTACCACAGCATTCACTCTAAGGGAGGAAATGTTGATGATGTTCTCAACTCAAACAAGTTGGTCTTAATACCCCCTCATGATCTTCATGATGTGGTGATGCTCACAGGCAGATCGTTGCAGGGCCGAAGAGACTTCGGATGCCAAGAAGGAGGATTTTGAGATGCCCCTTGCCAAGGAGGACGAATTAGAGGAGCAAACGGTAGGTGCCTACCATACGAATAGCTCAGTTCCATCAAAAATGCTTGGCTTCAACGTGGTTGATGTATCTGACCATTAGCAGAATGACCATCGGCAGGATGTGCACGTAGATGCTCAACAAAGCCGCCCGCCAGCTGCGGGATCCGCTTTTATCCCGGCACCCTTACTCGGTTCAGGTATGTTACTATCGTACAATCGATCATGAAATGGAAAATCACGAGAGGAAAGAAACAACAAGGGTTGTGGGTCTCTGCTGACAGGGGTATAGTCCGTGATGAGGGCCTGAAAAAGCTCTTGATGTCGTGGTACTATGCAGGATACTATACCGGGTATTATGAGGGCCAGCAAGCTCAGTCGCAATAAATGTAGGGCGCGAATCTCTAGAGGATCAAACGCCTAGCCTGCTTTGGGGGTTGCATCCGACCTCAGCCGGAGTCAACGAATAGCCGGATTCTGTGACATTTCGTGTTCCAGGGTCGGCGGCACCCAGGTTATTCTTGTCTGAGGCGTGCAAGCATGCAAGACGGGCTAATAGGCTTGGACGATTATATCAGCAATGCCGTTGGCCGATATCTTACAGCAAAGCGCGCGCACATAGCGGGTGCAGTGGCACGTGTATTGAGGGATCATCCAAAGGCTGGCGGCACTGATTATGGAGTTCCAACCTTGCGAGCTTTACACCACGCTTCAGCTGAACTCGCTTGTCTAGGCTATCTGGTGTGCTCAATGGAAACGCACTGAAGGTCCCTAGAGGTGCCACTGACTGCCAATTTCAGAACGGAGCGTTGCAGAATTCGGGATGACATTTGTCACGATGACAACGCCAATCTCTCCCTCGGACGATATTTTTTTAAACGTGGCGTCAAAACCGAATGCCAGTGTACTTATCGATGAACTTTGACGTCTCCATGAAAATTATAACCTCATATGAATTCGTCGATTCCTTACTTCTTGTGGTATATTTCTCCCTCTCATTGAGAAACTACCTGTGTGAACGCAATATGTTGCACAGTAAACTTCAGAAACGCCAACAAGAGGCCTCCAGATAAGCTTCACATGCAGATGCCGATGAGAGTCTAATTAAGCATCAATCGACTCACTATTGTGGAGATGAATTCTCTGCTCAGGCGTCTGTCAACTCAGAAGCCCTCGGAACATTGCAGTCTGTCTATGCGGCAATACCAACGGCGTTCTGTTGGGTACGGGGAAAACAAGGATGCCGGCATGAGAATTGTAGGCGAGGGGCCACCCAAGAAGCTTGTTTGCAACAAAGATGACCTGGAAAGATCTGAACATGACCGCTAGGCTCACAGACGAGACGGCGGAAGACGTGGGAGGAACATTGGATGGCGCAAATACTGGGGGTTTTGATGCCAAGACGAGACGAATCCCTGTTGCTTGGGGAGTCCTGAATTTGTTTCTCGAGTGCCTGAATGTCGAAACATGGCCTGATGCTGACGGCGGAACCTGCACGCTCCCAGTCATTCCAGGCGGCTCAGCATAGGTGCCGCAAGCCGAGATTGCCCATTGAGAGCCTCAAGCTGTTGGAATGGAAGAAACCACCCCAGCAACTCCCTCTTGGGACTCCGCATGCATGAGACCGGGGACTAGCGCTAAACTTGATGGTTAAGCTTAATGCGACGGCATATACCCCGACAATTGAACGCGCTGTGGCTCCCAGCTAGCACGCTATACTTACTTTACTTACAGAGTATAGTCAACGGGCTTTAATCTAACACTCATCACTAGAAACTGACTAATACATGAACAAGTACATGTCTAATCACTGACCTAATGTATTCATTTCAGTGACCTTTCTTAATGGTAACTAAAAGACTCAATACCAAAGGAGCAATACGATCATATTGAGTATGGCCAGTGAAAAATGATTGGTGCTATGACCGCATGCGCGGGAATTTAGCGAGGGGCCCAAACACGACTCGAGACAGCTCTGTCACATCCACCCCCTGATCCGACCACTTACAAATCCCCAGGGTTGCAACAAAACGCCCATACATTTCATCCACCCACATTTTTGAGTTGGGAGCCTCAACAGGGTAGCAAAAGTAGGGTCATTCGGCCGTGGGTGCGTGCTTGCTACGAGGCAAAGCCTACTACGTACCTGGCAGCGCTCCTGTGAAATTCGGCATGGGAAGAGGATCCTACGAGGCAACGGTTCACCAGCGCCGGATGGACGACAGACAGAACACCCCGGCCAATGCCCAGACAATTCTGCTCGTTTCGAGACCGGCTCCTGGGCCAGGATGTACCCGACCGTGGCTGTGACAATGGGCATCAGATCTTCAATGCTGGATTATAAGCAGAGTAGAGCCCATATGAGGGCGCCTTTCCAGATCGTAGGTTTGTTTCTTTCGTCTCTTCTTCATTCATCAGACGTGTTTGCCCGTGGTGCTTGAAGTACATTCCTTTTCTCTTCTACATCTTTTTCGACATTCTCTTTTTTTGCTTCGATTCTCCACACCCATCACGAGCAGGCCCTCGCCCTTTTTATAGTATACCCTCGAGCCAGTTCATTACGGTCTTTCAGGCAAACGACTATCGAAAGGAAGGATAACATTTTACTGTGATACCAACGACGTAAATCATCTAATACCAACAACAAATCAGTCACCATGAAGTTGTCAGCAGTTCTCGCATTGGCCATTGCGGCCCCGGCTCTGGCCAAGTCTGTCCACAATGTCTACCCCGTTGCAAAGAGGGAAGACGACAAGAGCAACAAGGACAACAGCAAGGACAGCAAGAACAACAAGAACAATAATAACAACAACAACAACAACAACGCCGTCCCCATCATTGTCCAGGCTGCCACCACTGAGATCATCATTCTCTGGAACAACCCTGGAAACGGAGCTGCCACGACCACCATCAACAATGCCGTGACGGTTACTCAGACGGTGACGGCTGGTGCTGCTCAGACTACTGTCGGAACTGCTACTGTTGCGGCTGGTGCCACGAGCGTTGTCGCTGGTGCTGGTGCAACGCACACTGTAAGTAGATAAAATCATCCAAAACGCTCCGATCCTAAATGACTGGACTCGACTGACTGGGGGAAAAGGTTGTTGTTGGCGGATCTGCTGGTCTCGTTTTCACTCCTGCCGAGGTCAAGGCCGCGATTGGTGACTCGGTCGTCTTTACCTTTGAGAGCAACAACCACACCGTGACGCAGTCCGCCTTTGCCACCCCGTGCGATCCCCTCGCCGGCGGCATGGACTCTGGCTTTGTCCCCAACGTCAACAACACCGTCACCCCGCCGCCCCAGGTGGCCATGCAAGTCATGGTTGACACTCCTCTCTGTAAGTCTTTTTTTGTCTTCTCTCAGCAGTACAAAGTGTTTCTCTTGGTTCTGACCATGTCTTCTCCTCTATCAGGGTTCTACTGCAGGCAGCAAGGTCACTGCGGCAAGGGCATGGCCATGTCCATCAACCCCACCGCCGACAAGACCCAAGCCATGTTCCAGGCCATGGCCATTGCGCAAAAGGGCGCCGGCGCCGGCAGCGCCATCACGGGCAACGGCACCGCCGCCGCACCCGCCGCCGGTAGCTCTGCCGCTGCTGCCTCGTCCGCCGCCGCCACCACGGCTGCCGGTGCCGCTGCTACCGGAAGCGTCCAGTCGGGTCTCGGCACATTGACACCCGGCACCGGCCAGTGCGTCTGCGCCGTCTCGTGCGGTACTGGTGCTTTCCCTGCTGTCCAGGCTCAGGGTGTCGGTGCCTTTGGTGGCTTTGCCGGTGCTCTGCCTGCCAGCATGGCCGAGGCATAAGAGAGAGAGAAATCCCTTACCTGTCTTGGATTCTCTCCTCTTCTCGGGAGGGTCCATGTTTGCTTTTTTATTTTGTCATCTTACGAAAGTCGTCGTTGTATAATCAGTACTTGGGGAAGGGAGGTGTGAAGACGGTTGATGAGAGACGATACCAATCTAGGTGGACTACGAGCTTGGGGGGTCGAATCATGTGTTGTCTAGATTCCAAAAAAATGGCCTCGTAACTTTTTTTTTTATATAACTGGGACCAAATGGGGGAAACTCATGTAATAGACATTTTCTCTCCCTACTTTTCCCCTTTCTCTTGCTAAGTAGAAAGGGAAAGGGGATATATATGACTGGATCGTATGAATTACCTTTTATTTTACTCCTCAAGAAAAAAATAGTGATTAACGTGTTTGTGAGGAGTTGGGTTAACTCAGCATGCTACAACTTGCTAAAATTCAAATGGGCACCCGTCGATGAATGATTCCTATTTAAATGCACTTATTATTCATGTCATGCCGGGTAAACATGCCTTTGGTCTTGATTTGCCCACTTGATTGGAATTGTAGACAATATATGCAAATCATCTCTGTTCCCTGTAACAGTATGACCCACTACAGTTGAGCAATTTACGTCGATCTCGCCGTATAATAATCAAAGCCATATTCGCGTAGAGAGGTAACGTCTTGTTCCGTTTGTGATTAACAGTACAAGGGGAGACAAACCATGCGCGACACTCTCCAAAGCCCGAGTGTCAGAGCATGATTATTACAACGAATAACCCCCGGACACTGGATTTTGAATTTCACTACTGCCAAATAGAAATTTGAAATGCAGAAGACGCACATATGCATGTGCTTATTTCTCTCGATTCATACAGTCGCTCTGTATCAAAGCAGAAAAGTATAACAGGACAAAATGTAGAGAGCATCATATCCCAATATTGGACTAATTGCTTCGATTTTTCAAGAGATGGATGACCTGAGATACAAACATGGAACTTACGCAATCATGCCGTTTATTTGTGTCTGCTGCCATACCTGCTAAACCATTAGGATGCTTTCGAGTCTTTTGATGTTCAGCCTGGCCAGGGGAACACAGGCTCAGATTTATTGACGAGATTATCAACATTTGAAAACATTCATTCTGTCACAAAGGGTGGCGCCCTCAATCCAGAGCCTTGGCATCCACTGCACTACCGAGCAGCATCGAGGTATCTATTAAGGGGAACGGTCTATTGTAGTAGCTGGAAAAGGAAAATGTTGTCCGCACTCTTGCCATGATATCATGCCATATCGTTAAATCGTGTCCTGTCCAGCCTTGAAGGCAAGTTCGAGGTCTTGCTTTTATTTCTTTCCGGCGGCGGCTTCGGCAGCTTTTTTCGCGTCGGCTATATAAGAGGAAGGGAGGGTCAAAGTCAGCCATAGAACCATATATCGGGTCTTGTCGTCGTGGAGCAACGGCATCTATTATAGACAGAGAAGAGGGAGAAGAGGTGCTCGAGAGAGTTGGTCGACTTACCGGCAGCCTGCTTCTGCTTCATAATGGCGGCAACACTCTCCTTGTCACGGGCCATTTCGCTGCCAGACTTGCCATTCTTGGATTTCTGCAGCAGTCACATTCATGGTCAGTGATCTCTTCCCAGACTACAAAGCGCAGCATCGTTGGGTGTGTGGCATGCCGTGCGCGCGCGCTCTCCTCTGTCCCACTCTGGGAGGGTGAAAGAGTGGCCCCTTGTCGACAGGCCGGACGCCTGGTGCCATGCTCTTGATGGTTGACCGAGTCGTCCAAAGGAGGGGGAGAGAGAGAGAGAGGCGCGAGACGCCGGGGGCGCTTATTCTTGACGGGACGACAATGCTTTTCAAAAAAGTCAAGTCGCACTTACCACCGCAGCCTGGGCCTTGAGGTTCTTCTCACGCGCCTTGTCACGCTGGTTGCCGCGGGCCATCTTGCTCTTGGTTTTTTCTTTTCTTGAAGAGGGACGGAAAAGGGAAGAAGGAAAAAGAACGGGCGCCTAAGAGATCGCAAGAGACGCCGGGATCGATATCCTTGTTGTTGAACACAAGTCGGTAGCAGTAGTACGGAGAAGATGGAGCCTAGCTTCGGGAGAGTCTTCTCTTATGTCAGATGGACGAGAGAAATGCAGGCAGTCGCTTGGCTGGGAGGCCTTCTCGGGTTGCTGAGCAGAAAATGATCTGAGCTGTTGGCGTCTGCGACGATTCGCAACGGCCAGGGGGGTTCGCTTTTTGGTTTTGGGCGGTGCTAAAGGGCGGAATGGGGAAGGTAAAGGACCAAGGACCAATCAAATCTAAGCTTTCCGTCGGACGCGGAAGGTCAGAGAAGTTTTGCTGATCAAAAAGTTCCCCAAAGGCTCCCCCCCAGATGCCCCAGTAGCCTAGAAGCACTGGAAGGTCGAGACCTGCCTAGGACTTGACCAAACTCCACAACAGCGACCCAAACTCTGTAAAAGATCGCTACGAGATGGCGCGCGGCCTTCTGTAAAGAGCGTCCGCCCCATTGGACATGACCGTATTTCCCACACTCTTGCTTTTTTTCCTTTTTTTTTTGTTTTAATTTAAATTCCTCTTTTTACTCCATTGCTATAATTTTACTAATGTATGTCATCGAAGAGAAAGAGGGTCACTTCTGTTTCACTAGACGCGCGCACACTAAAATCTATTGGTGACACATGATTCTTTTTCCGGAATACCAGACGCAAAAGATAAAGGACATCTGCATGGAATTCTTGGACGCTTTACATCATTGCGCAGTGGTGATTTGAGCACCAGAACTCAAGTCGACCGATCTGCATTCTACTCTAGTCCTCCTCTGGCTTGATATATCGTTCCGTTGCTTGGAAACCTTTGTGTACGAGCTCATGTGCATAGGTGTATCAAGTCAAGATCCCATGGACAGTAACATATCATGTACGCCGCATGATCAAGTCTGTGATGATATATCATGTTTCACGCAATTTGGAAACAAATCCCAGTTACAAAGGAAACCGCGCCGATTCATTCGAAAAGCTTCAAATTGGGAAAAGCAATAGAAATACACAAGTATTAGCTCTGGCACTCGTTCCATCGTGAAAGTGATATTAGCATCCAACAGCCCTATCAAGAGCAGCCTCATTATCGCCAAGAGAAACGCAAATGACTGTTACTATCAATCAAAACCTGGAGACATGGTCCTTGGTCTCTTCTTTTATTTTTGCGGCATTCGACCCGTGCATGGTCTCGGCCGCGGTTAGGTAGGGTCCTGGTGTCGTCCCATTTGCCCATGGCTGCATTAGTGGGGTAAAAAATGGTCGTTGGCTTAATGTTGTTGAAACACAGCCTGTTGACATGAGAGCCAATCGTTTGGGGAGCGGCGGCAAATCTCAAGATGGCGCTGCGGGACCCAATACCACCATAAAATAACCCGATCAGGGAATACCGTTAATCGATTGGACAGGGCGATTCGCGCGCTGGACAAGGCTATTCTTGTTCCTTTCCAGGCCCTTTCTACTATACTGCCTGGGGTATGGAGAGATCATCCCTTTCCCCCCCATGGGTCGGCAAGCCAATGTGTATCAAACCGATGCCGGCATGAATACAGTCATGGAGGCAAAATACACACACAGTTGCAAGGGCACGCGTTTGCTTCCACCCCTACAGAGCACCTATCGTATGAATGTAGTGTTGTACAATGCCATCTATCGTGCCGCATGCCTAGGATTGTCCTCTGGTCTACCTTTTACCTTGCCCCTCCCCTGCGCGTTGAATCAAGACAAATCGGGCTTCGTTGGGCTCCAGAATAAACGCGACGGACTGAATTCATTGGTCGTAAGCGCCTGGTCAATGCGAAACAATCAGAGAGGAACTACTGTAGTATAGAACCCGTCTTCTTTGAGCTTTGCTCTACACCCCCGGTCCTTCATGGTTTGACTGTCCGCCCTATCTGGTGGTTGTTCTTTGGGGAGGGGGGAACAATGCCTCCCGTTCTTTTCTTAAAGGCGCGGGTCTGCCCACATTGCACCAACGACAGCTTCATTATCCATCGCTTTGAGGTCCAACAACACTTCATTGTCCTTGACGGACGTGAATAGACTCACACAATCACTAACGGCCAGCGGCCAGTCTTTCAATTCACATCTATTAAAGGAAACCAAATTGGGCAGAGGTACTACTTCTACCAACCTGAGATTTCCTCTTCCATCAACTTCTTCCTACTATTGCCACACTCTCTACTTTGTCGCCAGACTTTCCATTTCCTTGTTCGTCAGACCCTGCTGGCCAGATCCACGACACTGGGACGCGACGTTTCTTCTCCTACATATCGAGACCGTACTCTCTTCAAGTACACAACTGGTCCAGAGACCATACCTCAAGAGTGAGTACAATTTCCTCTCCAAAAGACTTGTACCGCCTTGGAGAGCAAAGTCCTAACCAAGTAGTATAGAAACCAACAACAACATTACGAACCGATAGGACCAATCCGTCAAAATGTTCGACATTGAGCTGCTCCGCCGGGGCTGGGGCTTTATTATTCTCAACATCATCCGCGCCTGCAACATGGCAGTCCTGACCACCATTGCCATTGCGTCGATAGTCTTCATGATCGTGGCCGGACTGCCCAATGCCTGGATATTCTTCAGTGACGTTTTCCTGGCTTGCATTGTCTGTATGTGCGGATTTCTCGCCTTGTCCGAGACGCAGTACTTTGGCACATGGATGAATCGTCACTGGCCTGCCTTTGGGCCGAGGCGTGGTTTCAGCTGGCTGGGTTACTCCATGATCATCATGGCGTCGCACCTCCTTGGCAAGCTGAGCGACGAGCGCTTCTCCCAGAAGAAGATGGGCCCAGTCTTCTGGAATGTCTGCGTTGCGGCAGGAATCCTGGGCTACATCTTTGGCCTTGTCAATCTCTTCTCGACGTGGTGGTTTGGCGTTCGTCTTGACCGCTACGTTCGTGTCTACCGGGCCACAGGCGTCACTGAGGGCAGGGAGGATCCCAAGACTGGTCTTCCACGCGTCAACAAGAGCGACAAGCAATCATTCTCCGACACTGAATCGATGAAGGGGAGTCTTCCGATATATGCTCCCAACGTCTACCTCCCAGGGCAACACAGCATGCCTCCGTCGATAGCACCAACCAGGCAGTCTTCAACGCGAGGACCCACACCGAGCCCTTACGGACATCCTCAGGCTCCGCCGCTTGGTTTCGGTGGTAGAGGCGCACCAGGTGCGGGAAAGAGTAATGATGATGATATTTCTTCATGTTCTGATGGGGATGATAGGGCCACCGCGTTAGATGATAATGTTTCTCAATTTTCTGTACCTAGCAGGCAACAGCAAATGTCGCCGATTGCTCCGGGCCTTCTCCGGCCGGACAGTTCTTTGCATCCAGCTCACCGAAGGCATCCCAGTAACACGTACAGCGTAGCATCTCACTTTACCGGCTGGGGACGAGGTATCTGAGCGATTAGCGCCGACGCTTTCAAGGATTTGTTGTAAGAAGAGCGAGGACAGGATGGAATGGAGCGATTAATACAGTGAGGCGTTTTGGTTGTGATTTCCTTAAAAAGAGGATACCCAGGACAACGAGATGGAATGTCCACTCGTCCTTTTTGATTTCTAGATTTTAATAATCATCATGAGAACCAAAAATCAATAGATGTTGGCTCGATAACAAAAAAAAAAAGTGTTTGTCTCTAGTGGTGCCGTAGTTCTTGTGCATGTCATTTGACTATGAGGTGGTGGGAGGAAATGGTTGTGATACCTATGCACCACCTCGAAGGGACCGGCGACTTGAGGAACAGCAACACAAGAATTGTGTTGTATTGAATCCTTGTTGCCTTGATATGTTTTGGACTGACATAAAGACGGCATTAAAAAAAGGGTAGACCTGCTGACAAAGAAATGGTCCGTGCACATGACAAGGTTTAGGCACGCCGCATTTCTTGATCTCCAACCGGCTGCTCTCCATCCATCGCGTTGCTCAAAGATCCAAACCTTTTCAACCTCCAACCTCTTCACCCACAACATAAACAGCGACACCATCGCATTGCGCGCACATTCTACTGACGCCAAAGCGACCATCGAAGCAGCTCCGAAAACGTGCGATCCATTTGTTCAGGTACAGCACCGCCAAACTCGCAACGAACTTCCCCGGCATCGCAGTGCCACGTGCCTCTTCTCAGCTTGATTCGCAGTAGGTGTCAGGCGCCTAGACTGTACGTCGGGGCATTTGGAACTACTGGGCAAAACACGCCCGTCGGCGTGGGAGGAATTGTGTGCCTTGTACTAGCAAGAGGTTTTTCGGCGGCAGGACGCTCAGGAGCCAGGAGTCAAGATCCCAGAGTCCGTCGAGTCTCCCCTTGGCTGGCCTTGAAAAGAGGAGGTGATAACACATTGGCTCCTTTTGATCGGAGACACCGTGACCCAAAAATTCACACACGTCCCAATATCTGTTGCTGAAGAGATTTTCAGACGGACATGCAGCCATCGTGATAATCTTTGTTGAACAAACGCTCTACTATTGTTCGCAGTGCACGCTTTGAAGGACAAATTTTGCTTTGAACCTTCCTGACCCGCCAGCACCCTCTCTTTTCCCCATCTTCCCCTCTACAACTTTCGAAGCATTGCCTTCCAAAGCTTTATCAATTTAAATACTATTCGCCATGGCGTCTCAGGAGTCGGAAGGTCTACTCGAAGACTTTCGGGAAGCCCTTGAAGGCCTCCAGATGAATAGTCGCTATGAAATCCAGAACTTGACTCAGATTGCCCGAGAGAGCACAGAGGATGCACTTGCCATTTCGCAGGCATTGCAGGATCATATCAAACAGGTAGGCTAATCTCTTGTTTGAATCGTGGCGTTCGTTGTCAACAGCATATACCTAGCATAAAAATCTGATCAATTCCTGTACTATCAACCACTCGAGACTGCTGTAAACTTTTCTTTGCTGGACATTTTGGCTTACATTTCATCCAGGCCGCACCGCACAAGAAGCTACCGGCATTGTACGTGCTGGATTCCATCTCCAAAAATGTCGGCACGCCCTACACGCTCTTCTTCGCCAAGCGTCTCTACACCACCTTTTGGGAAGCATATGCCGTTGCCGACGGTCCTACCCGTAGAAAGATGCACGAGATGTTCAAGACTTGGAAGGAACCGATTCCTGGGTCCATTGACCGGCGACCTGTGTTTGCTCCGGAAGTCACGCAGCCCATCGAAGCTGCCCTGATCAAGGCAACGGCGTCGGGCAACGAGCAGGTACGAAGAATGCAGCAAGGCCGACCTGTTCCTCAACCAGGCATCCCATATAGAGAGACGTCGACACCTCCTGGAGTACGACCGCCATCTCAAGTGAACGGATATCCCAGCAACACAACTCCCGTCTCAAACATGAACGGTCACCCTTACGGCCTGCCGGCGCAACAGCCGCTGACTCAGCACCCCTTTCAGGTATGTTGACAAACACCACGTCACTGTAGTCAAGATATTAACATGCTGTGTTAGTCACACTCGGCTCACTCTACACCACAGCCCCCCAGCATGCCCGCCTTCCAGCCACCGGCATATGGAGGTTATGGTGCACCGTCTCAACCCATCATCAGTGTAGATGCCTTGAAAGATGACATTCAAAATCTCATAAACGCCTTCAGGGCAGAGTATGCACGAAACCCTGGAGACGCTAGTATACAGACGAAGCTGAAGGCACTCTTGGATTTGCAAGGCATCCTGCAGGCTCATAATCTGCCGCAGGAACAATTAGTGGCTATTAAAAATCAAATAACTGGCCTCGCCGTGACTATAAGGGCTACACCAGCCCAAACTCCTACTCCCGTACCTGTACCCCCTCCTGTAGCAGTAGCCCCCCCTCCTGCAGCGACGCCAACATTGTCGTTAGATTCTCTGCTTGGGCAAGGCGCTCTGGCTGCGCTGCTTGCGCGCAACTCTGCTACTCCTCAAGTCTCTACACCTCAACCACCGCCTGCTGCGGTTGCCATCAGATCGCCCCCTCCCCAGCGGGTTGAACCACAGCCGCCAGCTGCTTCCACGACTCCAGATCCCATGGCTCTAATGAATATGCTGCGGAAAGCCGGCATGCTGCCCCCGCCGCCCTCTTCATCCGGATCTACACCCGTCCCAAACATCCCCCAGGGTCTACAGCTACCATTCCCACCACCTATTCCTACGGGACCACCTTCCATTGACAACTTGACCCGGGATATCTCCCTTCAGACCTCATCGCTAAAGCAGTATGTAGTCCCACAAATACCTTCATGTGCCACGGCTAACAAAAGGATGCAGATTCCGGCCTCACCTCATTCCTCTCATGTTTGAGGCTCTTGGTCCTCAATGTACTCACTGTGGACGACGCTTCACCCCGGATGAAGAAGGCAAGAAGAAGAAGACAGCACACATGGACTGGCATTTCAAGGTCAACCAACGCATTGCTGAGGCAGAAAAGAGCGGCCAACATAGAAGTTGGTTTGTCGATGAAGAGGTAAGTCTTGTGCTGTGATGAACGAGGACCTCTCACTAACGTTATCATTAGGACTGGATCAACAGCCGCGAGACGGTTGATGAAGACCGTGCCACAAATCCTAGCGCTACAAGTGGTCAAGGCTCGGCCTCCAAGGCGCCGAGACTTCAGTATATTCCTGTTCCCAGTGACCCCGTCTTGAAGAATAGTGTTTGCCCGATTTGCCAGGAAAACTTCAAGCAGATCTACCTGGACGATGCTGGCGACTGGGTCTGGGAGGATGCGACTCAAGTTGATGGCCGAATATATCACGCCAGCTGCCATCAAGAAGTTTCCGGTGGTCTAGTGCAAGTCGCTTACAGGAGTACACCTGAGCCAGTCTTGGGGAAGAGGAAGGCTGAAGTGAGTCTTCTCCGGCTGATCCATGCCAAGCGCCTGCATAAGTACCAACGAACCTGTACTAACCCGTGGTCAAGCAGGATGAATTATCTGGTCTACGCGGGAAGATGAGAGTAGAGTCTTGATGAGAGTGTTGTCATGGCTGCGTAATTCATCCTTTTGGCAGCAAGCAGTACCACGAGCATTTTTGATGTTTTGACATACCTATACAGGCAGTCACTCATTTGCATGAGGAACTTTTCGGCTTCCTCGTCGGCGTTGGCGGACAGCATTGCACTTTTCTTGCCCGAACATGGATTTGGGAGGTTTGGCACTGATTCCAAGCTTAGAATCAAAAGGCTTGATTACTGGATAAATGTTCCATTTCATATGTGAATGGGGACCTAGGCGAGATCTGATCGGATTCTCGATGGGGAGATGATGCCATTTGAGCTGCTTTGATGGTGGGGAGAAGGAAATACCATAATTAAAACATCAATAAACAAACAATGCAGACAAGAACGCACAAACTTTTATGATACACATGGCTCAATGTTAGAATTGAACCCTAGCGATTCTATGCTTTGCTCAGAAGCATAAAGTACTCGTTGACACGAATTTTAGTCTCGTACAAATTACAGATCACCTAGGTTAAGTCCTTTCTCCAATGACAGCCTTGAAATCCATCAGCGCCTTGTCCCACGTCTCTTTACCCTCGGAATCTGCCCAGCGGCCAACCTTTTCGATTCCGTCGAGGTCTGCCCGCATGTGCTCCCCACTAGTCGTGCCATCGAGGATAGTAGTCCCTTCGAGTCCCAGCACCAGGGCGTAGAGCGCAACCTCGGCTTCGACACCCGCAGAGCGCGCAATGGTTTGAACAGTGGGCTCACGGTAACGGAGTTGCGGATTACCCGACAGAGTCCAAAAGGACTGAAAGATGACGCCGTGGTGGCGGCATAGGGCGCGGAGATCCATCTCCCAGCCCGTGCGCTCGTGGAAGCGGTTCTGCACGACGCTGGGCTTGACTTTGATGTCGGGGGCCTCGAGCAGGTATTCCACAATCTCGACGGGTGCGTTGGAGATGCCCAGCGCCCGGACCCGCGACGGTACCCATTTCGACAGGGCCTTCCAGACCACGACCGTCTCCTCCATGCTGGGCAGGGGCGAGTGCAGAACCACGCTGTCCAGATAGCTCTCCTCGTCGGCTCCCTCTGATGACGACGACGACGACGACGGTACACCCAAGTTGCGCAGCGACGACTCAATGGAGACCCGGACCTGCTCCTGCAATGGCGCCCGCGCATCATATGGCATATTGTCGCGGTCCTGCGCTCCCACGGGGCTGAACTTTGTCTGCAGGAATACCTGGCTGCGGGCCACGATGCCGTCGGCCACGGCGCGCCGCAGCCCTTGTCCGACCAGATCCTCGCGGTAGTGGCGCGGCTGGGCGGCCGTGTCGATGCCGCGGAACCCGGCCCCGAGGGCCTCGTGGACCAGGTCTGCGGTGCGCTCCATTTTCCAGGCCGTGCCGTAGACGAGGCGGGGCGTTGTAGGCGGCGATGCACCGACGCCAGCTGGGCTTGGCAGGGTGAGGTCCCTGGATAAGGCTGACGATTGAAGTGGGATGCTTGTGGTCATTGTTCTGGTGCACCTTTGGTGTCTTAATGATGAGATTGATGGTTTGGTGGATTTAAGGAAAGCTGTTGCTTGCAATGGCAGCAGGCTCTTGAATATGGGTGGTCTAACGAGGATTTTTGCTGGCATGGATGTGGATATTTTCTTTCTTTTTTCTTGGGTTTCCTTGCATGTACAGGTGAGATGTTGATGAACTTGGTTCTTGATTGGGTGTGACCTGGAAAGAATCGGCAAGGCTGTGTGTAAATGGCACTCTTCATGATATTACGGGAGTATTTAATGTTTTAGAACGGAACCAATGCTGGTAGTATTAATTTTCATTTTCGCTCCTTCTTCTTCAATTGTATAGATATGGGAAAACATGAACCTTGTGCAAATGTAAGTTGCCTTACAGATTTTTTTTAAAAAAAAAAAAAAAAAAAAGTAAAAAAAATTTTCCATTCTTCAAATGATGAGCTGCAATCTACATTGATTCCAGTACTCTGAGGGATCCAGTGAGCTTGATGTGGGGTAGCAACTTTTGCTATAGTGGTGATGACGTCGTCGGGTTTAGCTGTACCGAAATGACAATATTCGTATTTCCTGGAGAAATTTCGGATAATAGGCATCATTGTGGACAAATCAGATTCCCATAATATCATACCCAGTTCATCAAAATGTCTATCCATGCGAATCAGTGGCGGATATTGGAAGATCCTCGCTGCAGTATCGAGTAGAAGCTGACAATATATCCCACATTACCCCACCTCGAGCAAAGTGGTGCGGGCATAACATAACATTGCGGTTTGGAGATTTGGGGTTTCTTATCTTCAAGCTATACCTGCTCCATCATCGTCACTTCAAGTAGCACGATTACTTGGCCCAGCACACAAAGCTCTTGTCGATTCAATCATCGCCTCACACATCACCAGCCTACCGCAATCATGGCATCTCAACCGCATACAGTCAAGTGGGGCATCATGGCCACTGGTGGAATTGCGCAGAGTGAGTCTCAGGGGGAACCGAGCCACTGACCGAAGATATTGGAACTGATGGGCCTGATAGCTTTTACCAAGGACCTGCTTACGAACCCGGCCTCCCGCGAGGTCAGTGATGTGGCCCACAAGCTGGTTGCAGTCGCCTCGTCGAGCTCCAAGGACAGTGCCACCAGCTTCCTGTCCAAGGTGAACGCTCCAGACGGCGTCAAGGCGTATGGATCATACGCCGAGCTTGTGGCTGATCCCGAGGTTGAAATCGTCTATGTAGCTACGCCACACTCTCACCACTTTCAGAACACCATGCTCGCACTGGAGGCCGGCAAGAACGTCCTCTGCGAAAAGGCCTTCACGGTAACGGCCTCGCAGGCCCGCAAGCTGGTCGAGACGGCCAAGGCCAAGAACCTCTTCCTTATGGAGGCTGTCTGGACTCGCTACTTTCCTCTCAGCATCAAGATTCGCGAGCTGGTCCAGTCGGGTGTCATTGGTCCAGTCTACAGGGTCATTGCTGACAACTCATTTGGTAACGACGGCCCCAATGGCACCCTCACCTTGCCCGACGAGAACCGGATGGTCAACCCCGACCTAGCCGGCGGCGCTCTGCTGGATCTGGGCATCTACTCGCTGACGTGGCTCATGCAAATCTTGTACCACTGCCAGCCTGAGGCGGTCAAGGAAAAGCCCAATGTCGTGGGTGCCATTAACAAGTACACGACTGGGGCTGACGAGACAACGACCTTTATCGTGCAGTTCCCCAAGCACAATAGCATGGGCATCGGCATGACCACACTGAGAATTGCCACCGACGTAGACGGACAAAACACCGCGGGACCTGCCATCAAGATCCAGGGACCCCTGGGCGAGATCCAAGTCATGGGCCCGGCCTACAAGCCACTACAGTACAAGATCATCAAGAAGGACGCGCCCGGAAAGGTCGAGGTTGTCGACTGCCCAGTCCCCGAGGACAAGGAGCGCAGCTGGGGCCACGGCATGTTCTGGGAAGCCGACGAGTGTGCCAGGTGTCTCCGAGACGGCAGAAAGGAGAGCGCCACACTCCCCTGGGAGGAGAGCATTACCATTATGGAAGTCATGGAGTCGGTGCTGAAGCAGGGCGACGTCAAGTACCCCGACCTCATCACCACGGATGTCTACGACCCCAAGAGCCCCCTCAACACTGGCAACCAGTGAAAATCGGGGCTGGCATATACGTTACACACGATGCGTGTCATGGCCTGGGACGAATAGCTCTTTGGTATGTGATGGCGAGAATCAGACATTTAGACTAGGCGCGTAGCTTGATGAATCATACCGCCATTTTTGTGTCAACTAGAAAGAAAAAAAAGGGCTTTCTCTAAAAGGACGCCCCTTTCTTTCCCCCTTCTCCCCCTTTCTGCACGTGTATTACTCTAAGCGAAGGAGCATAAGCAATGCGATCAAAAGAAGCGATAGCGGCGGGCGGAGGCAGCGGGTCGAAGCGGCGATGCAAGACCTGAATGCATGAACTATGAACCCACGGCCGCATTTCTCAACCGTCGGCGGATTTGACAGATTAGGCGACCTGTAAAAGAAGTTCGGCGACCGTTGATCTACAGCGGGTACGTTGTGCTGCTTTGAATGTGACATGAATTCCAGGAGCCGAGAAAGAAAAAAAAGACCAGCAGAGTCTACATGGTCCGATGTGTAGCACAAGGCTTTGTTTTTCCTTTGCTCTCGATCCAGTAATGATGGTTTCTTCTTATCCCCAAGTTACACCATGAGATGAACAAGTTCGGAGGCTGTCACACCCTTGTTTATCATGCATATATGATTTCATATGGGCAGCGTGGGCCGCTGCATGGCATTGAAGCATTACACTGCATGCACACATCGCCTTAAACGCGTCTTGTATTGCCGAATAAGAGAAAAAAAGAAAAGACGCGCAGGGAAGACAAAAAGGCCCCAAACTCTATCCCAACATTGCCCTCCAAGAAGGGGAGGAAACCGGTATAGCAAGACATCGGACGAGTCACAGCCGCGATCTCCCATCTGTGGTCTAGCCTTGAGGCAACCCCCCTCCATCCCTTCGGGCAAGCCTTCCGAATGGCGAACCGGTCCAACAGGAAACCATATACCCCACGAGGGAAGAAGGTAGACGGGCGTCTGGGCGTCGTCTCTCTCTGTCGCTCGCTCTCATTCCCTCCCGGGCGCTTGTGCAAGCAGGAACAAGGGGCCTAGCGTAAGCCCATCTTATCCGTCACCGTCACCGTCACTGTCACCGTTTCAATGCGAGTCAAAGTCTTCCTCTTGTGTGTGTGTGTGTGTGTGTGACTCGAGAAAGTTCCAGTCCCCTCTTGGTGATTTTCCATTGTAGCAGTCAGTAGCTGCTACCTACCATGTCGAGAAAGAAGGAATGAGAAACGGGCCAGGGGTGGTCGGGCGACGATCGATGCCACCGTTGCTTTGCTGGGCTATACCGCATCCGATCAGATCGCTGTTATGCTGCTACCTGTTTTTTTTTTAATTCCCTCCCTTTACCTGGTAAAAACTACCTTTTTTCCCTTGACGTTTAACATAGTAGATCTGACCTAGCACCAGATCCATCCGGGGCCCTGAATAAGAACCCGGACGCGGGTCGGCAAACGGCGGATGGGCGAAGATGATGCACATGTATGCTGCTGCTGCTGTTTGTGCACTGTCCCCCTTCCCTTTCAAGATTCAACCCAGCCCCGGAAGGGACTTTCTGGAACGGCAATCTAACCGGCCGAGTCCCGCTCATTCATTCTCTGTATAGCATTAGGTGGTGGAGTGAAAAAAGGGAAATAAAGCCATGAATGAGGCTGCAGGTGCGGTCAGGCATCAAAGCGCGACTTTTGAGGGGAAAATCATGGTTCAAACATTAAAAGATTTTCTGACCGCTTGGTGAATAGAGAGGGAGAGAGGGAGAGGATCGGGAAACTCGAACTTATTTTTTTTTTCTTCCCCCCTCTTGTCCTTTGTGTCGTTCGGAATCGGGTCTGTTTCCCCACCCGCGCGCGTGCGCTGACAGATTGTGACACTTGCCAAGTCGCAGAAGCGAGCGACTGTGTTCATGATGATGATGGGACAAGGAATAAAAAAGAAAAAAGAAGACAGATCTAGAAGGGGCAAATCCAAACGCCTAGACAACCTTAATTCTCCATCTGCAGCACTGGTGCCAACAGTTTTGCATTGGTCTAATTCCCATGTACCTAGGGGTTAGCAAGTATACATACATGTACCTGTCAAAAGTATGTGAAGCATGCAAGGCAGAAGAGGCATGATGAGAATTAGATACATGAGACGTATGCACGACCAGCATTGAACGCACACACATAACATAGGATGGCTGCGAGACATTCTTTCTTCACTAATGCCACATCCATCCACTATATGGAGACAAGGAACCTTGGCAGGACAGCCTTGACAGGTCGGACATGCTGCCTTTTTTTTTTCTTCTTCTTCATCCGGCACTTTACGCGCATACACCCCACCGCGCATGCGCGCTTCTAGTTTTGCGAATAGCAAGGGGCCAATGATTGAAGTGGAGGTCAAGGAGTTCGGATACTTCGTATACAGGACAGTTCCCGATGTCCATCAGGCATATTCAGGCACGCCCATCGGAGACGAAAGACATACCTAGGTAACAAGATGATACATGAAGAGCCCTCCCTCCCAAGCATGAACCGCTGCACTGGTAACACACGTCACCGGGAGGCGGGTATCTTGGAGCTTCTTTGGTAACGGCATTTGTTGCGGCCGAGGTGAGAGATTGCATAATGATCTACGATGTATAATGTGAGGTATGTGCCTCGAAAAGATTCAGAAAACGTCTGAGATGTCTGTGTGCAAGCTGCTAGCATATGTTCATCTTGTTCAAGTGGCAGTAACGGTAAGCGCTTACTGGTCCGTACCACAGAAGAGTATAGGAAAAATAATCGCTAGTTTTGAGCATAGTATCAGTGCTAGTTAGTATACACGTCTGTGTTACTTTGGTATTCTCTGGTGGTGGGTAGCAAGTAATACCTGTAGAGACAGTAAAGAAACTTGGAGCTTTTAGGGGATGGTTCCGGCCCCCCGCAGCTGCTAAGCCTAAGCAGAGAGCCCTTGCTTGCATTGCCGCAAAGCACACACCCACCCCTCGCTCATTAATATTTTTTTTTTCTTCGGTGACCCCCCCTCCTCTCAAGTACCTACTAGCTAGAGACAAACCGCGTGGACCGACCGACCTGGGTCAGAAGTTCATCATTGCTTACCAACCACTTTTAAGCATTGTACCCTGACTACCACCACCCTCACCAAGAAAGGAAAGAAAGAAGAAAAATCAGGACGACATAAGACTGTTGGTCGAGGTACACAACATACGGATCAAGAGGAGGCGGTGATCAAGTCTTTTTTCAAAGGCAAAAGGCCGTGCTCAAAGGCACAGCGGAGAAAAAGACGGGACAAGGGGATCGATCGCCAGGGAAGGGTTTGAAAAAGTTGAACGAAAAAAAAAAAAAAAATGTCTACCACTGACGGTGACGCGGCGGGGAAGCCAAGTTCGGGAAAAGTTGAGCATGGCCCCGTACCACCGGCGCCGGAGCAGCTACCCCAGCAGCAATCGGCTACCGAGATTACCTCATCCGCCTCCGCCGCCGCTGCCGCCGCCTCTTCGTCCTCGTCATCCCAGCCGGGTCCTGTTGTTGGTCCCGACGACGAGGAAGCCGGAGCAGCCGCGTCTTACGAGCAAGAGCACGTGCACAGCGTCTACGAGTCCATTGCCCCGCACTTTTCGGCGACGCGGTACAAGCCGTGGCCCGTGATTGCCTCTTTTCTCACGTCGCTGGCCCCGGGCTCCGTCGGCCTCGACGTCGGCTGCGGCAACGGCAAGTACCTGGCCGTCAACCCGTCGGTGCACATTGTGGGCTCGGACCGGAGCGCCAACCTGGTCCGCATCGCGCGCGACCACGGCGGGCGCGAGCGGGCTTGCGATGTCGCCGTGGCCGACGGGCTGGCTCTGCCTTTTCCCCCCGGCCGTGCCGACTTTGCCATTTGTGTCGCCGTCGTGCACCACATGTCGACCCGGGCCCGGAGGCGCGAGGCCGTGGCCGCCCTGCTCGAGTCGGTGCGCCCCGGCTCGGGCAAAATCCTCGTCTACGTCTGGGCCCTCGAGCAGGCCAGCAGCCGCCGCGGCTGGGACGAGGGCGCCGACCAGGACCAGCTCGTGCCCTGGGTGTATCGACCCAAGACCAAGCCCGATGGCAGTGGTGACACCACGTACCAGCGCTACTATCACTTGTATCGCAAGGGAGAGCTCGAGGAAGACATTGTGGCCGTGGGCGGCAGGGTTGTCGACAGTGGCTACGACAGAGACAATTGGTGGGCCGTGGCAAGTCGAGACTAGAGTAAGGATTCATCGCGAGAGAAGAAGAATAAAACGAAATATACCAAATCACAAATCACTTGTGACAACATGAATCAATCTAGAGGTTGGGGGCACTTTTTTCACTATAAAAAAGCTCGAATCAATCATTGGTATTCCGAGTCCCATTGGTGTCTCTTTTCCCCAACTTTTCCTTCTCCCACCATAAAAGATGCACACTAGATAGTCTCTCTATTCTGGCATTTCCAAATGCAAAATGACCAACAAGAAAAACAAAAAAGTAGCAGAAATGAATAAACCGTTCAAGTAAAACATGAAAAGAAAAACCAATCATGCATTTCGCTGCCAGCGCCGGTGTCTGCCGCCTCCCGCGCCATGTGCTGTTCATATGTCATTGCGGCATGAGAGAAAAAAAAAAACAATAGCTAGAGAAATAAAATGCGAGAAGCGAAAAGCAACCATCAAAACAATGCGTACCGAGGATGAGAGAGGGGGGGTCCCAGAGTGAAGAAGAAGAAGAAATTTCCAACCATCAAAATCCCCACGCAGGGCTAGGGGAACATAGGGAAAGAGAAAGCAATTTTTCATGTGTGTAAAACGTTCAACCACCCCCTAGACACCGACTCCCCTCCAAAAACGCTGACCGACCCCCTGTCCGACCACCGCCATGACTGTTTTTGCTCTACCCCGTTGGTACCCCCTCCATAAAAAGTATGCACCTTGGTTGAATGACCCGGCCGAGAATCCTAACAAGCCAAGGAATAGGTTTCCGGATTTCCGAGTTTCCGTGTATATTTTGTCCGAGTAGGAAACATGCTGCGCTTTCTTTCAAAGTGTCTTCTCTTTTTTCATTTCTCTTTCCGACCTGTCACCTTGCAGGAAACGTTTGTTCGCTTTTCACTGCAATTTGGCAACGGCGGGCGAAAAGAGGGAAGAATAAAGAAGAAGCAATTTGTGACAGCGGCAAATCCCCAATCAAAAAAATCTCCGCCATGTATTGCTTGCTTGGCTCTTTCTTACCCGCCCTTGCACAAACCATGGACCCCCCGCAAGAAGCAAAGAAGAAGAGGAAAAAGAAGAACCCCTGGTATTGATTGATCGGACGAATGCATGCTCGCTTGTCCCAAGTCCATAATGCTCCCTTTTCTGAGTATGTTGATGATGATGAATTTGTATGTAACGTTCATTTTTATGTAGTTCATTGTAGTATCGTGAAAAAGTTTGCGCGTCGTATTCGTTTCGTCTTGAAGAAGAAGAAGAGAAATTTGTTTGGCGGATAAAAGACAAAATCAAGCTGTAAGTACGAAGAGATGACAGTATGAGTTGCGAAGATCAGAGTGTTTATCTGGTAATACGTTGACTTGTTCAGAAAGAAGATCGTCCCTTTCCTTCTTCTCTCCCCGCTTCTTTTTTTTCTTCTTGTTTTTATTTTTATTTTTGAGTCGTTCCATTGGTCCTGATTTTCCATCAAGGCACATGTCTCGGTATTGATTGCTCGAATCCCGACTCCATGTGCCTTCTCCTGCCCATTTCGGGCGGTCCGTATTCGGGACTTCGCCGGCGCTTTGTCGTGCTGGCTGCGTCGAGGGGTGGGTAGGTCATGGCTGGAAAGAAGGGACCGGGACTTGCTGTCGAGCTCTGCGCGGGACTCACAGTGGGCGCCCCGACGGAATACGCGGGTGTGCTGTAGGGGCTCACTCCCGTAGTTAGTTCCGCTAGGCCTGGGAGCATGCCAGGTCGGGACTGGCTGTTTTGTGTCTGGATAGGGGCCAGCGGGCCGCCCGTGTGTGAATAACTGAGCGGCTCGGCTTGTTCGGGGTGCATAATGGGCATGGCCACTCCGGCTGGCGGTTCCGCGCGTGACACTGGGCCGAGGGCTCGACTCGGCGGCGGGCCAGGGGACGGGCCGGGCGGCAGTGGGGGTATGACGGTTCGGCCGTAACTGGCTCTCGACGACGGATCGATGGACTCTCGAAATATGCTGCCTTGGGAACGGGAATGTCCATGGCCCCGGTGTGATCCCCGACTACTGCCGCCGCCCGCAGAACTCTGGTGCTGCTGTAGATTGTCTGTGCTTGCCAGTGAGAATGGCGTCACTCCTGCACGTCTAGCCATTTCCTGTTCTCCCAGTTGCCAGTGCATGGCTTCGACGGCTCGCCATGGTACTGCCATTTCTTCTGCCACCTTTGCCCACATTTCGGGTTTTAGCCTAAGTAGGTTCATTAGTCAACTTGACACACAACCCTGGATAGAGAGAGAGAGAGGAAGAGGAGAGAATAGGCGGCACTAGAGGCACATATTGGTGTTTCATGAATCCCCCAAAGCAAAAGCCACTGTCATTCCAACCACTTAAATAGATGAGATCAAGTCTAAGCATACCTATCATACAGTCTCGCAAGCTTTGTCTTGCGTTCGTCATCCCAGTCACTCCGCTTCTCCAAGTAATTCTGATAATGAAGCCGGCAACTGATGGGACTTCTGTGATTCAACCGCTTTGAAATGTCGTCCCACTTCATGCCGCCGCCCCGCAGCTCTATGATGAGGGCGTCCTCCTCGGGCGACCACTTTTGCTGTTTCTTGGCCGGCGGTGGCGAGGCATGATGGGCGGATGGGTGGCTGCGCTTGCCGCCGCCGCCGCCGCCGCCTGAAGAGCCCGTCATTGGGTTGTTTGGTGGTCTCGGGGCAGGCCCGATCCGCGGCACTTCTGTATAGAGCCGATGCCCCGTGGGCGCCGGCGCTGCTGTGGTAGCCACGGTGGAAGTTGGGGCGAGGACTGCTGGAGGGATGTTACTGCTGCTGCTGCTGCTGCTGCTGTCGTTCTGAGATGGAGTGTTCACGGTGACAGACTCAAGCGAGTCGGGAGCCTTGAGGAGGGAAGTGATATCCACGATGTCGATGTAGATGGAAAGCCCGCAATGTCCTAGTTTGTCATGGGCAGCTGGCCACTCTCACAAGGAAAGGGTATTGAAGTTATTCTTCAAACGGCTTTCGAGTTCTTGTTATGATCTTGGGGATTCGAGTTGATGGATTGTTTCCTTGCCGGATGACCACTTATGATTCTTGGGCTGTTGTGATGGCTTGATACTCAAAGGTGACACGAGTAGGATCCAGACTCGGCAAATCGATGGGACGCAAAAAACAAATGGATCAACTTTCAACAACGGGATAGATGGTTGTGGTCCCTGGCCTCTGCCGTAAAGATCGATGGCTGGACTGAGCCTTGTGATTGTTGTGTCGAATGTGGTGCTGTTGAAAAAAAAAAGAAGAAAGAAAGAAGGAGAAGAAGAAGAAGGCTGCTTCTTTAGACGTAGAGACCTAAAGTTGGAAAAGTGTGGCTTGCGTTTAGATATGCCAACATGACTGGCCGGTCGTTATTCAGGCAGCTATCCACCAATGGACAATGTATTTTGGAGAACAAGAGAAAGACGGGTGAATACGTCAATCGGCCTAAAGTATCTTTTTCTTCTTTCTTTCGTCCCAATGCCTGAGCCAGTTAGCTAGAACAACTTTGAGTCGACGGTCAACATCTCAGGTGGAGTAGTGGCATCAAAAGTAGAACAGAAGCAGGATAGTGGAGTTTCCACGTCGGGAACTTGCGTAGTGCAGATTTGAACGTCAAGGAAAAGAAAGTATAGAAAAAGAATTTTTTTTTGTTCTTACACAAGAGGAAACCCACGGTGAACTAGTAACTAGAAGGCTATGGCGGTCACAGTGGATGAGAGAACCTGGGCCTGGGGGTTGAGGTGAGGTGACAGGGAAGCAGGCACAGGGGCACACCAAAATAGGAAGCAGGTGTCGACCAGGGAGGGGTGCGAGTGAGAGGAGGAGTGCGCCAAAGAAAACAGGTAAACCTAAGTAGGTAGGGTTGTGGAGCCGAAGAACAGCAATCTGTTCGTTGAATCTATATGTAAACGAGACCAGCTATAGCAGAGAGCGAGAGAGAGGGAGAGAGAGAAAGAGAGTGGCAGAGCAAAGTAGAGCCCAAGGGAGTCAAGTGTGCGCCAAAAAAACAGTATCTGACTGGGAAAACCCAAGAACCCGGACCAGCGGCTTACACGAAGGGTGTACTAGGAGGTAGGTCAGGTAGCCAGCCAGCTAATCAGTAGGTAGGCAGGTAGCCAACAATGGAGCATAATAAAGGTAAGGTATGGGTAGGTTAATGGATGGATGGGTGGAATTGATGGCATCACTACACCCTACACCACTCGATGGCTCATTCATTCACTCACCCAGTCGCGCGCTTGGAGGGCAAGGCGTTGTCGATGAAGCAGACAGAGCCTTGAACCACACACCCTTGCTGATCTACTCAAGGGGGGGAGGGCAACCGCTTGGTTGCCGGCAGCACGTATGTATTGTGGTGGAGGTACTGCTAAGTAGTACGTAGTAGAATTGATCGCGAACCGCAGATGATGTTAGATCCCCCTCCAAGTCCTTCCATCCTATTCAGTTCAGTTCAGTTCTAGCCAGCCGATGTGTTGTTCGCTATGCGAGCTGTGGTTGTGGACAAGGGGCTTGATGACATGGCCACGAAATCATGCATGAGCTGCTCATCACAGTAAGTATGTACTGGGCAAGCCCAATGTCCAAAGACAGGTACAGACTACAGTAGACTGAGTTCCCATTTAGTCCTGTTGTTCACCAGACCAAACCTATCTAATCAGGTGATTTGTACCGATCTTTCCTTTGGGGCGGCTACTGCTGCTCAACTTTCAATGTCTGTCTCGTCTCGTGACTGACGCTAATCACGGAGTAAGGGATGATGAGTTTCCTTCAAATAGAAAATGGCGCAAAATGCCCCATGGTAGTGAAAAGAGAAGGCAATTATTAAAAGCAAAAGACGGACGCAAAAAGCGCCGAATATTCGATCCGAGTCGTCAGTCTAGTGTTCCAAAAGAAGCTCAGAAGAAGGGCCTGAGACAGGGTGTAGCTTGTCAAACTCGATCAAAAATGGCCTGGTCCTACCCGATATTAGGCATGGGTTGCGAGCCAAGTTGCAAGCGCAAGTAATATAGGAGTAAGGTGGTACTGGGTACAAGTGGGCACTTTGCACACAGAGAGTATGGATCAGTGAGTATGTACCGTATGTAGGGGCTTTAAGCTATGTACAAGGGAGAGGGGGAAAAGAGGGCTGAATAAAGACCCGGATGCTGGGCTCCAGTCTGATCGGTCATGGACCGACCTCAGTGCTTGCTGTGTGTGCCTTGCTTGCCTGCTTGGGGCCTGGCCTAGACTATCTGGGTACGTGGGAAAAAGAGGGAGAACGGAGGGAAGAGAAAGAACGCATATGCACATCAAGCATCCCATCCATCAGATCCCACCCTTGGAACTTTTGCCATCCATGCCTGCTATGTATGCTATGCCGAACCCGTGCCCGGGGCCAGCAGCGAACCACTCGGTCGCGCGAGCGAGTTGAGAAGCAGCAGCGAGTAAGGAGCTAGGTATAGGGCAATCATGACGGGGCCTGGCGACATAAAGCGAATCGGAGAATAAGATGCCCAGGAGTAAAAGAGGCCCCTCGTAAATTGGGACGATCAGGTGGCTGTCAAGCGATGCGTACCTAAACCTGTGGGGAGACTGAAACCCGAGCGGTATAATGCCTCTAACGCCCCGCCCAGGGCAGGGCCAGCCCAGCCCAGCCCAGTGCTAATTGTTGATGCAATTACAGTATAGAAGATAGTACATGTTGTCGGTTTGGTTAGGTGGCGTGGTGTGTGTAGTCGGTGGCTGTTCACAGCAGTATACGTACCTCCTTACTTGAAGTATAGATGTACTCATGATATACTACTTACCGTACAACAAACACATTGTTTTTGTAAAGAATTAATCCCATCAAGATGAATCAGCTTCCTTACATACATCCATACCTGCATGCACCCTTCCTTCAATTGAATGGAATACAATTGAATGACAAAGGCTGGCCCGTTTTCTTCAAGTCCACGGCATTGGCTCGGAAAGATCAGCCAGGCTGGCCACACCCCCCAAAATAGTCTAACGTTAGGCGAAAACGCTCGCAATCTGGATATCTGCTCAACCTATTTCGAAAGAGGGGTGTTCCCTTTTGGCTGTAGCGCCTTCTCGTCTATGTATAGAAGGAGAGCGTTAAGCGCACAACATAGCGGGAGGAGGGGGGAGGAACCTGTGGATACATTGGATGGATTGGGAGAAATGGAGAATCCAGATTCCAGATTTCGCTGTCCCTCTCTCATGATGGAAGTGTTCGATCCCCCGGCAGATGGGGATCCATGGTTCGTCTGGGTTCCGAGTCGTGGCAGTCTGGAACTAAAAGTAAAGTGGAGGAACAAGTGGTGGGTGGTGGGTGGGCGCGCGGAGCAGTACCGCTGTCTGGCGCACTTCCTTTGCCAACATAGAACACCGCTGGTACTGTAGACAGTACCTTTGAATGAGTAGCAGGTCCATCCACGTAGTAGTCAGCGAGTACCAATCAAGTAGTAGTTGTATGTGACAACGGCCATGATCCCTCTGTTCTTCATGGAACTTGCATCCCTAAAAAATTCTAAAGCCCTTCTATTCCATCTCGAAAACATGTAGTGCAGTGCCGCGGACAGCGCCATGGGAAGGGCCGGTTTAGGGCTGGGATGGATGCTAGGGGACACTATCGTCTTGAGCGAGTTCCACGTTGGTCCTTGAACGAACACACTAATGTAGGTGTAGTAGTAGGTAGTGCATGTATCTAAAGTCAAGGTATACAGAGTACAAGTACCGCAGCAGATCATTTCAGCATTGCAATTGAAGAAAGATGCGGGATAGAAGACAGACAGGACGCACTGGGACGCACAGAGCACATTGTCTGTGCGTCACGGCTGAGCCTCAACATGCTTTCCGGTGTCTGTTCCTACACACAATCATCACACACGCAGCGTTTAAGGTGAGGTCTGTCTCGACGACATCCGACGAAGCAGACAAAACGAATACGCGCAGAGGGGAAGGGAGAGAGAGTGAGAAAAGCATTATGTCACAGATGGAGTCTCCTTGAAGCGCCCCGGGGCAGACGAGTCGTCAATGCTCCATGAACCGGGAATAACCCTCTTGGAGTGATGAACTGGCGGTCAGCTATGCGCGCCGTCGCCGCTTCGCCAGCCAGGGAACGGGGCCGTTGCCCATAGACGATTCAAGCGTTAATGATATAGGGTAGTAGATATGTAGTAATATCATGTACTATCCTGCGCAGGTGAGCTGATGAGAAAAGCAGAGATCTGCCCAACTTCTTTTAGGCTAGGATCGGTATAGCAGACAGTCGACTACTGTATTGTGTAGGTAGGTACAGTGGGCTCGTAGTGTACAGTGCTGCTGGTGTTTTATCACATCTCATCACGAACCATGATCTACCTCACCTTCAACGCAAACCTTGGACGCCGGGGCATGGTTCGGTAGGAAGCGAGCCAGGCCCTTTCTCATACACTAATACCTGGTTCGCCCCTGTCGTATCTCTGGCCTGACGATGCAATGGGGGCAACTGGATGCTGATCATGAACCCCGTAACAAACGGATACGATCGATCGCGTGTCCATGCCCTTGTTCTTCTTCCCTCTCTCTCCGCCTCCTTCCATCAAGACCATTCTTGTCGCCATGTGAAATGACACTTCTCCTGGGGCGGCCCCCAGGTTTGCCCAGGAAGGGGATTCGCTTTGCTTTTTTAGACGGTCAGTTGTAACAGGACAATAATCCCCGGCGCTCCGTGTGCCTCCTTCTTGGCTCGGAGCCGAAAGTGGGATAGAGTCTATGCAGCCTAATGTAGCTCAGATGGTTTTGTTCAGATCGGTGCATGCACTTCATCTCCAGCGCCAGGGGCAGAGTAGAGAAGGAGAAGAAGGAGGGTGTGAAGGAGAGGAACTGGGGGTGTGTACAATACGACTCGTATGAGCACCCGTGTCCCAGTTGAGATGCTACCATGCAATAAATAACAGAGAGAATATATACATTAGTGAAGAGACTTATTAGTAGAGAGATCGGCGGCAGCGTGGGCTAACGACAACAACGATGGGATGCTGGTGGGGTTCTTCGGCACCGGCTCGTCTAAGTGCATTCGCTGGCCACAATCTGCCCTGTCAGCCGCCCTTCCTGATCTTCTAGGCTGGGCACACATAAGCACACATTAGCACCTCATGCCCTATATGCACCTGTAGCGTACGAGGTAGTGTACATTTTAGGTAGTGTACCAATTAGTAGGGCAGACACTTGCAGACAAGCTTAAACAAAGGATCGGAAAAAGGATACAGTCCAAAGTCCTATTACACCATCCATCGCGTCGACACCACTCATCATTAGGTAAGGCAAGTAGCTGGCCGATGGATATCTGGATCCTGCCATTGGCCAGTCAGTACCAAGGGATTGTACAATACTTGTGGGAGGCACACTCCTACTGCCAAAAAAATGTGACCATTCGAGTGTTCCGTATGAGAATGTGGAAAGGTACTTTGTACATACCAGGTAGTACACTGGCCTGTTCGTGGCGGTAAGAAAGACTCGATACCTGGACCCCTTCAGCCGCTTCATAGCTCACCACAAAGATGGTGGACTGACTGGCTTTTCAGCATTCGTCAATGTATGGTCGATTGCTGCCCGAGACTAGTAGATGTAGATATTCCTTGGTAGCAAGCCCGTTGCCGGCGATCCTATCAAAGAGCATTTGATCCACATGGCTTCGTTCCTGTTTGCTCCTGGTGGCCGCCCGCCACACTCGGTTTTTTTTAACAGCCAAGCGCTATAGCCTCGAGCGGGTGGCACCCCTTGGACGTCAGCCAGCAAACTTACGTATATCGAGCATGGCATTGTTTAAGGGTAATTGCCATTGTTTCCAGCCAAATACAACCGAATTATGCGTCTCAAAAGCAATATGTTTCAGGGAGAAACAGAACAGTAGTTTCCAAGTGTCAGCCTCCCCCGAATCCACGTAATAACGAGGCGGCGCATCATGGGCATCGTGTCTTTTTTGCTAGGGGCAATCCCCTCCCATCCAGTCAGAAGTGTTGCTTTACAGGCCAGCGCATGACGTGAACCTCCAAGAGAGATCAAGCGAGAACCAGTTTGTATACAGACCACGCGCTCATCCGTCCATTTTTGCTGCATACGGGACCGGGCTATCAAGTACCAAGGACAGTTCAAGGCAATGAAACGTACACCTAGTCAAGAAGCATTCCTCCAGTCAGTCAATCTTCGGGCCATCGCTTGGGCTTCTTAGCTAGGCGTTTCCTTGCATCGGCACCTTTAACGATTGATTGCCCAATGACTCCGTTCATGCCCTAAACACAATCAGTCCAAAGCAGCCTTCCATACATTGTATGCACACTGATCCGCAAGACTGGAGTCTTGTTAGGCAGAGTTGTCTATAGTCTAGCCCTGAAATTGGGGCCGTTGGCGCTTCGTTGGCCCTGCGTCAATGGCTAGACCTGGCGATCCCAGCCTTACAGTACTCTGTACGCACAGTCCTACTACATTCTTACTACGCCATGACATGAGCACTGGCTGGCGGCCCTGTTCGCAAACGTCATTGAAATGTTTGCTGATGAAAAGCCCATAGCTCGGGGTATGCCAGTCCTGTACATCGGAAGAAAGAAGAAGAGGAAGAAGAAAGGAAGAAGACAAATAGAAAAACAAATTCCGCAACAGACACACTCACTCCTAGTTGCACCCCCTCTGTCTCTTATAGATTCATCAATCACACCGACAGTAAAGGCGCGGGCAGGAGACGGCGGCTGGCGCCTTGATCCAAGCAGACAGCGGCTCGTGGCATCGCCCCAAGGGGCCTTTTAATCCCAAACCACAAAAGATCTCACATACGCACGAGAGAGCGGTGAAAGGGGTCAAGGGACAGCCATCTTTGTGCGAGGCACAGCAGTGTATGTCTTACAGTGTTGCAGCAAAAATGGATCGCGGGGGGACCATGATTACCTACATTATCTTGGGTCAGAGACAACTATTTTGCTTTTGAGAGGAATCACTCGGTCGAGTCCCTACAACCGGCCGCTGATCTACTGGCTGACGGGGCCTCGGCTCCGTCATCCGCAGAAAGTCAAAATGGGATAAAGGGCCCAACCCGCTTCTTTGCTTTGACAGGACACATCACAACCCTCTATTTTTCCTTGATCTTGTGGCGCAATGCTGAGGCAGGGAAAAACGAACCCCCCCAAGCCAAGGGACAAGACCAACCTTTTTTTTTTCCCCCTCCCGCTGTCTCCTCCGTCTGTGAGCATGTAAAAACGTGCTTGCTTATATTGCGTTTGCATTGACGTCGGGATGATTGGAACATCATTGGCCCTGGCTGCAAAATGCACGTACACGCAGCAATATACACAATGATGGACTGGCTGGCTGGCTGGCTGGCTCTCGGCTCATGCGCCCTGCCCTGTTCCTCATCCCCCCTCTGCCGCCGCCGCCGCCGCCGATGCCGCGGTCTGGGGCCCCACGAGGCTGTCCGGGATTTCTGGGATTTGATGGGCAAACCGGGTATGCGACCAGAGGCTTCCCCTCAAACTCAATCATATTGTTCCCGTTTGAAGATCTTCTTGCCCAGCCACAGCCACAGAACAGGCCAAGACAGGCTCTATGCTCTGCAGTGTCCCTTAGGTTTTGAACTAACTTGCACATGGCAGACGGGAACTACATGGGACGGGCGCGCATAGTAGGTAGGGTATGTATCTCTCTCAATTGTATTCCTCTCTGGTGCTCAGCACTAGTAGTCTACAGATTACTGCAGCCACGTACGTCTCGATTTTGCCCCGAAAATGGTGTGTCGATATCGTCGTGTGCCCAACCCAACGTGTCGCATCCATCTATCGTGTTTGAACAGTACAAGTCGAGTTATTACCGGGTTTCAGCATGTCGACTTGACTGATTGCCTTGGCCAATAATCCTTGCCACAATACACATCACTTCTGTTGTCCGGTTCATGGAATGAATGTAGCAATGCGGCCGCCCTCGTTGAGAGGAACCAATGAACAATTCTATTATGAAGGCAGTGCAAACGAGCATCGCTCAATGGTTTCTGGTCATGGCTCCTGTTCCCTTGCCATTGTAGATGCAGACAAATGGCAGAATGGCATTGGGGTGAAACGGGTTGATGCATAACGCATAAAGCCACTCATTTACTTGCCTTGCTCAATTGGGGGCGTTCAAAAGATTTCAAGTGATTTTCCCCAGTGTCTATCAAATCTCGTGAACCAACTACATGTACATACAACTCAGACAATGTACCGAAAATATTACATCACATACATGACCAAGCCGCTGTCTGTCTCGATCGGGACACACATGTCAAATTGTTCTTGGCACATTGTTTGGATGTTACACTTAGATGGATGTCGCAGTCTGCCGCACAGGAGGTCTGGGGCCTTTAGCCCATTCGTCTATTCCTTACAAGAGAACAGAGTCTAGAACTGCCAACAGATACCGAGAAGAAATTTATAGGACCGGGATCCAAGGGGGATAGGTTCATTGCTTTCGCTTGAAACCTCTTTTTGCATCTTGTTTGTGCTCAATCATGTTCGTCTGTTCGTCTATCGGATCGGTAGGAGGGAGCGGGGGGTCGGGGGGGCACGGAGGGAGGGGCGCTGTGGCTAATGTAGAGGAGGGTGGTGGCTTTGCTAGCCTAACCACGCTGTCGGGTTGCCGCGCGCACAAGCTTCGTGGTAGGCACGGAGAATTTCCAACTGTGCCCCTGCCCGCTGCCCAAGGCCAGGTAGTGCCCTAACCAAGCTGCAGAATAGGAGGGGTGGAGGGGAAGGCTCCGGCTACGATTACAAACACCGCCATCATTCAGGAGCAGAGCAGCAGGTACAAACCACACGACGATCACGGCTTGGACATTGAATCTCGGCGCAGTGTACTGAACTCTTGAGCAAGCAGGAATTTAATAGCCGGAGCTCTCAACTTGGTGCTATTCCGACTGGCTCATCACAAGCACTTCAACCCGTACTCTACCCTAGACAGGGTAAGTAAAAAATCTTAGTCATTACTCTGTACAGAGCAAAAGCTGCCCGGTGCATCGGGACTCAACTGCCACCTGAAAATAAACCACCCCTCCAAACAACCGGCATCTCGGCTGACCCGTTGCCTACAAGAGTCTCATCCCACGGCGCAACCGGGCGCATCCACTATTGGTGTCACAGCTGCTCGAGAGTGCTGGATCAAACGTTTGCTCAGTCGTCCACCGGCACCCGCCTTGCGTCTGGACAAGCATTGTTTGAGTCTTTTATTGATCCATTTGGCTTCTCTGCTGGATCATCCGAGCTTCAACTTACCTGTACTAGCTCACTTCAAAAGAGGCGCCTAGCTCAAGGAGCAAGGGAAAACCAGAAATAGAACAAGATGGCCGACGTTCCGCTGCAGGTTATCTCTGATAACTCATCGTCCGAACGCCGAATCACCCCGTCATGGTCCATCAGCCAGCTCAAGGGCAAGCTCGAGTTTGTCACCGGAGTGCCGCCGTCGTATCAGAGGCTGTCGCTCAAGACCGCTAACCAGGCCGCCATTCCAATCGAGGCTGCTGATGAGGACAATGTCTATCTAACCAGCTTTCCCCTGTCACCATATGCGGAATTGCACGTAAGTTGTCCATGCTACCACGCGCACAAGCCGAATCCTTGGATTCACAATTCATTATGCTGTCTCATAGCAAAGACGTCGGTATTCATCGTCATGGTTTCTATGTCGACTTCTTCATTAGAGCCTGACACCTCGAAAGACAATGGCTAACAGTCTGTCTAGGTATCTGATTCTAGACCCGCAGGTGCGCGTCCCAATTATACTGACACCTCCAATGTCGAAAAGTACGTCATGCCGGAGGATGAGTATGAGAAGAAGACAGACTCCGTACTTGCCTGGAAGAAGGCTGAGAAGCTAGGACGCTTCAATCCGGATGCTCCCAGTCTGGAACAGGCCAAGGTCAACGCCTTTGCCCAGGAGGTTGAGGGCCGTGGGCTTGCGGTAGGCAAGAGATGCCGCGTCGGTGGTGACGATTCCCGCAGGGGCATCATCAAGTATATTGGTGAGGTCAAGGAGATCCCCGGCGGTCTAGGTGCCTGGGTAGGTGTCCATCTTGATGAGCCGGTGGGAAAGAATGATGGCAGCATAAGTGGCACCCGATACTGGGGGCAGGAATCCATCCCCAAACATGGTGTCATTGTCCGTCCTGAGCGAGTCGAGGCCGGCGATTTCCCTGTCCTGGACGATCTGGAGGACATGGAGGAAATATGAGCCACTGATGATGCTGAGTGAAAAGCAGACAGCATGTGGTCTCACGACCAAGTCATGAGTCTATCGATGTTGTACATACATAAAGTCATATGAATCAAGACGTTATACTCAAGAGGCAAGGAATATTTCGAGCTATCGAAACCATTCCAGGATACCAAAGGGGACCATTGATTGGTCAATTGGCAGCCTGATGGCCATAATCGTGGCATGTCGTGCGTAATAGCTGGGCTCACTCCCTACTCTTGACATTGAAATCTACCCCTTCACCTGCAGCGGAAACGGTTTGTGTCTTTCTTCTCACTTATACGATTAATACGGATACACAAGCTGACGTAATTACCAAGAACTTAGTCAGTGTTTCACTAGAGTCAAGGGTTCTTGTCCAAGGTCCAGGTACGAGATGCACAGCCCGAGACATACGCTACATACGACGTCACCGGCTTTCCTGCCAATTTTCGGTAATGGTTGAGAATTTGGCTCATGCGACCCTGGATACACTGTGTAAGGCTGTGAGTTTGATTTCGCTATCCCGGGGTATCCGTGAAGAGGAAGAGCGAGTCCCCGCCTTGTTGCAATATACGTATCCAGAGATCGGAGAATCCTTCCCATGCTCTCTCATCCCCCACAGATGGTGTCCATGTCAGTGTCGCAATCCAAAGTTGACCGTGCGTAAAGAGTTCAAGGTATGTTGTTCCGATCAGTACATACACTATTGGGTACACAGTCAAATTCCCAGGGGTTCGGGTTTGACGTTTTCGTGGTGCGGGCGGGCGGGAACATGGGAGGGGGGGAGGGAAGAGGGTTTCCCAGCATATGATCTTCGAAAGGGCGAGAGCCGCAAGACCAGGGGGGTTTGGGTGTGCTCAGACAAAAGGAGCACAATGGGGATCGATGGAGCCAACGTAATGCGGCTCCCAGAGTGTGTATCCAGGGATGTGCGTGTGGAAGGGGGGGAAGGGAAAAAGGGACCCTCCCATTCCGATGCTGCCGATATTTCACAAAAAGAGATCTACTACCTGAATCAACATAATCCGCTTGCTGCACGTGCGTTGTCGATCCGAGATGGCGTTGCAGATTTCCCATCATACGCGCACCTAGACAGGCAAGCAGGTGACCAACGGGGAACTGAGTGGTTCAAAATTTCAGAACAGCTGCAACCAATTAAAAAAAAAAAAAAAAAAAAAAAAGGCCGTCGACTATGGGTTCGTCGTATTCGAAAACTGATACACTACAAGATACAAGTTCCCGGCAGGTTACACACGACCATGGTACTTTAATTCATGCCATGTGTTTGCAGATATGGACAGCGGTTCGTTCTTCTCTCAGGTGCGCGTCAAGTGACACGACATGACTTTGTGTTTCTCATCTTTTAAATTATATATGCGGGAGCGAAATCCTCCGATGCCGTTTTGATTCATGCTTACGATGATCACGTACGATTTTTTTTTTTTTTGGGGGGGTGGTGTTGCAATTGACAAAACATTGTCAATAAAATTGGTTGAGCCGTTTTCTCCCCAAAGACGCCAAGAGGAAAAGCTGGGCAAAGAGAATGCCGATGTCTGATCCACGACAGAATCCTTGGTTCGCAACGACCGGAGAGAAAGGAATAAACAGCATAATCGTTTCTGACCGTGTTCGATCTACCGGTCACCGGTAGCTCAAGACACGAGAGAGAGAGAGAAAACAACCCGACTGGAACTTACAGCTAGGATTATTACTGAGGCTATTCCCGTGGTACAAACCAAACGCCATCAAGGCAGATGCATACTATGGATTGAAAAGGAATCCTTGGAGGAGTCATGCGTTTCGAGGGAAAAGAATATGGCAACAGGCATTCGTTGTTTGGTGCTAGAGAGCTTCGATAAAGTCAGAGCCAGATTTCATGATCTGCTTGCTGCTGCTGCTGCTTCTTCAAGCCTTTGCTGCAGCTTATCCTCTTATATTTTATTGGACAAGTGTTGATGGAAATGTTGGAGTACAAATGAACCAAATGCTCTGGCCAATCATGCCCGAAAAAAGGCTTTGGCATTTTTGCATGTTGAAGTGGTCAAAGTTGATGTTGCAATCTTGGCGATCTTTTTGACATGCGCATGCTTGTTTTTCTTCTTCGCAAGTCCGCGAGGGTCCCAGTTTTTCAGCACGTCTGGGGAAAGTGCCGCGTGCCGATCGCATAGATAATCCGGGACTTTTTTGGGGGGTGATCCCAAGGAATGAGGCTCATCGAGTCTCGCATCAAACAGATTTGCACTCTAAAGAACATTCATGCCGATACTTTGGAAACCAACAAAACGTCCGCGCGTCCCCCAACGGAGGTTTGAAAAGAATATGTTGAAAAGGCCAATAATAATTCCACGCGGGAGTTTTGATACTTAGCAGTCGTTGTTAAGAAGCAAGGATACGGAATCTTGTCAAGAGCGTGCCGAGAAGAGCCCAGATTGGGTTTAATGTAGCTGAAGGTCTGGAGAAGAATAGGCTTTTGCTTGCTCTCTGATTGGAGGACATGAGGACTGATGGGTTCTGAATGGGGAAGAGCCAGACTTTTTGTGGTTATTGGGGGGAGGGGCGGTGCAACCTTGGGAGCAATTCATTCAACTCTTGGCACCAGCTAATGTCACACGCTCCAGCTCCAAGCTCCAGGCAGCTTTTGGTAGCTGCTTCTCAGTGCTGTTTGTGCTGTGGCTCACTGATGCTGTTGCTTTAACCAGAGCTTGCGCTAAAACCGCCGTGACGTCTCAGACAAACCCCCATTCTCCAAAACGCCACCTCAGATCCGTCTCGGGATGCACATCAAATCCGAAGTCCCTTTTTTTTTTTTCTTGCGCGCGCCAGGACCAAGCAAGGCGCAGACTTGACAGGACAGTCAGAAGAGTCATCATTTTTCTGTTTGATGCCAATCATCGTTGATACTTCTCAACTGTCGCTGAGTAGCCCCTCCTTGTCGGGAATAGCGCGCGCTCGCAAGACGACAGGAACGGGATTAGAAACCAATCTTACATGAGACAAAAAGTCCGAGTGAATCATCAATCAATCAGTCAGCTCTTCTCAACCAACCTACAGTACGGCAACCTACTACCTACTGACCCACTTTCACTCGCTGCTCACCTAGCTGCCGCTTCAGCAGCGTCAGCGTCGTGTCTGTCGTCGGAACCGGCTCGGCCAAAGAAACACACAAGTCGATCGACACGTCCTCAAGGTCTTGGCCGTCCATGCCCAGCCAAAAGCCAAGCCTTGGAGGGGGGTTTCTCGGGCTTTCGTCCACACACAAGTTCCATTAGGTTCAGGTTATTTGGGTATGTTGTCCATACGTTCGTTTCTAGACGCTTTTCTCTGCTCCACCCTACCCAAAGCCAAATGGTCAACGACTATCAAATCCCCAATGGCCAAGCTTCCTATTCATCATGCACGTGCATGGATGAAATAAACCATCTGCTTTTTACTTTCCTTCCGCTCTCTCCGTCGTCCGCATTTCTGCTGCTGCTGTTGCAGTTGCCGGTCGTCCTGTTAAGAGAAGCCTGGCGCACGCCCTTGCGAGTCTGAGCAAGGCCCTGGATTGGAATGCTCACATCTCAATTTGCGCACTTACTAAGGGCAGCCAGTACACGTCAAACAAAACAATTCGCGGGCGAATTTAACCCGCTTTTCATCCCTTGGAAAGTGAGCGAGTGAATGAGTTCAAGTGGTGGAACAGGACCTGCGAGAATGCGACAATCTTCCAGGTTACCGGATAACTGACCTCTGCGGGTTAAAACTTTACCGTGTCACTTCTGTGCCAACAGCTTTCACCCCATTTTCCGTCGCTCACGTCGTGAACCAGCGTCGGGGAACGAGATCGCATCCTCATCGAACCGGGGCGGCGCCGAGGTCGCTGCATCTCCCGGTTGCAAATATGGCCCGTTTCCTAAGAGCCGTGGCCATGCTACTACTGCCCGTAGCGGCGCTGGCCGACCAAGCCGAGACGGCGCCACAGACATCACTGCCGTCTTACTTTGCCGACTACCAGATGGTTCTATCTCTCAGTCCCTCGGAGACAATGGCAGTCGCATCACCTCAGTATCCCGTTGTGCCTCTCACTGGAGGCGCTGGCTTGAACGCAACTCAGACTGCGTTGGGCGTCATAAGCGTGACAGGCTCATTGGTCAAGGTGGATCAGACAAACTACAACTTGTTCAACGATAGCAGTCAGATTGCCTACGTGTCGTGCGACCCGAATGAGTCGAATATTTCTCCCAGCGACGTGCTAAATGGCCTCATGGACTCGCCCAACCACCCTGCCGCTATTCTCTTGTACACCGTTGATTCGTCAATGATGTATTGCTCGCTGACGGGCAACGATTTGACCTACCAGTCGATATGGAGTATGGTCAGCTCCGAGGATGCTTGGGAGGCTAGGAATCTGACTGCTGTTGCTGCCTCCAGTACGGTTGAGGCTGCCATCACCGGGAACAGCACGGGAGCGTCGTCTAGCTCCAGTGCCAGTGGGGGAAACAACTCTGCAGTAGCCATGAGCATCCTTTATAGTATTACCGGCCTGATTACTCTCCTCTTCCTTGTCATTATCGCGACCGGCGCTGTCCGCGCGCACCGGAATCCTGAAAGGTATGGACCGCGCGCTGGACACGGCGGTCGTCCCAGACAGAGCCGAGCGAGGGGCCTTGCCAGGGCTGTCCTCGAGACACTTCCCATTGTCAAGTTTGGAGACCCTCAACCTGCCAAAGGCGACCCGGATCAAGAGCTCGAGAGCGTGGCAGGAGACCATCGGGTAGACTCTCCAGAACCGGTGCCGAACATGACTTCGGGCAAGGCAGCTGTAGTATCAGCACCGACGACGACGACGGCAACGACGGAATCAAATACAGACGGTGCCAAAGCGCCTGCCGCAGAAGCCGGTACTCCTTCCGCAAAGAATGGAGGAGCTGGAGGAGATGAAAACCTGGGCTGCACCATCTGCACAGAAGACTTTACTGTTGGCGAAGATGTACGGGTGCTGCCTTGCGATCACAAGTTTCACCCTGCCTGTATTGATCCCTGGTTGGTCAATGTTTCTGGCACATGTCCGTTGTGGTAAGTACTGGGGCTTTTTCCACTTGCCTTTTTTTTTCTTTTTTTCTTCTTCTTTGGGCTAACATTGGTTGCCAGTCGTCTTGATCTTCGTCCACAGAAGTCAAAAACATCGACCAATTCAGCAGAAGTTACAGGCACTAGTAGTGCGGCTGGCGGTGAGACTGAGGCTACTTCTGCTGCCGCCGCCGATAATACCGCACCAGATGCGAGACAAGATAGGCGTAGATCGCGCCTCTTGGACTGGAACCGTCTACGTCATGCACCGGTAGATGAACGCATTCAGGCTCTGCGGCAGATTCGGGAGGAAGGGCTATCATCAAATGCAGAAGCGGTTTCCCCAAACACGCAGCACACGAGATTGACCGACAGATTACGAGAAAAGTTTCATATTCGAACACGAACCCAAGGTTGAATTGGGTGGATGCCATGATCAGCATCCAATATTTTGAGAATGATGGAATGATGGAATGATAATAGTGCATGCTCATGTTAGTAGCACGGTCGGCATAGAATTGTGGTTGCGACTTTCTTTTCTCTTCAAGCTACCTGGCTGGGATCGGGCAAAGTCGAGAGGACGTAATGATTCTGGTTGCACGGCGTCTAGTCGCAGAGCGTGGGATGCGATTCACAGGTGCTTAATCACGTTATTCTCCGAGTCGGAGGAGGAAGAAAGAGAGCAAAAACCATGCTCAGACTTGCATTGGGTCGGCGTTTGCGGCATCATTTTTCTTCGATCGCGGTCTCAAGTCACTGCCGTTTATGGCATTGCGAATATACAAGAAAATGAACTTCAAGCTCATTGGTCACTTTGTACAGCATTGGTATTTCGCCAGGTACCGTGTAACAATGATAGTCAAAAAAAAAAAAAAAAAAAAAAAAGAAGACTTTCTTGACACTTGTTTCACACTATTTGCCGTTTTCGTTTTCGTATATAGGGAAAAACTACGCGGCGCACGGCAGCAAGTGACCAAAGGGTAACAAGTGTGTAGTTATTGTACGTAAAATTGGCAAGATCTTTAATTCTTCGTGCATACCGAAGATCGTGAAGCTAGTATCATCACGGCTTCCTCTCTACGCAGTCCAGGCGTGTTTGAGGAGAACGCAACGGATTCTGTTTATTTAGGAGCTCTTATTTAGTTTGCCCGCATCTCCGCTCCCAATAAAAAAAAAAAAAAGTCTGGACCCCACGCCTCACACATTCTCACATTGCCCAGAGACTGGTGCGAGTCAGTGCCGATGGCTCGGATAGGGGAATCTTGTTGGTGATTCAGAGGCCCGCTGAATGTCTCGCTCCAGAGGTCCCGGGGACGTGGTTCGAATGCCGGGGTGCCGGTGCAACAACTCCCCACAAGCAAAAATACCTACCTTGGGCTAAGGAGTATCCGGTAGTTGAATCAAAGTAGCTGGGGTACAGAGCTCCATAGCGACGCTTGTTGCAAAATGGATTTTACACTAAAAAATACTATTAGGCTTACCCTCCCTCTTTTTTATAGCCACTAATAATTGCGTAAATCATTCTAAATCAATCGTCGCCAACCAAATTATAATAATAAGATTCGTTAAAGCATTAAAATCCGTAAAGCACTATATACTACAAAAAGCATGCGACAGCCATAAATACGTATCGCACCCACTGGATTTGCACCCACTGCACTGCACCTACTGGATTTGCACCTACTGGACTTGCACCAACTGCATTTGCACTAACTATATTTGCATTAATTGCATTTATACTAACTGCATTTGCATTAACTGCATTTGCACTAATTATATTGCACTAATTGCCTTATACTAATTGCATTATACTAATTATATTACACTTTTGCATTTATTTTTATATTTATTAATAATATAATATAATAAATGCAAAGGTGTAATATAATTGGTATAATGCAATAAGTGCAATCTAGTAGGTGCAGTGCAATAGGTGCAGTCTAATAGGTATAATGCAATAGGTGCAGTCTAGTAGGTGCAGTGCGGTGGGTGCAGTCTAATAGGTGCAGTGCAATAGGTGCAGTATAGTAGGTGCAGTGCGGTGGGTGCAGTCCAGTGGGTGCAGTGCGGTGGGTGCAGTTGGTGCAATACGTATTTTGTGGCTGCAGTGGCTGTTATCGACTTATCCATAGGTGTGTAGTGGGGTGCGCGTACTCCAACTTGCTTTTTTTATCCATTTTGCAACAAGCGTCGCTATGGAGCTCTGTACTGGGGGTGATCTATAGTCGGTCTCACGCGCGGCTCTGTAAGACGCATATGAAAATTGATCCATCAAAAGCCCCATTCCTTCTTTTTTTTTTTTTTCTCCCCTCCTAAAAATGTCCAGACGATGACAAGATCTGCCAAGCACGTGTTTGGCAAGACATGTCTAGTGTCTGCGCTCATGAGGTCCTTGGCTGCCATGGAAAAAACAAAGGCTGGGATGGGGATAAGCAAGGATCACAAAATACAAAGACGATGGTTGGATAGAATGAGCAAGTTGGTGCCCCATAGAGTTTTGGTCTTATGCACGTTGAGATTTCCATCCGACAGCAAAATGCGGAATATTTTTCAATTCAAGAGTCATGTCAAGGTCGCATTGAGAGTTTTTGTTTTTTATTTCCATCTCGGGAATTGATGACGGTATATTTCCTGCTGCTCGCGCTCTCTACTCTACGCTCTGATTTGTGCCTCGGATGAAGGCGTGGGCCCTTTGGCTTGGAGGGGAGACCCAGAAGAAGCTTTCGCCTTTTTCCGGATCTGCCAAGTCCCAATGCCACAAGCGCCGTCTTTGCTAAACTCTATAGTGAGACTAAACCCTATAATGACCCCGTGGTGAGCCAACGATCCCGAAGATGTGAGTGCGTGTGCCGACGTGTTGATTGGGGTGCGCGTTGCAACTCTGCCCATGTAATTTTTGGGCATTCATGATGCTTGTTACTTGCCCTGATGGTGTGGTGTAGTCTCGTGTCCGTGTGTGTGTAGAGCTTGACAGAGAGTGTGTATGTCTTTTTGGGTGCACTCTCTCTCGGAAGCGCTTCTCGTGTAAGGGTGTTTGTCTGTGGTCTGACCGCTCTCTGGGTGTACTCACTCTGTTTAGAGTTAAGTGCCCATGGATGATGATTTTGCGGCTTGCTTTTCTTTACGCGCACACCTTTTAAGGTGCCAGGATATACGCATAGCCGTCTTTCAAATATGGTTCAACTGGCCTCTTTCCCCCCATCCTGCGCACCGAGGTTCTTCTTCGCTTGAAACGAAAACAAAAAAAAAAAAGGTGCGAAGAAAAATAAAAATAAACAAGAGGCAAAAGGGCAAAAGGAAGTGCTGCTTTGGTAGTTGTTTTTCTTTTCTCCTTTTTCTTGTTTGCCCTCCCACACCTCTATAAACGTGGTCTACGTGGCACAGCATAAGCGAAAGACCAAGACGACATTCGGCAGGCAGTGGAAGATCTCTGGCGCATGCAGGCCACTCAACAAGGCAGCATTTCTGCTCATCGCACGGCAGCGGACGGTCACTCCGGAGGAAGAAAAAAAAAAGGTAGCCACTGGGAATCATTTTTTTGCAATACCGCCTGCCGCGGGGAAAGAGATAGCACGTGGCTGATATATCTGGCTCTCGACCCTAACTTCATTGTCCGCAAACGATCTTTCTGGAAGAAAAAGAAGAAGAGTGGCGCATCTTGAATATAATCAACCTTTTATCAAAACGGCATCGTTACTACTCATACCAAAAACCACGACGACAAGCCATCGCAATCGCCCGCTTGAGAGGCAGGAAACAGATACCTGAATACGGAAATATCGTGGAGATCTCCGATCTTGACATGATGACTTGAATTTCGCAAAGAGTCGAACAAAACTTTTACAACAGGCTCCCTCCCCTCAATTTACTTGGAGAGAGGGCCTTTTTCCTTCTCCCCCTCCTCTCAGATAACCCGCCATGCCACCGAGCCTGTCGGTTCGAATCAGGCAGGAAAGCGACATTACTGTACCGGAAGTCAAGTCCCAGCCTCCCGGCGGCGTCGTTGCCGATGTTCTCATATCGCTGATTGCCGTCACGGTATTGGTGTTCTTTATAAGTATGCCTCTCCCCAGCGCCTCAAGTAGATGCATCCACGGTGACCAATTGGTCAATGGTGGATTTGTATTGTTGTTGTAAACATCATCCCGAGTCTGTGTCAATTGGGGCTAATTTATGATTATCACCTTAGCAAAAAGAGCTCTCGCGATAAAAAACTGGAAAAAGGTTCCATTCTTGGTATGGGGTACGTATAATGCCTCGAACAAGAGGAACCATAATGTCGACCGATGGATTTTCTTTGCTAACGGGGAACATTTCAAATACACAGTTGTGCTGGGCATCTTTGTCGACTCGTGGCTCTTTGTGTTCATCACGGGAATCCTCAAGTATGGCGTAGACCTCAACTCGAGCTATGCGGTTTGCTCCGCAGCCCTCTTTCTGTGCTTGACATTCTACATGACGGCCAAAATTGTAGGTTTGCCGCCTGCCACCCCTCCTCTAAAGAAGACGCCTGGTCGCTGATATAGATGTAGCTATTTTACATATTCCTAGTCGAGAGAGCTGTATGTGATTTAATCGACGCTCTCATATATCTCCATCTCGGTCGATTTGAAAGTTACTGATTCGCGTGAATTTAGTACGTTGTTCGAAACGACACAAAACCGAGGTTAAAATCAAAGTTGTACATATTCAACACATTCGTGGTGATCAGTAAGTCTCACCATGAGGAACTTGCAAGTGGGTATCTACTAACGTTGCCCAGTCTTGTATCTCGTGGTGGCAATTGTCAATCTTATCTAGTAAGGCCACCGGAGAACCTCCTTCACCCCGGGGCGAGCACGAGGTTTCTTTTGTGCATCGTGTACTGACCCGGATTGCAGTCGCATCACTCGTATCGATGACGGGGTCTGCATAATAGGAATGCAAAGAGGAGCAATGGTTGCTCTCCTTGGTTTTGACACCTTTGTCAATGTAAGCATTGCACTCCTGAATTCTCGCAGATGGACTGACCGATGAAACCAATCAGTTTTACCTTACCACACTCTTTCTCGTACCATTAAGGTGTATGTTGAACGTCGTTGCCCAAAGAACAGTGGTTCTTTCATCTTGTCTTGCGCCACGGTTTCTGATTTGGTTCCCTTTCCTTAGGCCTATACGCATCCCCGGATTTACCGCAAACGTCGACAAATGTCCGACTTCGCTCAATGGTCATGCGTACCTTTATTGGTGCAATCCTCACGACCATCTCTAGCTCTACGTATGTATACACGCTCCTTGATGTCACTGATGAGTGCCCTGCGCTGCTCATTCACACGAATTGGCAAACTTACTGACTTGATCTATCAACAGCAACATTGCCGTTCTCGTGGGTTTCAATGGCGAACCAGGGTGGCTCTGTTTGCTTTGCTGTAATTGTGATAGTGAGTTTTTTTTTTCCCCCCTTTACCAAGGCACAAAGTCCCACCCAGACCATTTGCCATCTCGCAAGACTCCCCATAGTCTTGAAGTATATCATTGGTCATTGCACGCTCGAGTCATCCCCATCCCCCCCTACACAAAAGGTTGAATTCTGACAGATGTGAAATTATACAGTCCTCTTTTGCAGCATCGTGGTTCATTGGGTTACTTCGCACGACAATGCAGCTACCGAGAGCAGCACCGATCTCAAGATTTCGATTCTGACCGCGGCACGGCACAGCTACCGAGACAGACCAACATCGGGCGGGAGCTTGGGGTCACGGAGAGTGGGAACGGCAAGTGGGACGGGAACGGGGACGGGAGAGCCGGCGGATGGGGACAGAGGAGACTATGATTTTCCCGCCGGGGGCGTCGGCCGCGGTGGTGGTGGTGGTGGTGGTGGTGGTGGTGGAAGAAGAGGCGGCGGCGGCGGAATCGGCATTCACCGTAGCGTAACGACAAGGACCGAGTACCGACCGCTCGACGAAATGGACGTGACGACGTACCCGTTCCGACGCGCCGATGCCTCTGCGTACTGGTCGACGGAGCTCCTCAACTGCGACAAGGCCAACGAGACGACGCCGCTTCACCACGATGGCGGTCACGGTAGCGAGCCTGCGGCTGTTGTTCCAAAAATACCACCAATAGTACCCGGCCTCGCGGCCCCGACTGGCGTGGTAGAGACCGTCATAGTAAGCGGCAAGGACACGCCGACACCGTTTGAGAACCAGGGATCATCATGACGCGAAGGAATCACCTTGGAAGAGCATGCCGTGGACTCTTGAAGGGAGATCTGGGCTTTCGATCTTACGACTTACGAGCATAAAACGAAACTGGAAGTCTCATACGGCTTCCAGTACGATGTAATTATTAAAGACATAGACATCTGTATAATACTCAAACTACTTGGCCCATTCGAATTTCGGCTTGAAAGGCCTTACCGTCGTAATGATGAGTTGACGACAGTCATCAGATACAACGCTGTCTCAAAAAAAGTATCATTCAGTTCAACCATGCAGATGGCTGCATGGATTTTCTAAACCACACAAAGTTGGAATGCATCCCTCTCTGTCCCTGCATGAGATGAGAGACACAAGGGCACAGCGCGACCCCGACCGTCGCAAGCGGCAGGCAAAGAGGGCAGGGACGGCAAGGCAATCAAAAACATGCCCACGTGCAACCGACGTCAAAACTCCAAGACATTGTCCTAGACAAAGAGACATCTGGCACGGCAGCCCAGAAAAGTCGGCAGGGTCCAGGGGCCTGGGTGCGTCAATGTTTAATGAAAACGGGCCAGAGACATACTGAGCCACAAGCCTCCATTCAATCCCGATCTATACAGAATGGCAAATTTTGACAATCAGAGTCCGATTGCTCGGAATTGGTGGAGGAGAAAAAAATAGAGCCAAGAGATGGAATTGGAATGCAAGACCAGTAAACCATATCACAAGTAACGTAAACTCAATCTCGGAAAAAGTCAAGATCACGTTATCGGGCATGTGTGATTTAAGCACGCGACCGTTCAAAGTCTGAATCATTTGATATTTGGCACCTGATGGCGATATGAGACGACCGCCGTTCCCAGATAATGCTTGTTTGTTGTTTGTTGTTTTCCAAAAAAGAAGCCATGCGCTTCTACACCATGCCTACCAGCAGTATTGCCGTGAGACACGTCATTGATTTGGCAGAGCATGACAAGAGAGCCTCTGATATTGCGCATCAATCATTATGGCCATAGTTGCGCGAGTCATTTTGAGTTTACATTCTGCAGACCGACGCGACCTGTCAAAAGCTCGCGTTGTATGCATGATGGCAAGTGAAAGGATAAACAACAGGACATTCATGCTCAGCAATAAGGTTTAGGCAACAATCATTCACTTAGCAGCAGGATTGCGCAGCGGGTAACTGGGGGGACAAGAATAACTATTCACAATGCAACGCAGTTGATTTCGTGTGAGGTCGTTAGCTCATGAATCTATCCTTGATCCTGAGATTTCCTGTCCATCTAAGTCAAAGAAATCCGAGATCCGACGGGGAAAAAACTAGGTTTCCTGTCCAAATGCTCGGCATAGGCACTCTGGATGAGAGGCCACGGAGAAATATGTACAAATGAAGCTGAATTTTGTCACGCCATGCCCAATGCGAGATTGCCTCCCCTACTTGTAATACACGAAGAAAGATCCTTTCCTAGCCTAGCGCGGAAGAAACAGTTTACGAAGACGAGGCGTAGATGCTACCGGCAGTGCTGAGGCTAGTGGTGCTCTCCATCAGGTAGCCAGTGGCGAGGTAGAAGTAGGCGTACTTGTCGACGAAGCTGTAGGTCGAGTTGTTGTCGAGCTGGTCAAGGGCGTAGGTGAGGAAAGTGTCCTCGTCGCCCGAGGTGACACCGAACTCGGTGACCCAGACGGGGTAGTTGGTCTGAGTGTAGGCCTCAACAAGGTAGTCCAGGAAGGTCTGAGCACCCTCCTCGCCACCGGGACCGTACCAGTGCAGGTTGACAAAGTCGATGGGGCAGCTGCTGCCACAGGCTGACATGAAAGAGGCGAGCCAGTCGAGACCGAGTCCGGCGTCAGCGCTGCTGGTGATGGAAGGAGCACCAATCTTGATCTTGCCCTGGTACTCGGAGAAGTACTCAGTGTGGTAGGTGGCAGCAGTGGCGGCATCGAGGTTAGCCTGGCCAGCATTGTCGCACTCGTTGAAGCTGAGAAGAGCCTCAACACCATCAGAGACGGCGGCGGAAGCGGCCTCGCTCCAGGAGGAGTCGTAGTGGGTAGGACCCCAGAGCATGGGAATGTAGTTGATGTTGGCAGTCAGGCCACCGTTGGTGAAGCCCCAGTCGTAGCACCAGCCAAACGAGGCGGAGGCGGCAGAGACGATGGTGGAGACGAGAGAAGCATCGTTGTAACCAAGACCACGCTTGGTACCGCTGCTGCTGGAAGAGCCGGTCGAAGCAGCCGAAGTAGTGCTGGCAGCGGCTGTGGAAGTGGTGGAAGCAGCGGCAGTAGTGGTGACAGCAACGTAAGTGCTGGTGGAGCTGGTCTCGGGGGCAGCAGCAGAAGTCTGAACGGTGGACAGAGTGGTGGTGCTGGGGGTCGAGTAGGTGGTCGGGGCGACAATGACGGCCTCGGAAGAAGAGGTGGCAGTGGTCGCGACAGAGGATGCCTCGTAGGAAGAGTCGGGGGCGGCGGCAGCAACAAAGTTGGCGGCCGAGGGAGTAGCGGCGGGGGTCTCGTCGCCAGCGGTGACGGTCACGGTCTCCCAGACGGTGGTGACATCAACCTCGGTGGCAGCATAGACGACATCCTTCTTGTGCAGGTGTCGGTGGCGGGAGGAACCCTCGACTCCATTGAGCAGGTTGGTGGCGGCAATAGCCGGAACAATGTACTTGGAGAACATGTTGAGAAGTGAAGATCAAAAAGATCAAGGTTGCCTTTTTCTTTAGTTCTTGTTGAAGTAGGATCGGGCTTGCGGTGTTGTTGTCGCGAGTTACAAACGCCGATTAACTGACTGGGTCAGATGATGGACGATTGGAAAGCAGGCGTGGTCGAAAGTTGAGGAGGAAGGAGTGAAAAAGAGAATGAATTGATTCTCTTTACTTTCTTTGCTGGTGGGGGACGGCGGATTGCTGTTGTTTTTCTCGAGTATCCGGTTCGGATTCTGAATGAGTGTGTTCGGTTCCAGCCAGGCAAACGCAGTCAGTGAAGGACAGAGTGGATATCAACACAGAGTCAGTCAATATGAACGAGAGAATTGACAGCGCGGCGAAGATACGAAGAACCAAATGCTTCGTTTGCAAACGGGGGGGTCGAGGCTGGCGACCGGTTTTAATGAAAGTAGTTTTCTACGTAGCAGGAGAAAAGGATGAAGAACAACTGGGTGCGTCCCGGGATTACGAAAGCGCGAAGTGGACGAGGAGGACCGGCTTAAATGACAAACGGGGCACTGGAGGGGGGAATTTCATCAAGGCCGTGGTCAAGGCACAGCAGGCGGAGCCCGTGAACGGTTGCTTAAGAGGATCGGGCGGGCGCCAGGGGTCGGGGTGCTAAGGAGTGCGCCCAGGAACGCCAGGGGTGCCAGCGCGCGGATGCACTGCTGCTTTCAGGCACATTTACACGCTGATTGGTCCGCGGCTCTTAGCAAGCGCTGTTAAGACACATGGGATCTTTGGTCTGGATTCAGGGCAGGTGGAGACGAAGACCCTTGTCGTGCTCCGTAATTCAAGTCCCACAGAGAGACCCACTCGTCCGAAGAAAGAAGGAAAAAGAAGAGAGGGAAAAAAAGGGCAGCAGGGCAGAGGAGGGCAGAAAAACACAACACCCACACAACCGTCAGCCGAGAGGCACCTCTTACAGGCTACATCACGCTCTCAAAGCACCCAAAACACCTTAACCGCTCAAGCACCCAGCTGTTTGGACGAACCCGTTCCCCCGCAAGCATGAAAATAAAGAAAAAGAAACAAGAGGAAACAGCTCCGTTTCGCCCAGGAGTAGTAGAGATGAACACTGTCCGTGTGTCCTGCCTACCAACTACCTTACATTACGTACTTTTTGTGCTACCCAACTCTATTACAGTGCTCCGTAAAAAACAAAATAAAGCATACATTTGACAACTGGGGAAGATCCCCATTGCACCAAGGCCAATCGTCCCAATCATCTTCTCATCTCATCTCGTCCGCATCATTCAATCAATTAAACACACCGTTCTCTCCAATTGCTAGCATACAAGCTCGTTCACAACATGGAGACCGACTGGCCGGCCATGACCGTACAACATAACAAGCAAACATGCAAACATGAATCCTAACAGCGATTGCCCCAGCACGGGCAGGAATAAGTGCAGCCAAAGATAGATCTTTTTCTTCCCTCCCCCGTCCAGGCTTGTGTGTTCCGGAATCCGTCTGTTTAGCAGCACTACCTAGCCCTGCCCAGCTCAGCGGCACTGCTTTGGGTCTGGTCTCGCCACGAGGGGATCGATCGTGAGGACCCAAGAAAACGGTCCGTTTGGACCGCTCTCCAGGTCCTGCGCCAGTGTCGACGATTCGCGCCGCCAACGAGCTCTGCCAGCTTTTTGCCAGCTTAGCTGGCTTGGCTTTTGGCGACTTGACTCCTTTCCAGACCCCACACGACAGTAATAGGAGCCCATGATTGGTTACACTTATGCAGGTACGCCTTGGTCCGACGGTTTGTGTCTGCAGCTCCTGATGCAAGCGGAAAAAAAAAAAAAAAAAAAAGCACCGCGCGCACGTCAGCCCAAGAGTTGGACTGGAGCTTCACAAGCGCAGGAGGGAAGAAAGGGAAAAAACCTAACAGAACAGGGGTTCAGCGGCTTGCCCGTCAGCAGCCAAGAAAGCCAGAAAGCCACATTAGAAAAGCTTCGGGAATTCTAGCACCTCTTTTGTTGTTCATCAGTTTACTCAACCCCATCCAAAAAGATCATTTTCATCAGCCGCCCCCTGGGTAAAGTCAAGCCAAGCCAAGCGGTGATGCTAAATACATACGTAAGTTTGAAAGCTTGCGACACAGCCACGATGATGACTACCGACTGGCGGCCAACAACGGACATGCTTGTTTGATGTTCGAGTTGCTTCGTATTACTACACTACTACCTAACACACGAAGCAAGTACAGGATCTACTGTACATGACTGCCCGCTCCTCCCAGTTTCAATCAGTCAAAGCCACCACCACTGGTTGTCTGCAAATCGCAGCCACATTGATATCTTCAGGTCAAGCAATATCATACTGTCGGCCGGCAGTCTGCCTACAACAATAAACAATTCCCCCCTTGAAAAGCCATCCCTCCCACTTGTTATCCTCGGCTCATCACTGGAGGCCACGCCATTGCTCATTAGACATTGTGATGCCGCGCGTCTGCAGACAACTATCATGGGCTGTTTCGACGGTCATCCAACAAGTGCGCTCCGTCCAAGGCCACGACTCAAGCCCCCTCTCAGCTCTCTTCCCCCTCTCGAGTCCCCACTGTCTCTCACTGGCTAGACCAGCGTCGTCGCCCGCTTGCTTTTCTTCAGGTATAGCTCATTACGTGGGAAATGTCCTTGGCCCGCTGCTAGTAGGGGGGCAAAGTGGTACGGATGGGCTGGCGGATGGCGCTCTTCTTCCCGGCCATCGAGAGCGGGACAAAAAGCTTGGCATCGCGCGACCGCCGCCATCCCCCCTTTGGCCGCGTATGAAACAGCACCGACGATCAAGCGAAATTATGGGAGTCACTCAGGTGTTGGACAAGTGTTGCACTAGATCTGATCACCCATTTCATTTTGGATGATTTACTACTACACAGTACTACTATTTTCCTGCCCAATTGGCCCCCCAAAACTTACACCTACTCAATTGCCCAGGAAAACCACTCAATGTTGATCGTTTTCCCATTCTAGAAATTGCAAAGAAACCAAGCGGAATGTCCAACTGCCGGACGCCCAGATATTTTGCACAGCAAGGCTGGATCTAGTATCTGTTGATCGTCACCGGTTAGCATCCGTACCAAGGCATCGGTGGGAGCGATCAAGCTTGGATCGGCGTTGTACCGTAGGTCGATCCTCTCGTATTGGTCTGTCAGGGCAACGAATTGCAGCTCAACACACAACTCATATGCACCCAGATGCCTAAAGTCAAAAGAACAAGTTATGATGACATGGCTATCGTAGTATAATTAATACCTATTGTACTCCTGGAGTTCCGGGCACGGGCACAGCAGGGTACCGATGGATGTCTCCCACCCTCCCAATCACGCGTTTCTATTCGTTATCTTTCCTTGTTTTTTCTGCACCAACCCACTCGTACCAGGCATGGCCCGTCTGTAACGATTATTGATGACTGGATATTATTAGCGGCATCACATGTATCCGGCTCTATTCAAATCATTATTGAGAACCATATGTTCCTGCTATCGGGCCGTGGCAGCACGGCGCAAGAGGGATTTTTCTTGCGCTCCCATAACACGTATATTGATTGATCATTGGCGTGTGACTCCCACAGGAGACTCCCACAATTCACGTCTTGCTGCGGTGCATAGCTACTGTGTAGTTGTCTTGCCGCAGGTACGGGCGTACTGTGCATGAGTCTCTACCCATGACACGACTCAGGATTACTGCATTTCGCTACGGATAACCCTGGTCTATGGTTGCAGCCAACTGCCACCAAGGTCGGATTTTGCGACTTGGCACCAATCTTTTACATACACGCAAACCCACAGAGTTTCTTTTCCCCCCTAGTCCTCTTGGACAACAGAACTTTCTAAGCCTTATATAATGTATGAAGTATAAAGTAGGGTGAAAAAGAAAAAGTTCTGGTGAAATGGCCATTTCGAAAGTGATAAGCAAGCTCAAAGGGACTTGCCACAGGCCAAATCCATACGTGGGCTTAGTGGCAACCAATCATCGGAAATGTCGTGTCGAGCAACATAAACCTAGATAATTCGTATCATGGTCACTTGAAAGCAGCATCTCGTCAATTCCAGACGTGGCTGTCAAATAAGATCTAAATCGAGTGAACATGTGGGACCAGCACTGCCAACTCTGGCGCCACACACCAGCTGATGGGCCTTTGACAGCTACTGCCGACCAAGAGAAAGGGGAAGGAAAAACATGGAGATGGTTTATCGAAGATATTGTACAGATCAAGAAGCAATCTGGGGCAATGAGCACGATGCGGGGAAGATGCGCAACAAGATCGGCAAACTGCATCGCCCGAGAAAAGTCTCGTGGTATGCGTCGTCGGGCTTCCAGCGCTTGTAGTACGTGCGTACGAAATAATTGACATGAAGAAAGACTCAACCAGATGGGGTCGCCGGGGGTCCCCTTAGCCGTCAACCCTCATCATTGCCGACGACATGTTCGTCCCAAAACCCTGGCTGGTGCCTCCCCCGTTCCGGCTCTGAGAGCTTCCAGCCTCGATTCATTCCCGGGCTGGCCTTTTAGTGAAGTGAGGATGTGCGCTCCCGCCAGTCACTAGTGGCAGTTCTAGCCATCATACTTGGGGGGATCTGCACAAGACACTCGAGCCATGTTATTTTGTGCCTAATGACGAAGTAATTTGGCATCAAATCACGATAGGAGAGGTCAAGAGGTGTTGGTGAGTGTGTTGATTTAAAATCTCTTGAAGAATGAGCTTGTTCTGATTTTGGGTGGTCAAGTTACTGCTCTTGCGTGTCACGATGATGATTTGTGATGCTCATGCCACGACTCAACATTGAATACAGTCAATAAGAATGGTCTTGCAAGAATTGGGGACGTTCATGGTCTAAATTAAATTAAACTGTATAGTCATATACAAGGGGGAAAAATGTCGGCCTCCGACTGAAAGGTCTGTCGTGTGCAACTACATTTTTCAAAATCGATCATGGGCCAGGAGCGAAACGTTGCTTGAACCATCATTGAGATTGAGTAATGACCAAATATCAAGAAGAAACCTGACGCGTTGATGAGGCTCATGAGTTGAAAGCAATATCTGTAACGTTGTTTACCTTTCCTTGAGATGGGACATGACAAGGCGCATCGATCAAAGAGTATGCGTATGAGTTTGAGAATGGCCATGATCAATCTCGCATGTAATCGTTTCAAATTCCAAAGCCACCATTCAACCTTGGATCTCATCTAGAGAAGTTAAAAAAAAGAAAAGGGATTTACTACACCCAGTCTGCGAGTCCATATCCCGGTCTTGATCATGACATTCTTAGTGAAAGGAGCAGCTTCTCGAGCTTTTACTGCTGGCTGGCTGGTTCATTAAATCGCCAACAACTCCTGCGAGGCCAAGAGGCGCACAGGATAAAGGCTTCATCGCCGTGAGCCCATATACTCCATTGAGCAGTATGCAATGTTAGTCTTTCCTTCCCATGGAGATAGACTGTCAGCACCCGGTTGCCGTTGATTGGAATTGTCTACTCACCGTGGTCATGTTGGTAGACGGTGTGGCGCTTGAATACCAATGAATCTGTGAGATGGGATTTCCCTAGGACTCTTCTCAAAACATAAACCCATGGATTTTTTCCATCTGCTCTTTCAGTGTTAGATCTTGCAGCGTGAGTACTCACGATCAAGGATGACATGCATGTCATGTTACCATGTGTCACTTCAGCACTTTGCAGCCACACCGTTGGCTGTCCACCTGGGCTCGCGCCTTCGAGCATGCGACAAGTTGACCGAAATGACCAGATACTAAAGAGTGGCCATCCCCCTCATACCAGACTCCTTCACGCCATTGTTGTGCATATCAAGAAGGGAGTGTTGAGCTTTATGCCAATTGTAGGGCGTCCCGATGGCCTGATTTGGCGCTCGTGTGGCCGAGTTGATAGAGTGCTCCAGAACCTCAATGATCTTGCTATTGATGCTGTGAACAGTCGCCAGGAGGACTCCGAGGCTTTTTTGGGATCTTGAGTCAGACTGATCTGGCGATCAGTCAGCTGTTTTGCTTGTCATGAGCCCTTGCACATTTGGCATTGCCATTCTAAAGTGATCAGTCTGATAGTAGGAATAACTCTTATCTCATCATCAACCAGCTGTAGATGCCAGAAGACTGGCAATTTTCATGCAAGCCAGTCTGCCCTGACAATCACCGAGGTACACAAGGGCTACTTAAAAGTGCCTCAAGCCTTGCATCACGTATAGGCGTCAACACATTGAAGAAGCTCAAAGATGTGAATTTCTATGCGGAATCGCCATGAGTGCATTATCACATGGCGTGGGAACCATCGGAATGCGCAACGCAACTTTCTCTCACGCAAGGGGTCATAGCCGTTTGCATCAGTTCGGATTATACTTTCACTTGACTTTACCACCTGTAGATGACCAGCTCTTGATAGTCTGAATATGAATGAGTATAGAATCCGGCGTCTTTGAATCACTCGATATTGGAATATGCGGCTACTGGTGTCGTTTTTCATATATTGCTCGTCTTGGCTTTGTAGTCGCCTGGTCATGTTATTCAACTTCACAGTCGCGGAGGTCCGACTTCAAATACGACAGGCTTTTTCAAGCCGGCATCAGCAGTGACCTTTTTCTTTCTGTTTTTTTTTTTTCTCAATAGCTCAAGCCGCTGCGACACCTTGTCCTAATTCAAGTAGGCCAGATAATGACCAAGCCGGCCATACTTGGACTTGATATATCCTAGCCTTCTTCGGTGAATATGATAGAGGATGGATTAGGAAATGGTGGTGGTTGGGTTTCCTTGAGCGCGGGGAGAGAGAAACCACACGTCTTTATATACTTTTGCCCTTCCGAATTCTAGAGTCTACCATATGTTACAGATTTTTATTTCATTTTATTTTATCTTCCTGCACCTGGTCGTCGCCAGGGGTTCGAGGCGTATCTAGTTTCCTGGAGATCGGGTCACTTTGAAGTCTTTCCCACAACTAAAAAAACGTGTAGTTCTCGGACATGCACATCGTTGACGGAACCTTGAGGAGGTAAAGCTCCTGGATTAGCCACTGGAATCACTTTCTACCTCATAACGGTCTCGACTCTCAAGTTGACAGGTAACGTTAGCGGGGCCGGCAGTTCAGGCGCGGTTTTGCCAAAACGGGACTTCTGAACCTTAATTGCCTTGGTGATGTAGAGTCTAGACCAACCCAAAATCCTGGGTGGCAAACCTTGGCTGATCTAGGTTAGCCTACTTAGCAAGATTAGCGAAGACTGCTTAAGCCATAAAAAGGGCATTAGGTGATGATCAGTCTCTGCGGTGCCAAATGTCTAGTGTTCCCGAGGGTCAGCAATGGTTATCGCGGCGCAAGATGTTTCTGAGATTGCTCGTGAGCGCGAGACCTTCAAGTAAGTGAAGACTCTGTATGCGCGACCGTTGATGTGGCCGACCGCTCCAACCTAGCAGCCGAGTCTGGCAACAGTATTGCGCCGCCTACTGACCGCTTGACCACTCCAGATATGATGCGCTCACCATCTCGACTGCGGGACTCCACGGCCCCGATCCGCCCAAGTCCATTCCGTCTGTATTCCTCTCATCGACGCCGGACCCGGGTCTGACGGCCTTTGCGCAGCTGGGTCTCTACAAGCTCAATGCTGCCCGCTCGATGATCTCGCTCTTCGACCGCAAATACCAACATATCGTCGCCGAAGCGCTTCGGCCCGAGCTTGGCCAAAAGGATAATCAAGAAAATCAAAACTGGTTCAACGGCCTCGCTTTCGAGCGTCTGACCAGTGTTTGCGAACATGTGGTCACTGGCGAGGCGGTGGCTCAGTCCATCCCCGGCACGGAGCATGGTCTTGGCGTGGCCGACATACCAGTATCCATTATCAAACATCTCGATGGAGATAAGCGATTCTGCCACATCCAAGATCCCACGCGGCAGTTTTACGCCGGGGTGCCGATCCGCTCGCCTGCCGGAATCAATATCGGAGTCTACTGCATTTTCGACTCGAGGCCGCGACCGGGAGGGTTGAACGTCGAAGAAGTGCGCTTCATCCGTGATATGTCAAAGGTTGTCATGGACTATCTGGAGAGCAAGAGAAGCCATGAATGTTACCGACGCGAACAGCGCATAGTACGCGGGATGGGAAGTTTGATCAACGGGGAGGCGACACTATGGAAAGAGGAGTCCACCTCAATCGATCCGACAGCATTTCGGGACATGCCTGGCTTGAGCGAAGGGATATTGAATAAAAAACTACAGTCAACGACAACAGCCACCGGTGATCCTCAACAATTGGAGCACAATATGGCATCGGATGAGGAATTGCCCATTTCGTACGAGATGCCGACCGCCTTCGGTGGCCACAGCATCCCAAAGCCCCCAAAGCGCGTGACGATTGATTCTGTTCAGTCTCCCAAGGCACTTTCCACGACAGTGGCTGAGGCGACGATTGATACAAAACCTTCTGCAGAGGCTCCTAGAACGACCCCGGCTGCAGCAGTAATGAAAACACCAGTGGCCAAGCCGCGAATCAGCCAAATGGGTTCGTTGCGCAGCGAGATAGAGCGCAACTTCTCAAGGGCTGCTAACGTCATCCGCGAGGCTTTTGAAGTACAAGGCGTACTTTTCTTAGATGCCAGTGTACGCTCATATGGTGGTCTGGTCACGAACATTACCTCCGAGACTGAGCCCGGCTCGTCCGGACTCAGCAGTAGCAGCGGTGACGATGGCCAGCGCAGTCCAACTGGATCATTCACGACAAGATCTTCGTCTATTTGTGATGTGCTGGGCTTTTCCAAGTCACATATCTCGTCAATACTGGGGGATGCCATACCAAACGAATTCACAGAATGTAAAGAGTGGTTTCTCCAACGCCTGCTGCGACGCCATCCACGTGGGCGAACGTGGAATTTTGAAGCAGACGGAACTCTATGCGACCCTGCAGCGAGCTCAGACAGCGACCTGTCTCCTTTGGAAAGCGTGGAAGCGCCACCATCATCACTGCGAGAAACATCCAAGAGTCATGAGACGGACGAAAAAGCAGCAAAGTCCTCCAAGAAATTGATCAATACGGCGGCGCGCATCATCAAAATGTTCCCTGGTGCAAGGAGTGTGGCCATTGTCCCTTTGTGGGACGCGCAGACTGGACGTGTTTATGCTGGAGGGTTCATATGGACAAAGACGCCAACTCGGACCTTCTCGGAGGAGACCGAACTGAGCTGCCTACGTGTCTTTGCGCTAACGGTCATGGCTGACGTTGCACGCCTCAAGCTACAGTCGGCTGAGGAGGCAAAGACTGATGTCCTCGGATCCATCAGCCACGAGCTTCGATCACCATTACATGGGTTGGTTGGTGCGGTCGAACTGTTGAAGGACACCTCGTTGAACACAGTACAAGATGGTATTCTGAATGCCATTGAGTCGTCTGGGAGGACGCTGCTAGACACGATTGAGCATGTAAGTATGCTAGACATGAAAGTCATGAGGAAATCTGCATTAACCCTGAGATCACGGTACAGTTACTTGATTATGTCAAGACGAACTCCAAAAAGTCGTCTCGCTCTCGACGCAGGGGATCATCCATAGATACAAGACAGAGACTGTCTTCGACGACAGGGCCACCAGTCCAGCTGGATTTGCTTGTCGAAGAGGTAGTGGAAAGCGTACTTGCAGGTTACAAGCATCTCACAAGGTCGCAAACACATGCTTCTACACCCTTCACAGCGTCTACTCCGCAACGACTTTTCACAAGCAAGGGCTCGCACGCTTCGGCCGGTGAGCTCCTTGCAGACCGACCTCCTGGTGGCGCGGTCCAGTGTTCACTGGACATTGATCATTCTACTAAATGGGCTTTCCGCATGCATCCTGGTGCATTCCGACGCGTCGTCATGAATCTGTTTGGTAATTCGCTCAAGTTCACAACCTCGGGCTTTATCCATATTTCGCTACGCCAGGAAAGCCAGAAAGATCATAAAGGCGCTCCTGACACCACTCGTGTTGTGCTCAGCGTGTCCGACTCGGGCAAGGGTATGACGGAAACATTTCTTCGCAACCACCTGTTCACACCATTTTCACAGGAGGATCAATTCGCCGTGGGGACTGGACTAGGGCTCAGCCTTGTTCGCCATACAACAGAAGCCTACGGCGGCACTATTGATGTGTCAAGCAAGATTGGATTCGGGACGACAGTGACAGTGAAGCTACCACTGCTTCCGGTTTCTGAGCAAGCACTCGATAACGACGAAACAAGTTTCTGGCAGGATGTCAAATCCCTCGCAGGACAGCGCGTGCAATTTTGTAAATCTGAGGAGGGAATAACAACCTTTGGCTCGGACGCCAGTGGGCCGAAGCTCAAGTCGCAACAGCAGCTGATCGAGGGGATTTGTCAGAATGTGCTAGGGATGGTAATGCTAACAACAGACCATTCTGAACCTTTACTTCCAGACTATGTTATTTGTATGGCGGGAAATGGACATACTTGCTCAGACTCCAGGAGTCAGCAGAGGACATTCCAGTGCCCATATATATTCATCTGCGATGACTTGGCTTCTGCACATAGATCATCAGCGGCTGACCATAGTCGCTCGCTCGGCGTATATGAGTTCTGCTCACAACCGTATGTTTCCCCCTGAACTTTGCATGCTTCATTGCTAAAAGAATTTACAGCGTTGGGCTCCGGAAACTGGCAAGGACATTGCTGAACTGCCAGCGGCGATGGGCAGCACTCCAGGGCTCTGGTATTGCCTTGGAATCAGAAACCAAGCTTATTGTCGAAAGTCCTTATATGCAGCCAGAGGAACGGGCATGTTCGCCGGCCCTTCATCCAGCCTTGACACTCAGGCTTGAGAAAGATGACCAAATTTCTATTGCGATATCGTCTGATTCCTCAAGCAAAGCAGAGGATGGGAATGGTACAATCGCAGTAGCTGAAATATTGGCGACCCAGGTCAGAGAGATCGTGAGAGTACTTCCTGCGGCATCTGATGTACGAAGACCAATCTTGATCGTGGATGATAATCAAATCAACCTCAAGGTAACGAACATGGAAACATTTCATCAAGACCTGAATTGATGCTAACCATAACTCCCAGGTCATGGCTGCGTATCTGACAAAACTCAAGTATACATGTATAACTGCGACCAATGGACTCGAAGCATTAAATCTCTACAGCGAGGCTCCAGCCAAGTACAGCTGTGTGCTGACAGACATTTCGATGCCTGTAATGGATGGCCTGGAATCAACGCGTCGCATTCGCGAGTTCGAGCTCTCGGGTGGCCATAAGCCCGTAGTGGTGATTGCCTTGACTGGCCTTGACCGGGCTGGAGTGCAGCAAGATGCGCTCGCGAGTGGTGTAGATCTCTTTTTGACACGACCGCTGACCATTCGTGGTTTGGAAAAAGCGCTTCTTGCCATGGGTCTGGGTTGATGGCCTCGTAGGTCTCGAAGGGAGAACGCCGGCTCCGAGTCTCCGTCCTTTGATTCACCTCTTCTTTACGTATATGATTGGATTTAGCGTCATTGGGTCTACAAATTATTGTAATGCTTCATTTGTAAAGGGTATTGCCTCATTTGTTCTTAAGTCGTGGTATCAGTTGAATCAAGACTCTTGTGTCTTGTGTACCTATTCATGTAACATTGCCAGCCTCGAGATTATAATGCGATCTTCGCTGATCGCGCCAGCCACCGCGCTCCAGTCACCACTAGTGTAGGTTTTCTTGCCAGGGGACGGATATCTGCAATATACGCTGAGTATTGCACCACTCTGGACAGCAACCGTTGAGCCATCCCTGCTAGTCACAATCTTTGTGGTCCTGTCAATAAGCTTGTCATCCCACCACGGATCGTAGCTTCGCTCTCCCGTGTTAACATTTGCTTTTTTTACAAGGAGGAAAGCTACACCATGTCCTTTGCGCACACATTCTTGTCCAACGATGCTTGCTCGCCATCGCCGGGGTAGAATTTAGAGTCTGTGGACGGAGATGAAGGTCCGTTGGTGAAGGAGACCGAGTAGATGAGACCTTTGGCATTCTGGAGATTACCGTTCCCGGCTTCTCAATAGAACTGCGATAGTTTCAGACCATGCGCGCCGTTCTCTGACTTTGGAATCAAGTGCAATACTGATTGTTGATTTTAAATTTTGGTATCTGAGTTGCAGTTCGGGTTACCGGATCCCCACGGGTACTCCTCGACTTCACAATCAACGAGTCCCCAGCCCCCGTCGTGGCGCTCTGGGGTCCCGGCTCATACTTGCCTGAATACCAGGCCTGCGTCCAATGCGGGCCGCTGCCGTCACCACTCGGCCCAGCATAAGTCATTATAGGAGACTTGTTCCGGATACGGATCGCTGATTCAGAATTCGCACAGACGTTTGGCCACTGGTTGTAGTCGCAAGTAAACGTTGAGTGGGTCACACCATTTTGTGGCTTGTTATTACCATAATATGGGTTCGCGGGACAGGCCGCGGCGCGCCCTGTCAGGAATCCCCATACGCCTAATGATCTCTTGGAAGCTGATCAGTACGAAGAGGCCCGCAAAGCATCTTCGACGCTCTGGTCAAGATCATCATCTATCGCGTCCTGATAGGCCGTCATATAATCTGGAGCCACGGTCTCGCTGTAATCGCACACGACTTCATTTGTGATTAGATCCCACACGGGATAGTTGCCGTTGGAACAGAGATCCGTGGTTGTATCAACGTCGGCATCACATGGATTGTCCCAGACCTCCTCGTCTCCGGAGCCACTGTCGGAATCCTCGTCGCCGTCGTCATCGTCGGCAGGACAAGCGGATCCCACACAGCTTTCACTGGATCCTCCACATCCGACGTAGATTCCGCCACATCCAAGTATCCCACAGTCGCTGCACCACTGGCGCAAGTAGGACCCGCAGGTGTAGTACTAGTGTACTTGATTGTTGTTGGATACTGGGTTATAGTAGGGTGTGGTTCGGTTGGCGTCAGCGTGGAAGTGATGCTAACGACCAAGACCGTACTCGTGCCGGATACGGAGCCTTTTGTAATGGTAATCTTTGTGGATAGAAGTATGGACGGAGTCACTGTGTAGGTGATATTATCTACTCCAGATGCGGTTATATTGATGTTGTACACGGCAATCTTGTAGTTTGGAAACGTCAGCTTTGGCCCGAGTTAGTGGATGTGAAGAGATATATGTAAAGCAGACCAGATACTGACCTTGGAAGTGATAAATGGGCGAAATGAAACGGTGATGACAGTTGTTGAGGAAACACCCGTGGTCCAGCTTTCTGTGTATGTTGTTGTAATTGGGGGAAATGTAATCGTGGTTCACGAAGATAGAGTATATGGCGGGATGACGATAACACCGTCCCTGCTATACACCACAAGCCGCAGCCAAAACCCAACTAGCCACACCAAATTGCAACGCAAGCCACGGCAAAATACATTGCATTAAAACACCTTTAATTCACGTTATTCTACTTAAATAAAATGGTAAATATATACAAATACGTTAGCATTAATTCCTAGAGTTGATCCGCTTAGCTAGCGGTTAGAGTTAAGGGGTGGGGACCTCGAGGGGCGACGTGAGCCCCTCGTAATGGCATATGTCCTTTGGTATAGCTGGCGAGAGAATTGGGAGGTGTATGGCAGGGGCGGTGATGGAGGCCCAGCCGCTTGTCGGCCAATCAAGAACAGGCCGTCGCCAGGCCCCGTTTGTTCTAGGGTTGGATTGCATATTACACTACATAAACATTTTCAGCTTTGCTTTATAAAAAGGCGCAATGGTACACAAATCTGAGCCTATCGACGGTGGCACTTTTCTCATTGGTTGACTCTTATATGCAAAGCATCAAGTCGGATTGAAGCCAAGCCATTGTGGGTGGGGGCCAACAAGTCATATCATCAGATGGAGCACTTGGCCCCCGAGAGTTCTCTAACCCCTTGCCACAGGCAATATAGCCAGCCCTACGGCGGCATTGAAGAAGACCTAGAAAAATCCGGGTCTGTGGAGTATATAGCCGTCCTGTAATCATGCAAAATCGAGTTGTCAGCTTCTCATTGCGGCATTCGGCATCGTTATTCACCCAGGTCAACACATCATGTCGGCTTCAGCTCCCACCTCTTACAATGCGTATACGGGGATATGGATCAACTGGAGCTACGGAAGAATTCGAGGGTCCACCCTAACACTGTCCCAGCAGGACGCTCAACTGCTTATCGCTTTTGTTGCCTTCTTTATCGCCTTTGTGTCGATGCACCTCTGGAAGATACTCTGCTTCATTCTTCACAGCTGTCTATCAACGACAGAACGCCGCGATATCCTACACCACCAACGACAGGCCATCATCCGAAATAGCCCTTCTCCGGGCTCGACAGCATTGAAACTCATGCAATTGGCGTGGGCGTGGCGCAAGTCTACGAGAGCCTACCGACGGGTGCTTCCGTTCTTTGGTTCTGCAATCTTGATCTCGTCTATGCTTGCCGCTGCCACTGGATTTTCGTCAAGACTAGCCTACGGTGATGATAATGAGATACTCCTCAATGGCGACAATTGTGGTACACCTTGGGTCCAACCCAATGAAACTGCAGCCATAGCGAACCTATATTCCTACCAAGCAGAGATGGCCTCTTCTGCCCTCAACTACGCCAGCCAATGCTATGCGAACAACGCCAGCATTCTAAGCGCATGCAGCACTTTCGTGCAACCCCGGCTATCAATTACCGAATCCAGGGACACAGTATGCCCTTTCGGAAGCCTGTGTAAAGATAACAGAACAAGCATACATTTGGACTCCGGTATTATCGACAGCCACAAGGATCTTGGGATTAATTCTCCCGAGAGCGACAGATTCACACTTCGTGCGACGTGGGATTGCGCTCCATTGACAACCGAGGGACGCAAATCAACTGTCATGGTCGAGGGTGTCTGGCCATATATCGGGTATAACTACAGTGTTGCTACACCATATCGGTCTAACATAACATATATGACGGCCAACGATACGCGGTCGGATTGGTATGTCAATGTAGATTACAACGCTGCCACTCCCACTCTCGATCACAAATTAAGGTAATATTCGCTGGGAAGATCTACAGATTACCTATATGCTGGGCTAACAACACCTTTAGCACCGTCTGGGCATTCGTTGGCAGCCCCGACACTGTCAGCGTGAACGCTTTCAACCCACTCCCTGAATTGGCTTCCGAAGATGCAGACACTTATTTGGTGTTTCTCAGTTCTCCGGGAGTCCAATTCATGGATAGGACGCTCGACCCATGGTATCAGGCCACGACACCTTTCGGGGTTCGTGTTGATTACAATGACACATCAAGGGTCGACCTCTTCGAAAAAGATGACCCTGCATCCGTCCTGGCTTGTTTCTCTCGATACCAGTGGTGCAATCCGTCACTTTCGGCTGCGGGTCAATGTCGTGAACCGACCGCATTCAATCAAGCATTAATGCAGGCACTGGACTATGGAACTGATCAGCTGGACCCGGAATCTGCAACCTGGATATTTAGTCGCTTCGGCATCGACCCCAAGCATGCCACCAGTCCACTAGGATCACGGTCTTTGCTGTCGAGACGCACTTTAACTGACGGCGTTCAAGCACCCCTACCCAACGACCAATGGCAGATGGATGTGAGAAACTGGTTCGAAATTGCACTGGCCGGACTTCAGCGAAGTTGGGTGTCTATGGCGGCGGGTGATACGATTCATATGAAGGAAGATAATGTAAAACGTCCTATATCCAATAGGGAACATCAGTGGTGCCAAAACCAGGTAAGTCACTGGGTTGTGGACTCGGATATGTCTTGCCGACTAACATCGTATCAGAAAGTCAAAAGCACAGCTTATGTCTCTTTTACTGTACTTGGTTTATCACTTGTCCTCGGTCTTGGGATAATAATTGTGGTTATCTCGCTGACTATCGAATCAATAAATGGATTCATACAGCGACGATTCAAGCAGAATCCCTACAAATTGTTGGAATGGGGCACGAACGGCTACCTCCAGCTTCAGCGGCTGGCTCTGGAAGAAGCTCACATTGGCGACTGGAGCGGTTGCGACAAAAATGTGCCTTACACCAAACTCAGAACAGAAGTTGATCCACTAGACGTTACCGATATCCGCCACCCAAGGATGCCCGTCCCATGGAAGCGCCGTGGTGAAGAACCTTCGATAAAGGATAGTACGGAGACGGCTGTGGTGGACGTGAACGTCAGTGACACCAGAGCCCCAGACGTGAGCCAACGGTATTCAAGGATCCAGCCCTCCACTGCCTCATCGAAGAGCAGTGTTAACGGCTCAGGTGATACCCTCGGTGTCAGCAAGCCTGTAATCTCCGACTTCCAAAGCAACACTGCGAGCCAATCGCTCTCCCGGCGCGCCCAGGCAAGGGAAGACGATAACGTCAGTCCTATCTCCACAGTCGCGGTGGAATCTGCCTTGTACCCGAGTGGAGCAGACAATCTTTGAATGCGCCTTCTTGCTATTGATGAAAGGTGCAAAGCACTAGACGAGGGTGCCGCGGAGTTGTTCTGTTGTCTGTTTACAGTGGCACAGATTGCCGGAGACAGCAGAGGAGCCAGTCGCATAGAAGCTAGGTAGCTAGTATGTAGAATTGACGACTGTATTGTCCCGTTGCGGCCGAGCATTACTCTTTATGATTGCCTTGGACAACAAACATTCTGGGGACCAGATTATGTAGGAAATGAATTATCTCTTTCATTATATCATATTGAACGCTTGTAAACTTGAAATGTGATATGCTCATATCAGAGGATGAATGAGTTCTCAACTCAAAATATTCATTTCCCTATTCATGCTTTCGTGCCGGCCGTGGGCTCCATGGTCTTATGTCGTGTAACTAGTGAAAGTTATTGGGTCTACTTTGTCAAGATGAGGATCCCGCTCTATATCATCTCGTAGTTTGACCTCCATCTTATCACGAGATCCAAGAAGAACTTCTGTTGTTCTGAGCCATGCGTTTTTCACCCTGCCCGAGAGCGGGATTGGCGGCTCACCCCACACGGTCAATAGTGCTCGAGGGGCACCATCTCTGAAAATTTGATACTCGAGTCCTTGGTATAACGCCCGGAAATCCCATTCTATGACGCAACGCTTCAACCTTGGCATTTCTCGAACTACTTGCGCCGTTGCAAGGAGGTAGATATCGAAGGGATATTTAAAACGCAGGTTGGGGCCCTTGAAGACCTGGGATGAAGAAACATTAAGCTTACCGAAGCGAATCTCCTCAAGGTACGGGAAATAAAGAGGTTGTTCAGGGCTACGTGAGGATATCATCATGGCGGAGACTGGCCAAAAGAATTCTGGATATATACAATCGGAGTCAATGTCGAGCTTTACTAAGCGGCGCGCCAAGTGGTACAATGCGACACTGAGTGGACCGGGAGCCCATGAATTCCCGGGATGTGGGCGAAACCCCCAAGGGACTGCGCCGCGGTCGTGTCGGCTGTGAAGGAGAGTGACATGCCGAACGGAGTTGGGAATCATTTGCAAACCCGCAATGAAGTCTCGAGGCAGGCGACTGCCGCCATCATCTGGAGAATAGAATTCCAATGTCTGTACGTTGGGTAGCCGGGCGAAAATGTCACAACAGGCCTTGAGACTGATTTTGCGGCAAGGGTAGTAATTCTTATCGCAAAGAAACTCAGAAATACCCAGGAGCAAGGGTAGATTTCGCTTGTCGTCTTGTACGAGCTCCAGAATCGATGTTCCCCACCGCCATCGACGCTTTGCACATGCAACAGAACCGACGAGAGGAGTATCAGACTGCGAATCGCTAGGCGAAGACGACGAGACTTTAAGAGACACACGGGGTTGCTGTTCAGCTTTCCCACCACTCATTGACGTCCAGGTGGCCAAGTGATCGAAGAGTTGGAACATGCCAACCGTAAAGGAGCGACTGTTCTGTTCCTGTTCCTCCTCAGTCTCTTTCTCCTTGCATCTTTTCATGTCGTATTCTGCAAGTATGACCTCAAAGTTGATGTTGCGGACAAGAGACTGCCGAAAGGGAGTCATCATGTTGTGTAGCTCTGGTACCTGCGTGGATCGTATTCTGATGCTCGAGAAGGTCTTTTGCTCAACAAAGATCTGCCAAACGCGCGAAATAGTGGCAAACTTGGGGGCTGAATCGGCGTCTGCTTCCAGGGCAAGGTGCACTATTTCCTGCGCCAGTTCTGCCGGGAGCGACGCCCAGCAAGCCATGATGACTTGATTTTTGAAGCTTGGCAATCAGACTAGAATTGAAGAATGGATCGATTGTAACATTTCCACAGAGTTGGGGAATTCCAAAATGTAAATGAAGGAATAAGGGGGTGTGAAGAGCACATCCGTTATGCTTGCATTGCTGCCTGTACTATGCATGAGAGCCCCTGTCCATGAGCTTACTCACCCCGAGCCCTAAAAGCTGTCGGCAGCGTTCCAAGCCAATGCCACCATTGGACCCAGTGACGATTGCAGTCTTTCCTTTAAGATTGACTTCATGTGGCTGCACAGCGGAAAGCTTTGCGAGGAATTGGCGATAGAGAAACCAAGAAAACTTTGCTGCATTCTCTGGTGATATATCGAAATTTGTCGCCATCGTAGACAAGACAGAAAATCACCGCGAAACACTGAATGTAAAGCCCAGATACCACTACAACGAAGAAATGGAACCTCCCCTTTTCTCAGACAAAAATTGTGAGATAAGCAAAAAAGAATATCTGTATGTGGGTAGGTATTCAATTTCAACTGTGTTCATATCATGTGCAGCAGGTGCATTGCAAACAATACAGGTGGGTGGGCTCAGGAGGCAAGACAACAGGCAGGGCGACGGTCTATGGAGCGACTTTTGAGCCATGTGCCGCATTCTTTTTTTTTTTTTTTTTTTTTTTGTTTTGGAACCAACGCGACCAACTGCAATCTGCAGGTTGGCGAAAAATGGATATAGTGGATATGTTCACAATGTAACGCTATTTTATGATCCATGAAGTGTCTCGTCGTCAAAAGCGCCTCTTGTCAATAGATCTCATCTCACTTGTGCTCATTGGCAAGGAGGAATGTACACAAAGTGGTTAATGCAGGAGTTGGTCTAACTAAGGGGAGATGCACTATAGCGCTAATTAATATACCTACATAGAGCGGGGAATCTGCGGTGGGTACAGAGTGCTTCAGTACGATGAGCCCGCGCTGTATCAATGCTACGGGACAGCTTGTACTACTCCTGGGACGCGTCCATCTCAAGAAATTCGTGGTCGAGCATATCTTGTCCTGTAGGCCTTTGATCTGGCAACCAACACAGGAGCTTTTGAACGAATGCAAGCAAGGATTCTTGCCACTTTCCTTTTAGTCGTACCTCGCGCGTTTTGAGCGACTGGTCAGGGATCGGCGTTGCTGCGATCCAGTTGCCTATAATTTCTGCATCAACCGTCAGAATTCCACACAGATGGGAGTGCTAGATACCTTCATCGTCCCAGTATTGGCGACAATTTTGGCTTCGTTTCAAGAATTCCTTCGGCGGATTGCCTATGAGGGAAACCATTTGGGCAAGATGCTGCTCATCATCGAAATGGTCATTTCCCATCGCATGCATCAGCCGACCTCCTTCGAATATGTCCCAAATCTTGAAATTGCCGTGTCAGCTTGATATGGCGCCGCCAACAAAGTTCAGGTCCACAAACCATTACTCCAACGGACCAGATGTCTATCTTGGAGTCCCACTCCATGCCCATGATTACTTCTGGTGCACGATAAGACCGTGGCATGACAGTGCCAGAGAAGCGATCCCCTATTCTGGCATGTCCAAAATCGCATATAATGGGCGGTCTCATTGCGATGATTGGCATCGGGTGTGAGTGAGAACAATGAATGACGCGATCTGGAAGTTCTTTGCGGGGAGAAGGGTGTTCGAGCTCGCTCGCCACCATGTCAGAGATGAATGAAGCATCACGAATTCCTAGCATGATGTTATTGGGCGACAAGTCTGCATCACATTGTCAGCCCGCAAACTCAAGATAGCAGTCAAAGGACAGTACCTGTGTGTACCACGCCCGCCTGGTGCAAAAAATCCAGACCAGCGAGAACGTTTACCAAGGATAACTGCAAGAGCTCCGTGGTCAACCACCCTTTCTGGTAGAAATTCGCGAAATTGGCGAGGCTCATTCCTAGCGGATCTAGAAGCAAACATCGATGCAGTCCGTGAGGACCTTTTATTTGAAAATCATCCAATACCAGTCGAAGAAAGTCCCTGCCAGGATGGCCGTCGGGGTCAATGGCTCTAATATGTTGAGAGACCGCAATCTCATTGTTCATGGTGCTCTCTTTCTGCTCTGTGGTGCATACTTTGAGGGCCAAGAAAGATGCTGCTCTAGAGGAGCCAATTAGAACAAAACATGGGGTACAATCAAGCCCAGGAATTCATACTGGAGATCCCGACAAAGCCAGGTAGTGGACTCGGTACCGTATCCGAGTTTTGCGACTACCTGGTATCGAGAAACAATTATCTCGCCCAAGCGAACAGGATAAAATTCATGTGCTTCATAGTATGGTAGAGTCTCCTCCTCGATCTTTACTTCCACAGAAATCTTCTCATACCCGCCCAATGGAAAGGTGCAACTATGACTCGGTCTTGGTGATGCAGTGGTCGTGGTGGTGCTTAACCATGCGCGACAAGACAACGTGAAAGGCCTGGGAATCGCAAAACTGCAGCGCCAAGTATGGAACACATCAGAGCGACCAATTCTAGGGCCCACGAGATGTAATAATCTAGGTACTCTCATGGTATATCTGATCGATTGGCGCAGGTCAGGTCAAATCTTATTCACTTCAATCTTCTTAACTTTTCTTTAAGCTTTGACCGCGTTTCTTATCTGAAATGTCTCCGTCTTAATACACCGGGAAAGGGAAAATCCGCATGGCCGCGCTGCTGCCTTGATGACCCTGCTGATGATGCCGGGTTCCCCACCTATATCTACTGCGCCGCATAAGGCAGCCCAACTCGTCTCCGTCTAGACACAGTGCAGTCAGGCAAGTAATCGTAATCTGGATTTACAAAGCGTTACTATCTTTTCATCAGAGTTGAATTTTGAATACGTGCTGAAAAGATCTCGGCCATCAACCGCCAGTTGCGCCGTGATCATACAACTGAAAAGTCGGACAGTGGAAAACAAGTAAGTGCCCCAACGGTGAGTGGTGGATGCAGCCTGAGTATAACGCCCTCGTGTTACGGTCACGTCGTTGCTTGTGAGTCCAATATAAAGACGCCGCAACTCCTCACGAAAACTTGCCTTCCGTGGTCATGCCAATATCTCAAACGATAATCGACGCCGCCGGTCAGTATGTTCTTACACGTGCAGATTTGAGTCCCGGCAACGGGTTTTCGGACACCCCAGCTATACGTGCTCCCCTCAATCCCGACCCAGTCGTGCTTGTGGCTCTGATCAACCGCTGGAGACAAGAACGGCGCAAGGAACTCAAGCGCGCCAAGGCGCACTTCGTCGATCGTCTGGGTCCCAACGGATGGCAGATGGCGCCCATGGAGGGCTCATACAACTGCCCACTCCAAGCGGCAATCAATGCCGGACTGAAGCAGAACGTGGACATTCTGTTGCAGGCTGGTGCCAACCCCTCAGGATTTCCCGACCATGTTTTCTCGGAGCACGCCACGCGCTTCATCCGCTTCCGTCTGCCTAAATGGTACAATTATAACATTTGCGATACCTGGGAGAAGCTTCTGTCTCAACTGCCACCGGAAACGCCCGCACAGCTGAGTGCCCTCACAATACAGGAGATAGATGCGAGAAAACAGGAAGGATGTATCTCGCCATTTTGGACCGAACAGAATTTGCCGTACGCAACAATGCGGTGGGAGTGGATTATTTGGGAACTGGTTACACCACTGGAATCGGCCGTGCGCATTGGAGACGAAGAGACTGTGGACAAACTTTTGAATCATCCTCACTGCGACATCGACGGATGGTTGACGTCGCGCACCGGGAAACTGGATCCAACCAAGGAAAATACGGCCTCGTATCTGAGTACTTCGACGCCACTACACTCAGCAGTTTCCTACCGCCAAACACGACTACTTGGACGTCTGTTGGGAGCGCAGTTTGATCCCAACGTCCTGCCAGCGGCGACGCCTTGTTCGGCATTGACCCCTCTGATGCTGAGCATCGTGATGGAGCCGCCCAACCTTGAGGCGTTTGACATACTGGTGGCGCACCGCTTAACTGACCTCCAGCTGCGCACGCCCGTCTTCAACGTGCACCTCCTGCACTTTGCAGCAGCCAAGCTAGATGTCTCTCTGCTGCGACACATCTTGGAGCATACACCAGGGTCACCAAAGATGTTGGTTGGATTACTACAGACGGTACAATGGCAGACCCCGCTACACGTCGCCTGCCTTCCACTCAATGATTCCCAAATCAACTGCTGTTCCACCGCCATCTGGCAGTCGATCCATGACGTCCGAACAACCGACCATTTCTGGCGGCCCGCCGCCCGGACGCGCCTGCGCGCTATGGACAATATCGATTTCCCAGACCCAGACCCGCCAAAGTATTTCGATGAGCAGATTGCAGTGGTGGAGCTTTTACTGGACGTATCCAGCAACAATTCGCACCAGCAGCAGCAAGAACTAGAAAGAAAAGCGCATGAGATAGCCGCCCAGGACGTTCACGGGAACACGCTGCTTCACTATCTCGCTGGTCAGCGCGCGGTGAATGAGAAGCTAATCAACAGTCTCCGAAAATTGCCGAGCGTTGAGATAACGTGGAAAACCTGTCAGAACTATTGGGGCTTCACACCCGAGTTTCTCTGGGAGGATGGTAAGAGGGCGCTCGCAGAGAAGGAACGCGAGTATATGAGCATGGAGGCCTCTGAGTTTTGATTGCAGTCATAAGCTCTATGCTCCATGTATTGCACGTATATGATGGTTTTCGGTATGGTGATGTCCAGGACTGGAGGTTTTGGCATTAAAAAATGGCAGACTTTATACTAATAAGCGCCAGAAATAGGTTAGTGCGCTAGCCCATAGCCTTATAAAAAAGCGTTGTATAGCGGCGGATGCGTAAAATAACCTTTTCCAATTTGAACCGGGTTTTTTATGATATTGGATTTTTTATACACTTATAAGCGTTTATTTACATTCTTAGATATTCGAATGGCTATACTATGCTGACACGAGCGCGGGGCGTTTGGCCATCCTGTCAGCCTCGCTTTTGCGCCTTGGTCACTTTCCTTCTTTCGTTAACTATTCCTGCAAAGATGTGTGTTTGCATGTTTATAACATCATGCTACGGCTTGAGGCACGAAGGCACCTATATGCCCGTGCAACCCGTGGGAGGACGGCTTTGCCTGCTCCGGAGAGGAACTCTATTTGCTTGCTCATCATGCCATTGGCCTCAGCCTTCTTCCCCTTTTGCATCACTAGTTCAGGGCGACGCCGGCAAAAACATGCCTGTCCCAGCCGGGCTCGAATTCATAACCCATCGCCTCGCCTCCCGCCATGACCATTCTTCGCACAACACATGAGGCCTCGGTGTTAGTCTCGGTGGTCGTCGTAGCGACCAAGGTCGTTGTCGAAGCGCTGATACCGGCCTCGGAGCAGGCACTGTAATAGGCATCCGCGTCGGAGCAGTACGTCGCGTATTCGGGCTTGTAGGTCGGGAGCACTGTCGTTTCCGTGCTCGTCTCACTGCTGCTGATGTCCCGCCTCATCATGCGGCCGGTCGGGATACGGATTTGGAGCGTGCCAGAGAACGTGGTGGTGGTACTGTAGAGGAGGGGGCCATTGTTAGTGAATATGGACCGAGTCAAGTCAAAGAGAAATCGCCAGGATAGGATGAGAAATGTTGTGAATAGCTAAGCTAGGGCTGGACTGGATAGGCCTGGATGGGACTGAGGGACTTACACGGCGACCGGAGTCACAGTGACGACATTATAGGAGCTGCAGTCGGCGAGTCGACTGGTCAAGGCTGGTGTGCCCGATGCTGCTTCAAGGCCTTGTAGACAGGCGTCTACAGTTGTAATTGGTGTCGCGGTTGATGAACTCGAAGTGAGGTCAGACGACGTCGAAGTTGGGATTGAGAAGCTCGAAGTCAACTCAGATGAACTCGAAGTCAGTGTTGATGAGCTCGAAGTGAGGTCGGACGACGTCGAAGTCAACTCAGATGAACTTGAAACCAACTCAGATGAACTTGAAGCCAGTGTTGATGGACTTGTAGTTAGGTCTGAAGAACTGGAAGCCAAGGCTGATGAAGTTGAGTCCAGTGTTGATGAATTTGAAGCCACGGTCGACAAAGTCGAAATCGGGTATGAATTCGAAGTCAGGGTTGATGTACTCGAGATTAAGTCTGACGAACTCGAGCTGGGGCGGCACTTTGAGGCAGTCGCCAGCGAGGAGCTCAAAGCAAGGGAAAGGGTAACGAATAGCTTCATCTTGACTGAGCAGCAGATACGCATGAATGAGGGACAAGGGGATCGCGAGATAGAAAAAGAACACACACGAAGGTTAACAGGATTTGTTGGTCTCTAGTATGAATTTGATGAGGAGAAGGGTGTGGCTTTCATAATTTCATCCGACTGGAGGAGAACCTAATTTAATGCCACTTGAGGGTAATGGATGGGCTTCCAGCTTGTCTTGAGGAACTTTACCATACCCAACATGGTGGAGCGAGAATAGTTCGTCCCTGTTGCCCCCAGTCGCCAGTGAATTTATGGCGTAGGCAGTCGGACTAAGTAGAGCTGAACTATAGCACCCGCGATCTAGTAGACTATAGTCGAAGCTCAGCGCGTTTTTACGGGGTCCAGCCTAGCCTAGGCTGCTCAGCCCTACTAGCTGTAAAGTCCATTGGCCGCTACTGCTGCAGGTACCCGGCGGTGGAAATGAGGCCTATCTGCAGATTGGTGGGGCTTTCCGGGTGGCCTGAAGCAGCTGAAGAATTTCGACTGTCACGAAGTTCGTCATTATTCCAGTCGCTCGCAATCATATTTTTCGAAGTCAGTTATGGGGAATCATCGCTTGGGAAGTCCTCTTGCTTGATATTCCCGACTCTTTCCATTGATGGGTCCTGCGACATTGATGGACCCGACAGAGATAATGGGTATCACGATGAGACCCTCGTCGTCATCAGTTGAAGGGGAGGGGCTCAGGATGGATGCTGCCGCCTCTGCCACTGGAATTGTCATCAAACTGATTTCTGTTTTTCTTTTCTGCTTGGTCCCTATACTCTTTCAGATCAGCAGGGAAACGACAACGCATACGGGTGACAAGAAACAGCCAACCTCCAAAATCATCCGGTCGCCGCCCATCATCGCTTCTCGCATACCGTTCATCGGCCATGCCCTTGGCTTCTTGCGCGAAGGCCACGATTACTTCGCTCGGCTCACCAGCACAATCAAGTGTCCAGCCTTTACCATATCCATGCTCGGACAGAAGCTCACCTTTGTCCAGCCGGAACTAGCGCGGCACGTGGCGAGGAACCCTCATTTGCTCTTTATGCCGGTTACTGTGTCCATCTTCCGACGGGCGCTGCATTTTGACGCTTCGACGTGCGAATTACTCATGGAGAAAACAGAGAGCAGTCGCAGCTTCTCTCACAGGATCCTCGGCGCGACGAGAGAGGTGCTCGCCAGCCCACAGGCTCTCCCGAGACACATTCGCATATTTGATGACTGTCTCGACTGTATGATTTCGGAACTTGTCGATCAAGATCAAGGCCGAGTCATGGCAATCGGTGAATGGACAATTCGAGCAATGACGACCGCTGTTGGACGTATCCTCTGGGGCGACGTCGCCGGAACTAGCCTCGTCTCCGACAAAGATTTCGTCGAGCAGCTGCAGTTTGTGATGGCGAACCTCAGGACCTTGACAGGGCCCGAATGGCTCATATCACGGACACTCAAGGCATCGAGAAGCGAGATTCGCACACGCTTGAAACGTGATGCGCGGAGCCCGACATACCAGCCCGACAGCTTCTCAGAGAAGCTACACGACTTGTGCAAGCAGGAGGGGGGTTCGGACGACACATTTGCCGATTTGCAGCTACTACTCGTTGGGGGTACATCGCCCAACCCGGCCCTCGCTGCGAGCTGGTTCCTAATGCATCTGCTCTGCGGAGACCAGCAGTGGCTTGCTGATACTCAGGGCGAGATAAGGGCGTGGGTTGATCGGGAGGATGGCCACATCAACCTCCGCCAGGTCCGAGAGCACTGCCCGCGGCTAATGGCGACATGGTGTGAGTCCCTTCGACACCATTCAGGGTTTTCCATTGGCCGGTACGCATCACAGGATACCGTTCTCGCAAATCAATGGAATATCGACAAGGACTCATTCCTTATGGTCTCCTTACAGGCCAGTCATATTGGCGAAGACGCGTGGGGCAGTCGGGGTGCCGAGTTCATTCCGCAGCGCTTCTTGAATAGCGATGGAAGCTTTAATTTGACTCGGGAGCGGCAGCTCAGGACCTTTGGCATGCTGGGTACGATATGCCCGGGGAAGACGCTGGCAATTCACATGGCTATGGGGCTGGCAATTCGTCTCCTTCACTCGCTTGATTTCGATCTTACGGGCTCGGAACCGAGGCAATTGCCGCTCCAGTCCAACAATTCCTTACTCGGCGTGCCATCGCCCATGTCAGATCTGATGGTCAGTTATAGTGCGGCAAGGCCAAGCTGTTGTGTTCGATTCGGACTTTGAATCTCTTCGCAGGCCTGTGACAAAGAATTGGAACAGAAGCCAAAGAAATGACGACCGCAATTGTGGTGTAAAAATGACGCAATACGAAAACAAAATAAGAAATACATTATGTTAATGCTGCGCTCGCAGTATGCTAGAGATCTTGTGTTAACTCTAGCGCTGCCTTCAAACCCGTTCCACCTCTTGCAGCTTCACTCGCAGTTCCTTCTTGTCCCACAGAGTGAAGATTTTCTGTTTTGCCCAGGACTTGGACTCGTCCATCATCTCCAGGTCGAACTTCCACAGTAGGCGTGTTAGAATGAGTCTCATCTCAGCGTACGCAAGGCTAACAAGTCCGTGGGTCAGTTATGCTCAATTGCTGACAAATTTGCAAACTGCGTGGTGATGCACACTACTCACCTTTTTCCAATGCAGTTGCGCGGGCCATAAGAAAATGGTTGAAGCACATCCCTGTTGTCGTGCTCAAAGCGCACATCGCCTAACCAGCGTTCAGGAACAAACTTTTCGGGCTCGAGCCAGTTGCTTTCGCTTTGGTAGGCCGACCATTGAGGTACTGAAACACCAGTCTACCCGTCTCCATGTCAGTATGTGTGAAACTCATCATAAAAGTGTATGAGTATGGCGGTCAACTTTACATCTTGCGGAATGTAGTACCCTTGGATCCATTCACCACCTTGACAGACTGTCCGGGGCAGGCCCACAGGTACCGGAGGGTCTATGTATCAAGTTGTTAGCGTTGAAGTTTCGTGTTTGATCAGTCTGGTACCATGACATACACATGCGGAATCCCTCCTCAAAGACCGCCCGCAGGTATTTGAGTTCATTCATGCGAACCAGCGTGATTTCTTCCTCAGAGGTAAATGCAGTACGGATCTCCCGGACCAGCTTATTATATACCTCCGAGTTGGTCAAAAGCTGAAAGGTGGTCCCGCTTAGTTGTGTGGCCGTAGTTTCGCTGCCAGCAATGATGAGGACGTTTGAGTTCTCGACTATTTCTCCTCGCGTCATGCCTTCTTCACCGTTTTGTCGGAGAATATAAGACATGAAGTCTTCTCGCTCGGTCCCCATGGTGTCTAGACGGCGAAGTGCCGTCTGTTCACTCAATTACCAGTGTTCTTCATGAGCCTTCTTGACCCTTTCAGGGACAAGAAGGGTGGCCAGAATCTGCAGGCTCGGGTAACGAAGCATGAGTTGTAAGAAAACTGTGAAACGAACACTTGAGAAGATCATGGAGACCCAAGGATGGTATGTCTCTTTTTCGAGGCAACCAAAAGGTTCGCCAAAAGTCAAGTCCCCAATAAGGTCAAAAGTTGTAAAGTTAAACCATTGGACAAGATCGATTGTGTCCTTGGCCTTGGCCTTTTCCGTCATTCGCGATATGAAGAGGTCGATGTAGGATTTTATAACAGTCTCTTGATTGCGCAATGCTGTTTCCGAAAAGGCATGTAAGAGGAGACGACGCATCCGCTTGTGGTCTTCATTCTTGACAGTCATAATGGTGTGGTGTCCTGAGCTAGGTTTATCATATAAGAGGTGATCCTTCTCGAAATTCTTGGCCGAATCATTCTTGTGCCCATAAATCTTCTTCCAGCCATCTACTGTGATGATGGAAACATCGCGCGGTGAGTACCGTACGACCGGCCCGTACTGATCATGAAGATTCTTTAGGACAAAGGGCCATTCTCCGCGGAGAAGATGAAACAGAAATGGGATGTCGCTGAGTGCATAAACTTTTGGACCCGGTATCTTGGCGAGAGGATGGAGGACGAGATGGTAAAAACTGCGGATAACGAGAACCAAGGTCAACTAAACCAAAGTAGTCAGTAGGCCAGATCAATAGTGAGATGCCTGATTGCAAAGAACAGAATAGAACGGCCACTAACAACGGCTACCGCAAAGATGGGAATTACGCCCCAGTCGAAAAACACTCCAGTCATGGTAGGCATATAATTTTGGAATCTGCGATAAGAAGAAAGAGCCTTCGACAGTCTAGTTATGAGTAACTCATCGACTTTCCTTTCGGATTTAAGTTTTCTGATGCTTGAGGTAGAAGAATGGCTGCTAAAATAAATGTTTGTTATTTTCCCGCTTGCAGAGGAGTTGATATACTAGGTAGGTAGCTATCTAGCGGTTGCTGTATCATCCCGTTACGGAGACTTAATGATCCAAGGTTTCTGCTTTGTTTAATAAAAAGGCGAGATTGGATTCTAATACAACATCGACTATTCCTTGACGAGATCGATCTCGGAATATAATTGAGTTGTATGGTTTGGCCTAATAGCAGTCAGTGTCATTGTAAAGTCTCCGAAGCTAACCCTTCTAGGACTAGTCTAAGTCGAACACCTTTATTTGCCCGTCCCGTCTCAAGATTGGCTCTTTGAGTACAGAGTATATGATGGACAGATGAGCGGACTAACGTTTTCAAAAAGTCTCCGGGCCAACGCCATTGGCTCAAAATGGGCAGTACACTGTTTTGTTTGCGTGATATTTCCCAAACGAAATGGCATCATTGTCTAGCATACTTGCTGTTGTGCCTACTGCGCTAACTTGAGCGAATGCAAGAAAATTAATCATGAGCCGTTTCAGATAGTCAAGCTCACAGATATACAATTGCCAATCAATTCGGGTGAGCCTTGCAGGCCAACTTCTTCCGGCTCGCATGCCAAACGACTTTAGCATTTGATGCCATTGTTGATGCGAGGGGAAACTCCATCTGCTCTCGAGTACATGCAGCATCGCTGATCGCTGCGTAGCTTCTGATCGAATTAAAATGTTGGAATTGCATGTACGTACTGTGAGTGGCTTGTTGCTAAATTTAAATGCGTACCGTATCCGGACCCCAAACTTGGGCCGACCAAGAGCCTTTCTTATCCGTTCAGAAAGATGAAACCGCCACTCATTACTCCAACCGCCTACAACGTCCAGAAGTCCTTTTCAAAAAAAGAAAGAAAAAAAAAAGAAAATCGAGAGGCGTAATACACACCTAGATGAACCTTGTTACCAATAGCGAATCATATCGCCTATAGTATGTGCACAACATGTGCCATTGTCTCTCTTTGGCGTAGATCTGTGCTTATTCAGGAAGCCCCCAACTTCCAGCAGTTGGGCATCGTCTCATCCCACCATGTCAGCAACTGGTTACACCATAGTTGTGTATCCATTGATCTCTTAAGCTCGAACACTCAATTTTTATCTGAAGTGCAAAACAGCAAGTAAGTAATTCTCCTCCTGAAATTATCTTTGCAACAACTGGATCTCACATCCCAAGCAACAGTGAGCACGTCGTCTAAATATGTCGGCAGATCCAGAAATGATGCAGCCACCGCTAGACTACTCTGATAGCCGTCCTGCTCTTGTTACTGCCGGCATTATTCTATCCCTCATCGTAACTGCCGTCGTTTTGTTGCGACTTTGGTCAAGAAGATTGACCCGAAAGTCACTTAGTCTGGATGACTGGTTGTGCGTGGCTGGACTCTGCTTTCACCACATTTTTCTGGCAGCTGGCTGCGTTGCTGTCCTTAAAGGGGGTTTGGGTCGCGATGCGAGAGTTACAGTGTTGGAGAGACCAGAGTCTGTGGTGACTTTGCGTCTTGTCAGTCCGCCACCACGTGAAGCCCTTTTAGTAATGCTAACATGACAGAAAAACAAGTCCATATATGTAGCAGAGGTCGCCTATGCATACAGCTCTCCGGCGATTAAACTGTCAGTCTTGGCTTTCTACTGGCACGTTTTCCCGACATGGGCCGTTAGCCTAGGCTGCAAGATCCTTGCTTCAATATCTATCATATGGTGCATTGAATCTACCATCATCAGCTTTGTACAATGCAGGCCTCTCAACGCCGTCTGGCATACTGAGCTCCAGACGCTACCAACGACCAAATGCATCAACTGGCTCCTCTTCTATTTGGGCAACTCTATCATCAATTGCATCATTGACTTTCTCACACTCGCTCTCCCGGTTTATGAGGTCATGAAGCTACATACTTCAAGAAGACAAAAACTCAAAATTTGTTGCGTTTTCCTTCTAGGTGGGATGTGAGCCACCCCACCCACGCACTGTGTTATAAAACAACCTCTCCTTTATTTTTAACTAACACAAACTTTACAGAACTTGCGTAGCAAGCATAATCCGCGCCGTCACTCTTGGTGGCTTTTACCAAAAGAGCAGTAGTAATTTTACAAGTGAGGAACAATGTCTATATGAGGCCGATGATACATACTAATCAACACGAGGACAGAACAATTCGTGGTATTTGCATTCGCAACGCTCGTGGAGATTTACGTGGCTATTATTGGCGCATGTCTTCCAATGCTTGTGCCCGTTTATCGTCAGCTGCGATACGGGAACCCGCACAAGAGCTACAAAGGTAAATTGTCTGGACATTTGCAGATTGAAGCACGCGATTCTAGGTACAGGCGGGGGAGAGGTTCTCTATCCCTTGAACGTCTTCGGTTCGATGACCATGAACTTGTCAGTTGATTCCAGCAAGGCTGTCATTGAAATAGATAAGTGGATATTTTGTAGGAAGTCTGCTCCAATAATCCGGTCTACTACCTTTATTAATGCTCAAACATTCGCTTTAATCTTCTCGTAATAAAGCTCTTGCCTCGTGCGCAAATGTTTCAGGCACGGAAAAGTCAATATATCTCTTTCTCCAAGCCAAGGAAAGATCTAAAGGTGATGCACCCTCTTCGTTGCCTTTCTGTTTATCCGCACCCATGGATAAGAGATACGGAAGTGCTTGGCCGACCTGCCACCAGTGACATCCTTTTGCCACTTCGTGCAACGCCGTGTTTCGTCCAGCGACTCGGGAAATCTCGTCTTCGCTGAGGTAGAGGTGCGGCGCCACGTCACGATCAAACTCGTTCTCCCCCGCACGGCTCTGTGCATTGACATTGGAGTGGCCGTGCTCAACCAGCACGCGGACAACTTCCATGTTGGGCAATTCCCTTTGGCAAGCCTAGTAAACGAGCGGATCGTAGTGTGCGTCATTTGAAAACCAAGAGTCTAGGGTATTCTCCTGGAGGCGATCACATTCAAGCAAGAATTTCACTACGGTATTGCAGGTCAGTATCCTGGCGAACTTGTTCCAATGATCACTCAGAACGGGCGATTGCGAAGAATAGGTAGATGTTATGACTCATCGGCCTTTGCATCAAAGGGATATGTGCAGTGGAGTTCGTCATACATGGATGACTTGGCTGGCAGGTCTGCTGCCATTGTGTTGTAATATAGATGTACTATGGAAGCTAGAGTGCTGTAATTCATTATTACTAGGGGAACAGGCGCGCCTAACAGTCGGGTCGGGGACCACAGAGCCACGCATGCATACCACGGAAGGTAATGCCATTGCGCTGTGCAGGGTAGCGAAGTATTGTGGCCCTGTCCTAGTTCCTGTTCCTGGGTATTACGAGACATTGAACAATGAAAAACATGATGTCAAGAATAAATTATTAAATCTAAAACAAGTAATATTCTTTTTTCGTTCGTGCATATTAAGACGTCTTGTGTATTAACAACTCAGGTGAGAGGACTCAGACATGAATATGAGGATATCTCCCTTCTGCAGCATCTTGTGGCTGCATTCCAAGACTTTTCTTCTGGATACACAGATAATGAAGACAAATTTGAATAAAGCATTCTTTTTTTTTTTTNTTTTTTTTGAAGCCTTTCCAATGAACCTGATGAGGTTTTGTCAACTATAAACTCTTTTAAGAAGCCTTACGTGGCAGATTCTTTGTGTGAAGCGGCGTATTGCCGGGCGGTGCGGATGCGATAAAAGCCCAGATAAATGTAAGTGACAAGTGCGATGTACTCAGGGAGCAAGGCTATGAGTCCAAATGCCAAAGCGGAGCCGAAAAGAGGATTCCACATCGAGAAGACGTCGTGGGAGGTAAACGCATATAGCAAGCCAAAGATGGCTCTAAGCATAATAAACGGTGTGGTAATCAAGGTGAGCTTGACATACTAAAGATTGTTAGCACAGCTTTATGATGAAATCTGGACTGGTATCTCACGATAAAGTCTTGGATTTTTATGTCTTTTTGCCGGATTTGGAGACGCAAAAGCATGACAACAAGGACACAAAGTATCACGACAAACTCAACATATCCGACCTTGGTGAGCGTTCTTTGAGTATCGACCAATCTCGCATTGCCAATGAGACTGCCCGCGGCTATTAACAGTCCAATGGCAACGAGAATAGCAAAGCGAAGGATTCGGCCGATTCGTAGTCCCCAGACGTCGTCGGGGAAGCTCGAGGCGATTCTGCGAGGAATTTGTCAGACCCAGCCTGAGCTGAAGTTGGAAGGAAACGTACACGAAACGGGTCAAGGCATTGATGGTGACAATGAGAGGGATAAGTCCCAGATTGAGCAGGACGATAGAGGCAATGATAAGGCCGAGATTGTTTACATCAGTCGACCAGATTATAACAGTGATGCCGCCGGCTAGTCGCACTAGGAATCTTGCATTAGACAGATAACGCCGTGCAGTGAGAAATGAGGAAACACACTTAAACAGAATAATACAAGGGGATACCATGCCAGACGTGGGCCAGCTTTCCAATTGCGAATCAAGAGATAGACGGTAATGGGCAAAACTGGTGCATAGAAGACAGTTTGAGCAATAGCGACGGCCGTGTGAGAAGAAACCATGATGTTGTGGATAAATGAGATGCTAAGATGCCTATATAGGCAACGAAGAGTTGCGTCGAGAGACTTGGGTAGAGAGACGGTGAGATTATACGATGATGGAGGGTCCAAATATAGGTACGGAAGATAAAAAAAACAAGCGAGGATATAGAAAGGGGAGGAAAAAGGAATTAAGAAAAACAAAAGCGAATAGCCGATATATAAGAACATTACCTTATTCCATCTTTGCCTCTCACTCGTCTTGCTTCCCAATGAGATAATCCAAGGAAGCCTCGTGCAATTGATCTTTCTGATCTGAGCAGGGATGTCAATGCCACCCGCGGATTGGGACCTAATAGGGCTTAGCTTCAGCTGTGCCGCGATCAGATCCACAGAGACGATGCTGTCAGCTCGGGATGCGTCTTACCAGGTACCAACAAACACTTGATAGCCTCCCCGAGGGATGCGGGGACGCCTGTATTACTCTAAAATGTCGCGGCAACTCGTGGCCCAGGACGAAGCCTCGTCTGTGGCCAATCACTCGTCGCGATATGGGCTCAGCCCGTACGGGGTGCATACCTGCATCGTCAGCATCGCCTCCCTAGGCGTGTGCATATCAGGTGCAGTGTCGCAACCATAACGCAAGTCGTTGGACCCTGATAAATATCCCATTGGTCCGCTTACATTCCACGTGATATAACCTTGAAGGTTACTAACATCCCTCCTCCACCGTCAACAAACCGCCCACCTCTCAAACACTGACCCCTAAGCTGCCCACGCTGCAGCAGCAAGAAAAAGTCCTGATTTCAATCCACAAACACGGACCATCCCCGACATAGCACAGACTGCAGAAATTATCCTCATCTTGGTGTGACCCAGTTAAAGGGTCCAAGCTCTAGTTGCAGAGCCGTTAGGATGGTTGGGGTGCCGGGTCGGTCCAAGGCATGCCATAACTGCAGAAATAGGCGAATGAGGGTATGTGATCACTGGACATCCACCGTTAGGCGGACCTGTCTAATTATGCATCTGCTAACATGTGAAACTTCCCAAAGTGCGATCTAGGGCAGCCAGGATGTCAGAATTGTGCCAAGTCGGGGCGTGTATGTTCTGGGTACTACCGACCTCACACATTTGTCCTTTCCAAGGATGTTGTCCTTGCGCCAGATGATAAAAGCGTCACCGAGTTTGACTCGGGCCTCGTTCTTGTTTCCCGTTGGAGAGCCGACCCAGGTCAGAAAGACCGTGCCCAAGCGCTCTTCCCTCGCCTTCTACAGCATGATACCTCCATACCAAAAGAAGTGTCTCCTAGTCATGCCTATCGGGATAAGCTGTTTGAGCTCTTTTTGGATCATCGCTTCCCGGCCAAGGACCAACCTGTGCCCGCCTTGGAGAAGCGCGATTGGATACTGCAGGTTCTGGAGCTTCCTACCCTAACGCCCGGTCTCACCCACGCTGTTTTGGCAGTCTGCACGGCCCACATAGGGCGCCGCAACAATGATAATGTACTCCTGAAGCATAGCTTACCTCTTTATGGACAAGGCTTGCGGGACCTTCAACGAGCACTTTGTGATCCAAGTTGGCGCGATAATGAGCAAACCCTGGCTGCTATCTCGGCACTTTTACTCTACGAGCTTTCAGAGTGCCCAGGCAACACGGTTGACGGTTACATGTCACATTACAATGGCTTTATGGAGCTCCTACGCCTGAGGGGACCTAAATCTTGCAGATCGGGTCTCGCCCATAGCTTGTTTCTAGTTCTGCGTCTACATACTGTGAGTCCGTCCGAGACGATCCAGTATCATTGTGTTGAATACCGACTGACAGTATGTTTCAAGGTGTTCCAAGGTCTTGTGCGACGCTCTGCGTCTTTTCTAATCGAGCCATCTTGGATTCAAAATCCTTGGGGTTCAGAGAAAAGCCACTTTGATCTACTGCTTGATATTGTCCTTGAGTTACCAGTTCTGTTTGTCCAGAGCGATGCTATAGCAAAAATTGCCTGTCCACAAGAACGGCTCAAGAAGTTTCTCGAGACCATTCATAAGGGACAGCGCATGGAGTCCCTCCTCACCACGTGGCTTGCCAGATTCGAGCCCTCAGTCAACGGACCTCTGTATTACCCAGAACTCAAGTTCACCGAGAATGCCTCAGGCGGCTACCGGCTCTCCTCAATTGTTTTCCAGTTTCCCGCCTTTTTTGTGGCCCAGAACGTCGTTTACTACTGGCTGGGCCTGCTCATAGTCCACGCTCACCTGTGCTTCATGTACAATGGTCTTGAGCGCCTCATGGATGCTCTGGCTTCAGTCATGGACACCTATGCGTGTACTTGTGACAGTACTTCAGAAAATGAGCCGGGTGGTCCAGCTGCATGTGTGCGCCACTTCAACTTGAAAATGTTGCCACCGCTGGCCCACAGACGAAATTGGGGCAAGACTACTGCATACAACATCTGCCAGTCCATTGACTATTTTCTGCAGGAAGATCTGCGTGACTTTGGGACTACAACTGTTATACCGGCACTCGCGATTGTAAAGACTTACTGGGGTCTCTGGCCTGGCGATTGGACACGAGAGATATCCTGGGCGCAGCATATGTTAAAAGATATCATGGCGAGGGGCAGCGGGATAGCTGGGCATCTGTGACACTTGTAAATTGACGGACTATCTAATTAGGCACACAGTTGTCACCATCTTCTTTATGTCTGACATAGCAGACGCATGGTGGCGATACCTATTAGAGGGAGATGATATAGGAGAAGCATCAAAAAGAGACGAGCCATCGAAATATCTTGTACAGAGGATGTATCATCTTCCCAAGTGCAGTATTTTTCCACAACTGAATAGGCACAAAATACCATCGCTGAGAAGACCAACCCCATTATTTACTCTAGGGACTGATCATAATTGTATATACTGGAAAAATAGGTATAGCTAGACTCTTGCCCAACGGCGCTCGCCGTGAGCTTCCTGAGCTTGCGATTCTGTGAAAATTGACAGTCTCTACTTGGCGCGCACAGCCGACGAACCTATTGTCGACACTCCGATTGGCCTCTGACCCATCCACAAGCAGGTACAGCAGCCATCGTGCAGTTTCCAGCTATGGTACCCGAAGCATATCCGCCACGGGGGTGCAACATGCGAAAGCCTCCGCCACTCAACCTTGACCCTCTGGGGGACGACGCAGGCCTGGGAGATGTCACGTAAAACATGACCTGTCCGCAATTTTGGGGCAGCAAATGAGGCTTTGCGGTAAGAATGCGCTTGTGCAAGAACACTTGATCGGAAACCAGGAAGAACTAAGCCCAGGCATAGATATACCGCTGCACGGAAGGAAATGAAGCTGGTTGGAACAAGGTCATGCAGCTCATCGGTCACAAGTTAGTCGAGAACCTTCAATTCTATTGGCGCGAGGACCTACTCCAATACCACGACTTACACGCGATAGATGACAAGTCATTATAGTTATGTTTTCAAGACTCCAATCGGCAAATGCCACGCTGACATAAGCTTAAAATAGTAGGTGCAAGTCTGCGCTTTGCCCATGTCGTCGATTAGTCTCATATTACACACTAATGTTAATTTAGTGGAGCGACATCGCACGACGTTTTTGGGACCATTTCCTGCAATGGGTCTCAACGAGCTGAAAGAGAGAATGCGCCGCCAGTGGAGGAGTGGAGCGTGCAGCGGTGCTTGGCCGATAGCACGGCCCGCTACAAGTTCTGGGCTTTTTCATTGACGACATTTGTCTCGAGTGTCTGGACCAGAAGGGCTCCAATTGGCCAGTTCGGATTCGAGGCAATACAAGATCCACCCCGGGCTTCGCGACGGAGGAACGGACGATGAGTAGGAAGAGGTAGGCTAGATGTATATGCCTGTCAATAGATACATGGATCGGTACGATTACCTGACAAAGGAAGATGACCCGACGAGTTTCTACGCACGTCCACCATATACTAGCTTGAGCTCTCCGGAAAATAAGCTTGTTGGGTGTTGGGAAGCCAGGCTCAGTGATGGTGCGAATATATCGCCAGGCCACATTGCAAAAGTGTGTGCTACGTACATAGGTGTAATCTAGTGCAGATATATCTCATGCAACATAATATACTGACTCATCAATTATCTATACTGTTTAGTACGAATTGCATTTCTCTACGTTGGGTATAGCCGTTAATCTGACAGAAATAATAAGACACATTATAAGACGTAGCGGCCGTGGAAGCGTGACAGCGTGGGCAACAGAGCCAGCTTTATCCGCCAACGAAACAAAATCAACTCGGGAGTATGGTATGTCTATGGAGTTATCAAAGCCTGGTAAGTAAAGATGCGTGAATTGTGACTCTTGTATTTCGGAGTTACAAGGATAGTATCTCTAATATTCTACTGGACCTTGGCGAATCATGGTATAGATCGATTCCAGAAATTCGATAGCGCTTATTTCATGTCAGATTAATTTACCAGGGAATCATAATTTGACTGGAAACTGCTAGCTAAATTTAGCATTCGCGCAAGGGTAAGCGAGTTTGTGGATTACTTAATAAGCTGCAAGGGTTGATGATTGGTAGTGGTATACAGCTGTCCCCACGGCCTAGGAGGTTAAACTGTAGTGGATCGCCTCGTGTAGACAGTTCCTTGCCCCATCAAAAATGCCTATTCTCTTTTCTATTTGATTTTAAGCGTATGTTCTATGGTGAGTTCGGTGCAGGATCATAGCGGCGATATCAAATCCTGCCGAAGTGAAATATTCGGGAGAGCAGCAGAATTTGATCATGGACTTATCAGCCGATGTCTAATCTCGGACGTTTAAGCGGCGGCCGCACCCTATGCTGTTCTCCACCAAAACCGAAAACCAGGCCGCGTTCAGAAATATCGAAGGATGCTGCCATGACCTAGAACTTTACCCTTGAACACTAGAACCATCAACAATCAATAGTTGCACCGGGCATCGCATAGACGGCCCATGGCTCATGAGGATCAATAGCACGATAGGTTTAAGCAGGAGACTGGAAGAATAATAATATAAAAGACCGCTTGGCAGAACCTTTGGATCGTGAAGATGCATCACAGCTCAGTTCCTTCGCCATACCATTCCCATCAATCCTCACAATGAGGATTTCTCGCCTTGTAACCTCGTTGTGCACGAGTTTGCTTACGGCAAACACTGTCTACGGCCTTCCAAATCCTCAACTACCGACTCCTTCCAATCACATCTCGGTGACTGATGGCGCGCGCAATGAGTCCCATGTCATCAAAAGAGATTTGGTTGACCTAAGAATTCTACCCCTCGGAGCTTCTATTGTCTGGGGACTCTTGTCGTCCGACTTGAACGGGTAAGTTCTCATTCTTGCATCGCAATGGTGTCGTATGGGTTGCTAATCACGAACAGCTTCCGCAAGCCCTTGCGGGATCAGCTACGATGGGAAGGCTATGCTGTCGACATGGTTGGTAGCAAGTTTAGCGGATCCATGAAAGACAACGTATGTTACTCCTTTGCTCAATGGCGGGATACCGACAAGTTCTGACACACCACAGGATGTAGAAGCCACCCCCGGATACGTCATTGACCAGATTCACACGGCCGCTGCGCTGAGCTATGGATTTAAGCCTAATGTTGTACTCATCAACGCGGGAACGAATGACTGCGTTGGCAATGTCGACATTAATAATGCCGCTTCGCGTCTTGAGTCAATGGTCAATGATCTATGGGCCAATGTTGCCGAGGACACTGTAATCATTATCTCCACCATTCTCATCAATAATGTCGAGTCAGTCAACGAATGTCGGGCGATTGTAAACCCCATGTATCGTCAGCTACAAGCTTCTCTAGCCGCCGAGGGCAAACCCATTTACCTGACAGACTTTGACGGCTGGATCACCATTGATGACATTACCCAGCCGGATGGCACGCACCCTACCGATGAGGGTTACCGAAGAATGGCCGGCGCGTGGTGGGAAACAATCGCGCAGGCTAACGCTGATGGCGCAATACAACCTCCGCAGGACGTTGATCTCGACACGGTCACAACAACATGCAGCAAAGTTGCCGGTACCGGGGTCAACGCAGGCGCCGAGACGCAAACTGGTAGCGGCTACGATGATGGTATCTACTATCACAATAGCGAAGAGCAGGGTATTCTGCTCACCATCACCAGCCAGTGGGACCGCAACCAATGGTACTTTGCTCGATTGTTCAATCAGGAGCGCGACGACCTCTTGGGCTGGATCAACGAAACTGATGGGTCGATTACGTATGCACTTTGGCGCAACGACGGGGATGGAGTCATGACCAAGATTGATGACATGACAAATTTCCCCAACCAGTGCATCCCTCGTGGTGGGAGGTTTATCGATCTCAATGCAGACGGTCTAGACGACTTTGTCTGCATTAGCAACCCCGATGGTGCTCTTTACGGTGTCATCAACAACGGCGATGGCAGTGGTAGTAGCGGACCTACATGGACCTCGATTGGACTCATCAAGGATGCCGATCCCAACTTTCCTCAGGCGCAGGTGCGGCTCGGTGATATTGATGGTGATGGTCGTGCGGACTTTATCGGCCTCGATGCCGACGGCACTGCTCATGTTTGGCGCAACGGTGGAACCGCCGACGTGCCAAATGTCTGGTAAGTCTATGGGTGCGACATCAAATCGACACAGAACTTATGCTGACCATTCTTTGTTCCCCAGGCAGGAGATGGGCACTCGCTGGACAGGCGGCGATATGGATGACCTGGCCGGTGTACGGTTTGAAGATCTCAATGGCGATGGGCGCGACGATTGGATGTGGGTTGCGGATGTAGGCACGACCTACACATGGACCAACTCGCGTAGCTGCTTGAAAGGAATAGTCGGCAACGGTCTCAACGTCGCCTGGCGTCAGGGCTTTTACACGGGTGCAACCAGTGGTCCGACGCATCTGGCAAGCTTCGATGGCGATGTTGACCGCGACCGCATCCACTTTGCCCGCATCTACGGCGAGTCCGCGGCATTTTCCTTGCTAGGCCGCCAGGACTATGTCTACATGGAGCACATTGCCGACGGCGACCTGCACACTTTTAATATGCGCGTGTGGCAGAATACTGGTAGCGGTGCAGCCAAGCTCAAGGCCGACGGCGACAAGTATGGCAATATGCAGGGAAGTGCCACGGGACGCCAAGACTATGTGTGGGCGTATTCGGGCGGGAAAATGATTATTTTCCCAAACGGCGGCGTCGACTACATCACCGAGGGCGAGAGTTACTGGATCCAACCGCAGCAGGACATGTTCGACCCCCAGACGCTGATCGGCCAGTACCTCGACCGCCGTGACTTGCATCTCACAGACTTTGACGGCGACGGCAAAGATGACATTGTCTGGACGGACCCAGATAATGACAATCATGTCTCCGTTTTTATCAACCAGTATGACGGCACCACTTGGAGCTGGGAGTATCAAGCCGATCCGGCACCAGCTCTGTCGTGTCCCTATACCAAGGGCATAGGAATCCATGATATTCCGATCCGCTGGGGTGACATCAGCGGCAACGGTCGAGACGATTATGTCTGTATTGCCCCTGATGGAACAATGTCTGGCTACGTCCACGAGACGGACGGCTCATGGACGTATAACACGCAATTCTTCGGCCCCAAGGGATACGACCGTGCTAATTTTCAACTCGGCGACGTCAACGGAGACGGCAAGGTTGATATCATCTGGACTGAAAAGTTCTCTGGTGACGGCTATGTCTATTACAACGATGGGCCAGAGAATGTTGCCGGGTCGAGCTATCATTGGGACGTAGACGCAGACTTGCAACCCGCGTATGCATATGCTGGTAACGTGTGAGTATTCATCATGTTCATTTTAAAACATGTAATTGTACAATTAAAGAGAGCTAACGACGTGTACAGTGCCGGCACGTGTACCTACTACAACGACCTCAATGGCGACGGACGTGTGGATCAGCACATCATCCTCGAGTCATTCAATAATAACGCCGAGACGTCGTACAACCTGTGCGCGGGCGATCACGTTGGTGATGACGAAGATCCTTATACTGACCCAGGTCTGCCGATTCCCGCGACTACAGCGCCAGCTACTACAACTGCTGGTGGTATCACGACTACAGCACCCATTGGTGTGTCCTCGATCACGCCCATGCCCACTTGTGTCATTGCCCAGGATCCGGATGCAGGTATCAGCACTGCATACTGTGTATGCAGCGACTACGACACCACCCTACCGACACTTGCTGGAACTTCGTCGCCTTGCGCATATACTGCTTTGCCCACCATCACCGCCGCCACAACCGCCGCCAATACCGCAGGATATACATATACCGACCCATATGGCGACGTCATTGCGTGCTCGACCAGCTCAGTGGACGCCATTGGTGGCATCACGTACACGGCATGCGCAGGCGGCAGCAAGACACTGGTGACGGGAACACCTCTGCCCGCGGTGACGGCGGCTTGCCGAGTAGCCGAGGATCCGGACCAGGGCATCAATACCGCATTTTGCACTTGCGACGACAGTCCGGGCTATACGCTCCCGACCCTGACGGGATCGCTGCCCTGCGACTACACGTTTGTGTCGACCGTCACCCTTACTCCAACTACCACGGTTGCTGCGACGCCGACACCCAAGGGCTGGGCTGATGTTGACGACGTTGTGTCTTTGGGAGCATGTGGCGTCCCGGGTCAGAGTTGTCAGATTGCGGAACCCGTTTTCACCGATGATATAATCAACGACTTTTGCCAGAGCATTATTGATAGTCCGTAAGTTTGCTCCATACCAACATCCGACGGCACTGTCGAACCGTGACTGATCTTTTTTAAAACACGCAGTTGTAGCAACCATCATGCTATTGGTGTAGCTGGTGTCGGTGGTGCTACGTGGGCCCGCGGCTCTAAATTGGATTGCGCCCTCACTGGACCGCTCACCGTGGATGAATGCCATGGAATTTTCGTAGACGTCTATTCTGATCCGGATTGTGCCGTTGGAAAAATCAACGGCAGCACCGAGTGCCAGGGCTACATTGATGATCCAGACGGCACATACCTAGGTATTCTTGGCATCACGGGGTCTTGTGTCTGTTCAAAATAAGAATCGCTGAGGCACTGTATGATAGTATCTTCAATAGTGTACAGGTACCCAATGCCACCCTTAGTTTGCTGAAAACAATGTTTCGAACTCTGCGTACGGGGTACCCTGAGTCGGTTGACCGATTTGCCCTGCGTTACTATGGTAGACTTCGTTGCTCGCAAATGCGATGAACCAGCTGGTTGGATCGCCTATGTTTAGTGCCAGACTCTGTTAAACATCATTAGCACTGTGAATGTGGAAGTCTGAAGGTGCACGAACCCAAATGTATATACTCGGCGTTGTGAACCTTGTTTTTGGGTCTTTTAGATCGGTCTGGTATTGTTCGACTTGAGCGTCAAGCAGTTCCTGGAGACCTGAATAACAACCACACAGGTCGTATGAGGTATCATAGCGACAAAAAGAGTCTGCCAACCGTGTACCAGTCTGGCAAATCCAGCTTTGCTTGGCTCCGGCCAGACACGCGGAACGAAGGTGGACATGAGACCAGGGTCCGTCTCCCACGCTCTTAAATCGTGGCACTGATGGAGTGAATCAGGAAGTCTATGGCAAATAGACCAAGATTTAGACTCTCTACCAATAACCGCAAACACAAGGCCGTCTTCGCCAAACGATACCTCGTGCGATGAATCAACCCTTTGGTGCTTTGCAATATCCGGGTACTTTTGTAACAAAAAGTCAAGCTCAACCTTCTTTGGGTGTCCTAGCTCTTCAAATCCTGAGGAAGGAGGAGCTAAAAATGAAATAAAAGTATAGATCAGTAATCAAAAGCGGATGATAAAAACGAGACATATCTGGTTAACCGAAAATGAGATCTTAGTATATGATACTGGAATAAACAAAGTCTTGAGCCAGGTGAGGAACCGAGTCATCTCTCTTCATTCCATCCTCAAGTTCGTTGGCTTGCTCCTCGGCCATAGGGAACGGAAGCGGCCTAATAGCCATTGGATTAGTCCTTTTCTTTTCTTTGGTACACACTCGCTGCCGCATCGTCACTTACCATCTAGGCCCTCCATATCTGACTGAAGAAGAACCATTCGCGATGGATGGCGAATTTGGGAGCAAAGTCGCCGACGTATGACCTTGTTCCTTGTTAATTGTGAGAGTCCTCACGTCGGAGACGAGGTGCACGATATTGCCCAATTCTGGCTCGAACAGGGGGTTTCGGGTTTTCGAATGGATATTATTAATTTGATCTTCAAGGACCAAAACTTCCCAAACGGCTATAAAAGCGAATCTTGGCTGCTCGGAGTACTCCCCGATGATAATACTGGATGGGTCTGACTGAGGTACCTTTAGGTCAGTGCCAAAGATGAACCGGTACTGTTTGCGCAGTACAGTATATACTGTACATACCATTACATCAAACTACCCAACACTCGTGTTTAGGTTCGTGTAGGAAACGTGTAATATCATCTACACACGAGACTTGACAAGTGCGCATCAATCAAAAGTTATTATCAAATGAGCAGCTCACAATACACCACCAACAACCGCAAATTCCAACACAATGAAAGCTAAGTAACATGTAAGCATTGCGGCTCCAATCCACCGATAAATCCTTGTGCCAAACCAGATCGTAAGGGTGAACGCAAGTGTCGAGCCCCACATAGCACCAAGCTCAGGAAGACTAATGTCACCATGCGCCGAATCACCTGACGTGGTAAACATAACGATTCCCAAGCAAAGCGTGAGGAGAAAGATGTTAGAGCCAACTGTATTGGCGACGAGGACACCCGCGTGCCCACGTTGTCCACTAACAATAGCAATAAACTTCTCGGGAATTGTAGTTGCAATTGCGAGCAATACCACACCGAAGAAGACGTCCGGAACCCCAATCTCATCCACAATGGTGGCAGCCGCATGTGAAAGGATATATCCGGCCAGGGATATGAGACAAAAACCGATAAAGAAATGGAAAACGTGGTACCGCAGTGAACGGTGACGTGAACGAGGCGAGCGAGACGATCTAACAGTCGGAAGGCTGCCATCTGGATGTTCTAGCTGATTTACCTCGTGCAAAAGCGGTCTGCGTGACTCTTCACTGTCGACAGCGGGGGAGATGTAACAGCCATATTCATGTTACGAACATGCACCCTTGCATAAGAACAAACAAGTGTGTTGGCGCTTAAAGAAAAAAGGGAGGGGCTTAGTACCGAAAGCCGGGAACAGGACAAGACGGGAACCACTATCTTTAATAGCTGCTAGCCAGCTGCTTAATAGGATTATAGTTTTAGCAATAATTTAGACGATTAGATTATTAGGATTATTGAATTTTATCGATTTTAGGGCTATAGAATCGGCTTAATATTATAATTTAAAGGATATTAGTAAAGGAATAAATAAATATATATTATAAAAAAGTTTTTTATATAAATAGTTATTACTTTAATAATTAATTTAAATATTTATTTTATTTATAGGTAAAATATTTAATACGCTTTAACGATTATTTTTATAAATTAATTCGATTATTTTTACTTTTAAATATTTATTGCTTAATATTTCTTTTAAAGCTACCGTCCCTTATTAGTATAAACCCTAATATTTTTTATATTTTAAGTTTATTTTAAAAACCCGTAATATAGTCGTTATATTTTAATTATTTTTATTTAGGTATATTACTTTTAAAAAAAATTTTAAGTAATATTTAGCAAAATATCGTTAACCGGAAAAACTCCTTTTTTTTTTATTTAAATATTCCTAGCGCTCGCTTACGCAAGAGATAGAAAAAGATAATTTCGAATTAATTAAAAATTAATATTTAGAATTAGTTAAAAAGATCCGCGCATTTAAAAAAAAAAACTACTTTTTTTATACGTAAAGCCTAAATAGGATAAATTATATAGGAATTGCAGAATTTTAATAATATTATAGCTAAGGCAGCTAATATTATTTTTACTTTAGTTTATTCCGAAAAGCTTAAGCTTAGCATATTAACGGCTTTTAATAATATTCCCGGATTACTCCGAGGATTTTTGGCCTAGGTTTAAGCTTACTAGACTTTTTACGGCAATTAATTTATAACAAAAAAATAAAAAATATTTTACGTTACGTTTTATTTTAAAAAACAAGCATTTGCCTAATTCGAACCCTATTTTTCGGACGTAATTAAGCACGAGTGGTAAATAGAATTATGCAAAGCAGAAATTTAAAATATTTTCTAAAATTATACAGGATTTAAAGCAGCGCTTCGATTTTTATTTTAAAATCCGGACGAAAAACGATAAGCTAAAAGGGAATTTAAGAACTTTAAATAAAAAAAATCCGTATTTAATTATACGGCAGATTTTAAGCGTATTATCGCTAAAATAAAATATACCGACGATATTAGGATTATATTATATTATCGAAAATTTAAAAACGGTATTAAAAACGAATTTAGCAAAATTTTTAAATTATTAGCCGAATTTAGCAAATATAGCGAATTTACCGTTAAAATCGATAATTAGTTATACGCTCGATAAAACGAAAAAAAAAAGAATTACCTTACGCTATATTTTTAACGTAATTACGCTAATATAGGTAAATTACGAAATAACCTATAACCTAAAAATAATTAGCGCGATAAAACCTTATACGGAATTTATAGCGGATAAATAGATTTTAACGCTATTTAGCGCAAAAATAAATTTAAAGTTAAATGCTATAATTGCGATAAATTAAAATATTACGCTAACGAATATCGCTAACCTAAAAAAATAAGATTTAAGCTAGTATTAAAAGGTAAAAGGCAGTTTAATAATATTAAAAGGGATAATATATTTTACGAATTATTTTTTTAAACGGCGTATTTTAACAACGGATATCGAATATATAAATTTAATAAGGATAAAAATAAATAGTATTTTTAAAAACGGAAAACCTTAATAGCTATACGATTAAAAAAGACCGTATATTTTAGAAAATAAAGTTAATTTTAAAATAATAATAATCGTATATTTTCGGATGCTTTAGAAAATAAAGTATATTACTAAATAAAATAGGCAGAAGGCTAGAATTAATAAAATTTATACGATAATATTTTTAGTTACGAAGAAAGCATCGATATCGATATAAATTTTAATAAGTAAAAAAAAGATAGATTCGTTAAATTTATTTAAAATAACGACGAAAAATATATTATCGATTATATATTTAAAAACGGAATTAGCTATATTTACGATATAATTATTATTATAATAGAATAATAGGATACCGCATTATAATTTGTAAAAATCCTTTAAAAAAAGACTAATATTTTATAGACCCGACGAACCCTAGGAGTAATAATAGGAGACGACGCAAAGCTTACCTATATATATTTAGCATATAATACCGTAGCATAATACGGATATATCGACCCTGGTTATAATATATATTTATAAAATAAAATCCGAAAAGGGATATTTTTTTATAATATAATAAAAACGCTATTTATTACCCTTTTAGGGCGGGAAAAATAAAAAATATAAAAATTAGTTATATCGACCCTTAAGGATTCGTAGTGCTTTATGCATAATTATAAAATTTAGACCGATATTTAAAAAACGGGGATAGGAAATAGGAAGAATGCCTATATTATAATTGCGAATATTACGTAATAAAAAAAATTAAAATATAGCATTTTTTTAAAGAATATAAAATAATAGGACGTATCCGCGTTATAGCTATTTAATTAGGAAACGATAATGCCGAAAATTTAGTATAAGCTATAAATAATAAATACGAATTATTTATATATTTAATAGCTAATTTATTATTACGACTAATTATCGAAATAATAGAAAAAACGGGAAAAACCTATATTAGGATTATTATTAGCCTATATTTCGTATATTAAGGATATAAAGAGCTAAGAAAGCCTTTTAAGGACGATAAAAAATAAAGAAATACCCTTAATATATAATAAAAAATAGACGAATTACCTAAATAATACGGAAATCGACCTTTATAAACTAAAAAGAATCTAAATATATTAAAATAATAAGTATATACGGCCGCCGAAACGCAACGAGCTAATAAACGAATTAATAGGAATTCGGGAAACGATTACGGGCATTTTTAAAGCGATAAAAATAGACCCCGACTAAAAAGTCTATATATGCTATAAGCAGTATTAATATTAACGAATATTTTACGATTTAAATTAAAATTATAAACTAAAAAATACGAGCTTTAATAAATACGGAAGCTTAAAAAAATTTTATTTTGCTAATAATCGTTAACGCTTTATAAATATTATAAAAGCAAAAAAAAACGCTTTACGCATTTTAAATTATTAATAAAAAACCTATATCGTACGGAAACGGAATAGTAAGTATAGAGATTGCGTATATTTAAATTTATATTTAGGATTATGAGGAAGGATTTAAGTGCGATATTATAAAAATTACGGATTACGATATTATCCTAGGGATACCTTAGTTACGAGCGAGTAATCCTAAAGTAAATTGGAATATCGGCTAATTTTAGTAGGATATATTAAAAAAAAAGTTAGCCTTTAAAAAGCGCTAAAATAAGTTTTTAAGCAATTTTAAAATATTTAGATTTTATTTTATAATTAAGCATATTAAGCCGAAACTCGAAACTAAAATACTAAAAAAATATTAAGAGTTTAGCGATTTATTTAATAAAATATTAAAAATAGGATTATTAAAATATATAAAATACGATTATAAAATACCTTTTTAGGAAGGAAAGGAATTATATTTTATACTAATATATTTAGTGAAATTTTAGCACGAAAAGGTATTAAAAGAATATTTAGCGGATATATTATAAAAAGGATAGATTATAGAATTTATTTTATTTGCGGGATACCTAATATTTTTTATACCTAAAAAGAGTAAAAACGGGAAACCTAAATAGAGATTTTGCATTAATTACCGTAAGCTTAACGATATTACGATTAAAAATCGATACCTTTTATTTTTAATTAAGGACCTATGCGATAAATTATATAAAGCTTAATAGTTTATAGTTTTAGATTTGCCTAACGCGTACGGCTTAATATAAATTAAAAAAGGAGAAAAATAGAAAACCGCTTTTTATTATAAATACGGATATTTTAAATATAAGGTTATGCTTTTCGGATTAATTAACGTATTAGCAAGCTTTTAAAATATAATTAACGACGTTTTAAGAGAATATTTCGATAAATTTATAATAGTATATTTTAACGATATATTTATTTATTTTAAGAATTTTAATAAATATTAATAATACGTTAAAATAGTATTATAAAAATTATAAAACGCGAACCTGCTAGTTAATTTAAAAAAAAGCGAATTTTATAAAAAAAAAAGTTATTTTCGTAAAATATATAATATTCCCCGGAGAAATTAAAATAGAATTATTTAAAATTTTAATAGTAAGGGATTGGCTTACCCCGATAACGGTAATAGAAGTTAGATCCTTTTTAGGATTTATAAATTTTTACTAAATATTTATTTAGGGATTCGGAAATATTACCGCACCGCTTACGCATTTAACGAAAAAAGATATATTATTCGATTAGATACCTAAAATATAGGAAGCTTTTAAAGCAGTTAAAAAACGAATTATAAACGAACCTATAATGCGTATAATAGATTTGGAACAAAAATTTAAGGTCGAAATAGACGCTTTAGATTATGCTATAAGCGGATAGCTTATATAAAAGGATAATAACGGGAAATTATATTTAGTTGCGTTTTATAATAAAAAATTTACGAAGGAATAATTAAATTATTAGATTTATAATAAAGAATTTATAATTATTATCGAAGCATTTTAGGAATAGAAATATTATTTTAGTAGAATTAAATATTAAATTAAAATTTATACCGATTATAAAAACTTAGCTTTATTTATTATTAATAAAGAATTTAATAAGCGATAAATTAGATAGGCAGAATTTTTAGCAGATTTTAATTTTAAAATAATTTACCGTAAAAAATTAAAAAACGGAAAAGCTGACGCTTTTAGCCGAAAATTAGATTATTTTTAGGAAATATTAAAAGAAATTAATATTATTTTTTTAATAGATGACGAAGGAAATTTAGTATTAATTATAATTTTATATATAGCTATAAGGGTTAGTAACGATAATAATTAGATTAAAAGGATAACTAATAATAACGGAATATTTAATATATACGCCGATAAAATTAAGATTAAGGAAATATTATTCGATTAAATAATTAAAAATTATTACGAATTACTTATTAATAGATATTAAGGAGTATTTAAGATAATTAAACGAATTTAATAATATTTTAATTATTTATAGTTACGCAAATATATTAGTAATATTATTAAAGAATGTAATTTGTGCAATAAGGTAAAGTTAGCACGATACTAATAGTATAGAGAATTATAACCTATACCACCGCTAAATAAAATATAGAAATTTATTATATTAGATTTTATAATAAAACTACTATTTTTAAAAGAACCTTTAACTAGGACTTTTTACGATAGTATTTTAGTATTTATAAAACGATTTATAAAGTACGCGTATTTCCTTTTATATAAAAAAGCTAATAACGCGGAAGAATTAGCTTATATATTTTTTCGAACGATAGCTAGTTAATACGGATTATTAAACGAAATTATTTTAGATTAAGATAAATTTTTTACGTCGAAATTTTGGATATTATTTATTAATTAGCTAAAATGCGATTATAAGCTTTTAATAGCTTTTTATCCGCAAATTAACGGATAAATAAAACGAGCAAATTAGGTATTTAAAAAATATTTTAGATGTTACGTTAATTACGAATAGGATAATTAGGTTATATTATTATTATTCGCATAATTCGTATATAATAATGTAATACGAGAATTTACCGGAATATTATTATTTTACGCTAATTACGGATACGAACTAGATATTATTAAGGAATTATTAAAAGGAAAAGAATTTGTATTATACGCGATATTACGCGTCGAATAATTTAAAAATTTATAAGCAGAATTTTAAAAAACTTTTATCGCTATTTAATAAAAGATAAAATTTTAATACGATAAAAAAAAAATTAAGGGATTAATTTTTAAAAAAGGGGATAAAGTTTATTTTTTACGCAAAAATATTAAAATAAAACGATTAAGCGATAAATTCGATTTTAAGAAATTTGGATTATTTAAAATTAATAAAAAAATTTCGAATATTGATTACCGATTTAAACTATTAAAAATTATAAGAAATTATAAAACTTTTTATATTTTATTACTCGAATTAGTACTAAAAAACGCTAAAATCGACGAAATATTAAAAATAAAACTAAATTAATAAAAATATATTATTAAAGAAATTATCGATTATAAAAAGGTTAGACGCGGATATTAGTTTTACGTTAAATAGGAAAATTACTTATTTAAGGAAAATATTTAGGAATTTAGGAAGTATATTAAAAATTATATTGCTTTTAATTAATATTTTTAGCTTCGATAAAAGGACTAAAATTTATAAAATTATTTCCGAAACCGAGTGCCGATTAATCGGGCTTATTAGGGATGCTTAACGATTAAAAATCGTTTATTACGAAGTATTTATAATTTTTAAAAATAGGAAAAACCCTATTTTTTTTATTTAATTCTTTTATATTACGAGTAAATAATTCGGAATTACGAGCTTTTATTCGTATTTTAATTTTTCGAATCCGAAATAACCGATTAGTAATAGCCGCTAAAAAGGATTAAAGCTTAGCTATTTTTTCGTAAAGTTTTAAAAAATTATTATTTATTTTTTTTTTTCGGTCTTTAATTTCCGCTATTAATCTAAAATTTTCCGAAGCGTAAAAGCTACTAAAATATTATCGCATTTCCGGAAAAAATGCGCGATATATTTTAAATAACGAGTTGATTTTTCGTCCGCTATTCGGCAGGGACGCTTATTTTTAAAATAAAGCGTATATAATATATTTATAATACGACCGTTTAATTTAATAAAATTAAAAAGCTTAATCCGTTTACGAGCTTTTCGTTTTTTTATTATTTCCGATAAAGATTTTAATATAATAAGCATATATTATAAATAAAGCAAAAAGGAACGATAGGGAAGGGAAATAGGATAACCACGGTATATAGGTATTACGATTTATTTAAGCGGTTTAGAGTTTTTCGAGGATAAAAGATATAAAAAGGGGAGCTAATATTATAAATATGCATTTTTGCATAAAAATAAATAAATATATTAGCGCTTAAAAAAAAAAAGAAGGGCTTAATACCGAAAGCCGGGAATAGGATAAAACGGAAATTATTATTTTTAATAGCTGCTAGCTAGCTGCCTAATAGGATTATAATTTTAGCAATAATTTAGACGATTAAATTATTAGGATTATTAAATTTTATCGATTTTAGGGCTATAAAATCGGCTTAACATTATAATTTAAAAGATATTAATAAAAGAATAAATAAATATATATTATAAAAAAGTTTCCTATATAAATAATTATTACTTTAATAATTAATTTAAGCATTTATTTTACCTATAAATAAAGCATTTAATACGCTTTAACGACTATCCTTGTGAATTAGTTCGATTACCCTTACCTTTAGATATTTATTGCTTAGTGCTTTTTTTAAAGCTACCGTTCCCTATTAGCATAAACCCCAACACCTTTTATACTTCAGGTTTATCCTAGAAACCCGTAGTGTAGTCGTTATAATTCATTAACGCTGTCTCTTGCTCCATCACCATAATCGCTCGATCCGTCGCTGCAGCCATCGGAATCGGAGGAAGAGTCGCAGTGTTCCGGAGCAGTCAGATCCCCTTTACCGATCGCCCGCCCAACAGCAATAAGATAAATACCAAAGAATATCATCAGGATCACACCAGCTATCCGCCATATCTGTTCTCCTCGAAAGTATATGACAGGCGTAACAAATGTCGTAAGGATGAGCAGCGTCAAGGAATAAACGCGAGCGCTTCTGTCAAACTGGAGTGGTGTATCCTTTCTGTGGAATAAAAGTCCTAGGGAAAATGCGCCTAGAATATTGGATATCACAGAGCCAACTACGTTTCCAATCGCCAAAGACGCGCGATCGCCTACGAGGGATGCAATAACGACTGCAAGCTACAAGGCGCAGCAAAATAAGCGAACAAGAACCATAGGAGTCAACAATATTGAACGTACCTCTTCCCATTCTCCTCCTGCAGTAAGGAGCCCGATTATAGTTTCCGGAATTCTGGTTCGGCCAGCGATGATGACGGTATGATCGATAAATTTATCTGCACCAAGCTCAAGGACAAAGAGCGTTGCAATGAACGTAGCAACATTATAGGCGACAGCATCAGCGTGAGCCATTATAGCGTGTAAAAAGGGGGCCGGCAAAAGTTGTAGTGAAAAAGCCTTTAATGTTGTGCAAGAATTGCCGGCAATGAATAATAACATTGAAAGTTAAACTTTGCGAAATAATATCTCAGAGTGAATTTCATGCGGCGGCGCACTGGCCACCCTCGCCCACGTGGGTTGTCTATCCTAGTGAAAGGCCCTTGAGATCCGTTGTACGTACGAAGACTGCGGTTGGAGGCAACAACTTTTCGTCCTGTGCCTCGCTTGGTGTGCAATCATACCATACCCTTTCTGGTATAGCCTTTTTTTTTTTTTTTTTTGCAAAAAGCATTTGTATTCAAGTCAAGTGACATGAGTCGTGCTGCAGAGGTGCGACTCTGGACTAAAATGCTCCATGTGTGACAAGCGGGAAAATCATACACAGTTCACAAGATAGGTAGTATGTCCTATGTTCATACAGGGACCGGTTTATTGACTTTTCCGGATTGGCGCCTAACCGGATCAAATTACCTAGTATCCCTACGTTTGATGCAGTACAGGCTTATTTCGGTGGTCGCGGCTAATCACCGGGAGCGCCGGGCATCTGTCTGGATGCCATGCGTTGATTAGTGAGCTACAGCATACCCTGATATATAGGGTCCCTCCATCATCTACAGCGAAGGAAACCCCTCCCTGGGCAATCGGTATAAGGATGTAGCGTATCAAGCTGTTCATATTTCCAGTTTACATTGGTGGCTATTCACTTCTTAACACTTAGTGTCGAATACTTAGGTAGCAGCAGATTCGATAAGCTGTAGAAACATGTACATTGTCACAACTGCACAAGTATTTCCTGGAACCAAGGCCAACTTTTTGGCAATTTCTATATGCAAGAAATTAGCCAGCTATATACCAGGCAGCTCATGCTGGAACTGTCAACTCAAAAGCTGCCAAGCAAGGCAGATTTATGACTTTCTAATGCTTTGCGGTGCACCTTCACACTGGGTTCCTCATCGGCGGAAACTTAAAAAAGAGAGGACAGGACCCCCATTCCCTACTCCGGCTGAGGTTGCTCGTGAGGCGTGCGCAGTGCACTTCCCTCCACTGCACAGCCCATCCCTCTCGTACATTCGTGCATGAATTTAACCAGGCCGAGCACTTGGAGGAGTGCACGGCTTTTTCCAACGTCCATATCACTTCAACTTCTGTTTTTAGGGTGCCTTCAAACCGACCCATCTATGCTGCCTCGCGGGTCCGCCGTGTAACCGAAGATTGCTCATTCGCTGTACCTCAACCTTCGGCAGATCTCTTCCTCGGATGATCCGCCTGTCTTTGCAACCTCTCTCTTTCCCACCCTGGGCCATAAGATCAATTGATGACGACTATCGGCATGGCGATGATAACAATGAATGCAAGCAGAAGAAACGATACAGGTGGGCCTAAGATCGCAATCGTAGTTTCGACAAAAGCTACTCCGACGGCAGCTGAGCCGCAACGTGTCAGATTATTGATAGCAGTACTGCTTGCTGCTTTACCAGGGCACAAGTCTGGAGACAAGGCCGTAGTGGTTTTCACGCTCGTGTAAGGCGAATCGGGGTGTTTGTCCATCATGTCTCGAGTTCCTCATCTCATGGTCTCCATCACCGAAAGCGACCCTTGTCGCTCACTCGTGAGTTCCATTGATTTAAAGATCCTTTACGAGCACGTCAAAGTACAGGTCGTCTCTCAGCGCGACCCCGTTGACGAGTTCAGCGTATGGAAACGGCCGCGTCTCTCCCGTCTTTTGGTACCCTCTCCTGGCGTACCAAGCAATGATGTCCTCTCTCAGCCATATCACCATCATTTCCATCTTGCGCACTCCCCATTGCCGCTGTGCAAATTCCTCTGCATACGTCAGGACTTGACGCCCAATGCCGCCGCCTTGACGTGTTGGGTCCACTGCAAAGAGACCAAAATATGCGCTGTCGCCGCCTTTGCGCCAGACAACCTCGCAACATGAGATGGGAACATCTTGCTCGTCCTCGGCCACAAAAATAAAGGAATGAGGGGTGTTGATTTTGGATATTATTCCAGCGGCATCGATGCGTTCATCTGTCAACAAATCCGACTCTGTTGTCCATCCCGCGGAACTGTCTTTTCCTCTGTATGCGGAGCGGATGAGAGGAAGGAGGATTGTCGCGTCATTGGAAGTTGCAATCCGGTATTTTAGCTTGATGTGAGCCATGTTGATAAGTCAAAGGGTGAAGTACTATAACAAACTCAGGAAGTAATATTAGCAGAAACCTTTCAAAGTTGCTTACCTATGCAAGACTTATATTCTCCAAACCTGTCCTGTGTTTGCGTGGTCAACAAATGCTCTTGCAAAATGCGTGGCACGAGTAGGCGCGCTGCAGCTAATGTCTCGGCCTGCTGTACCAGGATGTGCGGCCGCGATATCGGTAGCTGGAAATTATTGCAAGGGCGCAATCCTGTCAATCACGCCATTATTTGGATCTTGTTACCGCAATTCAACCTTGCGATCCAAATGACTCGTTCTCGTGTCAAATTTTACGCCCATAGAGAATTACAACTAGAGTACATGACTAGCTAAATTGACATTTACCAAGACAATTCGCCGAGGAAAATGTAAAATCTGGGACGTTTTTGTTTTACCGAAGTCCGCTATCGGTGTCGACAAATTCTAGGTGTAGCTCGGCGTGGTTTTAGGTACAACACGTTTGACATTTAGTGGGGTCAAACGGCGTCCCGCATTGGGCGCAATTGAAATCTGCACACTCATCCGAGCCGTCATCACCTAGCCCGCCTTTGAATTCGTACAATAGACATCCAACCTGGCATGAACCACCGACGCCGCCATTGTTACCTGGACGCAAAAAAACAAACAGAAAAACGTTAGCCCTTGCCACAAAGACCCGAGACGGGATGGATGCAGCCTGCGCAAGCATGCAAGATTGAACATGATAAAAGTCAGGTACTTACATTTAGTATAATCCTCCCGAACCAGCAAGTAAGCAGTGATCTGGCTCGAGGTAGGCGAGCCGAGCGGGAATCCGAAGCTCTGTCTGTCGACCTCGGTGACGCATCCGGCTACCCACGAGCAAGAAAAGTCGTAATTGATGCCGTGTGAGTCCGTTCTCCTCAGGGTATACGGTGCGTCGCCGGGTCCGATGGAGTCGTCGTCTAACTGGCCCCTCAGGTTGCTAAAGTCGTTCGAGTACTCGTCCTGGTCCCCCGATTGGAGGTCGCCGTGGCCAGGGAAGTCGGCCTCGTTGAAGCAGTTGATGGGACCTCGCTCCAGCGGCGTGACGGGTGAGGCGGTGGGAGGAACCGACGTGGTGGAACCGCCAATGGTTGTGGTGGACGCCGAGAATCCACCAGAGCTTGGATCCTTTGGGTCTTGGTAGCCCGGCGGCGCACCCGTTGGGGTCGGATTACACCAGTAGCCTGAGCAAATGGTGCCACCACATGCCGTGCTCCCTCCTTTGCATGACGGCCCTGCAGTAGGGCCGGGTGTAAACGACAGCGTCGTTCCACCGTCACTGGCCTCCTCGCGAGCCAGACGCGCCATAATGGACGCGTATATCGCGCTCGTGTAGGCCTCGCCCAGCGTCATGATCGGCCATTGCTCATCGCCCCAAGTGCCAACGGGCGCGGCCGTCTGGTCGCCAATCACGGCCGTGGTCGAGTCCGAGACACTGAGGGAACATCCGGTAATGGTCTCACACTCCGTGGTCGACGAAGCCGTTGTGCCGTCCGAGACGTAATTGGTTGTTGTGCAGGCCTCGGCCGTCTCCGTTTCACATTCGGGCTCCGACTCGGTGGTGAGTTGGTGATCCGGTCCAATTGTGATCTTGGGCCAGGGCGGAAGAGTTCCCTGGATTGTGACGCCAGGTGGGAGTTTGATGATGTTGATTGGCGGTGGTCCCGGCCCGTAGATACCCGGCGGCAAGATCCAGTGCCAGGACCGAACGTGGAGATTGTCCCACGAGATGCACAAGAAGAAGAACCAGGCCGTGCACGGCACGTGTACGCCGTCATCGTCAGGCTCGGGTTCGTCGATTTCCTCTTCCTCGGGGACTATCTGGCCGTAGGATGGCCAGGTCGCGAACACCGGCAGCGGTGTGGTGGTTGAGGTTGCACCTGTAGTCCAAGCAGTAATTAGGGAGCAGTCGACCGTGGCCACTGCTGTAGCGGCTCCGAGAAAGGTAAGAACCCGGGTGCTCGGGCACGCAAAGTCCAAGGTTAAATCAGCCGACTCTGTACACGTTGTGGCGACAATAACTGCTGGTGTGGCAAACACAATGGACGTCTCGGCCGGACAGCCAATAGTAATAGCTCCAGTTGAGCCTGGAAATGTCACCGTCGTCACTGTCGCGCCGGGGACCGTGATGGTGGTACCAAGAGGAGTATAGTATGTCGTGCTGGTCGGGAGGCCCGTGCTGCTGTCGGCTGGTAGGGTTCCCGGGTCTGTATAGATGACGGAGGGACCCCCGTCGATCTGGGGCCAAGGTGGTAGAGGAACTGTTCGCGTCGTCTCGCTGCCCGACCCATCTGGCAATGTTACAATCACTGGGGGGATGCTCACGCTGGGATAGATGGTGATGGGCATTTCCCCCGACGATGATATGTTAACATTTGAGTAGCCGATACCATCGGTGACAATGGAAGGGACCGAGATTGTGATGGTAGTGGTAGTGGTGACAAAGACAGTGGTTGGCACACCACCGATTGTGGTGCTTGATAGTCCCCCATACTCTAGCGAGGTTGTGTAGTCGCTGGGCTGGATAGTGGTTGTAGACTCCAACGAGGAGGTTGGAATGATCAACATGCAAGATTGGGTCGAGCAAGTCACCGTTGGCGTGGCCCACACGTCGGTGCCGACCCACACAATGTCGACATTATCATCCCCAGGGAGCGGTACCCACACGCTCACCTCAGTGGTGAAACCACGCTGGTTGCCATCCTGAGGCACATTGGTATTATCGATACCACTAGCTATGTTGATGGTTGCCACTCTGAACAAGTTGTAAATGACGACACCGCTTGAGCCCCTGACCTCAAGGATGCGATCTTGGCAATTTTGCGTAGGTATGCAGTCTTGATAATATTCGTTAAAGAAGCTGTATAATCCAGCAGAGTGTATGGTGACATCTTGCGAATCAATAATCTGCATGCCCCAGGCATAATTGCAGCGATCATCCCACACTTCGGCTGTCACTTCGCATTCGCTAAAGTCTGGGTCATTGGGGAATATCGCCGCCGAAGCCGCCCGGAACGGTGCTGGGGGCCCAGGGTTGGGCTGGTAATAAGGTGACTCGGTCTGCAAATGACCCATGTACACGCTCTTGGCGCCGCTGAGGAGATAGTTGTAGAGGAGCGAGTGTTCAGAGCCACCTCCCAAGAACCATGAAGGGCCCTCGGATTCAATCAGCATGCCGCGAGCGCCGAAGATGGAAATCTGCGTAGAGCTCGAGTCGGGTTGATTGTAAATGGACTTGTCATTGTCATGATCGGCTACCCATGCCCACACATTTTCAAAATAGCCATTCGCCTGGGATGTGACGCGAAACATGAGCGAGGCAGCGATACACTCGTCGTTGTGGCTGAATTTGGGGCATGTGCTCAAGTCGAGATCGGTGCCGAGGGCGCCGCCAACCCGGAAGTGCGAGTCCCACATTGCCGCCGCTCCTTGATCGATCGCGGCGACGTTCCACTCCATGAGGACGGCGCCGGCAGTAGCACCACGCACCGAGAATAACATTTCGGTGATTTCCATCTTGCCTATATCACCCTTGTTGCCGACTTGTACCATGACTTTGGGGTTTTGTATGTCGCTAAAGTAAAAACCTGATCCCATAATCTGGGACCACAAGGAACCTTGTACGACTGAGCCGGTTGGAATATTGACTGTAGAACCAACTGCGTAAACTCCGGCTGGAAAGTAGGCAATCTTGCCAGAATCCAAAGCGTCTCGGAGAAAGCCATTGATGCAAGACGCTTGGTCGCCAGTGCCATCATTCTTGCACCCGCCATCCGAGGTCGCAACCAGGAAGGAATCAGGACTGAACTTTTCATACTGGGGACGGGAGCGCACGTAGAGCAGCCCATTGGAGTCATCCAGGCCCTTGCCCCTTCCAGGAGCGTCAACGTTGCCAGTCTGTGCTGAGCCATCTGATCCATCATATCGCATGCCCGTAGCCCAGAGATCAGAATTCCCTGACAGGATTGTGCTGCCCTTTTCCTGCATGACCGGGTTGGCTACACTATTGAACTTGGTGTTGTCAAGAACAATGTTGGGAGACGTGGCGAGACTGTTGGTCAAGACGCCAATATTCACGTCGCTGATGGCAGAGTCTATAATGGATACACTCCCAATGCCTTGGCCGCTGTCGCCGCCTACTCCCGAAATGTTAAAGGCAATGGACCCGCCGTTGACGGTGATCTGCTGCCAGGTCCAGCCCCAGTCCCAAACCATTTGTACTGCCGTGTTGCACTGGTTGAAAACCAAATTGCGCGCAGTATACTGCTGAGAGCCAGCGCGCCAACCAATGTTTCCGCCATTGAATTCGAGATTTGACACGAACCCGCCGCTCCCGTTCTCGGTAAAGATACCTACGTGGGTAGTGGTGCTCGTGGTGGGCATGTCGAACACTAGGTTTTGCAGCGACGTGGCCTGAGACACCTGCCAATGAATCCCCGTGGGCACGAGGTCCTGGTCATTCTCGGCAGTTGATTCCGGCATGTCAGTGAGATCAAAGTGGAAGTTGCGGATTTGCCGAAAGAACTGATTTTGATTGATATACCATTGCTGGCCCGAGGCGCCGGGAATGTAGGGATCCACATCAAAGAGAGCAATGCCCTGGAATTCATCGCAGCCTTTAATAATGGGCATGTCGTTGGGATCTCCAATAAATTGTGTGTAGTAATATTGAATCACGGGTGAACAAATTTTGTAGGTGCCTCCCGGGAAGAAAACAATGGCGCCCTGCGAAAATGTGTTGCCACATTTCTCGCCGCATCGCGTCTGCGAGCCACCAACTGAGTCCTTGTTCCAACTGGCTGAAGCCGCGTTGAGTGCCTCAGCTGTATCTGTCTTTCCCGAATTATCGGCACCAAAGTCATCAACAACATTGCGAAAGAACTGGTAGTTGTTTCCTCCAGCATTTGGTTGCTTTTCATTACCAGATGTTAGCACCATGTTGTCATGGACTTCAATTTCGCGTAGAGGCAAATCGACAGGAATGATAGCGGATTGGCGCAAGACTTACCGTGCCCAAGGGTCCAAGCCTTGAGAGCCAGAAGTCAGAGGTAGACTGTCGTTTGTGACTAGGGCGCTTAAAGTTTGTTGAATTGGTACCATTAGACCCGGCATAGCCGCCGCGTAGTATAGTGCCGCTCTGAAGATTGCTCAAGTAGTTTTCCAGACTGCCTGAGTAAGCCCAGACAGGGCCATTCTGCTTGCCCTTATCGGGTGCGGTTTTAAAGTAGTTGTGCTGGTTGTCAACCATATATGACGGTGCAGGCTGTAGAGAATTTATCAGCATTGTTCATCAGAAGTCAACAAAGGCGTCATTGCCTACCCGTGGGTTATACGGAAGATCTGTGGCATTCAAGCCAGTCGTATTGTAACTGCGAAAGGTTGCAGCTGATTGCACAAGACTCCATTGTGCAGCCAGCAAAGTAAGGAAAAGAGTGATCGGTGCCGTCATGATGCTATACCGCTTCAGTACCGCCATCATCCACTAATTTGGCAAGAGGCAGAGAAGTGCGGTACTTGTGCAAGAAATATGCTTGAAGGAGAGGAAACCCTTTCTCATTTCACTAAAAGCCTCTATAACCTTGCATAACTTCGTTGTGTGTATAGAGTTTTCACGAAGAGCTAATCCGATCACCGTGACCGACGGAAGTGCGAGTGCGTATCCTAGTCAATGTCGCTTCCGGCTGTCTCGGTGGTGGCTCACACAGCCCTTTCAGAATACATGCGAGAAAACCACCCTCATCTGCTCCTGGCCAGGTCCAGACTTCGGCACCCAATAGCAGTTGGGCTGTGCCGTATTAGGGTAGTATATTGGTTCCTTGTCGCTTTGATAGGCTAGTGCTGACATGAAAAGGCCTTGCCATTAGCACAAATTTATTGCTTTGATTGTGTGTAGGGTCTTCAGGCAACCCGTAAGCGTTGACTACCCTTCGGATCATATGATCTGACTCCAACCTTGTATAGTGGTATGAGATATTGGTTCTTCCTTTGTAGTTTGTGCCCCAATCACATTTAGACCGAGGGACTTTTGGAAACTTTCTGGCTTGGCATTGGAGAACTTGGCGTCGGCGCTACAATGATTCTCGAAAGGCTTCACATCATTAGATCCCCGTACTAATTAATGTTGGAAATACATGCACATGAGCAATGATCAAAAGTACCTTGCAAGAAGGCAGAAATAATGTATGGAATCAATGCAATGGTCATGGGGATTTTACACTCCCTTGATGCCTCGAGTGTTGATACCGAACGTGGTTACAGTGCATCCATGAATGGAATCAATAAATCAGCCAGGGGACGGATTCGCTACTCAATGTGGTTGACTGTACTCAATGCTAGTAGAAGTCGGTCGAATAGCGAACGAATGTCGAAGAAGGCACATACCATGCAAATAATCTCGAGTCTGTAATACAAATGTTTTCTCGTCGGCGCCGTATGGTGTTGGCATGCTTCAGTACGATTATAAAGTGCCATGGATCCTTTGTGTTTTCTCTGGAACTAGTTTGATTGCACGCCAGATCCAGTAATTCTGAGTTCCTAGCAAAATTCCTCATCAAAGTCCATTGTTACATCCATCCCTTCCAAATTCATCAATATGCTCTTCAACCCTGGTCATCTTGCTCCAGTGGCCCTTTTCGGGGGTGTTCTGGCGGCCCCAAGCTCCTCTCAAGGGTCCGCCGAGGCTCGAGCAGCTCAAATTTGCTATGAAACCGAGACTCCCAGTCGCATCTGTTACACGGCCCCTGATAATGTACCACAAGATGTAGCCATTGAGGACGTTACCTTCATCGCCGCCTATCTTCGATCATATGGCGCACAGGTCAGGACTGGCCGCCTGTTCAACATGGCCGCTGCCGACGCTCCTGACTGCGGCGAATGGCTTCTCTATGCCCATGGAAGCGCACAAGCCTTTGCCAAACACATAGACAACACTGTCAACTCAAGTGTTCTCTTTGCCGACATTGCGACCACCATTGACGGCGGCCCTAATGCAAGCACCGGACAGCAGGCGGGTGCCCTCATCGGATGCGGCACCGATGGCGGCTCGTTGGGAGTAGCTGTCAACACCACCAACCCGACTTACTCAGGCTCCACCTACCCTGCTGGATACAATACCAGTGGTATCATCATCAAGATTGTGGCTTCGGGAGCGTAGGATTGGCCTGCACAAAACAATCTAGCAATAAAGTTCCACATTGGAGGAGGCCCGGTGAAGGGAGATAGGAAATGAATTCATTTGCTGCGCCATTGCCATGCTTGTCACGATTTGACCACATTTAAACAATTAATGCAAGAGATTGGTAAAAGTCCGGTGGACTACCGTACTACTAAGCACACCATAATATGCCTCGTTCGATTCGAGCCCATTCAAGCTCATGCAAGAGCTTGTGTCCCTGATGCGGGGTCAAAGGGGAAAAGCCCCTTTCGGGACCGACATGAATAGGCTGAGATTCTAAAAGCTTAAATGCAACCTTAATTGGGCTACAATCTGACTTTCTGCAGGCACCAACTTTCAACACCAACTGTCTTGGCGTAAGCCCAGTGAGTGATTCTTGAAAGACATGCACAAACCACGCCTACTATGTAAAATACATCATCTTATGTCATACGCCATCTTCTGAATAGGAAGGTCTCCCGACATATTATTGCCCTGTGCTACTGTTGTATCGGACCTAAATAATACAACCCCAGTCAAGGACGACGTAGGTAATGGAGCAGCCACCTTGACAGCCGTCAACGTTTGCACACGGCATATACGCGCAGCTCAAAACTCCAAAGTATCTGACAAGGGTGTTGAACTTGCTTCTCGTACCATATGACTTGAGCCGCGTGTCCACGATGGTCTTCGCCGCCCGAGTACAGTCTTCCCACCTTGCGCTATTATCGATTCTTGATGGTGATGTTATCATGAGGCCATGTAATACTACCCCATGACCAATTGATTTCTCCTGTGAATGGCAGGCTCCATGAATCTTGTTTCAATACTCAGCCTTGCAAGGGTTACAACTCGGATCGAGTGAGAACTATTGAAAATCCTTTCGGTGCGACAGACCTGTTTGTAACTGTAGACAAAGTCGTACGACAATATTCTGCGAAGTCAAGCCAGGGGTTATTTCAACATTTTGCAGACACTGCCTCTCACAGGGTCACAGTGGGCTGTCAAGCAAAAAGCACGTCGTTAGTGCAGCCCAGAGGGTCATTATGATCGTAGTGTCTGCAGCCCCATTGACTGGACCTTTCCAAGACCAACACTGTTGGCCTCTCAACTCCTCCTTTTCCCTACTGTATTACTTCCAGTACTGTAATTCTCAACGTCGAAAACATTCTGGGTGGCTCCATCGCCAATTTTGAACCAAATGACGAAGATACCCTTTCTTATGGCCTTGATGACGGCCCTCCTCTTGTTCTTGTCATGCACGCTTGCGGCTGACGACGAGGACGTTTTTATTGATAACCTGTTTAAAGTCCACAATGGGGCCACCGATGGCAGCTGCGGTGGTCGAGCCGACGTGCTGGATGATTGGCTCGGTGAGACAATTGACAGCCTTGACATCGCATTGAAAGCCATGGGCAACTATGATGACAATTGGCGTGTCCGAAGGTCATTGTCGACAATATTCACACTCAAGAATAGAAGGCTACGTACACCAAAGGACCAGGCCTTTAAAGATGTCAAAGGTGAGTTGTAAAGTATTTAAGGCTTTCAGGTGCTGTTGCAAGACTATCTCTCTTTTTTTAGTATTCGAAAATCACATACTAGAAACAAAGCTGATGATGTGATCAGGGTATCTTGAAGCGGTCCGAGATTTTTTCAATCGTCGTCTTGATGACTCTGGGCAGCAAATGTATGTCAAGGATGGGTATTGGTTATTTTGTGACAGCAAATTTCTTTCCGAGCAACAGCCGACCGACACAGCCTTGGACTATCTAGGTGTTCCTATCAAGGACGACAAAGAACAGCCAGTCCTCATCAATAGTGTCGACGAATATAAGATACAACTTACTAAAGATGCAAATGCTAAGCCATGGTGGGCCGGCATATCCACGGACTTGAATGCCTACTTTTTCACGCAGCATGGCGCCGACTTTTGTGACGTCGAAGGCCACCTCGGCGTCACCGCAAGTGTAACACCATACAAGAAAGGCAGTAGCGGAAGGGCAGAAGCCGCCCCTTTTGTTTACTCCACCACCCTGTGCCCCTCCAGCTTTGAAGGGACCGTGATCGATGGAACTGTAAGATACGAGACTTACAAAGAGGCCAACGCTCGCATTACCCCTGAGGCGAACCTTGCAAATTTTGTCCCCAGGAGCGCGACTCTGCTGCACGAAGCTTTTCACTTTGTCCATGGGTCGGTGTTCAAGGTACCAGGTGATCCAAAGGACAAAAAGGCAGAGAAATGCAAGTAGACCGCAATTCGTGTCCGGTGCTGTATACTGACACGGGCCGACAGACAATATTGTTGACTGCCTGAACTTCCCGACTAAAGACGCAAAAATAAACGCGGAGAACTATGTTTATTTCGTTGCTCATATGTATCATCTTTTTGGGAAGTCTGAGAGCGTGGACGTCGGGGTACAATGGGACTTTAAGCTCAAAAACACGGTTTTTGGGGCCTTGGAAGCAACGAAAGACGGTCGTGGTGCCTTGCAATTAAAAGCTCCCAAATAGGAAGAACCTGATGCAAATTTCCTAAAGCTGGATTGAATCTGCCACGTGCAGTGATGTGGGGGCGCTGGAGATGCCCACTAAAAGTGGCTGTGGAGGCTTAGCTTAGAGTGGCTCTATAAGTCCCTTCGGGACTTATAAGCCTTTGTTTTTCGTTGCGTTTAGCATACAGGATCATCATCCATCGTTTTCTCAATCAAGACTGTTTCCATATATTTTGAGATTTTATATGCTATTTGATCAAAAACCACATAAAGGCCACAGCCTTACGGCTGTCCGTCTTAGGTGGGGGTTGGTTTGGTTTGGTTTTTGTTCCCCATCTCAGCAGAAACTAGGACCAAGAACAATTCATCTGACGGCCTACCTAGTCGGCCTTCTGTCTTCATCTTCCTTCCTGGATACCTACTATAGATAACCAATTACTTACATTTAAAGTGTGAGTATCACCTTGTAAGACTGGCTAAGGTAATGCTTGTCGATTGAAAGATGTGGGCTAGAGGATGCCAAAATACAATGAATACATCCCACCCCAATAGCATCGTTCGCGCTCCTTGCTTTCGCACCACTCTCTTCACTAGCGTGACTTTCACCTCATCGTCACTCATAAAGTTTTACTTGCGTCCCCATTCAATGATCAAATGCCTAATACATATTCAAGGCGACAAAAGTTTCGTAATCAATCTTCCGACTTTTCCCCGAGCTCATCTCGCATTTCGTCCAATTCTTTCTCGCACTCTGAATCTTCCGGATCAATCTCTTCAGGAGGGAGAAACCGCGGAACTTGACGTGCATCCCACCGCTCCTGCTGCCAGGCTGTGACGGGAGGCATCACCCTGGCCACAGACTCGCTCCACGACTCCCTTGTTTGGGGGTCTGTCGCCAATGCGTTTTCTTGCTCCAGGTCGGCTCCTTGGATCGGCCAGACGTGGAACTCGCAAATTATGGTGCGCCCCTGGCTTTCTTCTCCCTGAGGGTTTTCAAGCTTGCCAAATGCTTTTTCTATCCATTGGTCTTCAGAAACAACCCAAAACCACAGCGTCAAGTATTGCCAACTGAATCGGGGCCGCCATTTCACAAACTCGAAGCCGCGAGGGAGAAAGCAGCCAAGTACTTCTTTCAGTCTCTGATACCACGTCATCATTGTGGAAATGTCGTCTTTACGTGGTATCAAGAAGAGATTTAGCGTAACGCGGCCCTCTAATTCAGCTGTCGGGATGGCCTTGACATGTTTAAGGGTACAAAGCCGTGACAACGGCGACGCCATTGACGAGGAGGAGGAAGGTCCATCGTTCAGAGTGAGGTGGCTCAGAGCTGACGCAGACTCGATGGCGGCTGGCATAGAGCTATTATCGGGCAGGTTTTGCAAAAATTCTCTGCAGGCAGGAGAGGCTTCAAAGTTCTGTATATCCTCCATGGTATCCCAGACTATTCCTCAGCAACCCGGCAGGTCAGTTTGAAAGCAATCAAACTTTTTATACCAGTGACACTCACCAATGATGTAAGCGGCCTGCTCAGGATTTCGAACCATCCTTGCGAGCGAAATGGTTCCCACGCCTTTCACATCCGCGAGCGGGCCGACGTGCACATCGTCGTGGGGAACGGCCCATGTCGGCCACTCCTTCTCCAACGGTAGGTGGAATCGCGTCCAAGTTATTACTCCTTTTTCATATTGTCTGGTCGATTGTTTCACACGAGCCATTGTGAATAATGATGCATTTGGAAGATGAGGGTGAGTTTATTACCTAGTAGTCGACGTTTTTCCTTATTGATTCGGTGCACAAGATGATCTTATACAAGGTGCCTTGTATGAGGTGGAGAAACGGGGGTTGCTTTAGGCTTACGTTGGACCAGGGTACAGGTGCGGGGTACCTGCCTGGGCCGGTGGTGATGTGTACGTCCAACAGGGTTCATGCTGGGTTAGCGCGTGGCCAACCCTCGATTTGGTGCTTGCATGAAGCCAGACGCCAATAAGCCTTCAATATTAAAGACATAAATGGCTACATCTAAGTCCAAAGTCTCTCTTACTACATTTTCTTCTCTCCAATATCGTACCTAGTCTCTATACTACAAACGGGAGCTTTGCAAAAGTCATAATGTGAGCTCTATGACTACGAGTAATCCAACATACATAGATACATCTATGTTGTTCCTGATTCTAACTACTCATCCATTTCATCTTCAAGTTCAATATCCAATCTCTGATCTCTGTGCTTTCTTGAAGGAGGATGCCGAGGACGAGGACGATGATGACGATGATGGCTGTGCTGATGATGGTGGCTGTGATATCGTTGCCTCCTCATGTCTTCTACATTTATCGTTGGATATTCCATATTGCTATCCAGTGGTGCGATCCATGCACTGCCCGCATCGAAACTCATCGACGAGTCACCAGGCTGCAATGCTTCCGGGCTAGCTGGGCCCATTACCATGTTGGTTCCGGGTTCTGTGCTTCGAGAGTTTTGCCTTGTGGATTCCGTCGAGCCACTTGAGACTTCCAGGAAACGCGCCACTTCCCTTTTTTCGGCGGTCTTATCCATCTCCCCTCCCTGCTGAACGTTCCTTGACGCAGTTTTCCCCTTTGCTTCGCGGATTGCCCGTGCATCTCTTTTAGCAGGCTTTCCATCTTCTATTGTGAGTAGGATTGCTGGCTCGGTGTTATGGCTCACGGGATCTGATACCATGGCACGGCCTGCATCGCCTTCGGGGGGAATGTTTCTCCAGACACCTTCGTATGTCTCCTGAGTCCTCAATGATGCGTAGACTGGATTCTTTCCTTTGCTCATGGCAGACGTCGTCCTGGGTCGATCCACGTCAGGAATCTGATGTGTCCAATTATGGCCGTCGTCAACTACACTCCACTGCTGTAACCTCGGAACCGCCCTCATATCTTTGCCCGTCTCAACTCTTGAACCTGACGTTTGTACTCTTTGCCATCTCTCCAAAGTTTCTCGCACCATTTGTTCCACCTGATTTTGTAAGTGAGGGGACACATCTTGTTGTCTCAATGTAGTTTGCAACATCTCCAGCATGCCTCCATTCTTCAAATTCTCTGTCATATCTTCACTTTGTGGCATCTTCAAAAAGAACTTTGCTGTCTCTTCATGACGTATTCTTCTCCTTGTCTCCGTCTCCGTCATGAGTGACTCACTTGCTCTTTCTCTCTCCAAGGCTTCAATTTCTTTCTGGACCGTTACACGATCCATATCTCGCGGACTTGTACTGAGGACAGGGACTCTTTCTCGATGTACTCTAATTGGTCTGCTTGATCTGCTCCATCTGGGTCTCAATCTGTGTGCGTCTAGTACCGTCGGACTTGAGGATCCGAGCTTGAGAAAGTCTTCTGGCTCTGTTGATAGCTTGACCTGATTATGGCTTGAAACCAGAGTTTGAGTCTCTACTAGTGGATGGTCAATTGGCCCGGATCCCAGAGCCTGGAACTCATGGCTAAGTTGATGCGTCTTTTCCCGATTCCAGTGACACTTGAAGCACAGGTCAAAGTTACTGTCACCATGGTCTTTGCATCTGAAACGGAGACCGTAGATAGGCTATAATGCAATGTAAGCTTCAATGATATGCAAATATCACGCATCTTTGATCTTTCTTTACGCGGGTTGCCCATCGATGATGGTGCCATGCAAGGGCCGCGAGAAAAGTTCGATCACCATATAACAGACAAGTAAAATTTCAGTTGCTTACCGCATAGAGACAGTCATCGCAGCGGATGTTTGAATGCCTCGTTACAATGGCACCGACGGAGCGCATTGGCTTTGCTTCTGTGGTGAGGAGATGTGGTGCAAATGATAGTCCATCTGCAGAGGGATGGGCTGTGCTGTGCGGAGCGCTCACTGCTCTGTCCATAATGTCCTTGAGCTTCCATTCCGAGTGAAAAGTGGCAATCGTGTAGGGCGTCCACCCACGGGTACACTCAGCATGTATTAGTTGTTGAGCATTGTCGCCAAGCAGCAACTTCACAATGGTTGCGTCTGCTCCTTTACATGCCCAATGGAGTGGTGTCCAGCCGTCAAGGTCTCCTATGTTTACTCTATTGTCCGGCCCCGGTCTGAGATACTGTGCAAAAACGCGTTGAAAGTCTTCCGGCGGCATGCGTCTGACAGCATGATGCATTGCCGTACGCCCTTGTCCGTCGCAAGCTTCGATGTTGGCATTATACCCACGTAAGGTTTCTATAATACTCGCATTGCCCGTTTTTGCCGCAAGGTGAATAGGTGTCAATCCTTCAGCATCTCGAATATCGAAGTCTTTGATAACCGCAAGTAAAGGTGTAATGTTCTTACTCTCCCATACAGTTTTGCTGGTAGAGATATCGTGGAGGACCGTGATCTTTTCGGGGCCGCTGACCGAGGGATCAGCTTTATAATCGAGCAAGATTGGTATGAACATTGGTGCACGAGTTGCAGCCTTCCTGAGAGGTGTCATGTGCAACTTGTTTTTCGTGTTGGGATCGGCACCACAGCGAAGCAGACTTTTGATCAAACCGGCGTCGGTTGTAGGCGTAATAGCTGCCATCAATGCTGAATCCCCGTCTTCATCTGTGATGTTTGGATCTGCTCCACGCTTCAACAACAGCATTGCCACTGGAAACCATTTGTTCAGAATGGATCGTTGCAAGGCCGTCATTTTTCTACCATTGGCAGCGTTGAACTCTGCTCCAGCTTTGAGTAGTCGCTCGACAACCGTCGCATTTCCTCGTCTTGCCGCTTCATGCATTGGTCTATCACGTCGTGAGTCTTCTGCGTTTGCATTGGCGCCATGTTCAAGTAGCTCATTCACAATGTTCAGATAGCCCTTGTAGCATGCCGCGTGGAGAGCAGAGTACCCCTCTTCGTTGGCCGTGTTTGGATCTGCGCCCTTTTTGAGCAGCTCCGAGACAATCTTGCTTGATCCATGCGATGCCGCAATGTAGAGCGGCGTGCGGGAAGCTAAAGTTGTGGCATTAATGTTGCAGCCCCTTTGTAGTAGAGACTGTGCTATATCCTCATTCACAGCTTGCGCACAATATGAAAGAGGTGTCCACCCGCTGTCATCTGCACAATCTATGTTGGCTCCCATTGATAGCAGCTTTTCTACCGTTTTCCTGGAGTCTGGATGGCTGGAAGCAGCGGCAAAATGAATCGGGGCGATGCCATGATCATCACGAGCGCCAATGCTGGCACCATTGTTGAGTAGCAGTTGGTTGAGCCTGAAGCTCCCGCTGTTGACTGCAATATGTAGTGGAGTCCTGCCTCTGGGACTTCGCTTATCGAGATATTCTCTGATTCCCGGATGTTGCATATCGTTGCTTTCGCCGGACAAACTTGGGTTGACGGATCTAATGTGATGGAATAGAGCTTTCACAAAGTTCGTTTGGCCGGCATACACTGCGAGATGCAATGGAGTGTATCCCGAACCTGACTTGACGTTGAGATCAGTCCCGGGGACACGTACTAGGACATTGATTGCAGCATCGCTGCCATAATAGGCTGCAAAATGCAATGACGTCCATCCAGAATGAGCAGGCTCGCCCAATATCTTGAATTGTTTCTGAAAATCGACCCGGTGGCCTATGTCTGCTCCAGCACGAATGAGCTCTTTGATGATGTCTGCGCGGTTACCCATCGCGGCATCGGTGAGTGGAGAACTGGTGCCACTTGCATCCCCACCAGTATTGGCGTCTTTCTCCATTAACCACTTGGTGGCAGCGAGGTTACCGTAACGAATGGCTTCTTTCAAGTGACTGGACGAATAATCCTTGTCCGATTCAACGAAGGTATCCCATCTCAATAGCTCTGATACGGCATCAACATGATTCTTGCTCAGCGCCACAAAGAGAGGCGTTTTCCCATCAGGGTCCCGGGAATTAACATCAAAACCACTTTCCAGAAGTCTCCGTATGGCTTTCGCGTGCCCGCCAGCTGTGGCTTCATGGAGAGGTGATGCAACGGCATTACTATGTTCGGATTTCGGTCTAGGGAGATGGAGAACCTTCTCAAGTAAGGTGATGTTGCCGGATCGGGCAGCGAGATGCAGTGCCGTGACTCCGCGTGAGTCTGGTAGATCTTGTAGAACCGTCTCTTCAAGCAGTCGATCAGAGATGTGGCTGTATCCGCGCTGGATGCTCCGGTGTAATGGAGTCAAATGATCAGATGAGGGGACATTCACGTCCACCCCATTCCGAATGAGAAAATCAACAACATCAAGATGGCCTTGGTCAACTGCTTGGTCGAGTGCTAAGGGCCCTTCGAATCCGCTGACCAATGCACCAGCCTCTATGAGGCTTTGAGCAATTGCACGATGACCTATTCTGCATGCATCAACCAAAACATGCTGGAGTGCTGAAGTCTCAGGCGAAAGCTGCTTCAAGCGCCCGAGAAGTACTTTGAGAATGACCACATTACCTCTGAGACAAGATAGATCCAGCTCCTTTTCAATCCTTGCCACATCATCGATACCTGTCACAAGATACTCCACTATACTGTAGTGGCCCCAACGAGACGCAATCTGAAGATGAGGCATTGAACTCATCGAAGGTTCTGGTATCATCAATTTAATGATATTGAGAAGACCTAGTTGGGCTGCTAGATGCGACGGGCTGAGAATTGTATCAGAATCTGCATCATCTCGCGCAAAGGCGCTCAGTCCAGACAGGTTCAGGTTCGGTGGACGTAGTTGCGAAACATAATCTGTGCAGAGGGAATATGCGAGATAGTCGATTTGATTCTCATCCAATTGAGTTGCCGGATCTTCCTTGATTTCCCTGTAATGTACGTACCAGTTTTCGAGCACGTATTCGACAAGGTTAAGGCTGATCGCCCCATCCTGGAATTCTTGCCCAAAACACAATTTCAAGTACTCCAAGCAGAGTCTTGTCAAACTCTGGTAAGTCAAATTCTCACTTCCATGCGTACTTTCGATCTGTTCTTGCAGAATTTTGCCAACGTAAGGATGAGAGAAGCGAATACCGTCATCGCCGATGCGCACTAGTGGTCCAAGCTGTCGCTCCAAGTCTCCTTCTATGTCTCGCGGAATGAGTTGCTCATCGATCTTTTGAATCGGCGTCTGTGTCAGCGAGATCTCATAAAGAGAAACCGCTACAGCTAGTTCTAGAGATTTGAGTGGACGACGAGAAAACATCATCCACGAGACTGCGCATGCGACCCAAGAAGGGCAACTTGCCACCATTCCAATGACGGTGTCGCGAAGATTGAGTGGAAGTTGAGATAACTCCCGCGTGATGTCGCTTGGTCGTGAGGAGGATGTAATAGAACGTATGCGGTGAGCTACAAGCTTTGCATGCAGGAAACCCTTAGACGTCTCGAGGCATCTCCTGATGTTATCAGCCACAGGCCGATACCTGACGTTTTCGTCTACTATCTTATTGGCAAGAATGTCTTTGTACAGCTCCAAACTGTCTTCGAACTGGCTGAGATTGTCAAGAGACACTGTGGTGACCGGAGTAATGGAAGGAGTACTCGGATCAGTGTCTGTTGTGCAGAGTAACTTGAAGCCTTCGGGGCGACAGAATTGGAGATTCAACAGGTCCTGAAGAAGCTCTTCTGAGTCATGTGTGTCACAATCGTGTACCGAATCGACTACGATCATGAGATTCTTGCTTTGCACTCGGCGCACCATTGAGCGCAGTTGTATCCACAAATTCCCCTCCGTCCATTGTAAATCGTCTTTCTGAAGCGGCTCGGTGGTCTGAGAAAACAAACCAGGCTCGTTCGCCAGAATTTGACGTATGATCTTACTCAGCATGGATGTTACTGATCTTCGGCGATAATCTCTGGCGTCAAATGCGAAGTACGCTATTATAAATTCGGATTGACGATGGCTCCGGAGAAGGGATCTGTACACATGGTACGAAGCCACACTCTTACCAATACCATGATGCCCACATAGAATCACGGCGGATGACCTCGGGTTCTGAATAAATGATTGAAGAGTATCCATAATCCAGTTCATGCCTGGGTGATAGGGATAGCGAGTGAATGGGCTCAAGTGTGCCAATTGCTGCATGTATTCACTGTAGAGTGATGGGGCTAAAGCACAGCGCCGGATAAATTAACTAATTTGTAAGGAGTCTAATTTCACATCCTAGACACTTACCTTTGACGGCGCCTTTCAAGGCGTTCATGATGATGTACGCGTCCCCGTCATTGTGGGCGAACCGTGCTAAGCTTTCCATCTTTTCTTTTCGTCCAATCTGGATTTCGTGAGAAACGTCAATCGTCGAGCTATCGCGCTCAATAGTCTTGATATGTTCTTTAGTACTTTGTATTCCACCTGGTCTATTTCATTGCCTACCGGTTTCGCCCTTTCTTGTTCGTCAACTTGCTCAAAGACCGTGACTATGCATAATCGAAAGGCAACTCGCATGAATTCAGATGACGTCTTCCTGAGAAACCTTGTTAGAGATGGGCCAGGCCTCCATGCCCCTTGCGGTATGGTTGTCCAGGAAGAGATAAGGGCTGTCATCGCTTCTTCCCATGATTGCAGCGACGGAGCTTGATGAGGAACACCAAAGAAGACCTCCAAAGAAGTTAAAATCGTTATGCCACTATCGTACTATATGAAATAAACACGGTGTACTCACGCAAGCAGACGTATCTCTGAATAGATCAGAATAGCGGTTTGTGTTCTCCGCAATGGTTAGCGCCTTTTATCTCGTCAGCTCGATCGTGATTAACAGCATGCACTGGGCACAAGCCTTTTTGACGACGATACCACCAATGTCTCCGCATAAAAAGACTAGGCGTTGATTTCCCTACTCATTTGGCTTAGAATCACTCCACTGCAATGATCTTTTTGGGATTGCGTACATCAGTAGATCTGTACTCGTCGTCAACAACCTCTAAGAGTTCCATGGCAATGGATTCCAGTGATTCGGGTGATCCATTCTCAAGAAACCTCTGGAACAGGTTGGAATTAAGCGTGATGATACTGCTACAACACCAATTTTGCTCTCTCAGGATACTCTCTGGCCCCCAGAATAATGGCCGAAGGTTAGGTTCGGGAGAGGAACCGTTTATTCCGTACAAGCCTGGCACAGCTACGAACCTAAACCCGTATTTCAAGTCAGCAATGTCATTCTACACGCTTTGGAATATCAGGCCTACCTACAGGATGTCTTCCATGTACGAACTCGTTCCTTCGATTATTGAAGAAACATCCGAAGACGCCATTTCTACGGGCACAATTGAAGGTGACGCCGCACAGTAGCAATTGCCGTTGGCGATGCTGTTTTTCCCTGCGCTTGGGGAAGCTTTGTTGTCCCGAGACTCTGACGAAAAAGCCTACGTTGAGATGCTATGTGTCAAGTTGGAGGCCTTATCCGTAGATGATGCATTTGGATACATTCAACGTCGTTACTAGCGGTCCGATTGCGATCGCTGGGTGTATGAGAGAAGCCAAGCCCCTGGTACGGGACATTGTGGGCAGACGTGGTCAGAGGAAAGACCAACATCACTAGTAGGTAGGTACCTAAGCTGGGGGGTTTTTTTTCTTTTCTTTTCTTTTTAGGTAAGCACCAGCCGCGGACTACCCCCGCTCCCCCTCGACGGTGATGTGCAAATTTTCACGTCCTCCGTGAATTACCGGGTGGTACGCATATGCAGCTGACATCAATGACTGCAGGTAGCCGCTTTCAGAACCGATCAGGCTTGGCTGTCCGCGTTCACCGAAATTTGCCAACGTAGCAGCGATCAAGCGGCCCAATGAGAGCCAATGCGAAAATTTCTGAATCAGAATCGGTCAGCAGCGTGATGTTTGATCCTATTGGTCATTATGGGACACGTCACGCTCTCTAGACTCAGCATTCATGTACAAAGGACATGGGATGAATTGAAACCTGCCATTCTGGGCCCGGGGCCCTAAAAGTACGAAATACTGTTGAATGTGCTGGAAATGATTTCTGAAGAATACCCATGTGGAAGGGCGGGCAACGGCAATAATTCCGTACTAAGGTAGCCATGTATTATCATTGTCGTTTACCATGGTTTTCTTACGTTACTACACGATACAGCACACATTCTGCTTCAGTCAGTCAGGAGGAAATTACCATTTCAGCTTTTTAATGAAGCGAAAACCACTTCACTCTGGTTGAAAACGATTGGCGTACAAGACAGTCGTCGAATATCGCCATTGAAACAAACATGACCACGAAAGGTAACAGGTCCTGATTCCTAGCAGTATGTTCTTAGTACTACCTCCGAGCACCATCTCTGTTGTTGACTTGCGCATTGGACTGTGGTAGCCAATCCGCTCTTCCCTGAAAGATGCTCGCAACGTCGCATATCACTTCCCATTCGAAATCTGGACCGAATTCGGCTCTATCCACAGCCTTATCAAAGACTTTCCACACTTTGAGATACTTGTGAGTGTCCTTATCATCAACGAGCTGCTCCAACATCGCCGCCATATTTTTGTGCGTGCGTACTTGGCTCTTGTTCCATTTCTTCTGGCTCAACATAATGCATTGAAGGATCACTGCCGCAAGACCTGCACACCGAGCCGTAGCTATAGACGAGCCGGACCGCGGGTCTGCAAATCCCTTGTCTTCTTGATGTGCGGCCCTTTTCACGAATTCAGAGCCAGGGGCTATGAAGTCAACTGAGCTTTGTACAGCCTCATCCGGAAGGCCTAGGACCGTCGCAGATCCAATTCTGAATATGTTCTCGGAAGCGGCCTGAGCGGGGTATACGGCTTTGCCACCAGTGTTTCCCTGGTCATCCGAGGCGCAGAACAGAAGAATGTTGTCCTTTATAGCGCTCTCCACGGCATTCTTCAGCAAGTCTACCTCGTCTGGGGACTCGATAGACCAGCTCATGGAAATAATGTCAACTTTGTTCTTTCGAGCCCAGTCGATAGCCTAGGAGATCATGTGTTATCCATCTATTCAGAGTAGGATGAGGTATTTTTGCGTGAAGGGGGCAAATACCTGAGCTGCAGACTTGGCAGTTATCTGAGGTTTTCCATCGCTCCAAACCTCATTCAATTTGGCAATGTACAACTCAACTCGGGGGCAGATCTGGCGTATCTCATTTGCCATTAGAGTGCCGTGACCATATGCACTCTGGTAGAACCCGGGCCAATGCCCCTTGTTGTCGTAGAATGTCTCTCCGAGAGCTACATTTCTCCAGATATCGTCCTTTTCAATGTCTAAACCATCATCAATGATGGCTACCTTGATTGTCTCCTCAGACGTCAACTTGTTATTGTTAGCCAAGCGATTATTCAGCGCATTCCTGAGGATGCGGGAGAAATTCTCCATGCACTTGAGCCATTTCTCTCTGAAGACCAGACGTATCAGTAGTCAGCTCCTATTGAAATATAATGATGGATGTGGAATTTGACCCACTTGCGCCCTTTCTCTTCTCTCTCCGATTCTGAAAGCCGCTTCGACACATGTGATTGAGAGTAAGATGGCTGCCAATCGATTTTCGGCCGATTTCTAGAGTAGTTATCCTGATCTCTCCACATTTTCCAGGATAGGTCAAAAGTTTGTTCGAAGTCCTTTTTCATCTTGTCTGTTCTGTCGTGGGATTCGATAAACTAAAGAGTCTTAGCGACATTCACAGCGCGCCCTGGTGCAGGGAAACAACCTCGGGCGTCATGATACGTATTTCTCGCAACTGTAAACCATCAGAAACCACTCATCCAAATGCCATTGAACTTTTGTTATACCTCTCTGAGTTGTGCCAGTCCATCAGGTGCAGCCCAGCTCTTCAAAATTGCTCTGTTGCCACTCCAATATAGGATTAGATCCCGAACATTCTTGGCTGCTTCGTAAATGGTGTCGCTACACATGTCCATTTTCGCCCAGTTCAGAGCCTCTACGTCGAACCGTTTGAGGCAATATTCAATAATCTCATCGCTGTGGAAGTCGTTTGGATGATCATCGACTACAACCTCCAAGATCTTCTGGACTTTCATTGATGTCTTTAACCACTCGAAAAGGTAGACATAGTCTTTTCGGCTACGCGACTTCCACCAAGGTTCTGACTCCAGTTTCTCCATCCTCACGTTCACCACCCGAAGGTCAGGGATGTGTACATACTGAAGATAAGGTTCAAACCTCATGACACTTGACCTAGAGATGTGGTTCAGAAACTCTCCTGATACTTCGGTTCGCGGGCTGAGGTCGAAATGAATTTGGCCCTGGCATACAGTGAGTCGGGAAACATAAATCTGATGCCCGTTTTGGATCACATACAAGTGAAAGAGGTAAAAGAGCCGTGATGGTTGGCCGATCATTGCCATAATACCGCATACAACTCAGCCTCAGAAGTTCTTCCATTGCTTGTCCGTGCTCAAAAGTTCCCCCCGATTTAGGTCTTGCTGTTCGTCGATAGCTTCGGGCTAGAATATCTGCGCTGTTCTCTTGCCGCTCTCTCGTATCCAAGAAGTACCGGAATGGTGACAAATTATCTTTCAAATCAGTTGGGGGAGTGCGGTCCCAGGAAGTGATATTGGATCCGAATTGTGGATTTTTGCCCCCATTCCATGCAGGCTGGGGCTGACGATAGGAGGCAGATCTGATTTTGAGTGCTTCTGGGCATAAATTAATGAGCCTTTCGACAAGTTTGACCTGATCATCGTAGCAATGTGTAAAGTCGACAGCTAGATGAAGGGGTGTGAGGCCATCGCGACCATAATGTTCCAGGTACAGTTTCGCCACGCCATTCTGCTCGAGGTAGTCAAGAAAATAGTGGGCATTTCTATTTTTCTTCTTTTTGATGGCAGAGTGAAGAAACGTGTCCTGGTTGGTCCGGACAAGCTCAGACCAAGCCACTCGGGAGGTCTTGTCATGACCTCCTTCCTCCAGGAGAGTATCGGCTGTAAAGCTAGCACTGTTAAACGCAGTATCCTCCTGGATCTCATTGAACCGTTGGGGTCTTGATTTCTCCATACAGTGTTGGCAAATCGCTTCAATAATCCCTAAGCATCCCTCTTCTGAGGCTGCTTTATTCAGTGGGCTGCTACCATTGTCCAGGCCGTCACCAATCAAGCCAGGCTGAAAGCTCAGAGACATTCCGATGAAAGTCTTTACCCGCTCCACAGTCTCCGGTTTTTGTGGTGATGCAGAGAAACGCTCGATGAAATGATGAACAATGTTGCGCTCTTTTGATGTGGCATCAAAGGCGAACCCAGGATTCAAGCTTTTGCCATTGGAAAAAGTATAAAACTCCTCTTGATATCGCACATGTGTAAAGAACGACTGGTTGAAATCCTCATCACTCTTCAAGTCGTCCAGGACGCACTCGAAAACCTCGCGGATTTCAGCGTCGTCGCGGGGGAAATCGTCATCGATCTTGCCATCATAGGCGCCAGAAGCATTCAGCTCTGTCCCTGCCTGGTCTATCCGAATAGACGGTTGTTGTCTTCCCATGATGGCCTCAAAAGAAATAAAAATTCACATGCCTCAGGAAGTCTGTTGTGGTGGTACCTAGAGAGGTTATGTATCTAGAAAATGTTGGAATAACGAGTTTACGACAATGAGAAGCCATCAAGAGGACGGCCGTTTCTGGGAGGGGCCGACAGAGCCTTGTCATCTTTCATAACCTACACAGGTAAGCACGCCCCTCTCTCCAAATCAGCAGGGGTTTGCCACACTCACCGAAGCCGAAAAGTATCCGAGTCCTTGTAGAATCCAACCACCCTCCTTAGAGCCACACGCAGCCTGATTGACCGAGTTGCGTGACTGGCGCATAGAAATTGAATGGCTGGCTGCACAGGATGTTGTACCGCATCCAATATTTTATGTGGCAGTGTCACTCACTATGCAGCTGACAGGATTACTCCTTGTCGGATGACCCCTCCTTTCTCGTCTCGATAAGCCGGTTGCGACCGGCTGCAACGAGCTTCTCCTAGATATTAGCAAGGCTCCCACGGTGGCCCCAGCTGCTAATGAGGCCATTCATACTGCATAGCTCTCAGAGTCATCATGTCTTCCAGCCAGACAGACTTTGAAAGATTCGTTTTTGATCTTGACGGAGATGGCCAGGGTGGCTTTTACCGTGCCCGGATGGCAAACACGCCGGGGGAGATCAACCGCCGAGTCATGATTAACCGCGGGGACAAGTTCCAAGTCCTTGCCGACCTTCTGGACGTGGTGCACGGAACCCAGAATGAGAACGGCGATGATGCGACCTTGATCATTGCTAGCTTCTATTTCCTGCCTACACGTGAGCGGCGATTCAAGCGAGCTCAGATTACCTGGACCTTCACCAGCGATGACCCAGCTGTCGATGTGGAGGTGACAAAGATTTCTCCAATGTCCACCTGGTCGCTGGTCCCAACCCAGCGAACAGATGAGAAAAGCGTCACCAGAAAAGCCGAGATTGGTTCCTCGGCCGGCCCTGCCACGGCCAGCGGTAGTGGCGAGTGGTCGTTGACACAAACGCAGGTTTCTAACTTTCATACCGAGGTCACAGGAGCCATGCGGGTGTATGAACGCGATACAGGTGGATTTGACACCGCGCGCTGGGATCTTGGAGAAAACGAGGCGCAAAAAACAGGCATTGCCCGCATGCTTCAAGTGGGCGTGCTGATAAAACGGACTATGCTTCCGGGCATGACGCCTAAATCGGGAGAAGTACCAACATTCAGGGGTGCTCTAGAAGTTGTCGTCGAAAAGGACTGGTGGTCGCAGCGTACTTCCGAAGTAAGGCGCGTCTGGAAGAAGACTGAGAAGGAGGATGCAATCGTTTTCCGCCCAGGAGTTGATCGGAGGAGTGACCTCTTTGATATTGAACATGACAACTTGGGAGGAATTCATCTGCAAGATGAAGTCATGTTCATTAGTCTTCATCAGAGTTTTGAGGTTATGCAGGAGGAGAGAAAGGCGAGGAAGCGGCTAAAAGAGGAACAAAGACGAAGGGATGCAGACGAGAAAAGCTCCGCCGATACGGCGGACACCAAGTAGAATAAGCCTATGGGTGATTGATGTTGGCCACAAAGTGGCAGCGTATGATAGGGGGATTCGGCCCTTAATTGCCTCAAGTCAGGTGTAAGCAGCGTGACAGTTTAGAACTTGTCTGCCGGGAAAGGTAAAAAGATAGAAGCTTGAATGTAGGAGCACTGATTGTCTTACAAGAGCTTGACTAACCCGTACAACAGAACATAAGTTGTCAATTGACGCTATGATGTACAAGAACCCAAATAATCGTTTGGTCAAACAGTGTTTGAGTTCAAGAGGTGACATGGGATCGTTACGGGGTGCTTACTCATCGCTCTAGGACCGCGTTTCCGCGCCGGGCCGCACCGTTACCCCTCCCAGTCACTGCGTCATAGTCCTGATGTTGACCAGTCCCAATCTCATGCACTGCTATGAATTCAAAATGCGAGCGAGTAGACTGGTGTATATAAATAGGGATCGCTGGGTGCCAAGATAGCTCATCATACAGTTGGATTCTTGATTGTCAGTTACTGCGCGCCAACTTTACGGACCTCCAAATATACCTACCTTTTGACTCATCACCATGGCTGCAGGTTTCGCTACTGCCGACAAGTCCAAGCCCTATGTAGGACTAAATTCCATTGCTGAAGATCGCGGGTACAAGGAAGGAGATGCAACGGCAACATGCTTGTGTGGAGCAGTGCAATTGGGATTCGTGAGTAAATGAACAGCGAAGCCTGGAGCTGATCATGGGTCCTCCACATCCAGCTGGGTACTCGGTACTCTTAGTGCACTTCTAGACTAACGTTGCCACCAGCCCACTGAAGGCCCTGCTCTGGTCAATGCATTCGTGTGCAATTGCGTCGATTGCCGTAAACTGACGGCCTCCATGTTTGCATCCAACTTTGCCATTGACGATAAATATCTCAAGCACATCCGCGGACGCGACAACCTCAAAAGCTGGAAGAATGATGTCACACCCATTAGACCCAACACCAGCATGACCGACTACTTCTGTTCAACATGCGGGACGTTAATGTATCGTATCAGTTCTGCGTTCCCCAATGCCCCGATCTTGCGCATCGGTACCGTGGACGACTTGACCTTGCACGAGACAAAATTAAAGCCACAGTGGGAACAATTTACCAAGGATAGAGTCAGTTGGTTCCATGGCGTCCAGATAGATGGGCTTAAGCGGTTGGAAGGGAATTCGAAAGATTATGTTCTGTAATTCATTGCCAAACAAAGTTATCTGCAGGGGATGTGGTGATCTATGGGGCAAAATCTTATCATTGGATCTATACAGGTTCCCAGCAGCTTCCTGATAGCCTCAAACACTTGTCCATTCTGTGGCCTTCTTCTTGTTAGTTAAAGCTATCGTTTCCAGCCCGTCATCGTAGATGCCATATGACACATCTTCTTCCATTCGCTGGGGTCGCTGCGGTAGTTGCGACAATGGCACAATATGCATACTAAGCCATCCACCCGCCATCAGGGCCAAAGCAGCAGCGAGTTGCATTGCAGAAATCAATAGCCGAATAGCGAAAGTGCCTGTAAATGGGTCGAGATCTTCTGATGGGCTGAATGCGTATATAGTACCGGAAGCGAGCCGTATGAGTTGGTACGGCATGGCAACGCCCCCTAGCAGGACAAGAAACCGGGCTGCTTCAAAGTTTTGATGTCTTTGAAATTTCATAATGCGTTTCCAAGTGGGCCATATCCATCCGCACACGCCAAACATGACGAAGAGCATCATGCAATTACCAATCTGGTTCAGGTTTGACGACACGACTCCTCCATTCGGGCTTGGGGAGCCACCATACGTCGCTGCGCCGATTCCAGCAGTATTCACCAAGTGTGTGACTCCCAAAATCGCCTTTTCGGTCCAGCGCTTCGGAGTTCCGGGCAAAACGATATTCCTATTCATGCGTTGTCAGTTAGTGTTTCATACTTTCCAGATCGTCTGGCGACATGTTCACTCACGCTTCGTAAACCACACCGATTAGCCCAAGAGAAAGACAAGCAATGCTTCCGGAAGTCGTCAGAATTAAAACTTGACTGGGCTGTTCTGGTTGTTCTCGGTTGATGATTTGATAAATGTCCGCTACCAAGCGCATGACGAAAAATGACACCACGATCGGCCAACAGACCATGCCCGCTTTCCCGTGCTTCCATGTAATATACAGCATCGGGAATAATGCCACGCCATATATAAAGGTTTCTGCGATGGCAAGATTGATGGTATTGGTGGACGGCGCCGACATTTTGGCAAATTTGTTCAAAGCAACGCAGTCGGAATATTTCTGCCGTCTTAAAATTTCTTAGTTCTGCGAATGATGATATAGAATAAAGTAAAGCAAACGACTGAGCAACGTATGAATGAATTGTAGCCAAGATGGCATCGGACACAGCTTGATATATGATATAAAGTGATTGAGAGCAATCACGCATTGTCTACATGGATCTGCGCCTATAGCTTATTTCATCGTCGATCAAAAGTGGACATGATGCCAAAAAGAATCAGTTCATCAACGATATATCATCACAATAAACCCAGTATCGGCATTACTTTATTCTATTTCCGGTGTCTCAATAGTTTTGGTTGAAACGAGCGATCTGCGCCACTGCGATTTTGACTTTGGCAGAACTCTCAGCCCCAATCGCGCAGGGGATACGGAATAGCTCACTGACCCAATTTTGAAAAAAGCGAAAGCGAGCAGGCCCACACCTCAGCGACTCATGCTAGTCTTGTCCCTTATTGTTTCAAAGCACGCTGGAGCACACTGCATTATAGCCGTAGATTTGCCAAATTGACAATAATTCATATTTGTTTTGAAAAAAAAAAAAAGAAAAGTAAGAAAAAGAAGCTCAGCTATGCTACCAGCGCAATGTCGCACCAGATCAACCCGATCAGAAAAGGACACGATCGGGTGTCGTTCACGTTGGTCGGACACTAAGGCAATGAGCCGGCCGAGTCGGGCTTGTAAAAATGAAGACTTTCGTTTCTGCCTACTAAGCCTCCCAGGCTAGGTGGATCCATTTACAATCTAGACCAAGCTGTCAAATTGGGTCGAGTGAACCAATGGGAGCAAGAAACGAGAGTTCTATTTGAGGAATGCGAAAAGAGCTGGTTCAACGCGTCATCAGACATTGTGCATCTTGAATATAGTTGATGCATATAGATTATATATGAACATTTCCAATTTTTGAAGGGCGACAACACAAACTCCATGATTGTATACGGTCTTGTCACAAAAACATACACATTGACATCTCGGTATGTAGAGTGCAGCACAATCATAATATATGTCCTATGGTCTAACAAAGTTCCAGTTTATCCAGCCGCAACTATTATACACTGTTTGATCGCCAAATACAATTTACAATGTCGCATCTTGTATCATCATTAGCCCGCATGTCCGGACGTCAATCAATTTCACATCGCCGCGAATCGAACAAGGGCAAGAATTCCACGTCAATAATCGAAGTATGGACACGCGTTCTGCAAATTGTGCAGGCGCTGCAACGGGGCGACACTCTGCTCATCACAAAGACTATTCGTGAAACATCAAGGACGGCGTCGGAAAGAGGCTTGACGTGTCCGGCCGAGGCCAACATGGTACTGCTTGGAGGCACATCGATTCTGCATCTAGCAGTGCAATGCGCAGAGGTCGAGGTCATTGAATATGTCCTGTCGCATCGCTCCGAGTATATCGATGTCAATATCCCTGACAAGAATGGGCAGACCCCATTGCGCCTGGCGGTGCTGCAAGGTCGTATCACGGTAGCCGACTTATTATCGCATTACGGAGCAGAAGATTCTACAATCAGTGAAAAGCGCAGCAATTCATCAAGACAATACTTTAGACACCGGAATAACCAAAGCTTAATACATTGAAAGTTACTGGACTCAACCATGTCAGTCATTGATGATCATGTAATTGCTCGAAATCAAGCGACATGGATATGTGCGCTTGAATGATAGAAATGTTAGACAGGCTAACCTACCTGAAGAACTGAAAAAAAAAAAAAATAAAAAAATTCCGGTTCAATCAAGTCTAGGCCGGTCAAGCACCCAGTACACGCCGATCACTTTCCATGATCGCGTTCATAAGTGGAGTGAGTCTCCGGCGGAAAGAGATTCGGAGGATGCAGGAGTCGCCCTTGTATTTTCAGAGCTACAAGGATTCAAGTGGGTATAATGCAAATTTCATATATGGGTGTGCGAGCTGGGAAGTTGAATAGACGGTGTACGGACGAGCGCAAACGGTTCTCGTAGGCAGAAATAAACTAAACCATAGAAAGTTTCAGATTTCAGACGCCGAGCTCACGGCCGTGGTAATTTGGTCGCAAATTTCAATGTCTTTATTCACACTAAGCCTTCCCACACTCTATTAAGCCTCCAGGTCGTACAAGAATATCGTCTCAACGCCTTTTAAACATCAGCTCCTTGGCCGGGTCGGGAATGGACTACACCTCGTCATTAGCTAAGAAATCTCTTGATCATTCTACTACATCGACAAGACTTACCATATGAGCAAACTCCATGTTTGGGTATCGTTCAGTAGCACCATTGGCCAATTTGATGTCATACTTCAACAGCATGTTGGAGAGAATCATTTTGAGCTCATTGGCTGCAAAGAATCGTCCAGGACAAGCATGGCGTCCGTAGCCAAACGTCAAGCTGTTTTGGCTGACACTCACGAACTGGTTGAGGGCTGCGCTTTCGCCAGAGCCACCACCGTCACGAGCCTGTTGTCGTAGCTTGTAGAACCGCAGAGGATCAAACTTCTCGGGCTGCGGAAATAGTTCTGGGTCAAAGCTGACAGCGACGGCGGGGACTTCGATGGTGATTCCGGCAGGGATGACGTGACCGTCACTGAGTGAGAAGGTTTGTAGTACTTTACGTTGGAATGACGCTGCAGCTTGTCGTTAGTTACCTTGAACAACTGGGTGATGCGTACAGAGGGAAAAAGAAAGAACTAGGAATACTAACCCATTGATGCAGGGCAAAATCGCAGTGTCTCCTTTAGGAAACTATCAAGCTTTTTCATTGACTGCAATGCATTGCTCGTGAACACACCATCATTCTCGGCCAGAGCCTGATTAATCTCCTCCCTGAGCTCTGGAACGAAGTCGGGTAAAGCGGCAATACTATAGAATCTGTCCCAAATGTTAGCCATTGCATGTAACAAAACCAGAGCATGGGTACATACACATTGGTGGCAGTGAGAACAGTCGTATGAATGGCGGCAAAGCTGATGCCGAGTTGAACACGTGCAAGGTTCTGGCTGGCCCTGTCGGGAAACTTTCCAAGTGAGCTGATCAACCATTGCAGCATATCGTCGGGCTTATCGGGCGAATTTGCCAATTCCATCCTCTTCTTGACTACAGGCATCATGAAGTCCTCGGCGGCCTTGATGCGCTGATCCAACTTCTTGGCCGCGGGTAGCCGGTTTGCGAGGAACGGGCGTAGCCAGGGTCGCATGCTCTGGACCGCACGTTGTACTTCCATGGCTTCAATGGTATAGTTGATGGCAGCATCGAGATATTCTTCCTTGCGACCCAGTTCAGGACCAATAAAGATTCTGCCAGACACCATACCGACGATGCGTAAGAGTTTATGATGAATATTGAGAGAAGTCCAATCAGAGCAATCGGGCATTTCGAGGTCAATGACCTCTTGTACTTCTTTGGATAAGACCGGGTTCAGGCGCACTAAAATGGACAATCAGCCTTCGCGCATGACAATCGCTCGGGGCAGGATTCGCCTACCCAGACCAGGCGTGAGATCTGCCTTGATGGTGTGGGGTACAATGGGCACAACCGTCTCAATTCTGGTGTATTTGGACTCCATATGCTGCGTTTGGTCAGTAAGAACGTGCGGGTATATTCTCATACTGATATACGCACTTCATCCACGGCGGCTTCCATGCTGACAATGCTATCAGGAATTTTCTTGAGCTCTGGCAAGTACTTGGGTGGTAGTACAAGAACTGTCGATGCTAAAACCACGAGAAACGATGAGCGAAAAGTTCTTTAAGCTGTATCAAGATCCAGTGCGACTTACTCCGCGATGTGGTGATTTTGAAAGCCTGTTCTTTGAACTACATTGGCGATTGAGCTTCAGGATCATAATAATTGCTGCTGAGCGATGGAGACATACTTTGCGGTAGCCGTCATTGTACAGTTTCCTGGCCCCAGCCAGATAGGCTTTTCTACGCTTTTCGGCACCTCCAAGTTCAGTACCGACTGTAGGAAAGGTAAACATGCGAATGAGCCTCAAAGTGCTTGGTAGAAAGGCCGCTATCACGGCGGCCAAAGCCACTGTGGAGATTATGGGCCATCGGTCGACAATTACGTCGCTCCAGACTTGTAGGGACGTCATTTTGCAATGCTCAAAGTGATGTGGTATATTTGATATGAGACGATGAGTTGCGATTATTTAGACGGGAAGAGAATGTTTGAAGCAGATGATTCTGTAATAACATATACCATTCGGGAATGCATCTCACTTATTAGTGGTCCTGATACAGGCTGCAGAGCCCTCCCCCCACTGTCTTGCTCGGGCTACCGAAATTCTCGCGAGGGACGTTCGGTTCCTGAAAAGATTCGTTCCCGGCTCTTATCAAAACGGAGCACATAGTAGGAGAGGCAATGCGAGATGAACTCGGGTTGATCCCGTGTTCGAAATGGCAGGCTTTCCCCCATGGGCGCTCTTGAGGGATGAAGCTGGAGGCTGTCTCCCTGTCTATGCCAAAATCAGACCCTGAATCAATTGCAACGCTAAAAAAACGGCAATGTTGATCGCCCCGCACCGGCGACCTGCATTTGTTGCATTGACCTGACGCTCTTCGCTCTCGCTTTCGAACCCGTTCTCGGTCCACCCTCTCATTGGCTCGCATCCATGGCCCGGCAGTTTCAGTCTCGATTTTAACTCTTTTTTTCATGCCGTGCTGCCGCCATATATCTGGCGCGATAGCCACATGCGACCACGGTAGTGACCCTCTTCTATATTATACTACAACTTTTGTGATTCTGCGACCTTGCTTCAAGGTTGCCTAGTGACATTCAAAATCGTCATTTGCCTCAAAAAGGCAGGATGCTTGCTGTCGGCGACTTGAGCTTGTCGACCCTGAGCATTTGTACTTATCTATACCCAACACCGCTTTGACTACAATACAACCCTGTCGATAATGGTGATGCACAGTCTGCGGGCAGATGGCCTTGCAGGATTTCACTGTGCACTTGCTGCGACATTGTCAAAATTCTATATCGCGCCCGGCAATGATTATTTCACATGATACCAGGGCAGATCTGCGCTGCTTTCCAGATGAAGCAATGATTGCTACAATTCCATGCGTACTGATTGGTGCAACTCACTTACCTGTACGCTGCCAAGGCCAGTCATACCTGTCCCATCGTCAACGTGAAAACCAGATAATGACTTTTGCCAATCTCTCAAGATTTGGTCAAAATGCTCATGCTCCGTGACATTTAAATCTGCTTGCTTTTTTCCCAACTTCGCCCCGAGTCCGATTTGTCTCCATCAATATAGGACTCCATCCACAGCCGTCCTCTACAACTCATTCAAGGCCAAGGCAAATTCCATCTTGATCTCCAGGACTAGCGCCGGTAGTTGTGGTCCACCCCCGTCTTCCCGCAAGCCACCGGTTTCGACTCCCTTAGAGGAAGCATAGTCTATTTTGCGGGTCAAGCTCTTATTGCTGTTCATTCGACTTCATCACTGCTACTGTCGACTTCCTCCACCCTGAATCCGCATCTCTGATAATGGCAGATGCTGCAGCTCACCTACCGCCACCATCGGCGAGTCTAATCAATCTTGCCATTGCTGAGATTGTGATATATGTCATTTTCTTACCACCAGTACTATGGATTACCTGGAAGCATGGCAAGGATGGCATGACATGCTGGTCAATTCTTGTGGCGTTTTACGGAATGCGCTTTGCCTCGGACATTTGGCAGATTATGAATCGCAATGAGCCCAACATCCCTGGCGCACTGTTGATTATAACCAATGCTGGAAGCATTGCTTGCCTGACGTTGGCCCTCATCGGCATTCTATACGAGACGTATGTACCCAAAGATGGAAACTACCAGATCAAATGACTAATGCAACTCAAGCAATAATTCACTCCCATACCCCAAGAGATGGATCGACAAGATTACCATGGCTGCGACCAATCTGATCAACACAGCCGGCATCGCCCTGGCGACATATGGAGGTGCACCAAGCAACACTGGGGGCGTCTTGAACCTGAAATTGGATCGTCTCGGAAACATACTGATGTTGCTAGTCATCTTTGCCCTCTACGTTTGGATCTGGCCAACCTGGCATCGGGTATGGTCGGTCCGCAACGATGCGGCTTTCAAGCCTGCAATGTACATGACCATTGCGGCGGGAGCAGCGATGCCTTTTCAACTCATTCGCATCATTTACAATACCGTATACTCATTCGAGTTGGCCGATAACGCCTTGGATCCCATCATGGGCATATTTGCGACCCGTTTCATATTTCTATTCGTCACCCAGCTAGGCTGTACGCTGATTTTGCTTGGTGGCGGCTATCTTGGCATACGTCCCAAGAAATCCGTGTCAGGAGATGACAGCCTAGCTGAGAGCGGCGTGCAACTCACAACTACGGGTGAGACGACGGATCAGTCCCCGGAGTGGGGTTCATCCGCAGGTCGGATGAATCCAAAGAAGCGCTGGGCGACTGGTTCAAGGTTGAGATAAGGTATTAGGTGGATGGTTGTCTCATTTATCAAGTGAATAAAATTCAAGGTTCCGTTCAAGGATTGGAAGTACGAGATTGGAAGACTAAGGGGGTAGGAATTTGTTTTACTATTATGAGGGCAGAGAAGCTGAGGGGACATCAGCGGCTGTTCTCTTGTTTGTTCTCTCTTTCACCTCAATATTATCGTATCGTATATGCATGGCTACACAGGGCTTTTATCTATATTAGAAACTTGATTGTAGCCGTGTTGCTGTTCCAGAGACTTTCTAGGTGGGCAAATTCAGCTAGTTGAACTATATAGACGGTATAGACGGTCTATACAAGTTTTGCAAGTGTCAATCATTTTCCATCGCTAAATTGACAATGGATTGCGAGTATGGAAGATCTAGTGCATGAAATATTCTTTGTTGTATCTGATGCAGCTATGGATTGAATATCAAGGAATGACAATTTGTAGGTAAGGCCCGATGCCTGTGGAAATGTACTTGGTACACTGGAATGGTGTCAAGTGAAGAGGAGAACGAGTGAATATTGATGCTACCAAGCCACGAAGATCAAAATTGCTGATATGGTCATTCTCTTGATCAACACGTGGGCAAATTGTAGCTGTCAAAGTGGGATAAAAAAGTAAAGAGGGCGAGTGGGGTGGCTGGTGTGCGTGCGGGATAAGAACCAGAACTTGATGCCCGTAGTAGCACGTGACACAATTCTGGGAGTGTTGACTTAAGCTGGCTCGCCAAACAAAGCACTCCGACTATGTTCATCTAACCCCCCTCGCTTACCGGCGGTGATGCTGGGATAGGTCTTTGAATCACCGAAGCTTGGCGGTCCAGATCCTGCTGCTGGTAGTGTCAGGTCCTGAGAGCTGACACCGACTGTAAGATTGAAGTCATCTTTGATCGGGACGTTCTTGATATCCTGTGGATTGTTAGTAGCTGTCCTGCGACCATAGAGAGTGAGGAACATACCTTTACGATCCGCCAACCAAGATTCTTCTTCAAGTACTTTACGACGGCATCTTCGTCGCTTACATCGATTCCTCTGTCGTGCAAGACTCCGCTGAGAGGAGCAGTACCAGTGACGAGCTGGTCTCTTTCGGACTGCGACAGACAATTTTCACAGCTTGTTCTGTCAAGGGTAGACAACAAACTGATGACACCGACCTGATTCTTGGACATGAACCATTCATTGGAATCTTCTGGAATCTGCCCAAGGAAGATGTAGATGACCCAAGTGCCAGTCAGAGCAAAGTTCTTCACGCGAACAAAGGCCTCCCACACCTTGGTCGTTTCTGCCGGGTTTGCACCTCTTGGTGGTTCCGGCGGCGCTCCTACAGGAGGCTGCCCATCCATTGGCGCTTTGGGTGGTTGTCCCTCACTAGGAGGTTCAGCAGATGGCGGTTTAGCGCTGATTGGTGGAGCAGGAGGGAGATAGCCAGGTCTGTACAGTTTTTCGATTGCGTTTGTCACAGCAACGTACATCAAAGTAGGATCATTGATGAACTCCAGAGGTGTCTCGGGATAGTAATAGCCGCCATTGAATGTGCTGATAAGATCTTTGGCATCGTTGGCAATCCAATATGAGTTGATGCTGGCTGAATTATCCTTGTGCCATGGCTCCAGACGAGAGTTACCATCTTCTACTGTCTGTGCACCGGCATTGAAGCGGGGCAGCAGCGATGGATAAGGATGAATAGTCACCTCTGTCTGCCTTGCTTGCCACAGCGCTACAAGTCTGTCACAGTTGACGTGGTGTAACCAGAAGATAGGATCGAATGAGCTTGCTTGGACTTCAGTCATACTGCCTAACTTGAGCGGGCCCTCGTAGTCCGGTTTGAAGAGCGTCGCCTGCGAGCCAGAGAAATTGTGTATGTTGTTATGCATGACCTCGATGGAGCTGTAGGCTGTTGCTCCGTTTGAGCCTCTCCAAGCTTGACAGGTTAGCTCATCGAAGTCCGTACTCCGAAGTAATAGATTCCAGGTCGTTTCGGTGAACTGTCTGCCTATGGTGATCATCTGCAGGTCACATATACCTATGTTGGAGGTTCCATCTGGGTCAGGACAACGCTTAGACTCCGTCCAGGGCTCCTTGTTATCCCACTCCATCTGTTTCTGGACAATGCTTTTGGCATACTCAGATTGGAACTTGTAGGACCAGAGAGGATTGTGGTCAAGGTGGAGGTCTTTCAACGTTCCAGGCTGATCGCCTGGAACGGATATAGTGATGTCTGGAGTTTTGATGGCGTCGGGAAGAGAAGAATTGGATGCCCAGTCCCAATATCTGACAGAGTTGTTAGTTCAACCCCATCCTGCTACGTTTTCGAAATAAATGGTGGACTAGACGTACGGTAGGCGAACCTCTGGGAGAGCGGCAGCATAAGCTTCCTTTGCGCTACCTGTAGAATGATCGACAATGTCCTTCGCGTACGCATAGATTATTTGCTGCATCGAGACTTAGCACCTCATCATTGGAGTGAATGTTTACATACCTCGTAAAGCATCAGATATGGACGATGCCACGGAATGAACAATGTACTACGATGCGTGCAATAGCCTACTGGGACATCCTGTTCGAATGGTTCGGCGGGATCATTCTGCCACTTGACAGGTGGAACACCATGAATTCCTGCGATTATTATTAGTATGAATTTTCTTTTTATTCGGATCATCTTACCGGTGACTTGGAAATAGCTTGTTCCAGTACCATTATCCCGGTCGTCTTTGTCGTTGCCCGCCTGTTGCCAGGCGAGTAATGCTTGAACATACAGAGAGAAAGCTAGCTTTTGCTCTTTTTGAAATACGGCCAAAGGTCGACGTAATCCAGGCTTCCCACCTGGGGTTGTGATTCCTGTGATTGGAGTCGGTGTTGGTATTTCTGGACCCATTGTGTTAATTTGTTTGAAAAGGTATCGGTGGATGATGCAGACCGCAAGATTCACAGAGTAGAACTCACCGTGGTTTTTATGTTTCCAGTATTACCTGCCAGCGGACAATATGTGGGACTCTTGGTCCGGTTGAGACCTGCATGTTACACGTCTGGTGGCGTGTTGGTGGCTGAGCTGAACTGCCGAAAGAAGGAGTATCGAAAAGCACTTGCAAGCGCTATTGAAGTGCAGTGACATGTCTCGCTGAAGGCAAAGTTCATGATGGATCCCTTCAAGGTTAGAACAAGAACCAGCCAGTTCGATTCATTGGTGAGTTAAGACTTGCAGGATATGAAAGGTAATAGGAAAAGGTGTTTCGTATGGATGCTGAATCGGATTGTGGATGCCTCATTGGATCAAGTCCCTCGAATAGCATGATTAAAATGACGGAATGGATAGGTTCAAGGAGACACCATTTATGATATAGGATTGCATGGAAATGCCTTGCATTGCCGGACTATTTTTCATTCTTTGTAATACAGGTTTTCAATTAGTACAAAGCCAAAGTATGACTTCGAAGGAGACAGAGAAAGTTAATCAATCAACAGACGTAGCAATAGCAGCCAAGTATACACGCAGTAATAGAGGCAGGAAAAGTAACCAAGATTAGTTGACTCGGAGACATCAAGTGAAGTGGAAACATGAGCAGGAGGCATAAACATCATCGCCGTCGTAGCTGCTTCCAACGGAGCCTAGCCCAAGCTACAGGGTTGCAAAGGTAACGTAGCAAGTGAGAGACAGAAATGAAGCTTAGGTCCCGGGAGCAGCCGCTGTCAGTCCATAAAAGTTGAATTTCACTTCGCGCTCAGTACTTGGCCTTCTGAGAATGTCATCTCGTCGAGTGTATTTCCAAAAATGTTGATGCATATTAGGTACTAGGTACTACAAGGTATTGAAAATATTGCGGGGCGAGATACGAGGCGCAGTACTCTCCACAGTGGACGAGGGGTACGTGAAGCTCCCCAAACTTAGCGCTTATCCTCCCTGATAGTTTTCGTCCCTCGAAAGGAAATGCGAACCCCGGCTCTCTCACCACCTTTTACGAACTCGATGTCTCGTGACAATACGAGGCGCTGCTAACCAGCTGAGCATGGCCTCTCCAACGACCACGACAGACAGGAGAAGTCGACGTGCACACATCAAGTCTAGACGTGGGTGCAAGAACTGTAAGAAGAGAAAAGTCAAAGTGGGTATTGATCCGATGCATCTGCCCAGCTGAAATGTACACGATCGGAGCTGACGGGTGCTCGGGTCCGCCTCATTAGTGCAGCGAAGAACGCCCATCATGCCGAAATTGTTTGAGACGTGCAGAGTACTGCGACCTCTCAGATGAGTCTCTGAATCTAAGTCGCCCAGAAGATTATGCATCTGCATCGACGCCTGCCCCTCTACTCAGCGCGGCCGTGCCGCTACCGGCGGTCGTCAGCCGTGATGGCACAGATTCGTTGCAGCTGACGATGCTTGACATGGAGCTCCTCCACCACTTCACCACCTCGACGTGTCTTACCATTTCCACGGACCCCATTATCCGCAACTTCATGCGGGTAAACTTGCCTCCTATTGGCTTCTCACACCCTTATGTCCTTTACGGCACGCTGGCTCTGGCCGCACTTCATCTAGCCCGGTTCAGGCCAGAGCTGAAGGAATATTACATTGCGCAGGCAGAGACTCGCCACGCGACTGCTGCTTCCATGGCCACGACTATCCTGTCCGATATCAGCTCCAGCTCCGCGGATCGGGGGCCTATTTTTCTTTTCAGTACCTTGACATCTTATATCGCCTTTGCAAGCCCCAAGGAACCTAGTCATCTCATCTCCTCCACGCACGCGGCCATGCCCAATTGGCTTTCTCTGTTTCGCGGCATACGTACTGTGATTGAGCTCCAAGATATTGGTACAGACTTTCAATCACTTTCCTGCCTGTTTCAGGCAGGCCAGGAAGTCAAGGAAATATGGGATTCGCAAATCGTAGAACACGGTGCCTTGAAAGAACTCGAACACTCCATCAAAACGAGTACCACAAAAGACGAACAGACCATGCTGCTGCTAAATGAAGCCATTGACGGCCTTAAGCGCGCCTTTTCCCTCTTTTATGGTCGAGAACTTAGCAGCGACAAAAAAGCCAGTGTTGCATTCATTTGGATGTATAGGATACCGGAAGGTTTCCTGGCCTTACTCCGTCAACGAGACACTGAGGCACTGTGTGTCTTGGCCTTCTTCTGTGTGCTGCTTAATAAGTTGGAACACAATTGGTGGATCGATGGTTGGGCGGTACACTTGATGGAACGTATATATGCTGCTATTGATGATTTGCACAGGCTATGGATACGATGGCCCATTGAGGAACTCGGCTGGATACCAAGACCCCTGATGAGCTCCCAAGTAGCGACACCGACATGATCTGCAAATAATAAAATTAATCGCTATAAACAAGTACCAAGATTTATTCATTCATGTAAGCGGCTGCATGTCTAGCCGCATATACGAAGATTTGTTGCATGAAACGAACAGAAGTCTCCCTAATGCAGTAGACAGATAGATGAAACATTTGAATAGCTTGAATAAGCATTGCTATACGGTACTCAGGTCAAAGCCTTGATCATAGCGCCTCGTCAATACTCGCCTGAACTGTAAGTTCACGACCATAGGGAGATACGCAGCTGCTGTTCCTCATCTCTAGACTTTTCAAAGGTTGAAACGTAATTTGAGCAGTACCGCCATACCATGGGGAAAGGGAACAGTCAATACATTATTTTTGGCAGTGCATTCGGAGGATTGACAACAAATTGTCGTTTCTTGTGAGGCGATATGATGGGCTTTAAGCAGCTGATGTTGCGTCTAAAATCTCACGCACTCATGCAGCGATGTCCATCTTTGGTGAAAGCCAATTCAGCGTCAAGGATGTGTTACCATCCAATTTGAGCATCAGACTTTTTATCAAGCCATTTGAGTTTCGAAGAAACCGCCCTTAGAGCTAACCCCCAACATCAGCAGGGGTCAGTCTCTTTCTAAGGTTTGAGAAAATGGGCCGCAACAGTTGCTTTGTCCCTGGGTACGACAGCAGCGGCAGGCAAGGTACACGTGACTGGGAAGGACAAGTGTACGAGACAACTTCCCGAAAAGCAGCTTGGTGGCTGTAAACCCCGACCAGGGACATCACTTTCCATCATTGATTTTCCGACGCAGAATTCACTTTGCTGATTTATCCACAAATGACGAGGACCATGATCGACAGGCTACTTACTTGCTAGGTGCCGCGGAAATAATTGGGCTTCCATCACAATTTTATTCAATAATAGGATCTTTCAACTGATTCTTTTAACAGCGTCGCTATAGCTTAGATTGAAGGAATATGTTCGTTTCAGTCATAATGGCTATTGATGGAAGGGAGAGAAAGTTGGGGTAAAAGGGACCACTGTGGAGAAATCCGGGGAAAAGCTGGGGGTATGCTAAAGGGCATTTCCGACTTGGCACGTAAAACAAGGGACATCGGGATGTGGGCGGGGCGCTTCTCCACAGAGGTGCATTGGAATAGAGCAGTCATAGTATAGTCTGTCTCTGACTCAACGATGACCAATAATGATCAACATTACGTGAGCAGTATTGTTGTACGGAGCGAGGTGGGTTGACTACCGGTATGTAGATGGGTATGGCAATGAGGGGTAAGACTGTGACTTTAGCATGATGCTCTGTGATTCCGAATTCTGAATTATCTTGGACTATTGTGGTTCTCACGCTGACCATCTTCGTCTTGACAGGCATATTGTGTTCATATTTCAAACCAAAGTCGGCTCCCTAATATGAATGTTTCCATCATAATGTAGATACATGGTCTTTAAGACACGGCAGGCCTACAAGTCATTGCACTGGACAATAGCCGCGGAGTCTACTCTACTAATGACTCAATCAAGGAGTCGGTGCTTTAACAAGTTTCGGCTACGTAGGTTTTAACATAATCAAATCGCATGCCCGTGATTGACTAGGAAAAGGTAGCCTTGGACTTCTACGAAGCTTACCGAATTTGATGATGAACTGCAACCTCATAGGTGGACTGCATGAGGTTGGGGATGTGGTACGTAAACCCCCACTTAGGATCCGAGTTCTTTCCGGCAACCATCAAAGCATCTAGTATTAGTTAGTTGTATAGGCAACTGTTGAGAAGGACATAGGTGCAGAAAATCTCGGCTTGACTTCAAATATAAGTTGCGTTGGTCTCGATCTGATACCTTGAACTCTTTTTATTGATTTGTTACTCAAACAATTCAACCAGTTTGGCGGCAATTCGTTTGACAGCAGCTCTTGAAACTCTCCTTCCTTATTCCTCCTGCCAGAACCGACAAAGAAAATGATTGCAATCACTGCCCTCAATCTCCTATTGGCCGTGGTGGTATCCGCCCTGCCATCAACTTTGTCATGTGACGTTAGTTCTTCAAACGCGACCGTGAGCTCTCGCGAGGGCATGACATCTTTGGTCAACCAGATCCTGGACTCCATGGTAGCTCACGATCCTTATAGCCTTCCGTTGGCTGGAGTCTACTATGCGACTGAGAACTCCCATCCTGCAGCACTTGGCATGATGACAGCATGGCGCACCATCACCAAGGCAGGCGAGCCAAGCCTGTTGGCCATTGATACTACGAATGGCACTGCGTACTTTGCCTTGGATGTGAGCGAGGGCAACGATGAGGTCCAATCAATTCTCCGGGGGCGCATCAAGGTGGTAGATGAGGAGCTCACCGAGCTTGAGCTCTTCATTAACCGCAATCGTGGCGATCACGGATTTTCATATTCAGCCACGGAGCTTCCCTCCAACTACGCCGTCTTGATGTCGCCACCGGCCAATCGCACCAAGGCCAGCCGGGAAACGCTGTGGCAGCTGAGTGAAGCGCTCTTTGCCACGTCTAGCAACTTTACAGTTGACCTCGGAGCCGACTGCCAGTTCACGGAGCTGGGCTGGAAGGTTGTTGATACTGGACTCTACGGAAACGGCTCAACCGACCCGCTGGGCTGCGCCTGGCCTGACGAACATCCTACCGACTCCAATGCGCGCGTAGCTCTAGTCGTTGACGAGGAATTGGGCTTTGTGGTGACCAGCGGCATCATCCCGGGAATAGTCTACCCGTACTATGGCAACACTTCGGCGTTCATCCCCAACACGATGACCGCGGCACAAGAGGCGCAAGAGGCCTGGTACGAAGAGTCAAAGGCCAGCGGGGGGTTGCCATTGCTGGCACCAACTGGAGCCACGGGCGAAACTCTTGAAGTGCTCCAATACTACAATGGTGAGCTGCAGGCCATGCAGATTAATGTGTATCTGAGTGGTCCCGGGATGACTTCTCCGTGGCTGTAGTTTGTGGCAGCGAAGTATGCGAAAGGCCCTGAAATTCTTGCTGCATTGTTGCTAGGCGGTAGAGAGGAACGCCTGTCCTCTTCAACTCTACAAATTAGCCTCGCCTCTTCGGTGCATGAACATGGGGCGGCATTCCCACGGTAGTAGGAATAGAATACGCATCGTTGCCAAATTGAAGGGATTTTTCCCTCTCTTTCTCCCCCTTTTCCAGTCTTGACTCTTTTCTATTGTTTCCGTCTTCTCTGCCGTCCGCAGATTGACGCTAAGCTCGTTTGGGTGGCTCCCGGTAGACCCCTGTAACACTCAGTAACCAACAGGCTGGGCGCATGTTCCGTGGTTGATCATGAAGGGAGAAAGTTCCAACTCAATCCTTTGTAGACACCCGGACGAAGGCATTCTTCTACATCTTCCTTCCCAGCCTTTGAGTCTCTTTGTTTCTGCAGATGGAGATCGAGACGCATCGCTTCCCCCACAAAACCTAACAATGTTCCTCGTTACCTTGTTTCCTGCGGCTGCGGGGCTGTTACTGTGGCTTGCTTACAGCAAGTTGCAATACATCCGTTTTCAACAATATGCACATTTTCCGCAGCTTACAAGCTCGATGGCCCTTGGCCATCTCAAGACGTTTGGCGACTTTGTCAAACGCAACAAGCCGGGCGCTCATCCAGATATGGCTATAGTGGCAATGAATCGAGCTCTGAACCGCCCGCCGCTCATGTTCATGGATCTACGACCCATCAATGAGCCTATGGTGGTTGTTGGCGACTATGAAATTGCCGATCAGATAACCAAGGCGTCGAAGATATTCCCAACGAGCCCTCCGAAGTCGGCCGCTTCGTTACAGCGGTTATTGTTTGTGACAGGCGCGACTTCTATATTTTCTTCACACGTGAGTACACCCGACCGAGAATTGAGATCAATACTGAAACATGCTTCAGGGCGATGAATGGAAGGCACTTCGCAAAAGATTTAACACTGGGTTCTCACCCCAGTATCTGTCGACATTTGTGCCTGAGATTCTGGACAAAGGGATGATCTTTCTCGAACATCTAGATGAACTTTGTGCGAGTCAAGATGCCTTTCCACTGATCAACCTGACTACGCGTCTGACATTCGACATAATTGGAAAGGTCGTCATGGAAGCTGACCTCGATGCATTGTCTTCCGGTGATTCCAATACCGGCCCGCTGGTAGACTTGTTCGAGACACTTCTGGACGCATACAACGGCGACCGCCTTAACCTGCCATGGTGGCTAACCATAAGCAAAGTCAAGAAGCGGGCGGCACTGTCAGAGCGTATGACGAATATACTGCGCGCCATTGTGCGTAGCAAACATGCCGAGCTCCACGAAACGGCAAAGGGCACTGCCAACGCGCGAAGTGTTCTTTCACTTGCCCTACAAGACGTCAAAACTCTAACAGACAGCATCATGGATGAAACGTGCGATCAGCTCCGTACATTCCTTTTTGCAGGACATGATACTACAAGTATTCTACTTTCGTGGGCATTTTACGAGCTCTCACGTACCCCTCATGCCATGCGCGCGGTGCGGGCCGAGCTGGATGGCCTCCTTGGCACTGATACTAGCCCTGCCACCATACGTACTCGACTACTTGGGCGTTCAGATCTGGCCCAGCAGATGCCATACATCTCAGCGGTCATTAAGGAGACCCTGCGCCTTCACCCCCCTGGCGGCACTGCGCGGGTCATTCCGGCCGGCTCTGGGTTCTTTGTCCGTATGCCAAGCGGTGAACAGCAATGTCTGGACGGTTTATTGGTTTATAACTGCCAAAGTATCATACACAGAGACCCCCGAGCCTTTGGAGATACGGCCGACGATTTTGTGCCTGAACGCTGGTTGGCTGATAAAGAGCCAATTCCAGCCGGCGCTTGGCGGCCATTCGAACGCGGACCGCGAAATTGTATTGGCATGGAATTGGCCAACATTGAGGCGCGAATCATCATTGCGTTGACGGTCCGTCGATACGACTTCACCAAGGTGGGCTTGGGAGAGTTCGCCTTGAATGAGAACGGCCAGCCGAGCTTGAACGAGAAGACGGGCCAGTACAAAGTGACGGAGGAACTGTATTCGGTAAGTTCTCACATCGATTCTGGCTTCACTGCACAATCAATTAATTTAAGAGGTACAGACAAGACAGGTAACTTCAAAGCCAGCTGATGGTATGCTGATGAGGGTTAAATTGGCAGAGTAGTCTACAGAGTGGTGGGCGCGATATTTGGTTGACAAGACAACATCAGTCGTATCTCGTTAATCAACAAATCTTAAAGTGGGCCGTGTATACCTCGTCAAGCAACCGTAATAAATCCCCTGAATTTTATAAAACTAACCATCAATTCTCATATTCATATCCAAGATCTTGGCGAAATACCACCCTTTGAGAGCTACTAGGTATCTCTTGGAGAAGCCGCGGTACATGTACACCAAGAACGGAGAAATTATTTAGCGCCAGTCTAGGTTCGTGGCTACTTATCGCGAAGGTCATGCTTGGCTGGAACGAGGATATTGCTGATTTTTCCAACGAAGATGATACGAGAAGCACATTGCCCTCTTCCGGAGAGTCCTGAAAATTGATCACGTTACGTCCTTTGACCGAACCATAGAATTTTGTGCTAGATGCGAAAGGTCACTGAGTGGATCCACTGCGGAACAGGACTTCAAATCTAATCATCCTCAATCGTAATGAGTCTTGGGCTTTTCAAGTTCTCAATATCCTCCGGTTGCAAGCAGCCCGTGTTCCAGATTTCGTCAAATGAAAACGCCAGCCGCCATGCAACGACCAAGACCATCAGTAACAACCTGTCGCTTATAGAGATGGAACTTGCCGTCAACCAGGAAGCCATGCAAAAGCGGAATACGGCACGTATCTTGCCATGAACGAAAGTGCTCAAGCAATTGGAGCGCTTATGTTTGAGTGTGGCGGATCAAAAAAGAAGCAATGGATGATCCAGCCCGTCTTTCTCCAGCAGTCTCATATCGCCAAATAGAAGAGGACCACGGAATAATATAGCTGGCACCACACTGGAATCTGGTTTCGGATATATAAGGACCATTGGCTTCGACCAACCTCTATCCCAACACTAGACAGATTTTTTTCCCTGACAGAAAACAGAACGTTTTTGAGAGTCTCGATTACAACAAATATGCAGTTCTTTCTTCACGTACTGGCCGGTCTTGGACTGGCCACCCTCATTGGCAAGTCAAACGGCATTGCCTTGACAGTGTCCCAAGATCCAGGCAATTCAACATCTAGCAAGATGTGGGGATTGATGTTTGAAGTATGAATTCGCGGTTCCCGTCGATGTACTTGCGTCGCCCTGCTGACCATCTGATACAGGACATCAATCACTCAGGCGACGGCGGCATTCATGGCCAGCTTCTGCGCAACAATGGTTTTCAGGGCACTAATCCAGGGTTGACCGCATATTTTGCTGTCGGAGGTACCGAGCTTGCTGTCGATGAGTCGATTCCACTCTCTACGGCCATCAGCAACACGCTACAAGTCAGTGTAGCCGCCGAATTGACGGGCCAGGTGGGATTTGGTAACGAGGGATACTGGGGAATTCCAGTTGACGGAAGCGCCCACAACCATACCATCTTCATTCGAGGCGCCTACGAAGGCCCAATGACCTGGACTCTAGTCAGTGCATCAAGCGGGGAGGTATTTGCCAATGGAACTTTTGACGTCAGCAGTGAGAGTGATCGTTTCACCGAGTTTACCAGCACGGCAAGGTCAATGCGCACATCTGCCACTGATATTGAATATCATTTGACCTTTGATGCCGCCCAAGTTGCGGGATCTTCACTCTGGTTCGGTCTTCCCCAGCTCTACGCAGAGACATTTGCGGGACGGTACGTTACGCGACCAGTGATCTTTGCATGCATGGAAGTGGTTTGCTAACGGCATGATTTTCCCCAGACAAAATGGACTAAAGACATTCATGGCAGAGGCCATCAATGATATTGGTGGAAGCTTTCTACGTTTCCCAGGCGGTAATAATTTGTGAATTTCTCCAAGCCTTGGCTCTCAAGAATCTGTACTTACATCACCCTAGGGAAGGACCAAATGTTGCCAATCGTTGGAAGTGGAACGAGACGGTTGGGCCTCTTGTGTCACGTCCGGGTCATCAAGGTGAATCCCATCGTATTGGCCCCTTGGCAGATGCCATATTCTGACTTTCTTTTAGGTGCTTGGGGATACGGTAATACAGATGCACTAGGTGAGTGGGTCTCGCACGTATAGTAGAGTCAATACTAAACAATGGATAGGTCTTCATGAATATTTTGAGTGGTGCGAAGACATGGGACTCGATGCCTTTGTGGGTATCTATTCAGGGTATTCTCTGGACGGTACATCCATCACCGGCTCTGCCTTGGATCCCTATGTTGACGATGCTTTGAATGAGCTAGAGGTATGCTGGAAATATTCAAAAACTCTGTGAGTGATGCTGACACACATGTCTTCAAGTACATTCTAGGCGATGCTTCCACTCCCATGGGGTCTTGGCGGGCTAGTAACGGCCGTCAAGAACCCTGGACCATTACATGGCTCGAAATTGGAAATGAAGACGATTTTGCCTGTGGCACATATGCAGAGCGGTTCACGGCCTTCTATGATGCTATCAAAACTACATATCCAGATCTACAGCTCGTTGCATCAGCCACTGGGTTCGGGTGTCTGCCGGATCCTTTCCCAGAGAACGTCTGGATTGATTACCACGAATACAATATTCCAGACAACTACGTCACCAACTTCAATCAATGGGACAACGTCTCGAGAAGGAACAAATACATCATTGGGGAAATGGCTCGCTGGGGCGCTGAATGGTCGGATATGCGCGGGTCAGTGTCCGAGGCTATTTTCATGCTTGGTCTTGAACGCAATAGCGACTTGATCCAAGGCGCGGCCTTTGCGCCACTCCTGAGTCTCGTTGACAATCAACAGTGGACGGTATGTCGCTACTCCTTCTAACAGAAATCAGAATTTCTAATCTTTTGTTTAAGCCAAACTTGATCCCGTACCACCAGTCTCCAGACGGGCTGGTGTTGACGTCGAGCTATTGGACTCAGCAGCTTTTCGCCCAAAATGCAGGTGACATGACGCGGGCCGTGACTTCTGATACAGAGTTTGGTCCTGTTTACTGGAGTGCTGTGAGCGCAGGCACCTCGTACATGGTCAAACTCGCCAACTATGGTGCGGACCCGCAACCGGTGACGATCAACGTTGCAGGCAAGACTGCTGCAAACTTGTCGGTCCTAAGCAACGACGATCCAGATGCTGCCAACACCGACGTGACCAGCCCGATCGTAGCTCCGATCGTCTCAAGCATATCGGGAAACGCTTCATTCACTTTCAGTTTGCCAGCCTGGTCTGTGGCCGTTGTCAGAGCAGATTAGTCATTTGCTTGTGGACGGGGTAAGTTGGCGTGGATGACCCCCACGGCTAACGAGGGGCATTTTAGGTCAGCTTTCATAGGGTGATAGCTTGTTGGACTTTCCGTATTGGAGGAAGATATAACCAGAAGGTATTTTGCAGGTTTTCGAGACCTTCCCGGATAGAATGGAATTTGTACTTCGTATTCAAACATGGCACTCTGCCACGTTTGAGCCTTTGGATGAGACTTAGGAATACATAGCGTCGTGAGAAAGTTTTCGGATGCATTGAAAAACACACTGGATCAAGAAAAGATATTAAATCCGTTGCTATTTACTATTTATGCGCTATCTTGCAAGGATTGGCCTGAGCTGCACTCATCAACAAAACATTTACTAGCGCATGTTAGATTCAAAAGACAATCCAAGGTCATCGAGGTCAATGGGTGTCTTGAGTTGATATATTTCATGTAACTAGCCATGACCGGTCAAGTAGAATAAGACTTCAAGTGGCACAATGACAGTAGACTCTAAATCCCTCTCAGCTAAACGGACCAGTCCACCTAGAAATGTGTGCACGAACTACAGCTTCCTTTATGTCTTTCGATCGATTGATCCGGCATGATTATGGATGGACGAAACTCATTGTTGAGTACTGTTTCATGCACCTGGTATGTAGGGGTCAACCTGGTAAATCAGGCCGAACTTTCGCCATGCTTATTGCTTATTAGCCATCGTATTGTTCATCAAGTGGCGGAAATGCATAGGTAGTTACCTTCATGCCAACCACCAGACGGCTGCTCGTCGGCGTGCTTCTTGGCTGACTCCCACCAAATCTTCAAACACCACAGTGCAACCAAGGTATCCAAGGCGGGCCTCTGCAGTTCGGTCTTTATGTCCAGTCGGTGCTTGCCATCAACAAGGGTCTCAAAAGCGACCAGTAATCCTAATGCATCCGTCCACACGTGGCGATTGTACTTTTTGCTCCACTCGATACCGAACGACACTGGGTTGTCGCGACTCTGCGAGCTCTCCACAAAGCAAGGATCACTGTTCTGCCCATCCCTCCTGTTGACTGCTTGGATTATGAAACCAGATTTCTTCTTAATCTTCAATCCCAAGTCGCCCAGCGTTTTCTTTGATTCACTTTTGCACCAAAAGGATGGAGCGTCGGCAAATTTGGCATTCCGGACGTAGCGGCCCAGAGATGCGGTGCGATTGTGCTCCAGGGAGTAGAGATGCCTCTTGCGCACTTTCAAGGAGGGTTCGGCACCCGCCACATCCTGTACCGAATAATCCAGGCGAGAAAATGTGACCGTCGTGGTGGCATTCGTGATTACCGCTACGCCGCGATTGAGTTCGTAGAGGGGTTTCGGGTTGGAGTTTCCGGGATCTTCACGGATAATATGATGGTCTGAGAGAACAAGAACCGCGGGTGGCACGCTTTGGTGTGATGATGCATCATCGATTTCTTCCTGGTAGCCCGGTAGTGGTTCGTCGCCCACGACTGGCGCAAAGCTGGGAGATTTCGAATTCAAGGTAGCCATGTTCTGAACATTACCTTGTGAGACGAGCGACTCATGTGATCACGGTGGGATACATATATGCTTGTAATTTGGACGTGCAATCCAGTACCAAGAAACAGGCAAACAGGCCCTGAGGCTCGGCGAGTCTAAGCCTGGATAAAAAGACATTATAGGCAAGACCGGATCCCTGCGCCGACCGCTAATTGACAGATTCGACCGTCAAAAAAGCCTTGCCAAGTGCGTTAACACAATCGATCGGCATCAGCTATATCTTTTTCTTCTATTGCGGAAAGCTTTGGGCTCCTCTTGCGCATTCCGCGCCAATGAGATGCTGAGATTCTAAGCACACATCTACTGTTAGTGGGCTGCTCGCTTTTCCACCTCGCACTTTGCCCCACAATCCATGACCTGTGTGTGTATAAGTGGTCAAACGCTCTGCCCGTGGCGGTGCACCCATGCACTTCCAACGGCTTGGCTACCTTTTATCGGTGCAGCTGATGAGGCGCACGTCATGGATTATCTGTCATCCTGTTTGTGTTTCTATGGAATTTAGCATATACTATATATGCTTAAACTTGAGCTTGTAGTTTCTGTGGGCCTTATGATTTACTGGATGTGTTCTTTGAGCATTTTTGTGACGTCGGTAGGCCGAGCGCCAAGATCAAGGCCCGACAGAAATGGAAGAGCTCACCCTAGCTTTGCCACTACCTAGAATAGCTAGATTTTTCGGCTTCGCATTTGCATTGGCACTTGCTACACTATTCAGGTGGATAGAGCAAAGAACGTGACTGGAGACTTTGTTCTCTTTTCGAATAAATTTGACTTTCTATACAACTTGCAATCCTGGGTTCTGACTCTGTTTATCTTCATCTAGATGTACGAGATGAAGCGACGCATATCTACGAATACGTCAGCCCTTGTCTCAAGCGAGAAATATTCGGAGGCAGCCTGAACGTAGCACCAGTATGAACGACACTGGGAATATCGTTTCTAGTTAGAGACGACAACCATCCACCACGCCATCCCGAGCCACGTCATCATCATGCATCCAAATGCCAACAAGGTTGGAATACCGTCATCCGGTGCATAGGAACCGCTGGCCCACGCCCTCACAAGAGCGCCTACGACAAGTCCAATCCAGAAAACAAAGAAGCCGATCTCCTGCGCCCTGCGCCGCACACGGCTCTTCCTCCCTGTACCGATAGGCGAAGCCAGCAACCCGCCCTTTGTGTTTCCCTGAAGGCCAGACTCGGTGCTGTCAGCATTCGACTCTCCTACCGCATCAGCATGAACCTCGGTCGAAGCCCTCATGCACGTGCCCCAATCACCGTCTAGCATGGTTATTAGAGCCCATAACTGAATACCTTGAGCAGCAATGCTAAACATGGCCTGGCCGGGGAGTAGCCAGAGCCATTCGGTCCACTTCCTCGGGCGGCACGGGCTACGCAGCACCAGATACACGCATATGACGAGGAGGCGGCGACACATGTCGGCACCCGCGAGGGACCGGGTTGCGTAGCCCGTGAGGGCGTACGCGGAGACGGACAATGGGATTGCGACGGCGCCGAGCGCGCGGCGGACAGCGTTTAGAAAGAGGACTGGGTGGTGGAGAACGTAAATGGCAGGCGCAGCAAGAAGGCCCTCGACGTGGCAGGCTCTCGACCAGCGCACTTGTTGAAGGAGCCAGCGGCGCAACGTCGGTGGTGACTCCGTCGCGGCAATGGCGTCGGCCGCGTACAGGACACGATATCCCCGCCTCAGCAAAAGTGTTGTCAGGTGCCGATCCTCATTGACGCGCATCCAGCGACCCATCACAGTTTGCGTATACCACGGCAGCAGGATTGGTGCGAGCGCAGACGCCCGGAACAAGGCGCACGGCCCTGACTGGCATTCATTGGCGGCAAAAGATGACGGAAATGACCTTGCCAGGTAGTAGTCACTCAGGTATACAGCGGCGCTGAGCCGTGTCAGGAGATTGTCGTCCCGGTTGTGGATGACGAGTGTCGCACAGGCACCGCCGACATCGTTGTCCGAGGTGCAGATTGACGTGGTCGAAGAAATCGTGTTGCGGTCCACGATGGTGTCGCTGTCAGATGACCAGATCCATTCGAGACCAAACGTTTGGGTGATCACAAGGGACAAGATAAAGGTAGTAAACATGATTCCCTTTTTGTGCATGTGTGGCTGATGTACACAAAGATACCGGATGTCATGTAGAGAAATGTTGGACTCGTGAAGGTGCTGCCGTACCACACGGATACATGACGCGATGATGTGATCATCCTTGTTCTGCGACTCTGGGAGCGATGATGAGAGTTCGAGTGCCAGGTCGACCAAGGGTGTGTCAAGATGAATGACAGCAGATCTTTTGGGATATACCTGTGGATTTGCCGTGATTGATCAGTAACCGCTACATCTGTCAAATCGCAAAGGGAAAGATGTACATGGGAAGGGACGGCGATGAGGCGCAAAGGTTACCTTCTTAAAAATTTCGATCATGTACTCGTCTTCCTTTTCATCGCCATCAATTCCGACGAGGACAAACTCGCAGCCCAAAGCACGGCTATAGCTTTCCAAAGCTTGAGTGAATAAGTCGGCATCTTCTCTATATCCAATGACCGCTGCCATGCACTCTGGCTTGCTGGTTTCTGCCTTTGAGGATTTTTGTTTCGTCGAAATTCCAGCAAGCCCTTTTTCCATCAGATGGTCGACAGAGCTCATATCAGCCTCTTTCTGCTTGGGAAAACGCCGTCTATTCTCACTGTTGAACCTATTCAATTCTGCCAGGAAGATAATGATGAGAATTGAGATGGGGAACAAAAACCAAACCAAACCAACCCCACCTAAGACAGACAGCCGTAAGGCTGTGGCCTTTATGTGGTTTTTGATCAAATAGCATATAAAATCTTAAAATATATGGGAACAGTCTTGATTGAGAAAACGATGGATGGTGATCCTGTATGCTAAACGCAACGAAAAACAAAGGCTTATAAGTCCCGAAGGGACTTATAAAGCCACTCTAAGCTAAGCCTCCACAGCCACTTTTAGTGGGCATCTCCAGCACCCCCACATCAGAATATCGATGGTGAGAAAATTTGCGTTGGTACGAGCAATGCTTGTGTAGAAATACATGGCAAGGGCACAGCCAATGCAGTTGAGTATACATCGAAACACCGAGACTTGAAGCCCAGATTGTTCGGATTTTTCCATATCCTTTTCTTTGCTTCGTCCATTTGGCTGAAAAGGAACCATTTTGAGAATGAAAGTTGCCGAGCTGCTGCAGCACAGAAAGAGGTGAAAATTCAATTTGTTTGTATACAAGATGCAAAAGCGATATTAATTTGCAACGACCTTGAGGTCTTTGTAGTAATTCAACAAAAGCTGCGAGACGGGAGTGAACCCGACATCCGTCTGTTATAAAGCCAAGGGATAAGCTCTCAGAGAGAAATATCTTGGCGCTACTGGAATTCGGTTTCGGCAAATATTCCAAGATGTTAAAGAAATAGCACCCCGGTCCATGGTAACGGCTCGTCCCGCATGCACGCACCGTCTTTGCAGGGGTCTTTTCAATGTGATGAAACCACAAAAACGTCCGGCAAATCTGATCATGATGACTCGTTCTGATAATCAAGCCATCAGCCAACAAGATTTGACATTCCGATCATACGATTAGGACCTAGTACTTCATAAAGTACTTCATAGTCTGGTAATGCCAAGGTTGGGCGAGGCTTGGCAATGGTGGATCTTGCAGAATTTCTGATGATGGCGCTCATGTTGACGATAGCCGTGGCATGCCTGTCACAGGCCAAGAATCGATACAAGACGACTTCTCGGGGATTTACTGTTCCTTGCAGCTCACCGAGCGTTCCGGCCTCGTATGATAAGATGCTTGCTTCCAAGAGAGATCCACATGTTGCTCAAACTTGATTCCATGGTGTATGTAACTTCAATAGTCATGGGCGATATGTGTCGAAATTGGAGCCCAGCTATCGAGACTTGTGAATCTCAACTAGTGTCTTGTCAACATAGCCTCACTTTGCCACCAGGATCCGTTATAACTTGTCCGAAGCGCGATCAAAATAGACACAGAGGAGGGTCATGGACGTTCCATATTCCCTCAAATGAATGCCGGAGGAAAAAAAAGAAGGTTTCGGCAGTTGTACAGGTATCCGACTCCCGCTTACCTCATTACAAGTATTAGTGCTTTTATATTCGCTTGTCTTGGATATATTTTTCCCGTCGCCCACTCTGAAAGGAACGATGATGATCAAATCAAACCCAGCCCTTTTACCCCCCGACTAAATGAGGACGACTACGTAACAAGCAGAGAACAATGACTGTACACTTCTCCCAAGAGAACCGATTTGTCCCAATCCTTTTCATGACATTGATCATAATTTCCATTTTACACTTTACCGGGTTTCTCGGTTGACTCTAGTTAAGAATTTTCATGGTACGGCATGATGCATAGTTCCATCGAACGCATCCAGTGGCTAGATAGCCTTCGCGGCATAGCAGCGCTCATAGTGGCTGTTGACCATCTTTTCATGGGATGCATCGAGGCTCCGTTCAGGTCTTACTGGGCAGAGCCGGTGGCCGATAACCGACACTTTTATCAGCTTCCACCCATATCCATCATCTTTGCCGCAAAATCCATGGTAGCCCTTTTCATGGTCCTGTCGGGATATTCCATATCCGTGTCTCTTGTCCAGACCAGAAATGAGGCCACAATATCTCGATTTTACCAAAAGCTCGCCTCTGCAGCCTTTCGAAGGGTATTTCGACTCTACATCCCCGTCTTCATCATGGCCACGGTGGCTCAAATTGCATTATACCTGGGACTATACCATTGGTGGTGGCCTCAACTTGATAAGATTGGCGTTGTCCCTTGGGGCTCACCGGTATTGCACTTCAGATACTACCTCGCATACCTGGTGGACAGCCTAAACATTCTCGATATCTCCCCAAACCCAGGCCTAAATGATCAGCTTTGGACAATTCCTCGCGAGCTACGCGGCTCTTTTTGCGTTTACCTAACTATCCTCGCGCTTTCCGGCATTAATCACAATAAGAGGATATGTATTGTCCTTTTAATCTTGCTGCATACACTCTGGCACGGTAATTGGGATATCTTTGGCTTTTACTCCGGCCTCTTGATTGCAGAGGCGACAAATCACCCAGGAAACCACCAAATTCCACTGCATTCGGCTAAAGATATTCCAGCACCTATCATTGAGCGCAAGCTATCGAATCGTAAATCCGATGGTTCTCTGTATGCCTGGTCCTCCCGGTCTCATAGCAGAGTCTTCAAGAAGCTTTTTCTATCCGTGCTCTCATTTTGGTTGCTTTGTCAACCGTTTGAGGAATCCTGGCCTCCGGGTTACCAATTTCTCCAGAACCTTGTTCCGCCACCCTGGCGTGGTCGCCACTGGGAGTACACAAAATTCAGCATCAGTACTATTGGTTCAGTCGGTCTCGTCATACTGATCAACGACACGCCTGTCCTCCAAAGGCTTCTCAGTGCACGCCCGCTCGAGTTTCTCGGAGAGGCATCCTTCTCTCTGTATCTGGTACACGTTATTTACTACCGCTGCTTCCGGAACCCTGTCATGAACTTTACGTACGCTCTCTTCACGGGGAATCGCTTCTGGGTAGACGGGATTGCGCCGGAGCCACTTCCGGAGTACATCACGGTGAGTCTCCATCGCCATATAACAGTGGTACTTCCATGAGTCGAATGCTAATGTTTGACGGTAAAGTGGTGGGTTTGTGGCCTTGTAATGATACCATCCTCACTACTCATGGCAACATATGTTGCCAGGCATGTTGACAAGAGGTCAGCTTGGTGGGCACATGCCATCTTGAAATGGATGAGCTGAGTTTCAAAGGTAGAATAAGTAGGATATTGAGAGTGAAGGGCGGTGTCGATAGCGCTGAATAGCCCGGGTAGTTGAGTGACAACATGTGTTGAGTTTTGTAACCTGACGTCCCGATGTTGGGAGACTCCATAAACATACAGGGAACACTTGATCAATAGTTAGGGTTCGGATATATCGTACTGAAGATAATTGCATGAATATTTCCAAATATCCGATCAAGAGATTACAACGCATCCTCGCTATTTGCTTCTCCAGGCTGGCAATATCGACCCTTTGCTCCTTCATCCAAACGACCAAGCCACCTACGCAACGAATATCACATGTCTATCCTACAATCTTCAACCCACCACTTTTTCCATACAACGCATCAGCCACTTCAAGCGTTACAGTGTAAAGGGAGGTCGGTTGGGTGGAGCATTCGAGAATTTGTCAATGTTATATCATCAAAGGTCTGGAGGGGAGCGGGCCGTACCTTGAAAATAGCAAGACCCTATCCACAGATTGCCCACCGAGCTAGACCGACATGACAAGATAGGCCACGAGTTGCCAGCAGTAGTGTAGGGCCAACAACTCAGGTTTGGGATGAGGTCGTAATACCTGGCCGAAAGACACAAAAAAAGCTCAGAGTATTCGCAGTCAACCGTCAAAGCCCGCTCCATTTCTCAGGATCACACCCAAAGGTATGCCCAAGTGAGGTTCCAAAAATTGAGTCTTAGTGTTAGACACTGATGCTCCCTACTTCAAGTGAAGACACTGTCAGTCTAAAAGACTGTAAGCCCCACCGTGTCTACCCAGGCGCATAAAGCGGCCCCAAGTAGAGCTGGCGGGATGTACACCTTGAAGCGAATGCACCATTGGTCTGGAGGCTCTGAACCATCCAGACCGCTGGGCACTGCAAGCCTGGCGGCGAGGGCCTGGAGTACAAGGGGAACGACGATCGTAAGACCGACACGGGCACAAAAATTGAGCAGTGAGGAGATCGCTGCGGGTAACATGTTGAGAAATCGCGGTGGGTATGGAATATATTTAGCAAGTAATGATATGAAGAGAAAAGGAAGAGAGGAGAATCTACTGCTGGACGAGTTTCTTCGATTAAATAAACAAACTGGGGAAAACAATGTCTGGAAGGAGCCCCTGTTCGTTCATAATTATCGCAAGCCAAGGGCTTCGGAAGCAGCAACAGAGCTAATTGTGGAAAGGAAAGTTGAGCTTGTCGGAAGCACCTTCTAGAAACCTCTTCACAATAAGTGAATGCATCTGACGCGAAAGAAAACAAGTTTGAGTACGTCAGTTTTTTGAGTGATATATTTTGTGTCTTTTCGTACTATGATCAAGAGACAAGCGCCGGGACATGGTTGATGGTAAATAGGTAGTATTGCTTCCCAGAGACCAAAGTCTGTCATTATCGATGAATGACTTGTCTATCCAATCAGGGTCAACGAGCGAATGTCACAATCTTTCGCAGAGATGTCTTGACACCAGTTCATCCGATTCAGCATATTGTTCCCGCCTTCGTAGCTTTCTACCCAACACGTTAGTTAGTATCCCGTACTGTCGCTTGCCACATGTTCCAATGTACTTTGTCAAGCGGCATTCGCACTACGATCTTCCTGCCGTTCTTGAAGTACAAATTTCTCTTGCCCCAACTTGTCCCATCACTCGGGGAAGGTACAGTTTTTTGCGTCACCAGACAGTGTATGGGCTAGCGTGGTGGGTCGAGATTGTACCTGTAGTTTCCTTTCTTTGGAACGACCACTTCGAGGCAAGAACCGACCACAATATGCCTAGCCAGAGATATTTCAGGTGCTTGGTTGCACTTCCATCCCAGGCAATAAGCTCGTAGGGCTGCGTAAGGCTCAATCCAAACATCTAAGGTGAATTTAATGTGTACTAATTAAGGTTTGAAAGCCAAGCCAGGAACAATTGATGATTCACGCTGAAACTATAAAGGATATTCGCCGCCTTTCTCCGCCCATTTGGGTGTGTATCTCATCCCTTGGTACTACGAAAAAGAATTGTGTCAACCTTAATCTTCACCACAATGCGTGCAAACTTTTCGGTGCAGGTTCTGTTATTGTAACTTGTGCTGCCTAATTGACCAACATTATTGCGGTCATGCGGCTATAAGAAGGGACTCCTCCCCACCAAAGTGTGAGGGAGCCCAATTCATCACTTTTGTGCCAATTCTACACCCTCTCTTACTACATAGTCCTCCTCGCACCCATTCACCATGGCAGACTTTTTCAGAGAGTTTTTGAGGTACTTCATTGACAGAGTGTTACTCCTCGGCTTTGCAAGTGGTATTTTCTACATCGTCGACAGATTATTAGTTCAACGACGGGAGGTCATTGTACGATGGGGTCGCCGAGCGCAAAGGATTTTCCATATTCCTCCATGTTTATCTGTCTTTACCGAAGAAGACCCCGGGATGCTGGATACCGATATACGGATGGCTGGCTTTGTTTTAATCATCACGTACTTGCCCGCCATCCTAATACTAGGAGTTTGGGCTGCAGGGGAGGATATTCGACGTCCTGCGTTGTACACCTTCGGCATCGCCAGCCCGGCATTAATGTCAGTCTTGGTTTGGCTGTGCCTGATCTTATCCAAAAGGAATAGGCAGGCGCAAATACGACTGGGACCCCCGAAGGACAGATCACTGAGGGAAGACATTCGCGCGCTCTGGTCGACACCGTTTGTGGCTAGAGCGTTGCCGTAACACAAGTTTCGTACGGGATTCGCCCTTCCTCAACTTGTTTTTGCGCGCCACGCGAACTCTTACTCGACAATTTCCGGCCTTGGGAGCGAGTTGCTAGGTACATGGCCGAAAGCACATGGATCTAACCATGACTCTTCGTGTCTGTTTCAGTCACAATTGCTTAAATGCACGGTAAATCACCGATGGTACTGCACAATTGTTTCATGGTACAAGATCGACGCCAGCGTACCACGAAGCAAAGGTTCCATGTTTCTCAGCCGGAGCAACCATGTATTTGCTAGTCAAGCACCCAGTTGCCTTATTCGGTGCATCTTCATGCGGAATGTATTAAGTCTTCTCATTTGGGAATTTGCATCATACTGTTGCTGTTATAATTGGTGCGTCCTTTAACTATTTTGACGCCGAAACCCTTCTCTCCTGCAGCCATCTCAGCTTCAAAGCCAGTATGGCCCAGCGGGTATTCTTTCTCCGCGGAGGAGAACGACTGGAGTAAACTAGCATTCATAGAAAAAATATACATCAAGCATGCACATTGAGCTTCCAGATAGTATGTCCAAAGTTTTCCCGAGGTTTGCAAGTTTCCCGAAAATAGATGTATGCTTAGGTAGTCTGAACGGGCCAAACTAATCCATTTCTCCCATTAGAATACTCTTACAGATTACAAAGCACTCGATGCAAACGTATGGTGATTTACATAATATCATGCATGGAACCCATGACCTCGGCTGCTTCCTCCGCATTCAGACCCAAAGAAGATGCGATGTCAGCGGCACGGGATTATGCAACCACCGAACCTTTCAAAGACCCTGGATCAAATTAGCCAATGATAGAGTGATGCGCAAATCGGCAAAAAATGCTTGTTTGATTCTCCTCGTGGAAGAGAATGGTCTTAATAACTTTGCATCGACACAAAGATTCTCCATGCTACGTACAGCATTAATGAAGCTTACACACATGCGATCCAATTGTATCACGGATCTACACCATCTACACCTTGGTACTAACCGGGAGCCCCCCTCTCCTTTGATGATACGGCTTAGTGGTGTATCGTAAATGAGAAGTTCTAGGAACATAATAGTCGAACATTAAAAGTCGGTTGAATAAGTCAAGTCTAATTAAGCATCCCGTGGTTCCCGCAGGATCCTATCGGTAGGGTTAGCCTCACAGACGTTCGTGTCGGAGAACGCCCGAGCCAATCGCGACAAATCTTTACTCACTTTCACCAGCTTAGTCCCTAGCATCCATGTCACGGCGAGCATTAGTTTACGATCCTTTGAGAATGGAAAACGTACCAATTTTCGCCTTGTTTGGCACGCAATTGTTTGGGGTCATCCAACTCCGGTCTGTCTAGTTGCGAGTGTATCGCTCTAAGCAGATACTGTATCATGCTCGACACGTCTTTTTCCTTGGAAACACTTGAAAAGGCTAGTAGAGACATATTCCAACCGCTTTGAACTGTGTTTGGTAATTAGTTCATCATCGTCAGATCCTCGCTTCCCTTTTTCTAATGAGCTATGATGATCAGCGGTGTGATGCAGAGAGTACGGTTGTGATGGGGGATATCTGCGTATTGTGCTGTGGCGCTATACAACGTTGCTATAGCTAGGCCTCAAAATATAGCCGCATTAGGTTATAGCCTCATCTTTTGGATGCTTTAAGGGACTTCGCTAAACGGCATTGACTGGCCTTTGAAGGCAGGGGGTCTGGTCGTACTGGGGCCTGCGGCGATGGAGAGTGGGACAAAAGACAATATAGGATGAGGTGTAAAATCCATTGTTACTAGTGCTTAGTATATTCACAATTGCAAGTTTCCCCTGAAGTAGGCGTATGCTGTTCCTCGAATCAGGGTTGAAACATCCTATGAGGCTATAGTTGACAATGCAAGGGCGTGATGCGAGGACATGATGCGAAGGCTTTGGTAGCCCCATCCGCCAAAGCCAATTGTTCCGTGCCGTACTATGGCGTGGTGAAACATCCACATTTGATCCATGTATACTGCTACCTGCCCTTTTTAAGCTGCCACCTTTAGATCCTTCGGTAGTGGACCCTGCGGATAAGCACTTGGCAGAAATGCTTAAAAGGACCATCCTCCACGACGCACTACATATCCGTAGCGGAGCCCCCCACTCGTATAATCCTTCAGCGATGGAGTATCTCGCCAATGCCAGTAAGACATGGCTGAATGAGGCTCATAAGCTTAAAAGTTTACATTGGGACGAGACTCCACATTCCGTATTGCGGGCAAATGTCGAATCACTATCTCCGGCAACCTTAAAACTAGGTACCTACTGTGCCCCCGACGCCCATGTTATAGCGGGGTGAATGGCGTGATCGATCCTTTTTCTACGCCATACAAGGACCCTTCGCAACGGCGGGAGGGTAAGGGCCCCTTTTTTAATCATTGGCATCAGCACAATTCGTGGTGAGCAGAATAGCCTTTTGGATTTCTTCAACGTGCTAGCTGCCTTGAAAAGCTTTGCCTTATGGACCCCTGTGATTTCTTCAGACCTTGCAGATACCTAGAGTTTACATAAACCTTGTCTACCCATATGGATACTGGGGCTGCTCCGAACATGTCTAAATTCAGTTTGTGATATTTTTGACCATTCCACTATGGTGCCCACTAACGATGCTGGAATGTTTCACCGCAATTAGTGACGATGTAACACCACCGTGGAAGTGCCTCTACGGTGCTACGAAGGAATAATTTGATCGCGTGTGTCTCCCATCTGGAGAACCCTAGGATCGTCACAAAGAGGTCTTTTGCGGCACGATAAGACGGATTTGGCGTGTCGAAGGCATCGGATATGCCATCCGTGCTTCCCCATCCGCCGCAGTAGTCCACGGCACCAAATGCCATTGAAAGTACCGTACATATCAAGCATAGTCACTATGACAACCTTGTCTGCCAGCATAGCCGATTCGCCTCTAGGCAACCCTTTATTTTTGTGGACACAGAATGTGATCCGTGACTCCATTTGGAGACCATGATTGCTTGTAGGTTTCTCCACTCCCGTGGCAACCGAGTCAGTTCGAGCATCCTCTCAGTGCTCCTGCTCTCGACTGGAACACTTGAGAACCTCTAGTTCGAGCGCCTCTCTCTTCTCCAGCGTATCTTTGATTGCTTCCCTAAAGTCCCATGGCAAATAGTGGGAACTTATTCATCATCCAGATTTGTTACTTGTTCAATATGCAGGTTGAAGAAACTATGTAGCGGAGAGCTTTCGTAGCAAATATCGATAAACGGATTATATAACAGCAGCTCCCTATTCGACATTGTCCAAGAACTTCCCCTCATAGTTGTACTCCAGCCACTCATCGATAGGCCGCATATTCTTACACACCTTTTTCTGATGATAACCAGGGTGGATCGTTGCTTGGTAAGGCATCAGAGTCTCGTCAAAATTGCAAAATAGCACTTGACGCAAGTCCGCCACGCAGTGAACAGTATGAAGCCAGTCGTGCTGCGTTATATTGTACTGGCCTCCAGTAATATGGGCTGCCATGAATCTCCCCAATGACTGCCGGATGCTCCCCTTTACTGAATCAGTAACAAGTATCATTGAACTCAGTATGGACTTACTATGCAGTGTAAGGAATGGTATCCAGCCATTAGATAAGCGGACATATTCCCTTTGGCCGGGTTTCTCATAGATGGTGGAAGCTTGTAGGACTCTATGACATCGTCTTCGAGATAGACTTGGCCCTCGCCTTCTATATTGGATGTTAGTGTACACGACCAACTATGCTCTTTTCCAGCAATCTCACTAGGAAAGAGGGCGCGCCAGTAAGGATCTCCCTTCCTGAAATCCAAATCATCCAAGTTATCCTCGGCGAACCGATAGGTCTTTATAACATTTGATGAGACGGCAAGCTGATCCTCCAGTAGTTGGACGGGACCAACGCCAGTGTATGGGATTGATAGAGTCAATGCGGATGGCTGGGAAGAGGTCCGGGCTAGCAGTCCTACAACTACCAGCGCTAGAAAGAGGTTGGACATGAGCGAACAGTTCAAATGAAAGACTTTGCGCAGATATCGTGTATGGAGGTCCTTATCCACATGCTCTATGGGTTCGTCGTCATGCATGAGACGACCATATTGCTCGTCTTTTCGGCTTGTCATAATGGATTTGAAAGAAAACATTGTCCTTTGGTGTCTTGCGGCGCGCGAGACGCAAATCAGACAATTAGATGTGGTGAAAGTATAATTAGGATGGGAATTAGAATGATTCTATAATGTACAATCATGCAGGCTCTTAGCAGTATTTATGATAAGAAAACATGAAAGGGGTCGTTTCCCGGGTGCCTGCTAGAATGATCTTACGTGTGTTTTTATTAATCCGTTACCTAAGTGGCACGGAATGGTACGAGGTGGCAAAGCTGTCAATACATCAAAGGAAGGATTTTGATTTCGCAAAAATGAAAAGAACAATACCCAGCTTACCTCTATCAGGTAGTTGAATACCATTAGAGTGTGATGCTGCTTAATCACTTGAAGCAAGGGGGCATCGAGCATGGATTCTCAGTTTCGTATGCTTGGTACTTTTTCTGCAACTAGAAGATGAGATCTTTCACCATTATACTCAAAGTGGTTGGAATCAAGCGGCGCGACACAGGGAATACCATCCTTCAACGGGTTATACGTAAAAAGTAATGTATATGGTATCGTCGCTTCTTGTGCATGGTACGTTGCAATGAAGCTTCCAAGTCTGTTCATGATATTATTGGAATCGCTGTTGCGCTAGAGACACGAAGATAGGATGCTCCGTCCAAATTGTCTATAAAAGGCCTCTACTTCCACTCAGTGCCTCCTTCTTTCAACACAGCATTGTTCTCTCCAAGACACCAGTACACCTTTCTTCACATAAACACTCGCACGCAGCCAAAACACAAGTAACGCATAAACACGATGCAGTTCTTCGCCACCACCCTTCTTTCTCTTGCAGCTACCACCCTCGCTGCTCCATCTGTGGCTCCTCGTGGCCTCGATATTGGATCATGCTGCGCGACCACAGAGGGCGGCACCATCCTCACTCGATGTGTCGGCTTTGACCCATCTGACGCAGCCACTGTCGCTCGTCGTGGTGTTGGCACATTGGCGACGGGCGAGACTGGCAAGCTCCTTGCTCGATGCTCCCGCAGCGTCGATACTTCGTCCCCTCTGGCAGCCCGTGGCCTAGATATCGGATCTTGCTGCGCGACCTCGGAGAACGGCAAGATCATTACTCGATGTGTCGGCTTCGATCCTTCCAACGCCGCAACGGTCGCCCGCCGTGGCGATCTACCCGTTGGAGCTTGTTCAGCGGTCGATACCAACGGCAACCTGATCTCTTCTGATTCCAACGCTGCCACTGTTGCTTAGACTCAGTTCTGCAAGGTTCCATTTGGTACCGAATAGATAGGTAAGATACGCACCAAGTTTCTGGATTCATCAAGACTTACGGACTTTAGACTCGGAGACGTTCTGCAGGACAAAATGGTGCTGAAGCGTCATGCGGTGGTTTAGGTTGATTCTTCTTCAAGTAGCTTCTCGTCTAGCATACTACATACGCAACAGTAAATGCCGCAGGAACACAGAAATGCAACATGGCTATTTATGTAGTTATATTAAGCAGATGTTGCAAATATTTGCATCTAAGACGTGATCTTTTTGAAAGTCTTCATGCTTGTATACGACTCCAATAGTGAACACAAGTGAAGTAATCGGCGATAAAGAAATTACCGCTCATATCAATGTTGAAATCTAGATGGTTGTCGTGCAATAGTTATTTTCACATCCAGCAAAGACAGCGTGGTCAAATATATACCCGTGTGGAAAGCACTCCATTTTCTTCTCTTTTGACAATATATATCGGAAATTCTTTCCGCATCATCGAGATCCTTCTAAAGCTATAAGCATCCCGTAGGAACAATAACATGTCGACAACTGCTCTTTTTGGATATTGTGTTCTTGACTTTATGTTCCCGTGTCACTCAAAGTAAAACTGGAACGGAATGTTGCTAAAATTTCATGTCCACTAGGTAGCTTAAAAATATCAACAAAAGGAATCAACCCAATAGCGAACTAAACAGTTTCGGCTTTATCTTGAAGCATATACCGTCAAAAGCCTGTGAATCTGCGACTAGTAGATATGAATGATGTTTGAGATGGGTCACAATAATTGGCGATGGATTGTACAAGACCTAGTCAAAGAGAACAGACATTTGAAGGTATCATGACGAAAATTCCTTGTTTTTGCCAAGTCTCCTCGGCAGATCTGGGAATCCGTAAGCCGGGTTGGCTCATAACGCTCAGCCGCACCGGCAGCATGACGTCCCCAGCATGTCTGAAACCCAAGGAGCAATTACCAAGGTAGTTCCTGTCCCTCAAAGCTCCACAGTTTTCCGCTATGTGTATCCCTTGAAGCGGCATCAATGACCTTGACCAATCCATCTGTACTGTCAGCAACAGTAACAGCGGCCTCTGGGTAGCCAAAGGCGTCGGCACCACGATTGCCGAGGTCGGTTTGGACCCAACTACGCGTGCAGGCTTTAGCATTTTGACAGTGGTGGCGGGAAACCATTTCAGTCAACTTACCCCGGATCAATAGGGAACGCTGTGAGCCAAGGCTCTTCAATGTGGATCGCCTTGGTAAGCCAGTGGCCGACGAGCTTTGATGGAGCGTATGCAGCATTCTTCATGGGAAGCATGTTCTGCATAACTCCCGTTAGCCAGGGTCGGTAAGGAGTAATGCAGGAGGACACTTACAGTCAGGAATGCAGAAGAAGAGCCGATTGTCACCCAAGTAGGCTTTTTTGACTTCTTCAAGAGCGGCAAAAGAGCCTGGAACAGCCAAATGAAACCATAAGTGTTGGCCACGGTGTGCTCCTGCATCTGCTCTGCAGTAACCTTGGAGACTTTGACCCAAAGCCGCGCGATGCCAGCATTGGCAATGACAATGTCTAGATGGTCAATGCCACGACCTGCCAGTTCCTCGACAGCATTGGCCGGGTCACTTTGGACTGTCGCATCAATCTTGATGAGAATCAGCGTGGTACCCTCGGCCTTGGACAGATTGAACAGAGCCTGCGATGTTTCGTGTTTAGGATCCCGGTTGGCAGCGATGATGGTGTGGTTGGGCTTGGCAAGATAGCGTTCGAGTAAGCCCTTTCCAATGCCTCTATTGCACCCGGTGATGAGTACAATGGTAGGCGCCATGGCTGCTACTTGCTTGTTGCGGAGGTGGGATTGATGTTGAAGCCTCCGGGTCGTTTCGAAGTCCCCAAGAGAAATTCTCAATGGACGCTATTTGATATGAAAGCTCTGTGAGTAGTGCGGTCGTGTTCGGAAGTCAAGAGAAACTTGGTGGGAGCGGTACAATTGAAGTCACAATATTTGCAGTGCTGAAGAGGGGGGGGGGGGGGGGGGTCGCGGGTGATGGTTTCCCCGAGTTCGATGGGTTCATTTGTTTGCACTCCAGCGAGCATTACAAACCTGAATCCCAAATCGTTTCTTGTGATCATATTGATGGCGTTTGGTTGATGGTTGTTTGTTACCTTGCATATGACATGTCTCTCGGCCCCGTATGTACTTTTGGCGGGTGATGTACGCTAATCGTAGGTACCACCTAGGGGTCTCATGCAGGGTAAGCCATACCATCAACTACAAGGCATGAAATATAAGACATACGCGCCACGCATCGTACCGAGAGCCCCACCACAAAATCATCATGAGAGATTGCATCTACAACTGTTGCACATCCCTGTCTGGATTATTGCATTTGTCATACCGGCGGATTGTTTCGTCGATTATGCTTATTCTCATTTGAAAGCAGAACTATAGACCGGAGGAAAATAAACCCATGTGGGCGCCAACGTGCAAGTGCTTACGTGCCCGCTCTACCATAATGCTCCTCCTCTAAGACACGACGCTCTCCTTTAACGTTATCCTGAGAAAGCCAACCTGGGCATTCGGTACATCTTGCGCATCATCACCAATGATGACGGTGAGGTGCCCCCGACCGTTCGCAAGGTAGAATTTCTTCGGCTGCGTGAACTTGTCAAACATTCAATTTGCTCTTCAGTAGGCGACATGGCGTCCAGCTCCGGGGTGACCATCATAATGGGCGTTGTGGTCACTGTCTTCAAGACTTCCTTTGGGTGGAACATGGCAAGTTTATGGTAAGTCTGCAGTGTGATACGGTTGCGAAAGTTTGGCGCGCCGCGATCAGTCACCGCGTTCATGAAGCTGTACGATTCGGGGCCTCTTTGCCCCCCAGATCCTCAGATCCTGCCATGCCAATCGGATACTCTCCCTTGGCGTTGAAGGGTAGCAGTGTAAACGGTTCATTGCCTCGCAACTGAAACTGGCGATCTCGAATCAGTTGATTGAGGGCTTTCTCCCTCTTTTCAGCTTTCACGAAGCTGAGAATTGGGCAAGTATGTCTGAAATGCCCCGCTACAAGGGTAGGGATCAATTCACTAATTCATGTTACCAAAAATAGGATGCAGCAACAATTCCTTCTGTTCACCTGGCATCTCTATACTCGCTCTTCCATGTCGCCAACATGAAAAGTGGATACGCAAGTGACCAGTGCGTTCAGGCTCTACCAGAAAGTTGTTAATCTGTCGTGACATAGTCTGTAATCATTCACTCGGCATCAGGTGGTGTAGGCATATCCAGCATACAGCTTTGTCAATACATGGATGCCAAGGTGAGAAAGATTGCCCTGTTGATGGAGAAATGGTTACTCATTGTCGAACTTAGACATTTGTCACGGTCGGCTCTGAAGAAAAGCGCCAGTTTCTCATTGACAATTACGATATTCCACCCAGTCACATAGTCTCTCCCAGAAATGTAAAGTTTGCCAAGTCGATCCTGGAGGTCGCACAGGGTCGCAGCGTCGACATTATGATCAACCCGCTCACGGATGAGATGCTGGATTTGACGTGGCGGATTTGCGGCGACGGAGGTACCATGGTCGAAATTGGCAAGAAAGATATTGTTGATGGTAAGATGTTGTCAATGGAGCCGTTGCACAGGAATTGCTCCTTCAGAGCAATGGACTTTTCCTATACAAAGGATATCTCGGACCCTCTGATCGAAAGGTACGTTGCAGAGAACTCCATGCCATTGTAATGATCAAAGAATTTGGCTAACTTCTGAGGGCGGACTGCTGAGCGAAATCTTTGACTTGGTCAACGCCGGCCATATATATCCTGTGCACCCGATCACCACTTCTGTCTTCAACGACGTCCCCTCGGCGCTGACCTATATTCGCAGTGGTCGTCACATTGGCAAAGTTGTGATCGAGAGAGAGAGTGACAAGGATGTCCGTGTCCCAATCCGTCCAGTGCTTCCTAGGCTCGCACTGCAGCCAGATGTCTCCTATCTTATCGTCGGAGGGTTAAAGGGTCTTTGCGGTAATCTAGCCATATACATGGGACAGCGTGGGGCAAAGCATATCATCGTGTGTTCGAGGAGTGGTATTGCAGACGAGGCATCTCAGAGCATCGTAGCGAATTGCGTGGCGCACGTGTGTCAAGTTGTTGAGGCTGGAGGTGACATTGGTGAGCCGGACTTTGTGCGACAGCTATTCTCAGAAGCAGAACCAGTGATATCTGGTGTTGTCCAGGGAGCTATGACTTTGAGAGTAAGCCAAGTAATCTCCGAGACTCCTTGCCTATCATATTTGCCTACAGGAATTTTCAGGACAAACCGTTTGAGACAATGACGATAGAAAATTACCACACTGCAATTCACGCCAAGATTGCCTGTACTTAGAATCTCCATCGTGCCTCTCTTGAGAAGAAACGCCCAGTTGACTTCTTTACATTGCTGTCAAGTATCTCGGGTATCATTGGTAAGAAAAGTCAGTCCAACTACTCGGCAGCCAACACGTTCCTCGATGCATTTGCCAGCTAGCGTCAATCGCTTGGACTCCGCGCGAATGCTGTCGATCTCGGATTGATGGAAGACGTGGGATACGTGGCGGATAAGGCAGCATGGATAGCCATTTTGACAAGAGGCGGGCAATGGACACCCTTATTGGAGGGCAATCTGCGCAAAATCCTCGGCTATTCGATCCTGCAGCAGACGGGACCGATCAACGTTGCCAGGATCGCCCAATTTGTGACTGGCATTGTGTATCCTCTGCCCGATGATTCAGACCTGATCCGCGAAGCCCGGTTCGGCTATCACTTTGTGCGCGGAGCCGCCTCGTCCGGGGCCGCTGCTGCAGAGTCCGGCACCAGTGAGGGGACAATACGATCTTTCCGGATGCTGCAAAAGTCGGGGGCAGAGACAGCGGCGCTAGTCAAGGAGGCTGTCGACATTCTTGCCTCTCAATTCACAAAGATACTCCGTCTTGAGACCGAGATGGGACCTGCCAAGTCGCTCATGGCATCCGGGCTGGACTCGCTAGCTGCAGTAGAACTGCGGAACTGGGTGCGCTCCGAGGTCCAGGGCGAATTGACGACCCTCGAAATCACCAACGCAAGCTCATTCTTTGCTCTCGTCGGTAAGCTGCAGAGTGTCTGATGGTGCACAAGAGACAATGAACATATCAAGTAGATTTTAGATATCCAGAGGTACTCCGCCGTTATGAATTGCTTTCTTTCGTCACGCTTTTGCGACGCAACGAAGCCCGATACGGTGCGGTGTAATACAATGAATGGTTAGTTCGATGCAGTCGGTACATTAGGTTGGTACTAGGTAGGTCCCACATTAGGCACTCAGTAAACAGCCTGGGCCCATACTGTGCCCTGCTAAGTTAGGCCACCCCAGGCGGTTAACAGGGATCCAGCACCTCACCAAAGCAAATAGGAAGAATGTCATCTCCATTGTCGAGCGATCGTTATGCTACAAGGCATCTAAGATACCCTTGTGTGCTTATCAATCAGTGAAGCATGACCCCCTCCAAACCACTACACCGCGTTCCTTGAACCTCAAGATTCAGCACGACTCACACATCACACACATCAACATATCCGTACACCCACAATCATGTCCAGCCAGCTTGTTGTAGTTATTACTGGCGCAGGTAGAGGTACGTGCTCCTAGCTCGGTGAATCAATGTGCCCTTCTCTCCGACACTGCCAATCTGACAGTAACAATAATTATTCAAACAAGTGCTACCATATTCATAATCAGGTATCGGAAAGTCGTTGGCCCAGGCTTATTTGGCACGACCAAACCACACCGTCGTAGGGACCATCCGCGACGATGCAGCACCAGGCGTAGCCGAATTAAAGGCTAGCCTCAAGGGCGACGGTTCGCGACTGCTTCTAGTCAAGATCGAGAGCGCCTCTCCTCAAGACTCGACCACGGCAGTCAAGGAGATGGAGGCTCAGGGGATCGACCATGTTGACATCTTAATCCCGAATGCTGGTATAAGCCCACCGATTGAGCCGATTGAAACGGTCGACCTTGGAGTCCTGAGCAACGCGTTCAACGTCAACGCAGTAGGCCCATTGGCATTATATCAAGCTTGTTACCCGTTGCTTAAGAAATCGAGCAATGCCAAGTTTGTCCCCATCTCCAGTGCTGCAGGCACCTTGGGAGGAATGGGACAGGGTCGTACTCATGTCGCCCCCTCGTATTGCATTTCCAAAGCAGCTTTGAACTGGATCACCCAGTACGCATGTTCTTTTTTTCCCGAAGTTTACTGGATGCTGTTTATCACGCGCTATTACTAATAAATGATACGCAGGGCAGCACATTGGGGCAATGAATGGCTTACGGCTGTTGCGCTTAACCCGGGGTAGGTCCAAGAATCTCGGATACTCTTTTGCATATACATTAACCTTTTCTCGTCTAGTCTAGTCGATACCGATATGGGAAGCAAGACTGCCAAGTTCTTGGGATTGGAAAGGGCTCCCTGGACTCCTGAGCAAAGCGCGGAGAAGATCATGGGCATCGTACGTTTTTATCATTCTCCCGTAGACTGAGTCAAGTCTGAACTTTACCAGATCGATCAAGCCAGCCGAGAAAAGTACTCTGGAAAGTTTATCAACGCAATCACTGGTGATGAGTTGCCTTGGTAATCTGACTATTGTCTCTACCTGGTATCACTACCTAATATTCGTGGGCGGGGGTATATTCCTCTGAAATCAAGAGATAAGACTCGAGTGGCAATTACTGTCTGCTGTCGGTAGCGCTGCATGACGTTCAAAATACCACATCATCTTATCATCGTGCACAGCATAGTTCCATAAGTTCAACAACTGCAAAGGTACCGGGACCACTAACACCGAGGGTCCAGTAGAGATTTGCGTTGCTAGTGGGGATCGCCACGACATGTTGACCCTCGGCCGTGACGGCCTCCCACTCCAAGACAATGTGTAGCTGGTCGTGCCATTATATGGACCAATGAAGTCGATGGCATCCGTGTTGTGCATCTATGAAAACGATGCTCCCTAGCCGGCAGACCTTTCAAGAAGGGCTCTCACCTAAGCTAATGTGCAGGGGAAGACGTGGTCGAAGGAGCGTCTGAAAGATGTCAGTGTTTCATTGCACGTTATGGTGCATTATTACCTGTATGATATCCCGTAGCCTGTCTTACTAAGGCGCCGAAATGCGTGCTTTCCAGTCAGAGTGCATGTTTGTAAGCATCGGGTCGACACGTAATCTAATGGTTGCCGCAATTTTTTCCCCATTGATTGATTCTACCTGACCATGACCGAACATTAGGACCATAGCTAAAGACATTGTGCACTAATGCAGCCTTATGATCTTGGCAGTATATAAACCCGGGTCTGAACACCTAAGGCCCGTAAGCTCCGACGCTTGCATGCGGCCGGGTATCTCCGGCGGCCGCGCGACATTTCACAGACTATTCCGTAGACCATGACGCATTTGACTCAAGTTTATAAATAAGGCTACATTGGCCATTGTTGAAACAATACAAAATCGGCTCATCGACAAAATCTCTACACAATTATAAATCACACAAACACATCATGTCTCGCCCTGCACAAACGCCTCTTCGCCAGTTGACCGAGAACGGTCCCAAAATTCCAGCCATAGGCTTTGGCCTTATGGGCATGAGTATAGGTTACGGCGAGGCCGAGTATGTTGAACGTTTTCCTCACATTCTTCACTTGACTACCTGCAAATCTATCTAGTACTGACTTATACCAGGTCCGATGAAGAACGTCTCAAAGTTCTTGATCGTGCATGGGAGATCGGCTGTACAAATTGGGACACTGCCGATATCTACGGTGACAGCGAAGATGTTGTTGGCAAGTGGTTCAGGCTCCATCCTGAGCGCCGTGGCGATATCTTCCTCGCGACCAAGTTTGGCCTCAAGATGGAGGAGACCGGCATGGTCACCAACTCGTCTCCGGAATATGTCTTGGAAAGTGCCAACAAGAGCTTGCAGAGGCTCGGCGTTAAGCACATTGACCTGTACTATATGCATCGTGCAAATGAGGCCGTGCCGATTGAGAAGACCGTTGGAGCTATGAAGCAGCTGGTCGAGTACGTACAAACCCATCATCTTGTGTCCCATAAGTAGAGCTGACAGTGTGATATAGAGAAGGCAAAGTGAAATACTTGGGCCTTTCCGAGGTCTCTTCGACGACACTCCGGCGGGCACATGCCGTTCACCCCATCACGGCCATACAAGCCGAGTACAACCCGTGGACGCTGGAAATCGAGGGCGCTTCAGGAACACACCTCATGAAGACATGTACAGATCTCGGTATCGCGATATTTGCGTACTCGCCACTTGGTCGGGGCATTCTGACGGGCCGATTCCGTTCGCCAGAGGACTTTGAGGAGGGTGATGTTCGAAGAAACATGGCCCGCTTCCAGGGCGAGAACTTCAAGAAGAACCTGTCCATCGTGGATACCTTTCACGAGATAGCAGCACAGAAGGGTTGCACGCCATCGCAGCTGACCCTGGCATGGATCTTGGAGCAGAGCCCCAACATCTTTGTGATTCCCGGTACGAAAAAGGTCAAGTACTTGGAAGAGAATATGGGTACAGCCAAGGTGCTACCATTGGGAAAGAAGGATGATGACAGATTGCGCCAGGTTGTGTCCGAGGCCGAGGTCAAAGGTGGACGAGAGTCTTTCTTTGGCGAATACGCGGACACGGCTCCTTTAGAGGCAGAAGCTTAAGATATATTAATTTGTAAGCTTAAGCATTATATTAGAATAAACCCCCCATTTTGAACACAGGAAAAAAATATCAAAATCACGCTTATAGCCGCTTTAAATATAGCTGTATAATAATGATATTCGCATTGCATTATTGCATATCACTCCGACTCTGAGGAGCTTATACTGTATGGTACTATTTGAACTCGTTGTGTTTATGCACCGTGTTTCATGTCCAGAATGCCCACATTCGACAAGATGTGAAGAGTCGGTTGTGAGATGCTGCTAAAGCTCAATTATCCACGGTTTCCAGCACTCATATGGAGCTTTCTTCGCCCTTTATGCACCGACCGCAACAACCTTGCCGAAAAGCCTTTCCCTCTTCATACATAGCCCAGCGAGTAGCACAACACCTCCGGCAATGGGTACCATGACAAAGGTCATCTGCATGGCTTGCGCGATTGCCATGATTGCCTTCTCGCGCAGGTCCCCGTCCAATTTTTGGAACAGTGCATTCTGCACACCTGCTGTTGCGCCACGGATCTCAGCGTCGGAGAAGCCATGTCCAGCAAGCGCTGCTTCCAAATTTCTGATGCCTACTGACTGATAGATCTGGCCTGCAATCGCCAGGGCGATGACCTGTCCGCCAATCTGAGCCACGTTCTGCATGCTGATTCCAGCAGCGGCTTGTTCGGGCTTTAGAGTCAGCGTCGCGACGGTGTAGCTGATTGTCATGGACAGCCCGGCACCCACGGCAATCAAAATGGTCAGGCCGTAGATGGTGCTAGTAGATGTGCTAGGATCAAGATAGACCACCAGAGGACCTCCGCCAGCAACTGTAAAGGCTCCAGCGGTGAGGTACAAGACCATGTAAATCTTGATGAAATGAAGAAAGCTTCCCGATATGAGATTGACAGCGACACCAAAAACGATAAAGGGCAGCAGGCGTACTGCTGCCATAAGTGCTTGGTCATTGTTGACAAATTGAAAGTAAATGGGGATGTAGTAAACAACTACGAAAAGTATTGTTGTACCGGCTGCAGTTGATATATAGAGCAGGACCTGCGTGCGATCCCGCAACAGATGGGCTGGAAACAGGCGACGTGCAGGGGTGGTCATCCAGGCAAAGTACTGCTGGAGCACGTAAAAGACAAGGATGACGCCGAACACGACAAAGACGGTGATTGTTCGCCTATCGTCCCAAGGCCACTGGCCACCAGCCATTGTAAAGGCCAGTAGAAACGTGACCCAAGTCCCGGTGCCAAGGATGAATCCAGCCCAGTCGATGCTGACGAGTCTGTCACGAACACCGACGCCTTGGGAAGGGTGTATCGAAGGAAGATAGAAAACAAAGCCTGGGGCCGAGATGGCACCAATCACCAGGTTAATGTAAAATGCCCAGCGCCAGGTCGCCGATGACACGGCAAACGCACCACCGATAACTGGGCCCAGCACGGCACCGGCACCCCATGCTGCACCAACAAGGGACATGTATAGGCCGCGCTCCTTGTCTCCCGTCATGACGGCAATGTATTGCAGAGAGCCGAGGTAGATACCGCTGCCTCCAGCGCCAGCAATGACGCGACCGACGATCAGGGCGTTCATGGTGGGCGCAGAGCCACATATAGCTGACCCGATCTCGAAAAGAAGCACGGTGAGGATGTAGTTCCATTTGAGGTTGAACAATTCGTACAGTCGGCCCAGTAGAAGAATCACGCAGACAGAACCCAAAGGAAATCCGGCTCCGACCCAGGCGAGTTGCTCGACGTGGCCCAGAGATGCAATCACGGGGCCTTGGACATCGGCGGCAATGGTCGTATCGAGGCCGTACAGCGCGCAGGTGACGTAGAGCGATGCGCAAACGACGAACCAGCGGAGGCCGCGCAGTGTCCGGCCCTTGTCTACCGATTGAGTGCTTGATCCAGGATCGGTGTCTTCCTTGGTTGTCCTCATCCCGTCACGCTGCGTGTCCGGCGGGCTGGAAGTCGTGCTTTCTGGTGTTGCCGACATGTTGGCGTGGCAAAATACACGGGCTTGACTGAATCTGCTTGGAAGAGAACTGATGATTGGAGAGACAGCGAAGTGGATGGGAAGATGTCAACGTCTTGGCCGAGCGGGTTCACAAGAAGCAAAGGTTCTTCGGGCTACTGCCACCTAACAGGAATGTGAAATCACGAGCTGGCAAATAAGAAACTGCCAATCACTGAAGGATTCGTTTTCTCTGTACGATGGGACACAAACTAAATATCTTGGATCGAGGATTAATCTCAAGTCTTTAATGTTTCTTCATTCGTTTTCTTCGTTTTACACGGGAATTGATGTGGGGAATGTTGCCATTCTTGCGTCCGCCGGCCGGCGGTCCAATGTTAACAACGTATTTCATCTTAGGGGTTGATTTCCTTGGCGGATCTATGTGTACTTGAGTAGCATATCATTTGACTCGTTCACAAGACACAAGTTGGTCATCAAATTGCTCTGCAAGACCTCAAGAGCAACTATCACAGGAGCTTGATAGCATTTCCCATGCGACAACAGTTACAGCGTTTCAATCCATCTGTTTCTACAGACTGCCTAGAAGTGATGAGTCCCCTCAAACTCTGCAATCATTGTTCAATCCCAAGTTGTGCCAGCCGTATCTTGTTTCTTCCCATTGATTTCAATAACAATGGATCGACTAGCTAATCAGCCCCCATCACTTTGCCATGCCAGCTCATTCATGTGATAAAATTCACTGTTGACATCGCCACTAGCCAGAGTCTCGAAAAATGCCAAATCGACCCCCTGAAACGTCCAATCATCAATCCCAGCAGTGAATCCTGGCATATATGGATCATAGAAGCTATCTTGTGGCTGCGAGTATGCCGAGCTTGGATCGGTCTCCTCGGTGATGGCCATGACATGGCTTAGCGACTGAGACTGCGCTAGGGCCGACAGATCTGGTCTGCTGCACATGTCATTCGAGTCTGTTGTCTGGCCAGCGGAAACAAACTGCGGCGAGTGCAGAAGAGTTTCTGCAATTGCCTGCCGTGAATCTGTCGAGTTCCTGCTATCCGACACTTCTGGATGTTGACCCTGAACACATTGTGCTTCTACCGGCTTTCGTGCGGATCCGAGGGTCTCTTTAGATATTGTTCCCTCGCGGGCAATCTTGACGATACCAAAGTAGGGAATGTGGACATGAACAACTCCATCTCCTTCGTCACTCTCATTGTGGTCGGGAGCTCCCTCACCTTGTGGCTGGACAGTGACACGCTCGGTATTTGCTGTATGACCATCGGCAACTTCAGCTTCAATGGCAAGTAAGCGGCGTAACAGATCTGCACTCTCAGTACTAAGAGCATCCCCGTTTATGCGGCTATACTCTTCCATGCTCTGCTGCATTTGTTCCATCATGGCGCGGTCGCTAAGGTATTGATGAACCAGGAGACTGCTTGCGTGTCGATGACTGTCTAGATGCGCCAGGACGAGCGTCATAGCAGCCATGAGTGCCATGAAATCTGGCGTTCGACAACAGAAGGCGACACGATTAAACTCATGCAATACAAGGGTTCGTGAGAGTATCTCTCGTGAGGCGTTCACGCAGGCAATCTGGGAGTATTGGTAACTTGGATCCTTGGATGCGCGAAGCATGTACGGTAGGTGTAGTCTGTTGAGTATGTTATAGTGGGATATTTGAACAATGAGTCGCTTCAAGTCCCAGAAAAGGCTTTCGTCGTCTTTCCCCTTGTTAGAAAGGCGTGGCGGGAGCCACCACCTACTAGGTAGACGTCTAGCTTCTTTCTGGAGCTCTCTATCAAGCTGTTGGGTGGTGGAGAAGTCTGGACGCTTGGAGCTGTTACGATCCAGTATTTGAGTGACAATGGCACAATGTATCCGTTCGAGTCGGCCCAGGGCAATATCACCTGTGAGCAAAGCCTCAGTGGCGACATTACAGTCCTGAAATCCTCGGGGCAGCCCTAGCAAGAGAGACAAGGAGCAATCGTACTGGATAATGTGAAACCACATGGACCGCGGATCGGCCTTTGATGTGGGATCTAACATATGGTAACGGAGCCGGCCGCCATCTTGATGGAATCCCATCAGCTGTGCCAGATGCAAAGCTCTCCTGTTTGCAGCCCAGCTTAGTCGGAGGCTGCCACCGTTGGCGTGGTACATACTCTCCAGCAGGACGCATTCCAGGCCTTCGATATTGCCAAGGAATCGGTCCTGGGTAGACACTTGAGTAATGGCGGTTTCTGTCAATCGCTCTAGGATCTGATCTGGTGGCTCAGACAATGCTTGTAGTGCCTCATAACTCGGATGAAATTGCTGTAGAATATGCATGAGCTGTAACATGTGCCTGGCTAATAAGACGGGATGCGTTTGAGGTCCAGGCCTGACAAGGTTGTTCACTCGCGATCCCAAGCCGCTTTGGCCAAGACTTTTGTATGGGATGGTCAGGATTTCAGTAAACATCTGAGAACTGCGATAGCCAGTTCTGCAGAGGATGTCACTGTCTTGAATGCTAGGTAACGCATTGTATAACGCCCTTGACAGCCTTGCCAACTTGGCAGAACCCGGAGACACATGATCGGATATTCGAAGTCGAAGGGATCTCGAGTCGCGGGTATAAGTACCAACTGCGGCAGAGGGTTGTTCTTGGTGACCTGATAGAGGTGTCGAGGCATCGGTGATCCCCGCAGAGGCAGGAGACTTTAAAATACTACTGGAAGGCGGATTCTGTCCAGATTCAAGATCAACAGTTGCCGGCGTGGGGATTCCACAGTCTCGAGCCGCAATATTTTCGGAATTGCTCCCAGTAGGGCCAGTAGAAGACTGATTGCTAGCGAATCTCTTGACCAGTTGCTCCACGAGCGCCTCGATCCATATCGCGCTGTCTGCAACTTGAACGGTCCTAGCTGGAGGTTCTGTGGAGTCATCCGGGAATTCTTGGCTCACACAGGGTGTACCACGACGTTGACAAGCCAGACAAACGGTCGCCTGTGCACCGGTTTCGGACTGACTGCGGTCAAAGATACACTTCTCCTTCCGTCGCTTGCATGCCCAGCAACTATTCGTTCCTTTACGTGTCTTTCTTCGCTTCGCAGCTGGACCAGTCGGGGCACGGGCGTCTTCATTGGCATTGCCTTCGGCGCCTGGTCCAGGCTGTGCGGAGCGTGTGGCCGGCATGGTTCCGCTGCTGGCTCTGAGGGTGTCCAGGCGAGTATCAATCCCCGGCATGCGACAGTGGGAGAGAAACAAGAAGTCAAAAAACTCCGCCGGGCAGAAGTGGGTGATGTCAGATTAGTGATGGGCTCAGCTACATATCAGCACCCCGTTGCTCCGCCGGCCGGCGGTCGAAGGAATGTCTTGGCTGCCCATAGCGATCTTTGACGCTAAGCCGTGCCGGCCGGTCGTGCATCAACTCTTCCGACTGCAGCAAAGAGAAACAAATAAGCTACTCTCGTTTTTTCTTTCTTTTTCTTCTTTTCTTTTTTGAATAAAAAAATTGTTTGCATAGACATCCACAGTCGCAGTTCAAACTTCATAGATGTCTTTCGAAGGCATATTTAACAAGAATAACACCCATAGAGTCATCGCAGGCCGGGTTTCACCCCTGTCACTTCAACTCACTTGCACAGATCACGGATGGGAAGAGGAAAAGGCTATCATGACTGGCGTGGAGATTGCAGGCAAGCGCATCGAGCCCAGAATTCCGTAATATTGATATGTCAATAACTCCTCTCATCTTGTCTTAGCTCATTTCCTCTGGAGTCTGCACATTTTGTTGAGGATGCAGTGCACGATACTCGACGCCGCAGTGCTGTAAAAGAACGGTAATGGTCGAGTACCGCGTGTTTTTAAGCACCCCCTGATTTCGTACAATTGAGATTGTACCCACAGCGACCGCGGCTGTAGTGATAAGCAGGGAAATTCCATAGACTATCCACAGATCTTGTGCATGGTACTTGAACCTGTTTTGAGCCTTGGACCGTGTACATGGGTAGGTGTTTAGGCCGTCGCTTTCGCGCAGCCCAACCGGTTTATTAGGGGCTGCTGCCCAGGTGACTATATTATATTGGGGGTTGGAAAATACCGAAAGAATGATGCTTTCGAATAAAGCTTGCAAATGCTGTTTGAAGTCTGGAACGGGTAGACACGTCTGTTGTTTATCGAATAATCTTGTAAATATTGCCTGAGTGTTTGCAACTGGCACCATGGTAGAAGCTGAATTTATGGTTCCATTGATGCGTTTTCTGAATACTGACCCGAACGAGTGATATGCCGCAACGTATCCGTAATTCTCATCTTGAGGAAACACGTAATTACTTTCTGGTATCGCAACAGTGGTGTCTCTAGTGCCATCATTTGCAATGTCTTGTGTCAAGGTGGTGTTGAGTATAGGCGCAATATATTTGCGGTCAAGGATGCGTATTTTTTGGAGCTCATTGATGTATTCGAAAAAAACAGTATACTCGGTTTCGTAGTTCTCGCAGCGAATGATATTTGGACTGAAAGACTCGTTCCACCCCGGCGCTGTCCTGTTCTCGGGGAGACGCCCAGATGATGTCAGCACACTAATGTATCCGATCCAAAGAACGGGCTCTGTCCGAAATACACCAAAGTGTTTAGGCCAAGGCGGCTCGGACTTGGGTATTCCACCTGGAAAGACATCTCCCATTTGCTGATCTGCATAGTCGCCCAGATGCGTGACTGCATAGTAGCTGTAGCGGCCCAATGGTAGCAGAATGCTGGTGTCAAAAGGCGGTCGTATATCATGGGCGGCCTTTGTAAATACGCCTTCGGTCACGATATCGTCACATTTGTAGCCAGGGGCCACGAACTTCACTGTAAAGCTACAGTCCCAGTCATGACCACAAGCTATGCTAGAGGCATTTGATCCTGTCGCAGGTTGATCCTGGTATAAGGCAATCGTTGCAAGCTGTTCGAGCCTAACAAATGGCGCGTGATAATAATCAAACCAATAGGGTTGAGTAGTGCTAAATCTCGTTGAATTCCAATAAGAGGCGGGCAGGAGAGGAACGTTATCCACGGGGTCCAGTTTGCGAAACTCCTCTATCGTCTCCCTGTTAAAGTTCAACACCTTCGCTCCGGGACAGGTAGTCACGTCGATTGTTGGCTCTACCGAAAGCGACTGGCTTGCCAGAATCACTATCATTGGGCTTGACCTGCTGCAAATGTTAGACACCGGAATAGCCCGGAAATGTCCCTCTTACAAGTCAGTAATGCAAGAAAAGGTTACTTGCCAGCTGAACCATGCCATGAATACCGCAATCTTCGCACTTCTGATAGCATCAGGATTGAATGCCGCGAGAAGATCACTCGGAGCAGCTGGGAGACAATCGAGAGCTTTCAACGCGAGCGGCGTAGAGACCAACGTGGCCCAGATTCGTTGTCGAAATGCTGCAATGACAGCGGCAACTAAAGATGCCTTCGTCAAGAATGCGAGCACGGTGCCATATCTCATTTTCTGCACTTGCTCGTCCGCGGGCGTCCCGTTGAGATACATGTAGTATTGGTGGTGACCAACTGCAAATCCAAGCCCCAGAAGGAGGAATGCATACATTGTCCAGCCCGAGTGTAGTGACCACAGAGTGACTGGTCGTCTGATTGCAGCGGCGTAATCAGGTAAAACATCTTGGCTCCGCTTTCCTGGTGCATTTAATAGCTCTGTATCACCATTTGAAATTGTGTAGTCCATAACGTTATTAGATTCTGATGAGATACCATACATTGGTATCTGTTCGTGTGATCGGTTGCTAGAAGAACCAAAAATCGATGCATGTTGCCCGTGAGATCCTTCACGTAGCAGACGACCTGTATCTGACGCCTGGTGTGCCATCTTCGAGAGAAGTGCAACTCGCAAAGGATGATGGTCAAATAGGATTGACGCAGAGATCGAGCATGGTCTTGGGGGAACAATAAGGGGGAGAGAACGATGGAATTCGTCGGCTGGGTCGCCCACATCTCGCATCAAATGGTGGCGGAGGCCAACCAAGCAAAGCTTCATTTGGGTCACACAGCATTACAAAAGCAATTATTAGCGGAAGCTTTGCTTGCAGTAGTACGTAATTCCGATTCTGAACAGTGGTTGTTAGAACCGACAATGCTTGTTGAGCTGACAAGAATTATTGGAGTCCAGCCACCAGCAGCTGCCCTCTCCCACCTATTGGACTTCCCGTGATCGTAGATCGTGAGTTCAAATTAAGTGCGTGTTTCTTTTTGTCCTTATCCGTGATGTGTTTTCTCCCTCCTTTTATCCGTGAATTTTATTCGAGCTGTAAGAGATAATACTAACACAAAGTACGTAGTATAATAGAATCCTCCTTTTTTTGCTGCCCCGAAAAAATTGAGTAACAATTTTTCACTTTTATAAATAAGGCTTAGAGCAGCCTGGGTTGACGAGGCTTTTATCTAGGCGGGGAGGAGCGGACTGTATCGAATGTTGGTGATGCCAAGGGCACCAATTGACTTTATAATCAACTTTGCCAGGACGTTTATGCCTAGGCCTCTCTCGAACATTATCGGACAATTTTGGAAAAGAAATCTTGCCACCACCAATGGGTCATGCCCTAGGAAGCCATCTGTATAGCCTAGCCAAGGTCATCGATACTTATGTTGGATGAAGGTTGTGTTTGCGAGCCCGCTCGCGCGAAGCTCAGCTATAGTACGGAAGTGACTCTTTCTCACTCAAAAGTGATGTAGTCTCGAAGATGATACATACAGAATGAACATACTTAATTGGGTATATCCGACTATCGTAACTCGTAATTCAATCTATGACGGAGAGACGTCAGTAAACAATCTTCCAAACTCTCCTGTTGCTCTTTTTGTTCGATCATGAGCCAGCCTTTAGCTCTGCCTGAAGCCGAGTAATTCTGAATCGTGCTTCCCACGCTGAAATCATCTCCTTAATAGACACTTCCTCTAATACTTCGGTCTTCCTTTTCGGCCTTGTCCAAATCTTCTTCCTCGTGTTCGTGTTCGTCCACGTCCCCATTATCTTCCCTCTCGTCGCCACCGTCCTCGCTTCCATCATTCGAGCAGCTTCGACTAGCCGGCGCATCACCAAGCCTATTAGCATGCGCGCCCCGTCCCATCCCGCTCTCGTTGAGGTATTTTCCATTATCACCATTGCTATTGCCATTAACTCCACTGGTTCCGTTGGTAGGTTTAACCCTTGCGGCAATGCTAGCTAGACGCTGCCTTGCGTCGTCCTCGGACATTTCCGCATCACTATTAGCACCAGAGTGTGTACCGCCAAAGTCGCGACCCACATGCAGGAACTTGGGAGATTTCATGTAGCGTAAACGATCCTCGACCGTGATGAAAGAGGGTGTACCATCTGGCGACGAAACAATTTCTTCCCGAGCTCTTGAGATGTCAATCTTAGGGCCGCCTCCAGGCTTGCCGCGGGGATCATCCGAGTCGTCATCTGACGAGTTGACAGTGCGCGGAACTCGGCGCGAGGCGATCGTTGTGGTGGAGCTCGTAACTTGGACGCTGCCAGCAGCGGCAAGACTGCTCTTAGCAGCATGCTTCTCGTCAACCTGCCGCAATTCCAACAGGTCCCTACGAATCTTGGGAAGATGTTTCGAGTGATCGCATCCCTCCGGGCAGCCGCCCCATCGTCTCTGTACTGCTTGAGAAGAGCTCTGGCCATTTGACGGTTTTTCTGCGTCCTTAGCTTGGGCAGGGGCCGGTGCAGTAGCATTTCCCTTTTCCTTTTCTTTCTCAGCATCCTCTTTCGCTGTGAGCGCAGCACGTTCCCGCCTTAGAGCAGACCATGTCCTCAGCTTGTTCTGTAAAATGTACTTGCCACTGTCTTCTTGCTTCTTCATGATGAGAAACTCGCAGTGATTCACATTCCTCAGGTCCTCAAAATACTCGACGGAGAAGTGATACCACTTCATGAGGAACACCCTGCTCATAAGACCATGGGTGACTAATACACAAACACTAGCAAAGTCATCCTCGCCAAATTGCCGGTAAAGACTCTCGTTGAAACCGGAAACGCGATCGTATGCATCGGCGGCTGATTCTCCATTGGGAATTCTGTAGAAAAAGTGGCCATAGTCGGCGCGCTCCTGCCACATGCGCTCCATCTCGGCGCTACAGGGCTGGAAGTTGCCAAAATCCTGCTCGCGCAAACGTGGCTCCTCGTGTACATTGATGTTGGAGCGCTTGAATGGGCTTGGGTCATCCTCGTCCGATGTCAAAGTCTCGAGAATGCCCTCGGTCGTCTCTCTTGTCCTACGATAGGGCGAGGTGAAGAAGTGGATAGTATCGTCGGCCCGAAGCATAGAGCGCAGGCGCCGTCCAGCTTCGCGCGCCTGGGCCCATCCGTCTTGTGTGAGCTTGACACGGTGGTCGGGGATGGTCTGGTGGATTTCTCTGTTTTCTATAAGACAAGTAAGGTCAGCAAAGTGCCTAGGAAATGGATAATAAGGACATGGAGTTTCTACTTACTGTTGCCCTCAGACTGGGCATGTCTGATCAGAATGATCAGCCTTGGTCGTCCCATGATTGTGTTTAAGCACGGCTTGGGCTCTTTTCCTTGGGGAAGCGGATCAGCTGATTGATCTCGCGGTGATCCTGAGAAGAGCGTGAAAGTTGCGTCACGAATTCAGCAAGTAATAAATCGAACGACTATATGTAGGATCTGGCACAGGGCTCGAAAGTCGCACAGTGGCGATCGAATGGGCAAAGGAAAGAAGTCTGTAGAATTTCTTCCAGTTTATTTGAAAAGGATATGGTACGGCAGTACGGAAAGTGTGCAAGCAGCGCTACTGATGACTCGTTCGGACGCAAGGCGAATAGTTTACAGCCGACACGGAAGATGACGAATAGATGTCGTGATACCAATAGCCAGCCCGGCAGTGAGGAGGAACGAAGGACAGATAATATTTCGGAGGTTCGGGAAAAAAGATCCAACAGAAGGAAGAAAAATGAAACTGGTGACTCCCCAAGCCACGAGACTGGTTCCCAAGACTCCCCACGATTCAGCTACGAAGAAACAGCCCAAAGTTTCAAGCAAGGCGACCTGGGTATCGCCCCTCGTTCGGCCCCTGCTTATCGGGTGCTTTGGAGGTGTTCGGGGGTGCTTGGAGGGGTCGACTTGGTAGATCGACCCCGCTGACCTGCTGAGAAACCGACTTAGCCTGCCCGCCATTGGCCTGCTATGGTGCCTGGACCCGGTATCTTCCAGCGCTAAGACCGCCCTCAGGGACCCCTCGGGTTGGGATGCAGCTGCTGCTTAAGGCGCCGCTGCTCTGGCGGTCCTCCCCCTGGTTGACTTTTGCCGCCCCGCGGTTCCCATTGGAGAAGATCGTACAGTCCATTTCATTCATTGGACCTTTTCAGCCTTATCCCAAATTTTTGGCGTTTAGACGACAGCAAGAAAACAGCTGATATATGCAACGGCAGCGCTTGATTCCACCAACTGACTTGCGCCAAACGCCAAGAATATTTCCCAACTCGCAGCATCAACCACCAACGGTAGCACCGTTTGCAAGTACCGACAGCACGCCTTGCCGATCTCGCCCTTCCAGAAACCGACTTGCGACGCGCCGAGCTACATTATCCAGCATACACCTGCACCTAAGCTCAGGCGATCTCGTTGCAGGACCACGGCCCCTCCCACCATCGTGAGCCAGAACCACCTACCAGAAACGGGCGTCCAACCCCCCAGATCTTAGGTGCATCCTACCCAAACATGTCCGGCGAAGGTCCAGAGAGCATCCCCACCTCGGCCGACTCGCGCTCCAAGCGCGCGGTCAAGAAGCGTGCCCTTACCCCCGTGTCGGCTCAGGCCTCGAACGTAGATGCTCTCTTTGCCCGCCCCGACCAAGACATCCGCATTCCGGACTCGTCGACAGCGGTGGCCCGGTCGCGGATCGCCCCGCCGCCCGAGATTGTGACCAACGTACAAGGTTCCAGTGCTGGAGCTGGCTCGGGTGAGTTCCACGTCTACAAGGCCTCGCGGCGGCGCGAGTATGAGAGATTGCGTCAGATGGACGTAGAAGTGAAGCAGGAGCAGGAGAACGAGGAGTTTGAGCGCAAGAGAGAGGAGCTGGCACGAAAGGATGATGAAAAGACAAGGAGGAACCGCGAGAAGAGGGAAAAGATGAAGGCTCGAAAGGCCAAGGCCAAGGCTGGAGGAGGAGCTGCAAAGGCGTCTACAAACGGTACTAAGGGCCCCCGGATTGCAGTGACCAGAGCAGACGACGGCGAGGAAGACACCGAGATCAAGGATGCACCGGTTGCAGCTGAGGAACCAAAGGGGCTTGTCATCGAGGACGATTGATGGCAATTGGGGATGGTAATATTCATTGATACCCACGGCGGCGCCAAATATTGGCTTGTACGACAGATACTGTACTGTAATTGCAAAAGGGACATGGCCAGAGACTTGCATACGATTAATTCATGAGCGCACGGTCACAAGGAGAATGTACGCTTCAAAACGGCGTTCTCCCACCGATGCCTCTTAACTGTCGGACCGAACTTGGCAGCAAAGCCGTCTATCTCATCTATTCCGCCATGAAACTTTTTGGGGGGGCCAACTCTTGATGTGAGGGTATGCATTTCTTCTTTCTTTCTTTCATTACATGTCTCGTGACCAATAATCAAGTCCATTGCGTATTATTTAATCGTCACCTCCGCTAATGCCGATACCGGGTTGTGCTGCCTTCTTGGCGCTGCAGATATCGTCCACTCTAAGCAAGAGGCATGCAGCCTGGAGTAATGTTAGTTTGTTTCGTTTCATCATGTTTTCAAGCACTTACCTCGATGGCTGTCTTGATGCTCTGGAGCTTGATAGCCTCGGGCTCCCAGATAGCATAGTCCTTCATGTCAGCCAGGCCACCAGTGTCGCCGTTGATACCCCAGGAGCTCTTGCCCTCGGCTTGCTTGGCGCGGAGCTCAGTCAGGACTCGGATCGGGCTAGCACCGGCATTCTGAATGAGGGTACGCGGGATGACTTCCAGAGCATCAGCGACTGCCTTGTACGGCCACTGCTCAACGCCTTCAATGCCCTTTGCCAACTGGTTCAGCCTGACGGAGACGGCCATTTCCGTGGCACCACCACCGGGGGAAAGTCTAGGCTGGAACATGACATTTCGTGCCACACCCATGGCGTCCTGGAGGTTGCGCTCAATCTCGTTCAGGATGTCCTTTGAAGGGCCTCGGAGAAGAATAGTGCAGGCCTTGGGGTCCTTGCATCCTGTCAAGAAGGTAAAGTACTCGTCGCCAATCTTCTCAATCTCGAATAGACCACACTGTGTTCCAACATCCGACTCTTGCAAGTCGTCTACCCTGTTGACAATGGTGGCACCGGTAGCGCGTGCAATTCTGTTGTTGTCCGTCTTCCTGACACGTCGGAGAGCAGTAATGTTGGCCTTGACAAAGTAGTGCTGAGCGAGGTCGGAAACACCCTTCTCCGTAATGACCAAATCGGGCTTGAGAGCAATGATCGAGTCGCACATGGCCTTGACCTGCTCCTCCTCGATCTGCAGGATGCGGTTCCAGTCCTCCTCCTTTGTGATCTCAATGTTTGTCTGCGACTCGCCCTTCTTGTACTCCAGAGTGCAGTCGAGAAGAACAATTCTCGGGTTCTCGATTCTCCTCCGCATCTTGGGATGTGTGATGTCCTTGTTGAGCATGACTCCGTCCAGAACCTTGCTGTCCTCAATCTCGCCACCGGGGACCTTTTCCACTCGGGCGTATCGCTTGATGTCGACCTCCTTCTTTCCATTGCCAATCTCCCAAGTGACAGTGCGCACGGCGTTGAGCGCAAGCTGGCACATGAGATCCGACCATCGCGAAACAAACTTGGTACCGATAGATGAAGAAATCAGGCTCTTCATGGCTTCGTCGTCGTTGATGTCGATCGGCATGGAGATCTCATCAATGATCTCGAGAGCATCCTTGAGAGCTCGCTTGAATGCGGAAATGATGACGACGGGGTGAATGTTTCGCTCAAGCTGCGGCAGGGCTTGCGCAAGAATCTCACCGGCTACATTGTGTTAGCCCAGAGTTGTAGTCCTTCAATCTTGGGGAAATAACGAACCCAAAATAATGACAGTTGTTGTACCATCACCAACTTCCTCATCTTGTGTCCGGCTGAGCTCGATCATGCTCTTGGCAGCGGGATGTGACACCTCAATCTCTCGCAGGATAGCGTGTCCGTCGTTGGTGAGCACGATGCCACCCATGGGATCCAACAACATCTTCAACATGGCCTTGGGACCCAGACATGATCGAATGATATCGGCGACACTATTACCGGTATTAGGGGAGGCGCGAACAGCAAGGATCGAGTAGTGGATGGAACATACGTCTTGGCAGCAGCAATGTTAGACATCTGAGCCTTGCGGCCAGTCTGTCTCTCACCGCTCTGGGTGTCTGGAAGGTATATTGTCAGTCCTTGTTCAAATGTTTGATGGAGCACCTAGGCTCCCGGAATAGGGTCAGGAGCTCTGGGGGTGTGGAGGGGCTGTCGCTCACTCATAACCAGGACGGGGGCCTGCATCTTGAAGTCGGGGTTTGGCTGTTCGCCAGGAGAAAAAAGAATGTTACAAGAAAGACGGGAAGATTGGGATAGCTTTTGGGAGGAAAGCTATTGGGACCAGGCTGGGGTCGGAAGGTTCGCGAGTTGTGCTCCTTTCGAGGGGTCGTCTCTAGCTCCAGTATTGACTTGAGCCCCAAAAAGTTTGGGCTGCCTTGCCCAAATTTTGGAGCTATCGCCAAAGATGGAGAAATGTTTTTACCAGATGCCTGTCAATTGCCGGGTCCGTGCGTCATACTGGTAGGTACCTAATCCACCGAATTAACCTTAGAAGCTTCATGTCAATTGGCTTACTTCATACCACAATTCGGTGAGCTTCTTACTTGACAGTTTCTGAATAATTTCACATTCCGATCTGCAGACGTTTCCAATACCTCCAAGGATAAAGCGAATAAAATCAAGATCCAGACATTCCCCCGAATCGCGACCTTTTCTGTTTGCAGCTCCTGAGATCACGTAGCTTCATGTAGTACATTACAACCTGAAAAGGGGCCTATATTCCGCAGACTGCTCCGACACCATGCCCAACGACACCTTTCATACATCGACGCAAAAGTTGGAAGGTTAATGCTGTGAGCATAGGGAATTCCCTATTATGGCTCATGCCACGACAATAATCCACAGGAGCATTCATTCTCCTCCAAACTTAATCCAGTATGCATTTTGAGTAACTGACATATTATGACGAAGACAGTACATGTGCCATGTCTTGCATAAAACGCGAGGGGGCATCTAACATGGCATATTTCATCGCAATTCGGGTATCATTGGAAGTGCTCACTCGTGTCGTATAAAAAGAATCAAGGAATTGCAGATTTCGCGTCTGGCTAAATATTGTCTCCTATGACATCCATCTCTGAACTCTACAAAGTTGCCGAAGGGCCTTGGGGGTTCAGGTCGACAAAGACAACCAATACAGCGGCATATGCAGCAGTAGCGGACATGACATCCTTTCCCTTTTCTGCATAGCCAGCCATGAATGCTCCAAACAAGGCCACAAACAGCGTCGTCGCGACGAGCGAGGTTGTGAGGTCATTGCGCTCGACCATTAATCACATTGGACCAATCAAAAACGCACCGCCCGTGATGGCCATGAAGATTTTATCCCTCGTTGCTTCGAGACGAGTCTGGCTCACACTGGCTATCCTGGTACCTCCTATCGGGGCCGTGTCCTCTTCCCATGGGCCAGACACTGAGATTGGGGATTTGAATTCCCCAGGATCAATATCCATCCGATCAAACACAGTCCTGATGACGAAGTCATCAATGTTTCTCTCGCCTGTCACGAGGAATGGGTCTCGCAGCGACTTGCTGCGTTCGATCATGTAATCATAATCCTTCATGGCGTCGACTGGGAAATACATTATTAGGGACTGCAGGTTTTGCGGGAACGCTGACTTACTATAAGACTTGAGATCTCCTTCCCAGTCTTTGGGCTCGTAGTCCCTGTAACGCATCTTTGTAGCATGCTGGACTAGTTTGAACTGTAACTTGCGCAGGTGAATACGCTGCATCTCTGCCAGGCTTACTCGAAAGCTGTGGTCCGAGTCGGGTCGTGTATAGTCTGTCTCAGATTTTGCAGCAACTTGTCCACTGGCACATAGTGAGCGGAACCATTGTACAAGAGCATGCTCTTTCTTGCGCTCGATACCCCAGATCAGTCCGCCATACTTGTGATGTTGAAATACCCATCTGTCGTCCAGATCAAGGTCGACTGGGGGCTCAAATGATGCAAACGTGGCACTCATGGGTCGGATATTCTCAATGCTTTGGTGAGATTGCAATTCAGTTTGGCCGTTACCTGTAATAGATTCTGGGCGAGATTGTATCAATTGCAGTACTCCATCTGCGTCCAAGCGACTCGGCTCCTCATCGGGACCCTTCTCAAGATCCGTCTGAGATGGTTCAAGCACGACTGGGTCGATCATCACTGCCTATTACAACGATGTAGACTTGAAAATAGATAAATAAGGAGAGAAAAAGAAGGGAAAGATATGTTCGGTATCATAGGGAATGGCAAGGCTGAACATAAGTTGCTATTTTGGTGTCGGCCGATTTGAGGAGCATGTAGCTGCATTGCTACGCTGCATCGTCAGCCACACATTCATTTGTACATGACATCCAATCGCCATGAGTGAAAGTCATCTGCAATGAAATCAACTGGCGGTGAAGAAGAAATTATTCATTCATGTGAAGGGAGAGACAGAGATTGAAGGTATAAGATGAAGACTAGAACGCAAACCTTATGTATGCCATAACTCGAAGGCTGTCCCATCACCATTTAAGATCCTGTATATACTATACTATTTTGAGCTCGCGATGACCAGAGCCTACCCTCTGCTTATAGAACACGGTAAAGATGAATACACAAAGTCGGACCACACAGACGCTTAGCATAAAAATAACATTCGAGAATAATATGCGACGGGTTCACGTCTTGTTTCCGACGGTTCAACTGGCAGATACCTACTGCCACTATATAGCACAAAGATCTTTGGTTAGAGTCGAAGGTTTAGACGTCCACCGAGCTTCCAACTCCAACGATGTATCGCTCCGTCTGCCATCTCGGGTCACAGCAATAGTGGCAGCACCAGAAAACGGGGGCCTGTATTTGGCCTTCAACGACATTGTGCTTGCCCAAAACTGGGAGAGAAGCCTTGTGATCTGGAAGTGGAAACAACCACGCCAACCTCAGCTGCATGTGGATTGCTTCATGTCGGTCGAGGCTATCAATCGCGCCATTCGCAACACCTCAATAATTCCTCCTCCTCTCCCAAATGTGCCACGCCAGCGCGCGATCCAAGCTCCAGGAGTGGCAGGAAACTCTATGATTAGCTCCCGGGCGAAAGCTTCAGCTGGTATACCGAGATAAAATCGTACCCTACCGTCGCATCCATCCACGCCAAGAAGGATAGTGTGCAGGCCATGAATTTGTGAAGGTTAGAATGAAGCAGATAGAATTATGAACATGTATGTGACAAGTCTCGTATATAGTTCGACACCAATGAGAGCGCTATGCGTGTATTCTAGCAATCGAGCTATTCATGTATGTCAGGGGATGTCTTGATAACATATTCACTTTGTCAACCCTTTTTTTGCCAGCTTTCAGCAAAGCGAGATATGCTGTCCCAAGAGACATGCATAATGCCCACTCATGGGATACGAGGAATCTATCATCTCTCTACAATGATCCGTTGTCCGACTTACTTCGCATGTTTCTGTTTCGCAAAGATACAAAAGTTCGCGTGTGAGGCCTCAAACCCGCCAGATTGCACCATTTCTGGGGGACGTTTTGGTATCTTGCCACGCTTGATGACTGCAAACACCAAATTTCATCGTATCAGGACTTCATCAACCAGGTGCTGTTTTCCTCGAAAAAACACTCGTAATATCAAATCCCTGAAAGTCTCATGGTGCCGCGGAACAACAAGCGTATGTTGAATTGACAGTGTTGCACAGCTTGTAAAGCTTCCAGATTGCTGCCAGCCAGCTCTCATGTATGAAATAACAGTCAATCGTCAAAGCAAAGACTGCGTAAATCTCGCACATGTTCATTTCTTGCTTTGAAAGTATTGTAACTATTCTAGCTCTTCGGCGTCTGGATTTCTGAAGCATCACGTGTATATGTACCAAGACGAACTATCCAATTTGAATCTTCCCAAGGCGATGAATACATTAATCACCATGGTGTTCACGAAACGTATACGGCGTAAGATGTAACAATTCCAAGGTCATTCATTTCAAATAATAGCGCTCAATTCAAGGGAGCTGTCGCATAATAAGAAGACGACCTTCGCTGTTAATGGTGACATGTAGACGGCATGTCTTACCACGACAAGGTGGGTTCTTGAAATCAGCCATGCCCTCCTATTCTTGGGCCTGAGCGAACAGGACATCTAGAATTAGACTTTGATCTATCTTACAAGATTGCATTTGTAGACATTGGATTCAAAGCTATAGCATTCAATCTGTGATCGCCCCAGTGAGGAAAGAGGTAGTTCTGCGCTCATGCAAACCATGATAAAATCTTGGACATAGGACTAACGAGGATAAGCAAATATTCAGTCAATTGATGCTGTCGTGCATGGCTCAGGTGTAAATATGGTTCGCCAGAAAGCCGGTTTGCGGCACAGGCAGGGCGACAGCCTTTCTGTCGTGTAACTCACTCCTCTTGTTACCCTTTCTGGCATCCTACCTCCCTAGGTCCTCACTGTCCATGTACAACATACTCGGAGAGCTCTTCACTGCATGCGCCCTTTTCCCTAGGAGGTTTCACAAGGTGCCAAAAGGTGGCTTGCAAAATGACGAACCAACGGTTCGGTGCGCCAGGATTTCACCCAGCAGCCGCCCATGATTCGAGGCAAAATAATTGAAAAGAGTAGAGGATGAAAAAATTCCAACGGGTGATTACCTCTCGGGACGGATAGATTTCGCACCCACCCCGGAAAAAGTCCTTGCCCTCCTTAGGATCAAGAGAGAGAAAATTCTTCCCTTGCCTTGTCAGCAAACGCGCATCCGCCGTCTCGGCCTCGTCCTGCGTTCCCGACGGTCAGGGATGGGGGCCGTGCCGAGACACATTTGGAGCCTTGCGTGTCGCCGCCCGAAAAGGGCGAAGAGGGTGTCTTTTCCCAGACGTCTCCTCTTACTGTAGTTGGTACGTATTCTATGAGATTTTCCCTACGCGTTGTTGCCTCGTCATCATGAGGAGGGGGTCGTCATTTGTATCACCATGCACCTTCTGAAGCCAGCATAGATGGTGCTGAATATCATGATTGTAAAAGAGGGGTGGAAGAGAAGCATCATCGGGTTACGAAAAAAGGATCGCCACTTGCCTGCCGCGAAGCTGAAAAAGCTTTTTGCAGAGAGAGAAGGGCATAACATCAATGGACAGGGCCAAGCAGAAGCATTCAGATAGCGTCAGAGGGCTGGCTGCTTGAAAGCTCTCTCTGTAAGCCGAGACAGACAGCATGTTCAGCCCTGATCAAAAACGCCCCATGTCGCTTACAAGCTTTCTACTTACATACAAGGAAGTTCGCGAGAGCTGGGAGACAAGAGTTGCGTCCTTGAGAGGGCACCAACCATTTCCTGCCTTTTCAGACGCCACCGAGTCGGCCGAGTTCGTTGGAGGACGTGGCGACAGGGTCCTCGCAAGACAAACACATTGGCCAATCGCTCCATTCCCTTTGATGGTTCTGGGGCTAGGCTACTGATCCTCTTCTCATGGTGGTGGGTGGTGGATGGCCACTGTCAACCCGAGCCGATTCTTTGATGCAGGAGCAGGAGATCGCGAAAGGAACAATTTGGGGCCCAATGCAGGACCAGGGTCAGGTAAGGAATCTCTCTCATGCTTGTCTGCCCGGAGGGAAGTGCGACGGGCAACGGCAACAAGAAGGAGTATTTTTGCCCGTGCCACTCACCTGCGCCCATCCATTCACAGCCTACTCAGACTCACTTCCAGCCGTGCAATGAGGCATGTATCCAATGGGAGAAGGCATGAGTCTTGGTGTTACCATCTCCTTGGGACGACTGCCGCAATGGGCCTCGCGCAGCTGCTGAGTGATGGCATGGAAATGCGGGGCTTGGTGCTGGCCTATCACACTGTCGCGGCGTTACGATGTGCCCCTTTTGGAAATCCGCTCGTGGCTGCAACGCTGCCAAGCTGGTTGTATTACTTACTGTGTACCATCATGAGTATTCCAGTCTGGAGGGGACGAGCGCCGAGAGCGGTGCGTGTGTGATAATGATAGTGGCGGAATATCTCGAGAGATACAGACCCATCGTGATTGATAACGTTCAAGGATGGGAGCACGAAAAAAAGCAACGATGCCCTCTGCTCGAATCCACATTGCAAATTTCCTGACAGCCGCGACGTGCGATTTTTCTCCCAGTCATTGACACGCAGATTTGGTGGAGTGGACAACACAGGTAAACGTACTCCGTACTGCTAAGACCGTCGTAGCTACCGTTACCCATGGGTGTGCATTGTCGAAACAGCAATTTCCATGTTTCTTCATCTGTCTGATTATACAACGAGATGATAAAGCCATAGACTATTTCTTCTTTGATATATCACCAACGCATGGACAACCATTCCTCAAGTTGGAAGCCGCTACAACCTCATGCTTGACGATGATGCATTGCCCACTTACATTGAGGCTACGTGCCGTAAACCGAGATGGCATACGCATAAGGAGATATGGCACCTTCCAAGCATCCGCATAACCGACAAGCATAGGCTGGACTATCTCTCCTCGCCCTGACTGGCCGGGCGAACAAATGATTCGCAGAAAGAAGCAGCACGAAAGGCCGAAGTTGGGGCAAGCAAGCCATCGAATTTCTGAACAACTTTGCTGCCGTGAAACCCACTCCAAGAGCACAGGGCAGAAACGGCATGGGGAGTTGCAGAACAACCTTGTCCTACCTGCTGACGTTGTGTAACGCGACAGGTAATTTTTTTCTCCGAGGGAAGCCCCAAGCTCGCCAAGTTGTCCCTTGTCTCCTCTGGTAGCAATTGACAAGGGCATCATATTGCAGGCCGGTAGGCAAGCAAGTAAGCAGCACAGGCAACGCAAGCCAGCCAGCCAACAGTCGTCGCGGTTCGCCCAGTTAAGGCAAGGCATCGACGGCGAACCGTCGTCCCTGACAGAGGATCAAGCCAATAACCGAGAGGGTCTAGAATCTTGAAAATATAGATGATTTCGGTGTGTTATATGTCAGATGGAGGCAACCATGAATGATAGCCGAACGTTGATTTGCGGCACAATCGACCAGTCGCTCATGTTTCAGGGTCAAGGAGCCGTTTCCGAGGGTTCTTGCTCGCTGGCTCGCTCATATTTGCACACACACGCACGTTTTGGTCCGCACATGGTATGCGTGGTAGAATTATAGGTGGGTAGGCATATATGGAGTAGTATCAACGTTGCGTATG